TAGCAAAAGGGAATGAAAAACGCACTTTATGCATTAAACAAAATACTTAACACTCGGTTAGGTCAGAGTGAACTTCAAGTTTCATGTATGATATTTTATAAAATTTGACCCTGTACAATTTATTCTCATGATGCATTTACCGATGTAAACTCTCCGTATACTAACATAAACAAACTTAGATTAGAGGAGTACATCATTATTTAGATGAATAGATTATGCGAAACGCGTAATTGGTAGGTCATAAAATAAAAACAGCACAGAATACATTTAGTACATTCTGCTCCAATTCATATCATCTTGTGTTGTCCACTTGTTTGTAAGTCAAAAGTAATTACACTTATTCATTTAACAGTAAATTATATGACTGGATACTTAGGTTTAAATTGTTTCCTCGACTTTGCTCATCATTAATTTCGATATCATCATTCTCAGTGTTTTGTATTCAAGGGGCTTTTTTAAAAATTACAATTACGTTGTTTAAAAAAATAAATACTGGCTTACGATCGGCTTGTAGGTTCTGTTCTCCGTCGTCATCGGATCGTAGCTCATCCAAAACACAAAGAAAGCGAGATCGATGATGACAAACCAAGAGATCGCAAAGAGGAGGCGAGTATCCGTCAAACCTTTCTAAATTGTGATAGAAAATATGATTATTGAAAGCCATACAACACGACTATGTTCTAAAAGATTTTTCAACACAGCATTATGATAATTTTCAGAATTTCAATTGGCCTTGTCAAGGGTCACTAAATTACAGATTCATGTTGACTTGTGTTGATCTGTAATACTGTATACATCACATATCTTCTGACTTTTTGATGTACATTTATATCATATTTTTTATATTATTTGTTCTATTACTTTTGTTCTACCTGCTAAGCTCCACCCCTAAAAAAAAAAAAAAAAAAAAAAAAAAAGCAAATGCCTTTTGCGACATCATCATGCCAGTCAGTCATCAGTCAGCTAGATGAACAAAAGACATTATGTACCTTCCTATCGCCTGACCACCTGTTCATAAAAGACAGTGGTATGTCCTCACCAACTGAGTACCTCATTGCATTAGCATTGCATGTTTTCATATAATAGCTAAGTAAACCACCATTTTATGGTGTTGCTTGGGGATTTCTGACATAGCAACTGCTTGAAATGTAATTGAATGCTGTGAGTGGGCATTGTATAAAAACATGCAATGTGGATCTCCTTTTCCTGCTGGTTTTAAAAAATATATCTAAAACGCCATTTTCTTTATAATCGCATTTTACTTACAAGAACCTTTCTGACTTTCATAGCGCTAGTGTAGATTTGATGAATGCGGTAGGTTTTCATGAACAGAGCACCGAACGACATGGAGAGACCGACCGAGGCAACCACGAGAGCAGACTAGATCGGAAAAGAATGTGGGGGTAAACAAGCAGAAATGAACATACAGTCAGTGAAAATGAAAATTATATATTATTTAACGATAAACTTTATACAATATATTTCCTCTATGTAACTTTGATAGTTTAAAATTACTGAAGAGGTAATCAGGGGCGGCGACAGGTGGTCCCTCTTTTATTTCTAAGATCACTTTTTTTTTTGCCCGTGTGACCAAACAAATGCAAAGTTTAAAGAGAAAATACCTTTTCTCCTGATTTAATACATTCATGTTAGAGCACCCGTCTCATAATCACAGCGTTATGATGTTTTTGTATTTATTTATTTATTTTTTTTTTTTTCTGCACTTTTTTCCAAATAAAATATAACTGAATAACAAAGAGCATATATGAAAGGTATAGTACAACATAAACAAACAATAATTTCTTCATGTCAAAATGTGTTTTTTATTTTTACACAATATATGTAAATATAATATAATATATTTATAATATTTCCATAACATATTATCATAAATTTAAAGTATTATCCGAACTATATAGTTACCTGACATTCTATATTAGTGAGTACGGAACTCTCTTGTGGCTGGACCTCTAGTGATTCACTCAAGAGGAAAGTCGAACTGTAGAGGAAGATACCTCCGATGGCGATCACGTTATTCAACATCGGACTCGAGATCTTAAGAGCCCTGAGAAAAAAAAGTTAACTTGAGGAGATGAATCAACAGTTTTTCATTTATTCTGATGGTCAATATGCATAAAGTAGCGCCTGAATTTTGCTGAAGTATTGACCTACTAGAAATGCATGACATAATAATTATACAGTGGCATAGGCGCCGGAAGTGGGGGGGGGGGCAGGGGGGCAGTTGCCCCCCCCCCCCCCCAGTCAAAAAAGTGGGGGGGGGGGCAAAACGCATTTTTGCCCCCCCCCCCCCCCCCCAAAAAAAAAAAAAAAAAAAAAAAAAAAACGCCCCCCCCCCCCTCAAAAAAAAAAATAGTAAAGGAGTAAAGATGTTTTGTATTTTAAACCCCAAATAACAGAACAATAATAAAAACCTGAATTAAATCACATATAAAATTCCATTAAAAGGAAAGTTAACAGAAATTAAATGTCCTAAACATTGCGCATGCCACCTACATTTATCAATGGAGGTTTTTTTCATAATAGCGATACGCGCATATCGTGGACGTATCGTGAGAGAATGGGAAAGCGTGTGTATTTTTTGTTATAGGGGTGAGAAGACATGAGCCCCTGAACGCTGGCGTACTGTGGGAGGGGAGGGGGTATTTCTTATTCGATGCCAGTGATTTACAAATGTTGCTGAAATGCCACAAATGAGGTATCAAAATATGCTCATCTGACCGTATTTAAATACCTATAACCCCCGAGCTTCTGGGGGCTCTGCCCCCTGGACCCAACCAAAGGCCCTAAGGCGGTCCCCTGGATGCTCATCTGACCGTAATTAAATACCTAAAACCCCAGAGCTTCCGGGGGCTCTGCCCCTGGACCCCACCAAAGGCCCTAAGACGGTCCTGGATGCTCATTTGACCATAATTAAATACCTAAAACCCCAGAGCTTCCGGGGGCTCTGCCCCCTGGACCCCACCTAGGGCCCTAAGGCGGTCCCGTGTATGCTCATCTGACCGTAATTAAATACCTAAAACCCCCGAGCTTCTGGGGCTCTGCCCCCTTGACCCTACCAAGGGCCCTAAGGCGGCCACTGGATGCTCATCTGACCGTAATTAAATACCTAAAACCCCTGAGCTGCCGGGGGCTCTGCTCCCTGGATACTCCACCAATGACCTGCCAGTGTCACAAATAAGGTATCTAAATATGCTTATCTGACCGTAATTTAATGCCTAAAAACCCTGTGCTTTCGGGGTTTACGCTCTACCTGATCGTTGATACTCCACTTTGAAAAATGTTCCGCGGGGCCTGCATGTAACGTGTAAGAGTAGTGGTGATGCACATTCTGCCCCCCCCCCACACTTCCAAACATTTTTGCTCATTACGTCACTGCCCCTGGAAGGTGAGCCCCCTGGAATGTTTGCCCCCCCCCCCCCCCCCCAATCCCAAACTGCTTCCGGCGCGCCTGTACAGTGGGATGGAACAAAGTTTGACGTTTAAATATATTTCTTCAATTTCTTTATATTGACTTGCATTGTAGCTAATCATCAAGTTGGCAGTGGCATATGCATGAAACCAGAGGCACGGCCCCCTCTTCCATTGAATTGCTAAAAGGGGAAATTACAAAAGAGGGGAGAGGGGGAAACGTGGGAAAGGATATAGAGGTTGAAATGTCCTCCTGTACTCCCTGCCCTAGTTGGTGGACCTGCTCTTTTGCATTTAATTCATCCAGGAAGAACGGCTCCCGCAATACCATGCCCCTTAATATCTGGACCCAGTCTACCCTCCCCCCCCCCGGGGGGGGGGGGGGGTCAATAAATGTTAAAGCAAATTGCGATGATGCCTCCCCTACTTCGGGAAAGGATCCAATAACGGTGTTGATACGAACATCTCGCAAACCATTTAGAAAATATTAAAATTCAATACATGTAGATGAATAGACTTTAGGGGGAGTAGTGGCAACAGGACCTTACCGTTTGTGACGATGTATAATATTGACGGACAGGAAGATAATAGCCAGAACAATACCCAGACCTGCTAGAGCACTGATCACAATACGATTTGCGTTGTTGATTCCGACATCCAACAACTGGTCCGTTGGCCCGTCTACTGGAATGATAGAACCTAAACACATGGGGGGATACATGAATAAGCAACTAAGGTGGTGACATTGATTATACACAGTTCGGTACAGTAACAGAGCTATTAGGGGCACCCCCCAACAAAAATCGAGCGGCAATAACAAGAAAGACAATCGACATGACATCCACCAAAAATGGAAGAAACTGTTTAAAATAGGGACCGTGAAAAAGAATGTGATTCGACCCGTTCACACACACTGCATAGTGGCCATTGTTAATCTACAACCCATGCATCCAAGGGCCGGTACCCCCTCAAAGTCTGGATGATGCTACGTCACTGTTGCCCGGGTCTGAAAGAGGGCAAGGCGGCGTATGCCCCTCCGCTTTGCAGACCCAGAAAAAGAAAACTTACATTACTTTGATACAGTGGTATTACACAATAGAATATGCCAAAGATTGCATTATCTATAAAACTTAAATATTTTCATCAAATTCCACGGAAGAAGGATAAATGAGATAAAGCCGACTGGGGGGGGGGGGGAGATTATAAAAATGTATTTAATTAAAAATATGCGTTGAGAAAATTATTGAAACATAATCGCAAATATATTGGCAAGATCAAAGAATGAGTTGATGACAAGGTATATAACAATTGCAGTCTTTCTTACCTGAACTGCAAGATTTAAAATTATATATGGGAAACAATTATTTTCGGGAACTGGCAGGTACAACAAAGAATCTTTTTTGGAAAGAAATGTTCATGGCTTATAGTACGTTCTTGTCCATGCATTATGATAACATTTCTTGCCAACCCTTATGTAATAATGAGTACATTAAAATAGGCAATAGCTCAATATATAATAACAAATTGTGTCAAAAGGGAGTTCGTTTTGTCAATGATATTTTAGACACAAATGGTGATTTTTTTTCTCTCTGGAACACTTCCAAGAAAAGTATAATATTCAAATAAATTTTCTTTTTTATCGTGGATTATGCAATTAGACAAGGGTTTAACAATTGTACTATTTTCAACAAGGTGCCACAACCTCTTTTCCCAGATACAATAGCATTTGTTATGAAACGTATTAAAGGATGTTCACATATCTATGCAATTTTATTAAAGAGAAGAAAAGGACTATGTAAAAGTTTTCTTAAATGGAAATGTATTTTCGACCTGAATGATAAGAGTTGGGAAACATATTGTTCTATTGGATTTAATTGTACCATTGATGTGGGCTTACGATGGTTTCAGTTTAAAGTTTTGCAACGCATATTATATACGAACGATCTACTGTTTAAAATGAATTTAGTCCCAAGAAAGGAATGTACATTTTGTAATGAACAGATTGAAACAGTTATACGTCTGCTATGTGATTGTACGCATGTTAAACATATTTGGGGTAGGTTAGAGCACTGGATTAATACTGGAACCGGAAATAAATTAAAATTTTCATTACAAGATAAATTATTTGGTTTAAGAGGTTCAAATAATTATGAATTGAATTGTATACTGATTGTGGTGCGACAGATGGTGTATACTTGCAAAATAAAAAACCAATTGCCCGACTTTGATAATATTAGAGTTTCGATTATAAATTACTTCAAAAACGAAAAGTAAATTGCAAATTCGAATTGTAGAAATAATAAATTCACAAGAAAATGGTTCCAATTCAGAAATTTGTTTACCTAAAATGATATTTTGTCTGTATTTGTTTTTCTTTCCATGAGTGTCAGTAATGAATTATTGATTTGTTATTTTGTGTTAACTCAACAGTTCATCAATACTTGTATCTTGAAAAGCCAATTTTATTTATGTTCAAATGAAAATCAATAAAATCCCTGTGGAGGGAAAAAATATGGGAAAAAAATTGCGTGTGATTATGATGTTCAGATTCAAAGTGAATAGGCATATAACAAATTAATGGGGTAGAACATGTAACTGACTGCAATACTTAGAATTTTCCCATAATTCTTTTACATGATATTACAAAAATTAAAATTGCATTAAAATTTGTTACAAATTGAAATGGAAGGAAGGACATACCTCCCCATTGAAATTCACGTTTAAGTCGAAAGGTGTCGGTATTTCGATCAAATACAAAGATCTGCTGTACTTGTTGATCTAGAAGAGACAGTTATCACCAAAACAAGGTTAACATAACCAGAGAAAACAACATTTTAAATCCTGGTAGACGGTAATGAGAGAGAGAGAGAGAGAGAGAGAGAGAGAGAGAGAGAGAGAGAGAGAGAGAGAGAGAAAGAGGGGAAGGGGGAAAGAGGGAGAGATATATAAATGATGATGGAGGGGAAGAGAGAGGGGAGAGAGGAATATATATATATAGAGAGAGAGAGAGAGGGGGGAGGGGGAGGGAGGGAGAGAGACGAATACTTTTCTGCAATATTTAGTATATATTTCGCAAAACGAATTTTGACTAACCAAAAACAAATCTTTTTTTCTGAATTGAGGGTGCAATACTTTGTAGAAAGTGCACTGAGTGGTTGCACCAACTTCTTCTAGTTCATATATGATCAATATATCGTTTAAAATATAACATAATTGTTAAGAATACGAGGGTGATAATACTTTACTTTGTAGTTGCTGAATAACAGCGTTGCTCTCTCTGCTCCCCACTGCATCAAATGCCACTGGACCCTTGAGTTTTTAAAGAAAAGAAGATAATATTTGAAAGTATTCATAATAAGAATGGTTGACTATAAATATTATGGTAAATATTCTGATGTTGTATTATTAGTACTCTTTCGAATAACAGAGCTATAGATGTTATATCAGAGCAACGACGTTTCATGTAGAATTTGCTTTAATTCTCAAATCAATCAAAGATCAACATAATGTCACCTTGTTTATAATTAGGTGCTTCATCTACATAATTATCTTAGATCACCGGCTGGTGAATAGAACTATTTTATGGCATGAAATCAACAGATTGGTAAAGCTACTCAAATAATTCAAATTATACATATTTTCTCCTCCAAAAAAGTAACCTCGTCACCGATTACGGATAGATGGGCAAGGGAGAGATTGAGAGGGTGAGAGAGAGAGAGAGAGATAGAAAGAGAGAGAGAGAGAGAGAGAGAGAGAGAGAGAGAGAGAAGTAGAGAGAAAAAGATAGCGGCATAAATGAAAGAGACTGACTGAGACAAAGAGAGAGAGAAAGAAAAATGGAAAGAAACAGCGCAATAGAATCGCAGAGATAGACAATGAGACAAAAGTGAGAGAGAATCGGAAAGAGAAAGAGAGAGAGAGAGAGAGTGAGGGAGAGAGAGAGAGATGGGGAGGAAGAGGGAGAGAGAGAGAGAGAGAGAGAGAGAGAGAGAGAGAGTGAACGAGACATAGCCTACTCAAAGTCAAGACTTACCGTCAGACCAACAAACTTGAGATTCTTTGTCTCGTGTAGAAAGATGTCTGCCATTTCTGTATTGGTGTAAGTGAAGTCAGCCAATGTCGTACCCGGGTAACGAGAGGCTACCACACCGTCTGAAGAATTCAGGGCTAAGGCTATCGTCATTATCTATGGTTGAATGGAGGGAGTTGCATTATTTCGTTTGAGTTCTTTGAATGAAACTGCTTGAGGTTCACTTCACTCGTTCAACATTTATCATGTATACATATAATGGTTTTCCACAGTTCATATATAAAGTAGAAAATGAACAATTTTTTTTTTTTTTAATTTTTAATGTCCAGTCTTAGGAAAAATGAAAACTTGCAGTACTGGGTGGTATTCTCGAAAGCGGACTAACTTTAGTCCATGGTTTGTTTAATCCTCCGACTAAGTATGGAATGCCAAGTGTCCACATGAATATGTTTTTGAATAATTTAATCTGTCACTAAATTAAAATAAAATGTAATAACATGATTAATGAACTTAATATAACTGTGAAAGAATTATGTTATCATGGTGATTTAGGGACATATCAAATTATTCAAAAATATATTAATATGGACACTTGGCATTCCATACTTAGTCTGAGGATTAAACCATGGACTAAAGTTAGTCCGCTTTCGGGAATACCACTCATAATCACTCGCATTGCGCACATTGCGCCATGCCCGACTGGTCTTTGGCGCACCATATGAAAGCATCCGACAAAAAGGAATGCAAAGTTAACTTATAGACATTATAATTATGTTTCATTATTGGTGCGTGCCCTAATCTCAGCCTTGATTGACATAGGTTAATAACACAATAGCAAGGACACCTCGTAGAAAAAGCAGTAGCCACTTACATAAAGCCGTCATAACTATGCCCCCCTCCCTCCTCTGTGGAAAAAGAAATACTATCAATGATAATGAATTCGAAAATTGGCGCCAGCCTGGGAGGATTTCTTCTATTCATGAATTTGGGATAGGCCTACGCTATTAAAAAAGAGGTTATTATTTCATGGTCTGTATAGTTTGAATCTCGTCTGTATACTTTGAATCTCGTCTCTATAGTTTGAATCTCGTCTGTATAGTTTGAATCTCGTTGATTCTTCCGTGTTCTCTTACCTGATCATAGCCGTAGGAGTCGCATGCTCCAGAGAAGAGAAGTTCACCCTGAAGATGACGGAAGAACTCCAGACGGTCTGCATCAGGATACTGAACATGATCGAGAAGATAATGATCGAAATTATTAAGAACGGGAGATGGACAAGAATAACAACCGGTTTTACTCTCGACGCGCGGCACAAACCTTATAAGAGAACCAATCGTTCTTATGGACATGTTAATGCTTTTTTTGTATGGGAGGTCTGTCTATTTTATCATTACCTTATTGCATAAGATGTTTAATTCATCTAAAGTTTGCTTACATAGAATAACCAAATTAAATAAAAATGATTCTGTAATGATTTCTTTTCAATCTCAAATCAGTAACCTTTACATTTTCGTTCTATGTATCTTATTTTGTTACACAAGATTGTGTGAGATCCAAGTGAAAGATCAATTCAACATCCAGATGTTGTTTTTGTTGTTGAATTTTTGGCGCGTCCACTTTCACCTTGCATGAATGGTTCACCATTATGACGTCATTGTCCCTGCGCTCTTTAAATAATTGTCAATAGTCAATCTTGACTGAATTGCCATAACCCAATCAAACAACGAAAACAACAACGATAAAATAGGCCTGGGTGATAATTAGACCCTATTCTATCTGTTTCATAGGAGGGAAAAGGGCGTCATTCTCTATTTCAACTGCAATGAATTGACCTGGTTATATCTAATTCTAAGTAATGGACGACACAATTAAGTTAGACTTATTTCGAACGGTGTTTTGCTCATATTGGGGATAACCTGCTTTAGCTCCCTTCGTGGGATTCACTAAAACGTATTGATTTATACTCATTTCGAACGGTTTTTGACCTGTTGCATTTTAGAAGCTGTTCTAAACAACATTCTATGAATACTTATGTCTTTCTTCGTCCATATTTATGAACTATGATCGATTTATCTAAATCTTGGTGATGATATCAAATATAATTTGCAAAATTGTAAACATAAACACGTGTCGACATAAAGGTAATATTCCGTTCGACGTTTGACATCTAGTTAAAGCCCGTCTGCACTAGTTTAGCCAGGGGGATTATATTTCCCTGCAAGGTCACTGACAGGTGGTTATTTTATCGAATCAGCTCTCAATTAACATAAGAAAAAGGGGATCATGGGGGACCAACAGGCACCGATTAGGCATTGTTTGCCATATTGGGCGCAAATAGCTATATAAGTAGTACAGTGGGGCTTTAAAAGGATTGATAAATGTTTTAACAAATGAATATCAATAAAACATAATGTTGAACGAAATATTGAAATAGCTAGACACATCTCTTTCGTCAGAGACTAACAGAGGTGATGAAAGGAGCTACATGATAACTCACGATTCCGTTAAAGTTGATCTTGGAGAGGTCCTCCTGTATCTCAAACCCCCTCATACTGAGGTACCCCTCCACTGCTTCATCCATCTGATCGAAGGTGCAGAATTCTTCATCTCGAGCTCGGATGTTGGTCGTTTCAATCCGCCACCATCCGGTGTGATACCAGCCGATAATTAGCCATACATACTTGGGTCCGTACAGTCCCTGTCGGTAGGCCTGTCCGTATGGTGTCGAATAAGGAGAAATAAAGAATAAACCCTTTAAGTAAAGGAAAATCGAACCTTCATATAAATACAACCACTTTAAAAGAAAGCAGAAAAAATCCATGAAGCAGGATGCTGGCAGATTTAATGAGATTGATTCAAAAATGGGAAAGTTATGCATTTTTGAAACTTGTAATCACTATACGTATGGGCACTTCATATTGACTGACTCGGCAATGTCACTGTGACGTAGTGCCGGACATATTTCACATCAGTTTTAACACACAAAATGAATACAATTTTAGCAGTGCCCCAAGGGAGAAGGCACTTAGGAGAAAAACAGAAATTCATGATATTTTTGTTTATACATGACAAACGGAAATTTGTCTACATTGCTACCAAGGTCAATTAGTGTTGTGTAAGTGGTTCATTCAATCATGCACGTCACAGTCTAGCACTAACGTCCTTTTCCAAGTCATTAATCCATATTAAATTTGCCATCCTCGCCAAGATGTAAATTTAGTACCTGGCAACTACTTGGATAACAATAACTGCAAGGCCCTCAGGAAGAACAGCATTGAAGCTGACGAGGCTTTCCTGGATAAAAAACATGACCTTATTATTATCATTAGTATTGTTATTGTTAGTCTTACCTCACAGAAAACCTTAGTCGCAGTATCTTGGTAGACACTGAGAAAGATTATCCTTGCGTCGTGCCGCTGGCGAGAAAAGCAACAGAAATATATAAATTATTAAACAAATTATTAGCCCTTCTTTTTCTTTCTACACCCAAACGCGTTAATTATCATACAAGGTGGTCTGAAGTCAGTGCTCTGTATTCTCAGGGAAAAGGCGTTTCATTGACAGCAGTAGTAGTGGTGGTGGTGGAGGTGGTGGTGGTATAGGTAGTGATGGTGTGGTGGTGGTGGTGGCGGTGGTGGTAGGAGTAGTAGTAGTAGAAGTAGTGGTGGTTGTGGTGGAGGTGGTGGTGATGGTAGTGGTAGTGGTAGTAGTAGTAGTAGTAGTAGTAGTAGTAGTAGTAGTAGTAGTAGTAGTAGTAGTGGTGGTGGTGGTGGTTGTGGTATAGGTCGTGGTGGTATATGTGGTGGTGGTGGTGGTGATAGTAGCGGTTGTGGTGGTGGTGGTGGTGGTGGTGGTGGTGGTGGTTTTAGTAGTAGTAGAGCACTTTTTTTGGTCTCAAAAATTGAAAATTTGGCCGATCGATATTTCGATTCGTTGGGGGGGGGGGGGGGGGGGGTAAGGTCAGCTTTTTTTGGTCCCCAAAGGGATATGTTTTCCTCCAAAACATACACATAACAAAAGTTGTAGGGGGGTTCAACCCCAAACCCCTGCCCCTGCGTACGCGCCTGGTAGTAGAGGTAGTAGGGGTAGGGGTATGAGGAAGAGGAACAGTATTATTTTGTTATCCTTCGTTCATCCATGCATTCCCCACAAACATTTTTTATGAAATAATATTCGAAAAGGCAGAGATAAGGGGGGGGGGGAATAATTTAGTTGAATCAATACAGGATTTAAACGAAGAACACATCGTTTCTTCGAGTGACTTTTTACTAATAACATTATCTGATTATATCAGACTAATTATTAATTCCATGATTCTATCAGAATATTTTACTATAATTCATCACAAGGACTGAAATTATTGGCATAGAGTTTTTTTTCAAGAAATTGTCATAGCTAAAGCAGTAAATGGTCGTGGGACTCATTGCAGACCTTCTTTTATAATCATGTAAGAATATTCATCGCATCTATTAAATAGAGACGAATGATCGTGATACATAGAATCGCTCATTCTACAATTTTGTCAGAATACTCGTCTAAAGGACTGAAATATATTTTATTTGAGATATTGCATAGTATAGCTCGAAATGAAAAAAAGTGCTCCATATTTTATAATTCTGTCAGAATATGGAATGTATTAATTGCAAGGACTGCATGATGGCAGTACATATAGAGATGTCTACTTATATTAATAAGAGATGAAGGATGATGTTATATTTTAGCTCTTATTTCATAATTCTGTCAGAATGTTGAATATACTTATGGTAAGGACTGGATTATGAAAGTAGAGTTGCCTATAGAGATGAATAGTCGTAGTGCATTGATTGCGACCCAATATTGTAATTTTGCCAGAATATTAAATATACTGAATCGCAAATACTGGATTATGAAATTAGAAATACAACATTTATAGTTAGAGATGAAATATAGTGGTCCATTGAGGCCTTGTTTTATAATTTTGTCAAAATCAATCCCAATATCATAATGAATTAAGCAGAAATGTTTACATGTATTGACGAAAGATGAATGATCGTACTACATCGAGGCCAAATTCTATGATTCTGTAAAACTATAAATATAAAAATATTTATATAAAAATATAAATATTGATATATATGCTTCATGATTAAGTTGAGATAAGCGATTAACTGTGCACTGTAGCAATTTTGGAGAGAATATTGAATATATAACTCATGGCAAGGATTATAATAAAAGTAGAGTTGCACGAATGACCGTGATATATTGATTGCTACCCAATGTTGTAATTTTGCCAGAATATTCAATATAATGAATCGCAAAAACTGGATTATGAAATTAGAAATACAACATTTATAGTTAGAGATGAAATATAGTGGTCCATTGAGGCCTTGTTTTATAATTCTGCCAAAATCAATCCCATAAATCATAATGAAAGCAGAAAGGTTTACATGTATTGACGAAAGATGAATGATCCTACTACATCCATGCAGGCCAAATTCTATGATTCTGTAAAACTATAAATATAAGAATATTTATATAAAAATATAAATATTGATATAGATGCTTCATGATTAAGTTGAGATAAGCTATTCTCTGTACACTGTAGCAATTTTTGAGAGAATATTGAATGTACTCATGGCAAGGATTGTTGTGAAAGAGTTGCAGTTAGAGTTGCAGGAATGATCGTGATATATTGTTGAACGACAGTAATTACCTTCGCGTCCTTTTCATTTTGGCGGTTTGTTAAATGGAACCGATTCTTATGAAACCCGATTAAGATGAGGCTAAGGCGAAATTAGATCACGTATAAATACGGAGGGGTCGCTTGAATAAACATTCTTGACAGGGGCTCCTTTCTCAATATCTCGGTTAAGTTCACAATACACAGGTAATTTTAATAAAAGATCTTCTGCTGTAACCCCACTTCCCGCCCCCACTTATTAGAGATTGGCTACACTCTCTGTATTTGAGTGAAGAGAACTTGCTCGTTTATTACCCTTACCCGCAATAAAAGGTCTCAGTAAAGCAGTGACATATATAAATGTTGACAAATGGGGGTGGTGAATTAATCCTGATTTTCGTGCTATTTTACTACATGTAATATCACAGGATTGGAGGAAGAATAAACAAATGCATATAATGATGACTGGTGACAACGGGAATGTAGGGGCCATGCAGGACCCCCACCCCTCTCTTTCTCTGCCTCTCTCAATGTTTCTCCTTTTTTGCGATATATGAAGTGCTGGAGAAATGACGCACTCTCTGCATCGAGAATAAGGATTTTTCCTGCCCTAAGTTTCCCCTTCCCCTCTCATTTTCAAATCATGATAAAGAAAAGGATTACCCCCCCCCCCCCATCCCCGCCCACCCCCCCCCCCCCTGCCCCAACCTCCAGCTTCCATTTTCACCCACCCCCCTTTGATGCCGTCCGACTGTCCACTCTGTCCGCTCGACACAAAAGACGAATTTAATTAACGCATGACCACTCGGGTTATGGGATAATTCTATAAGCAACGAATAACCTAATAACTCTGTCTACATCTATCACGAGACACGATTTACCTCGGTCGCCAAAGGAGCTGGCAAAGTTAATATCAAACCCACGTGGCACGGTTATCTGTTTTGTTATTGGAATGGTCATGGTAAAGACGTAAAAGAGAAATCAAACCTAATTGAATCAGCCTGTTGTATAGAACCGGATACGAAGCCTCCATAATAAATCTTGATTAAAGACGCCAATTTCGTTAATAGTTAATATATTTAAAGATAACCGCCCCCTATATGAAATAAAATGTCTGATTAAAGTTGCACGAGACCTTTTAGGGTTAGGTTATTTCATTGAAAGATGTAACATGTACCATAAATGTTATTGAGATGCTTACGCTGAATACCATTTATATACAGTAGGTAAGTTATTTTGTTGATAACAAATGAATGAGTTTAATGTTGTTAAACATATACACTAAAAGGGGTACTGATAAATACTTTTGTAGTCACAGCCCTAGTCATTTGATAGGATTTTTTTTATAGCAATCATTTTTTTTTTTATAGTTTTGATTGCCTTTTGGAAATATGTATGACAAACTCAGAAAATGTTTGTTCTGAAATACGTTAATTTCCAATATTATGACATAATTTCCATGTTCTGAGCTACCATAACACCATACAATACATACAAAGTGATACATACATTTAATGGTAGAATCATCGCACACTCCGTTGTTGCTGTGAGCCTTTAACATTGGTTATTTAATGATTTTCTTTTATGTCAAAGAGAAACGTACTATATATATATATATATAGGAGTGAGTAATTCATTCTGTCAGAAACACTCTATTTGTATGATTATTAAATATTTACATGCGTGGGACAACATCATTCACAGTCATGTCGAACGAGGTATTACAAAGGTATTACAAAGTTTTGGTAAGGGGGTCATGAATTTGGTTCAAATGAACATATTGGAAGCATATGCGATCCTACAATATTCAGTGATCGTTGTCGCAGTTGAAATCGAGTCTGAGTTATGAAATTGTAAATAATAAACTCTTTATGTTGTATAGCTCCCTCTTAAGGTCAAGATATTAATCAAGCCTATAAAACAATGTTTCTTGACTAAAATAGACCGATTGGCTATTCCCTTCTGAAAATGATGTATCACAACTAAATAATATATTGAAATGTTTATGGTTGCAGCTACCATTGTATCGCCGTAGGCGCTATTTGTAATTTATCAAAATTTACCCGGAGCACCGTTAAATTTTTATATTCCATTTTGCTCGAAGCAGAAGTGTTTTAGGGGCTAAATTTTCTAGTGCTTATAATACATCCACAGGGGCATCCAAATATATCAAAATTGTGAAGAATCACTATCCAACCAATTTTCAATATTTCCCAAAAAATTGTATTACCTTTAATAAATATGATATGGACTTTGAAAAAGAAAATACAACGATTCACGTCCATGATTGCAGAGTTGACAATTGATCCATTCAAAAAATCTGTCTACCCAGTCCCGGCCTTCTGGCAACTATAGGTGGTATGATGTTTAGTTTCATGATATAACAATAATAATAATAATAATAATAATAGTCCACTCCAAATTTTATTAAACCGAAACGGAAATTCTTTTTGCCCAATTGATCGTGTGCCCGGCAGCCACTGAGCAGCGCCAGATCGACGTTACTCTATCCCTTATTGTTGAACGCCAAACAAGGTAGCAACAACTCCCATCTTTTAACGTCTGTTGGTATGACGCGGCCGGGGTTCGAACCCACGACCTGCCGGTTGTGAGGCGGTCGCTCTACTGACTGAGCCAACACTCCGGTATAATATGTATCACCCGTTACCTCAGATAAAATAAAATAATACGATTTACAAGAAAAAAGGTACTTTACGACTGCACTCTGAAACAACTGGGAGTAGAATATAGAATGAAAAGTGAACATGAATGTTGATTAATTTACACAAAATTGGGCATAGTTTACTACAAAGTAAGTACCACTTTAACCAAAACATTTAAACATGCATATTTTTTTAACCCAATATTCGATTACTTTTGCCCAATGAGTTTTTAAAGAGTATCCTCATTTTGGCATTTTTCAGTGTTACGAGTTTTACAGGGATATCAGTTAGGCCCCCAACCCCCTCCCATTCCTGATATTGAATAACACTTCTAAAGGCTGATAAGAGCTTCATAAACATAAATAACATATAAGCTATTCAAAGTGTACAAATGCATGCTAGGACATCAACAATTCAAAAATTAATAAATTCCTTCAATAGAGTATAGAGCAAACAAAGGCCTATACCATGCCTTATGGCCTGAAGGTCAAGCTAAACAAACCTATACATGCCTCTGATTTACAATTTTGCGCGATGCGCTGGTGATTTGACAAGAAAACACGTTGTATTATTAAATTAATTAACAATAATCCGGGTGGTAAAGCGAACTATATTCCAATGGCCTTCACCCTATCACCAGCAGTACCCTTGATTCGTGATTTCTTTGTAGTGCCTTCCATTAGTATTCAATTCATTTTAATTTATTTTCATTAAAAACATAATAATTACACAATGAATACAAACAAAAGGCGCATTGGTAGGGCCCCTAAGATTTGGAAGGGATCCTGTACAAATATAAAGCAATACATTATTGTTTCTAAATTAGCTACTCCTTAATAAAACAGGGGTGCCATCGCTTTTTTAGAGGTCATTATCTTTAGGGATGATATTGTAATCTGCAAAGGAATCCACTCTAATTCAACCACTACTTGTGGCAGATTACCTATCACTTGGGACTTTATTTATTTTCAAAAAACGAAGTGATCCTGATACAAAACCAAAAATAGTTGAAATTCGACTTCTCTGGAGTAATGGAGTATACCATTTTAAAAGTGTCTAACTATTTGTACGAATTCTACAAATATTGAGATATCAACATTTTGCAATGATATTTTATTGAAAAAATCATATTGGTTACGACGAGTCTATATTTATTTTCTTCTGTATTTCTGTTGTTGTTTTGAGTTTATAATCATTATTGTTATTGAATATTGTTATTGATTAGAACCTCATGGATGACTACCACTATCTTTTCAATATATGGAAATGTGCTAACCTGTCTAAATATCAGAAAAATGAATGAACAATAAAATTAATCGATCAATAAATCGATCATTCAGGCAATCAATCAATCAAGACAAATATTAATAAATGAATATAGTTATACATTAATAAATAGAAAAATAAATAAATAAATTGAAAGATAAATAAATAAATACTTCTTACTGTAGGATATTGCATTTTGAGTCTGAATTATCTTTAAAGGTCATCGGTATGGGATCTTGAATTTGGTTCAAATGAACATATTGGAAGCATATGCGATCCTACAATATTCAGTGATCGTTGTCGCGTTTGAATTCGGGTCCGAGGTTATGAAATTGTAAATAATAAACTCTTTATGTTGTATAGCTCCCTCTCAAGGTCAAGCTATTAATTAAGCTATAAAACTAGGCGTTGTGGCGTGCGCCTGTAATCCAGCTAAAAAGTGGAAGTTACAAACTGATTCAGCCGAGGACGCAGGTTCGAAACTGAGTCACGTCTTTCGGATGGTGACGTTTAAAGGTCGGTCCCAGACGTAAATAATCATATCTGATTGATACACGTCTGTAAAAACCCAATACACACACACACACACACACACATATAAAACAATGTTTCTTGACTTAAATCGACCGATTAGCTATTCCCGTTTGGAAATTATATATCACAACTACATGTTCTGAGATTTTCATGCTCACATGCTACTATTGTTCGGCCCTAGGCGCTATTTGACATGTATTAAAATTTACCTGGAGCACCGGTAAATTGTTATATTCAATTTTTCTCAAAAGCAGAGGTGCTTTAGGGGCTAAATTTTATAGTGCTTATAATACATCCACAGGGGTATCCAAATATATCAAAATTGTAAAGAATCACTATCCACCCATTTTCAAAATTCCCCAAAACTTTGTCATACCTTTAAGCTTTGAACATTGGTCCTGGGATCTTCATTGGCGGTTTCAATAGCGATGGTATTGAAGCCTTCTGCTTGCATCATAGTGGCTAGTTCCACCATTTCCTGTAGACAAAAAACAAAGAAACTTTTTTTTCAAATTGGTACAAAAGCTATTGTTGGTATCATTGTTATCGATGATCATAAACTTTCTTCCTTCTTCTTCGTTTTTATCATTATTATTATTATTTTGATTTTGTATCATCATAATTGTGATGGCGATTATTAATATCATTAATATTGTCATTACTACAACTACATGTACTACTCTAAATTGCATTGTGTAATCGGAAACTATAAAAGTCTGAACTTTGTCATTTTTTCACCGATAAGATTTTATCCAAGTGCATACATGAATATCATTTCAAAAGCGTAATACAATTTTGTAATCAAAAGAAGACAATGTATCGAAATTAAAGAAAGTAAAGTTGCTCGACCTCATAGGAAATATTCAATACATATCCACAGAGGCGGCCCTCCCGGGGGCAGGGGGCACTGTGCCCCCACTTTTTCAAGCACCCGAAAAGTGCCCCTTTTTTACATAGGAAAAGTGTCCCTTTAACTTTATAAGAAGTGCCCCTTTTTACATAGGCGGCGCTCCCGGGGGCAGGGGGCACTGTGCCCCCACTTTTTCAAGCACCCGAAAAGTGCCCCTTTAACTCTGATAAGTACCCCTTTTATTTGGACACGTGCCCCTTTTTCTCCGACAAGTTCCCTTTTTCCTTTGCAATAAGTGTCCATTTGCCATTCTCATAAGTGCCCTTTTTAATCTCCAGTAAGTGCCCCGTTTCAGGTACGAGAAGTGCCTCTTTTAACTTTTGATTAGTGCCCCCTTTACCTCTGATAATTGCCCTATTCAAATATGAGAGTGCCTCTTTTACTTTGACAAGTCCCCCGTTTCCTTTGTAATAAGTGCCCGTTCCCCTTGTAATAACTTTCCCCCATTTTAACTCGGATAAGCGCACCTTATATTTTCACATGTGCCCCCTTTCCTTTCTAAGAAGTGCCCCTTTTCGCAATGATAAGTGCCCCGTTAAAAAAGAGCCCTTCCCCTTCTCATAAGTGCCCCTTCTCTGGTAAATGACTTTTTAAGGTACGAGAAGTAACTCCTTTTCATTTCAGATAAGTGCCCCCTTAACCTCCGATAAATGCCCCTTCAAAATCTGATCGGTGCCTATTTTCTTTTAACTAATCACATTTTCCTTTATTACAAGTGCCCCTTTTTCATTCACATAAGAGCCCCTTTTCATATCTGGTCATTGCCCCTTTTCAGGTGCGATAAGTGCCTCTTTTCACACCTGATAATATCCCTTTTAGCAATGATACGTGCCCCTTTTCCTTTCTAATAAGGGACCTATCCGGGACCTATCCCCTTTTCATAATTGCCCCTTTTCACCTCCTATAAATGCCCCTATCGAAATCTGATGGGGCCCTTTTTCCGTCGAAAAATGCCCATTTCCTATTTCCATGACTGACTTTATTCATTCCTGGTGAGTGCCTCTTTTTGAGGGTGTAAGACGTGCCCCACTTTCACCTCTGATAATTACTCTTTGTACTTTGACACATGCTCCTTTTCTTTTCTGATAAGTGTCCCCTTTTCCTCTCATCAATAAACGCGCCCCAAATTTCAAGCGATAGAGAGCAATTTCTCCCAAAGCTCTATAGATGCGTGCCTTTTCAGTCTTCCGTTATGAGAATGTGTTTATAATCCCATCAGGATTGGGTTTTTTCCCAATTGAATTTTACTTCCGTTATGTTAAATGAATTGATTAATGATGATATATTGGCAGCATACCGTATCCAAGCTACTAGCACGCACCATCGCGTACCCAGTGTTTGCAGGCTCATACCCAACTGCAAAACCTGATGCTTAAGCAATATCTTGTATGGTGTATAAAGTGAGACAAATGTTAAAATCATTCCTGGTGATGTAATCAAAGTGTAGGGGTGTATACCAATGTCTAAAAGATTGTATATTTTCGCTTTGAGATTTCCCTTTGTAGGGGCCCTTTTTTCTCCAGAAAGTGCCCTTTTTTTCTTGGTGCCCCCACTTTGGAAGCCGCTCGACCGCCCCTGCATATCCACTATCTGTTTATAAAACTAATCGAATTTTACTTCCATTATGTTAAATGATTGATTAATGTTGAGATATTGGCAGCATACCGTATCCAAGCAACTCTGCACGCACCAGCGCGTACCCAGTGTTTGCAGGCTCGAGAAGTCGAAATTACACTTAATTACATGTAATATACAAAATATCAACTGAATAGGAGTACAATAGACATCCTTTGGACCGTACGGGAGTCACATTTTCCCTCGTGGTCATGTGTTCCCATAGGGGCGGATCTGGGGGTGGGGGGGGGGGGTAGGGGGTCTAACCCACCTTGGGCTGACCAGCAACAACCAACAATTTTTTTTGTAGTGCTTTCTACCTCCCCCCTCCCCCCACTGAGAGAAAATATTGAAAACAAATCATGCATCCGCCACTGGATCAACCCATCCCCCCCCCCCCCTTAGCAAAAAGCTAGATCCGCCCTTGTAGATCCCTCAGCGCTGCGCGCTTCGTGAAGATATTATAACCCATTAGGAAAATATAACCCCCTTCGGCGGTCCAAAGAAATGGTATATTACACACCATATATTCCATATAGTCCATATATTGTATGATATCAATACATGTTCTAACGGTTGTATTAATATTTATGGAACTCATTGCCTCTGTAGCCAAACACTACCCGCATCTCAGATACACCTTTGACGGGAATAACAATGAACTAGTAATACTTAAGGTCTAGTAAGGATTATTATTTCATTATTTTTAGTTCAATCATTGTCACCTTATCCAATTAATTATAACAAAATCGCAGGAGTTGCCATATGGTGTTGATAACAATGCAACTTGCACGGCTTACACAATGATAATAAATTTAATTAGTTTATCTCTACAATTAATTTTAAAACATCGTTTGTATTGCCGAACCCTGTTGAAAACAATGCAACTTGCACGGTTTACACAATGATAATGAAATGAGTTCTTTCATCTTTACAGAAAGCTTTCAAAGGCTATGACTATACAAAATATTAATCATGTAAAAAGACTTCATCAACTCAAGAGGATCATTGTGTTTTTTTTTATCAATTAATTTGGTCGACGAAAGAAGATTCTATAGCATACAGTAGCTTCTACGGTATTCATTAGAATAGTCACGTGACATACACTCCTGAAGAGATTGACGTTCTGGTAGATAATAGCGGCTCTCTTCCACTTCATCTTCCTCAGCAGGGCTATTCTAGCCGGGTTAAACACCGAGTTGGCCGGGTAAATCTGAACGGTGTACGGGTATGTTTCCACATGTTGCTCGTTCGACTGAAATTGGGCGATTCCCACCTGGAGGGCGACAGAGAGAGAGAGAGAGAGAGAGAGACAGACAGAGAGAGAGACAGAGAGAGAAAGAGAGAGAGAGAGAGAAAGAGAGAAAGAGGGAGAAAGAGAGAGAATAAGAGAGAAAGGGAGAGAGAGAGAGAGAGAGTGGATGGGGGAGGGGGCGAAGAGACAAACAGAAAAAGAAAGAAAGCAAATATAATGGTAAAAGTTTGAGAAAGAGACAATTGAAATGAGACATAATTATTAAGGACAGAGAGAGAGAGAGAGAGAGATAGAGAGAGAGAAAACAAAATAAAGAGAGAGAGAGAGAGAGAGAGAGAGAGACAGAGGAGTGGGGGACAAAATTTAGTAAAATTCTTATCAAACTGAATTCTACCAAGCCGGTCTCTTTAAAAGTAATCGATAAATAGAAAATTACCTGCATTTCTACAATTGACAATTTGACAATTTGTATGACATTTTTCCATATACAGCTTCATACCAGGGTAAAATTGAACTTTAGCTTATAATGCATAGTTTTGCACAAAAATATTAAAACGTTATGATTCACGTCCACTGCGTTTGCGCTAATGTGGTGACGTGTCCCTCTTGAGACCCATCTTTGATACATTAAGCACCCCCTTAAAGTGTGTCCTAGTTAAGTTCTCTTGTCCTCCCTTTCATAATATTATTTTAGACCCAAATAGTATTTTTTTTTAAAAATAATGTGATATACTTTGATTATTGCTTGATTGCTACCATTGCCTTTTTCGGTACAGAACCCTAGATCCGCTCTTGAAACCTAGCAACCCTTTACCCGAACCATTGGACCTCCCCACCCCCAAATATTCGCCCCAAACAATCAATCGCGGCTCACACACCTGTACCACATGGTACTGACCAGCCACGCGGTTCAAGACCTCACCGACTCGGGAGTAGGTCGGCCCCCACGCCATGACTACTTGAGGTGAGTTGTAGACCATGTCGTAGAAAAGCTGAAGTGCTGGACCCGGGAGTGCCTGTATAAGGAGAAGGCACAAAATTACAATTTCTGGTTATAATTACTAATATGCCATGTAATAATGAATAATTAATAATAATAATTTACCCATGGTAGCCACATCAGTCTAAATACTGCGGGCCCTGCAATTATTATTACCCCCCCCCCCCCAAAAAAAAAAAAAAAATCGCATGGGACGCATTTACACCTGAGTGGAGAGAGGCAAATGTGGATTAATGTCTTGCCAAAGGACGTTAGTATCGACCTGGCATTCGAACCCTCAACCACTGGCTTGAGAGTCAAGTCAATGAACCACTCTGCCACGACACCTCCACATTATTACATTTTCTTACATTATCATTACTTGAATATCAAAATACCGGTGTAAACTAGCTACCTCCTATCACGGGATTAATAAAAGAACAACTTTGAAAAGCGTTTTTATAATTAATATTATAATTATAATTATTTAAAAGATCTTCCCCGGAATGGTGCAGAACTCATTCATTTTTAGCCTCCCCCCCCCCCCCCCGATAACCAATCTCTGGATGCGTCATTATATTGATGTAGATTTTAAAAGAATTGCGCTATGAAAGGACAATGTCCAAAGCATGTTCAAATCCACGAGCAAGAAACGATGTATCCTGTATACACTCTGAAAGTAATGCTCTCATATAATAATAATAATAAAGATAGATTTATTGAGCGCATAATAAACCGAAGTTTCTCTATGCGCTTTACAAAGTAAAAAACAATCAAGTACAAGTATATTCAAATAGTTACAAATTAAGAACGAAATATAAAGACCTTAAGCTAAAGACATGTAGAGAATTCATAAACCAAAAGCCAGGAATCATATGATATCTGTTGAGTATGAGCAATATTCTTTTGCTTTAATTAGGAGAGCCACGTCATTTTCGCAATTAATTCATGGTTATAGAAGAAACTCCATGCGGTTTACAGACTCGAGAAATTGATGTCCAATTTGACCTCCAATATCAAAACAACCACCTTCGCAATTTGCAGGTGGTTCACGTCGATCGTCCCCCCCCCCCTCCTTCGTTTAATGCCGAAAATTAGGGAAGAAATGCAGTGAGAGGGAAAGGATGAGGGAGAGAGGAAACATGAAAAGAAGATGCCACGACACCCCTCATACCCTCCCCAGTAACCAATGGCCAGTTACTTCCTATTTCATGGCTCGATTTTAAAAAGGGCGCCCCCTCCCCAATGCAGGGGCCCCCTCAATGTTTTGACCCAAACTACGCCACTGACCATTATCACTAGCATGGACATCAAGGGGTTTATATCACTTCGTGCAACTGTTACGACCGTACCTGCTTACAACTCGAGGCGCGATCAATAGATACTCGTGTTTTCATAGCCTTGAACACGCATCGGCGGAATTATAATTGGATCGAGAACAAAATTTAGATTGTGAATCAACTTACGAAGATGTCCTCACGAATTTCCGTCTTTTTTTTCCCCGATGTATATTTTGGTCATATCTTGACGTAAGGGGAAATTTCTGTTCGCTTTGCTAAACATTACTCTGCTCTTGCATGCAAAGAGAGTGTCGAATCTAGTACAGTGTCTTGAATTTCGATGTCCCTTTTCATGAAGCTATACTTGTGCCGAACAACACTGTATGTAGGCTCTGTATTGAATTGCATTATCACCAAATCTCGCAAGTCGCCAGACAACTTCTAAGGGAAAAAATACCACATTGCAGTCGGTATCGTGTACCGGAAGTTTTAAAAGAGCGGATATTATTAATAATGATAACTTCTAGAATTTCTGATAGATGGTATTTTATCATGATATTATAACAAAGCAAAATTGATCTCATATATTCAATCTTTGAAAAGGATGTTAAACATTATGGGTAAACATAAAGACTTGCGAGCTGTTTTGCTATATGATGATTCATAAGGCAGACTGCCATGGCATGTCCTTGAGATGCTATAATATTTCTAATACAAAATTGATGATTTGGCTTTGTAATACTTGTATGTGTTTATAACCAAAACAAAATCTGATTATCTAGTATCTACAGTGCTTTTCATTCTGTAGTGATTTTGTCAGCAAGAATGTGGTAAAATAATAAGAATTTAGATGCTTTCTATTTCTCATAGCAAACATAATTATATGCATATAATTTAATTTTTCAATCATAGTCTTGCACTGACTGGAAGAATAGAGGGGAGGCGGAGTTGGGGTAGAAGGAGGATTCTGTGGATGAATAGCTTAAGGAGTGGGATTTCTGAAAGTGGAATTGATCTCGGGGAGAATGAATTACTTCATAGAGTATGGGAGAGAGAGTTGTGGCATTCCATGGTCGCCAACATCTCAGGACATGGCACGTAAAGAAGAAGAAGTATTAAGTATGTAACCTCAGTTTTGTTGAGAATGCTTTTAGAAGACACGCGTACTGTCTTTCGATTTTCAGTGAAATGATTCGGCAGTACCTAAAAGAGCAGTGGTGTAGATGCAGGGGGCACATGCTACCCCTCCCTATCGTTGAATGTGGAGAAAAGAACGAAAAAGAGACAATAGAGGAAGGGGGTAACGGGGACTGATGGTGCCCTTGTTCATTCGCACTTCATCTACCTATTGAAACCGAAACGACACCCCCCCCCCCCCATGTCATCTATGATGCCAATCCCTTCTCATTCATTGGCTCGACCCATCCTACCCCCAACAACCGTTGAACGGTAAGCTACCTACCTGAGTCCAGTTCCAGATGAGCCGAAGCTCGTAGTCCGGCAGCAGGTTCGGGTCATCATTGACGTGCTCGACGGCCATGAGCACGGTACACACCAACTGGTCAAAGAACTCGTCACTGAAGGGTAAGAACCCGGCGATGTACAGGGGTATCTTGCTCGAGGAGTTCGATGTCGACGATGACGATGACCAGCGTGCCGAGTTCGGCCAGAGGTCTTTGGTCGTTGTGCAGTTGGACCATCTCTCCAGCGTGGTCCCAGAGGTTGATGGTGGTAGAACCATTGCAACGAGCATGATGATGATGCCAACATGATAGAGATGGAGTTCTTGAATCCGCATTGTGAATTGGTCTCCGTTCTCTGTTTGAGTTCTTACTCAGTGTGGATCAATTTTGTGTCGTTGTTGTCTGCTAATCGAAGTCTAGACATACAGACAAACAGGGACACAATCGCAAAGACATTTTTGAAAAATCAAGCTAGGGCAAATCCAATAGCTTTGTGCGTTACATTTTGAAAAATAAACGTGCGAAAATTACATTGACGTATTATTTTGTCTGACCACGATTTCTAATGGCAATACAAAAGGTTAATGGAATCGCCCTTGAGTAGATTTCTGGAACGTATTTGCTTTTGTATTCAGGAGTCATTAAATAAGCGTAAGATTTTACTCAAAATTACTTTCTTTTCATTAATGTTGTATCTTTGAAACCCCACTGATTGCTCTCAATATTCATCGTCACCACACACCCAAGAATGAATGGAAGAACCACATGAGAGGATATTCATTGCAAATAATAAATCCACGATTTGTCGTTATCAAATAGGAACCTCTACAAAACTTTATTATTAAGTATCCGAAATAGGTTGAGTGCATCTCAAACTCGATATCGACTAAGTGACTTAAATCATTGATGCTTCATTCATCAGGGTCGGTAACTCAATGCCAATGTAAATGCATGGCTGTATATTCGATTAGGATAACAGGGTTAAAGAGTTGGTTCGTTCTGGTAAGATGAAAAAGAATTTGCTAGATTTCTCAGTCTATGTAAAGCAGTTTGGTATAAATGTCGAGGTAGAATTGCACTCTGAAAAGGAATGCTCGTAATGTTTCATGTCACATACAGTCAGTGGCGGATCCAGGGGGGGGGGGGGTTGGGGGGGTTGCAACCCCCCCCCCTTGGGCGGCCCCCCCCCCAAAAAAAAAGGGAAAAAAAAAAAAAAAAAGAAAGAAAAAAAGAAAGAAAAAAGAACGCACGCTGGAGAGAAACCCTTTCAAGTGCAAATATTGTGAGAAGATATTCAACTCATCAGGTAACTTAACCAAACACATGATAACTCTGGATATAACTGTGTATTTAACTGTTACTTGATTTAAAAAGACGTTATCATGCACTGCTTTTTATGGTCTCCATTGTGTTAATAGATGCCAGGAAAACATCACTTACGGGGTTCAAATAAACACCCCCAAAAAAATCGGCTCGCCGCTTCGCGGCTCGTGGACGATGCTCCGCATCGTCATTATTTTGGTCAACCCCCCCCCTTAGCAAAAAGCTAGATCCGCCCCTGACAGTCCTATATACTTTTATTTCACCATAGAGTACATGCAACTTTAAAGTTATAGATTGAGTCGATTTCTTTTTACTTTGATCATTCCTTTACCTCACGGTGTACATCAATTCTCATGAACTACACAACCAATTTTTCTCAATCGCTTCCAAAAAAAATTATTTCACAATTTAATCGCATGAACAGTATTTATCTTTTAAAAAGAGGATATCATATAAGGAAAGCTGTCTTGCAAGCGAAGCCAGATATCACTTACAAAGTGCGAGCGCTTCTCTTCCTGAAAAGGAAGGAAAGGTGATCCCGAAATGGCTTTAGAGATGTCTTTAATTAAACCATTGCTGTTCAGAATAAAACTAGGTTACAGGTTGGGTATAGGTGTGTGTAATTGTCAAGAAGAAATGTCAACCTAGTTTTAGGGCTTTGTAGCTTTCGATAAGGGATTTTCTGCAAGCAAATACAGGCACGGATGGAACCCAGCCAGAACATGAAAAAGTAATAAAACTGCATGTCATTGATTTTTTGTTTATAAATACACTGTCGCTCATAAAGGTGGAATATTTTAGTTTTACCCCAATTTATGGAATTATTTTAAAAATAATTTAAAAATAATAGATCTAGATAATATAGTATACATTCTCAGATTTTATTGAATAATAATTAGCCAATGTGTGTTTTGCGGGACTGCTAAAGCATGTGTATGCTATTATGCTTATTAACGAGGGGACCTACGCCCTCAAGTCATAAATGACAGTAATGAGGATTATTGCCCCACAAAAGGGCACTAATATAGCACATCGACACGGTTTTGATCCTGGGGCCTCACAGTTACGAGGCCATTGTTTTGTCACTGATCCATGACTGTACGCAGCGGGGGCTAGGGTAGGGGACAGTTTCCATAAATAAAATTTTCAATAATTTATTGCATTTTACCCCGGTCCCCAACATAACAAAATCCTCTGGACGGCCATGCATTATGGCTCAAGGCATGGGCACACAGAAGATTTTTTATGTTGGGAACCGGGGTAAAATGCCAAAAATTATTGAAAATTTATTGCATTTTCTGGGTTTTTTTTAATTCATGGAAACTGCCCCCTACCCTAGCCCCCGCTGCGTACAGTCATGGTTTAGTGACAAAGCAATGGCCTCGTAACTGTGAGGCCCCAGGATCAAAACCGTGTCGATGTGTTATATATTAGTGCCCTTTTGTGGGGCATTAATCCTCATTACTATCATTTATGACTTAAGGGCATAGGTCCCCTAGTTGATAAGCATAGTAGCATACACATACTTCAGCAGTCACGCAAAACACACATTGGCAATTATTATTCAATAAAATTTGAGAAAGTATACTATTATCTAGATCTATTATTTTTAAATTATTTTTTAAATAATTCCATAAATTGGGATTAAAAAAAATATTCCACCTTTATGAGCGACAGTGTATTATTCGAATAATATCAATTGATATTGCAGCATTTTATATAAAAAGTCAACGACTGTTTACTGCATGTAAAAACAATAAGAGCGTTAGTTCTTTTAATTCAAATGGATTTCAAAAACACCTCGTCATCATATTTTGTTTGAGGAAAAAAAAAACTTTAAGAAAAGAATATAACCAAAGAGATCAATATTTCAATAATTAAATTCGCGCACAAGATTAAAAATTGTTGTGCGTTCTTACTGTATTTCAAGACATTGCAAATAGCAAGGTAGAACCACTCTCATGCATGAGCTATACGATCAGAACAAGTATAGACAAAAGACTATCAGCAAAATTGTTTGAGGAAAGAGTGACAGGTACGACAGTAAAAAAACACATTTTGTCATTTCCTCATTCATAATTCATATCCCTTTTGTGTTCTCGGTCGTATTTGTGTTAACTGTTGTCGTTTTTGTTTTATTCCAAGGAGGAAAATCAATAATTTCCACTAACGCTTTTAACACGGTACAAACATTATTTTATAAAGCGTTTGATAATGAAGATTGATAATTAATGGTGACCTTTCAGTCTGTAACGCAAATAATAACGAATGGGGCCTTCTATAATTATCCAGACTGTGAACGTGACAATACCAAGTACAATTTGATTATATGAATTGTGTCATTATATTGGGACAAGTATTGGAGCCGTCTTCGGTTGTTTCCATATTCAATTCAGTAATGATTCGATTATTAGACTGGGTGCATCCATACACGATCTTTATCCTCGATCTAATCTATACAGAACTGATTTCATAGTCTTTATAGTATTTCATTATTTCTTTCAAACCCGTCGCAGGGATTAAGGTCATGATAAACAAAAGAAAAATTAGATCTCAGTCTATTTTCCTTTAGCAAACTCGACTTTAAAATGGTTTAAAACCCAGTGTTGAGTTTAGATCGTGGAATACAGACCTTTGCGTTCCCTAATATTGACTAGTTAACAAGAGTTCGACTGGAAAGCAATAATCCCAACGATTTGACGATTCAGAAAGAATGTTTTTTATATTCATATGGAAAAATCAAATTTCGAAGATTCATACGTCTCTTCATTTTCGTACATGTTATGTACTAATTTCATGAATATTGCCCTATTAGACCTCCCCCTTATTGTTACTTGAATCCCAAATCTTCACATTAAATAAATTAAAACATTATATAAACATGTTTGAAAAATAAGCTAAAAGTACATGTCACAACAGACTTCAAGTTCACAGTACTATATGTTATCCTATTAAAATGTTATGATCATGTTTGCAACATTTTATTTCAGTTTTGACAAAGAATTTATCAGCGGCTACCTCTCTAGTGATATGCTCGTCAATGGTTGCACAATATGGCGTTTATTGATTGCTTTGTGGAATGGCGTCAAATCAAATATCCATTAGTGCGAGTTTGATCTTCAATTGTATTGACTAAAAAAGTCAGCTTTATTGAGTAGTTAAAGACTATAAAGTTTACCTTTTCACTTTTCATGAATTTTTAGTACTTTTGTCGATATTGCATTTTGTGTGTGTGTGTGTGAGAGAGGGAGAGAGAGAGAGAGAGATAGGGAGAGGTGGGGGGGGGGTGGTATTATCTAAATAATGTATTTTACCGTATCTATTGATCAGACAGCAAAGAATAGTATTGATAATGGTGATAAAACAGACACAAGTATATCCATGGAAAACATTAGTATAATGTTTTTAAAGATGCACACATACAGAAATATTTGTTCCCAGTCAGGCATCAAAGTACAAAAAAAGCATATGGAATAAGATTCGCTCTTTAGCTATAGGCGAAGTAAAAGACCTTGCTAAAGTTGAATGTTCTCATGCAGTAAACCTAAAAGTAGATCGACTTGTTGATGTAGGCAAGTTACAATCAATCAAACTTTCATGCCATACACGAACATACGAAATGCACGCGTTTAATAACAAATATACCTCTGGGGAAGGGGGGGGGGTGTGTCACAAAGATCCTACGTTGAACTTATCTCTAAGTTAGACTTAACAATTATGGAAAGCCGTTAGCATTTTTAAAGATAAAAGTTAAGGCATAAAATCTTGATTCAAATCATTCATATTCAAGGAGATTTCATGTTTTTGTTGTGGAATTTATGAAAAGTCTACAATAATTGAATTTTTGCTTTTTAATATATTTTATTTTAGGGCTACAAATGGCTCTCCATAATGTTTAAGTCCAACTTAGAGTTTTGTTCGACTTAAGATCTTTGTGAAACAACCCCATGCTCTGCAACATAACACTGTGAATATCGCCGTTCTACAATCACCCAACATGCCCAAAAGGCCGATTGATGTAAACTATTTACATACAATTTTCAGTACAATTTTTATGACATAAAGGGCATCGCATTATAACCATGACATCATTTTTTCCAATATCATTGATTACAACGCTCGCTATTTTTATTGATTTTTAATGTTTTTCACCTAATTAACAATAATTATAATGGATATGTGTATAATAAATATTGCGGTACCAGTAGAAAAACTACCAAAAAACGAAACAAAAAATCACTATCCCATTGTTCCAAAGGGATTTACATAACATATAATAATAATAATAATAATGGTGGCTTCTTATATAGCGCACATGTCCGTCACGTTGTGACGCTCCTGGCGCTGCGAGATATCACGAATACAATCTAATCAAAGAAAAAAGTGTATTCTAAATATGATATAATGATTAAAATAGTATAATACACAGCCCTGTTAATACATATGGGTCTTATTAGACAAAGGTAGCCACATCAGCAGTTATACTGTTTTTCATGAACGCCCTGTAATTATCATAACCCCAGCAATTGGAGAGTGGTAAAATATGGATTGATGTTATGCTGAGATTCGAACCCTCAATCCGGATCCTTAGATTGAAAGTCAAGTTAATGAACCACCATCCCTGCTGGAAAGAACACACTCATTCACACTCATTCACAGTGTGAATCACACTGTGTTTCACACTGTAAATCACAGTGTGCTCCACAATGTTCAATTGGGGCGATTTCACATTGTGGTTCACAGTGTGGATAACCGGAAAAGGAAAAAACACACTCATTCACACTCATTTACAGTGTGAATCACACTGTTTTTCACACTGTGAATCACAGTGTGCTCCACAATGTTAAATTGGGGCGTTTTCACATTGTGCTCGATTCGTTTCACACTGTGGTTCACAGTGTGGATAACCGGAAAAAGGAAAGAACACACTCATTCATACTCATTCACAGTGTGAATCACACTGTGTTTCACACTGTGTTCACTGTGTTCACAGGGTGAATGAGTGTGAATGAGTGTGTTCTTTCCAGCAGGGATATCACAACACCTCCACATAACTATAGAAAGAAGCAATAAAACATAAAACAAGCTATAAACAGACTACTTCCTCGAGTGTATGCCTGCACATATTATTTCAAATATTATATTATGAACCGCTCTTAGAGCGGTTCATAATATATATTGGCAATGATTGATTGATTGATTGATTTTTATTTGCCAAGCCTCCAACATACAACAATATACAATAATAACAGATCAAAAATAAGTCAGCTTGAACAGGATAACCCACGAAAGCTCGAGAGCTTATTTCCAGTGGGGTCCCTACTATAACAGATTGTCAATATAAAACGTATTTTGATCAAAAGATATGACATACATGTGTTGTCATAAATAAATACTAAATATAATTCTTTATATGAAAGATGCTTTGTTAAGATTTAAATTAGTTACAGTTAACCTATGTACATTCTGTAATAACAGTGAAGAAATCATTATTATACATATACTGTATTTTGTTTAAAACGAAAAATGGTAAAAACTTGAGCATTGGCTGTCCCGTAATAACATATTAAGTTTAAAAATCAATATAAATTGTTTGGGTTTCAGGGGAATAACAACAGTGCTCTCAACTGTATTATGATTATAGTAAGGAAAGAAATTTGTGCAGCCAATGCAAACAGTGTTTGCCAGTTTTTGAACACATAATATCAGCGATAAATTGTTATTATGATATGGAAAAGTATATGTAAAACAAATCTGAAAGAAAAGAAATTCATGAAAAAGTGGTTACCTTTTACAAAGTGCTTCTGATTGTTTATTTCTTCTAAAAAAATTTGCCAAGTGAATCTGTGATATTTTAAAAACGAACTGCAATTTGTAACTGATATCTATTAATTTATGTTCTTATCATATTTTGTATGGCCAAAAATATCATTTTGAAATTCTGCATGTTTATATCTCTTCTTGAACACATTTATGTGAATGATATTAATTAACAAAGGAACCATGTGGAAGGGGGGGGGGATATTAATTAAAAGTGACTCAACTCTTATTTCAAATCCTATACACTATGTACACGGATAAATAAATGAAGGAAAATATTGTAAAAGAATTGAAATACAATACTCAAACAAATTATTTGCAAATTATTATTATATTAATGCAAGATGATAAACTCACCGGCCTGAACACAACGTGCCTCTTACATCTCTTTGAAGGAGTAAAATCACTGAACTATATTTTGCTCAACTGTCCAATTTAAAGCAATAATCCCAATGCTTGCCCTCACGGTATGCAATGATACACTTTCAACTCCAAAGACGAAGTCCCATCAGCACACCGCAACTAGATGAGGGTAATATTGATTCTCATCGCCTAACTCCAACGCAAAATGAACCTCGATAAAAAAATATACCGTCGCGGCGCCTCGTTGCAAAACAGGCTTGCGCACGCGCATCTGACAAAGCTTGTGTTTGTGCATTGATAGGAATTATTTAATCAGTAATGTTGTAGGGGTATGTTTCTAAAAAATAACCACATCTCAAAACCTAACCCTTAACCTACCTGATCTTTCCATAACAATGTGCATACCCCCCCCCCTATGCAGCCAATTACCTAAGCCAGCTTTGTTCTTCCCCATTTGCTCAGACTCCCCCCCCCCCCGCCCCCCCCCCCCCCGCCCCCCCCCCGCCCCCACCCACATACATAGTCCGTAATTAGGTCACACCTATTAAAAAAGGAGTCTACCAAAGGATTCATTTGATATACCGCTTTATTTGTTCAATATTTCAAAATCTTATATCTTTGATTGAATGACGATTGAGGCTTCCCCTCCTCGATCCTCCTCCAATCCTTCACGGATTTGATGCCCCCGCCCTCCCGTTATGTTTGTGTGTATGTGTGGGGGGGGGGGCTGCATGCTGGGAGACTCAATTTCATTTTCTTGGATAGAAAAAACCAAACATTTATTTACTTGATTTCCACTCCCTTTTATTAATCGTTTTATTGTATGCCACAAATATATGAAAATTACCCCCCCCCCCCCCCCCACTCAGGGGTCGGAATGACCGCATGCGTGTTGCCAAAATGTCCGGTAAAGGGGTACTTTTCGTGCGACAAAGTCCGGCCCGAGAATTGTAAAAAAAAAGGGGGTGTATTTTACTTTTCATCCGGAGATTTCTTTAAAAAGGGGGTGTTTTTCCTTTTTTTCTCTCATCTTTTTGGACTCCTGAGAAGTTATTCCGAATTTAGGGGGTACATTGAGCATTTTTCCTGATTTAGGGGGGTCTCCAAGGCAGGAAAAGCCCGCGAAAAGCCCGCGAAAGGGGGGTTCGGAAATGTTGGCAGTCCTCAGATAGGGGGTACTTTCAAAAAGAGGAAACGAGCTTATGCGTACCCTAAATAACACTGAGTGGGGGGGGGGGGGGGGGGGGGGGAGACCACAAATCAAGCCAGTGTTACGGTCGCGCGAGTCGAGATCCCATTACCCGACCCGAGCGATCTCGGATCGTCTAAATTCGCAGATCGGTTATTTGGACTTGGAGATTTCAAAACGGCTTTTGAGTTTAACTAATACAATGTTCTTAAATCCTGCATATCTGATTATTTGTTACATCTGCATTCATAGAGGTATGTGCTTTGCATTCAAATGTTCTACAGTAAACCTATCTCAATTTGTACAATATAAATAATTTTTAAACTCCTTACAGGCTAGCTAATTTATAGTCGAACCGTTTGGCAGGGTCAATGCAATGACACTCGAAGCCCGAAAGCGAGGCGGGGCGCCGAGGGCGTGTCACCGCGGGGGAACCGGCGCCAATGTCATTGGCAATGTGATGCGGACAACCGCCGATGAGTAAATCAGTGAAATCTACCTTTCAATCTTGCTGAGATTTGAAGTGGTGTATAACTAGTACTTGTACGGGACTTAGCTATCTGACTTCTGACATTCAGTTATGCATTCTAAGTTATAGACTTTAGTCTTTACTTTATCTGTAAGAATATTCAGGAGTGAATGAAACTGAAGAAGGAGGCAGAGCCAACAACTGACATTGACAAGTACAGAAGAAGAAATGATAGACAAAGGAATTGGATTGAATTAGTGACAGTATCCAGTGTAAGACAAGTCAAATGTTAGACCCTGTTCCCTGCAGAGCAACAATAAAAACAAAATGTTAGATCTATTCTAGATCTACGCTCTTTTGGAAAAAACTGACTGAACATTTGACTCTCATGAGGTAAGACCTGACTATCATCAAGTGTAGGCTAGAAGATAACCTGCATCTAATTGGGACTATTTGCTTGGAACTTGTGCAGGGCAACCAAAGTGTACCAAGTAGGTCTAGCGAATGGGATCTTTAGTTTTAGGAGCATTTTACTTTATGAGCAATTAGACAAAAGTGTAAAGTCAGAGTATCAATTATATTCTTTGTGAATATATATAGAGAGAGAGAAAAAAAAAAGGCGGAGAGAAAAGCTGATAAGAGGAAGATAGAAAGAGGGGTGAAAGAGAGAGAGAGAGAGTGAAGAGAAAGAGAAAGAGACAGACGTAGAAAGTAAAAAGAGGGGGAGGGGAGAGATAACAAAGAAAGAGAGAGAGAGAGAGGGGAGTGGTGAATGTAGAGACGGAGAAAGAAACAAATAGGTAGAGATGACATAGAGTAATTAGATAAAGCATGAAAGAGGATGGATAAAGAAAACGCCTCCAGTATTTGAACTGATTTTTCCAATAATAATATAATAATAATAATAATAATAATAATAATAATAGTAATATTCATAACTCTTTTCCCCAGGAGCAAGTGAACAGGTGCAATCAGTTCATGATGTGAAACAGACTCTTCCGCTACCATCACAAGATCATGGATTTCCAAAGAGTTCTGAGAGAGAGAAACAGATTAATGAAACCACGCGAGACCCGCCAGAGCGGCCCTTGCAGCTGGTCAGACCAGACGCTACTCACAAAAAGCTGGAGTTAGTTCAAGAAAATATTCAGGTAAATGACCTCTTCTTTCTAGATGAAAGCCATCTTTTATAACTCTCACTGTTGATCTTAATTAACTACCAGTAATTTTTATCTGGACATTCATGAAATATTTTTTGGGAGAATTATGTTTTTGACTTGCTCTAAAGACTTATTGGAGGAGTGTCTGTCCAACTTAGTGTATGCTTTCAAAATCATCCGTCATAATTTATGAAAATTACACAGTTCTTTAGAACAGCTGAATAATAATAATAATAATATTTAATTTTTATATAGCGCTTAATACAAATGTCTCTAAGCGCTTTACAAATATACTATGAATGAAGTGTTTAGATATGGGCAGAGAAGAATCATGCATAAATGTTATGGCCAATTGTTGTGACCCCTTTCTATAATGATGTATAATAAAAGGATCACCTCATCATTCACTCAAACACAATTTACAGTCACTTATAAACATCTACATATCATGAACAGCTGAATATTTCAATCGTAGAAATCAGTTATGCTTCAAGGAGTACATTGACACAATTGTTACAAGATATTTAAATCATCCTCTTTTTAAAATATTTTAGGCATTTTTTCAAGGATTTTGTCATAAAAACTTTGGTAAAAGAAATCATGATAGTTACTTATTGTGTAAATACATGTCTGTATTTGGAAGGATGCCATCAAAGTGCTCTTATCACCCTGGCTTTAACCCTTTCTACCACAATATCATACTTTAAAATGCTGTAACTCAAGCAATCGATGTGCAACACAATGGTATCAATATTGTTAGTCTACATGTATCTATCTATCTATCAGGCTATAGTTCATCCAGATGTTGGACAAAGCCCTCCTCATAACATTTCCATTCTCTTCTGTCTCTAGCTGTCCTAGTCTAAGCGGCCGTTCCCATGTATGATGTTAGGTCATCTCTCCATCTTCTCTTCTGCCTTCCTCTTCTTCTCTTTCCCATCCTTGGTTGCCATTCTGTTAAACGATTTGTCCATATATTGTCCTGAAGTCTTGCTACATACCCAGCCCATCTCCACTTTGATTCTCTGAATTTCTCCATTATGTCTTTAACCTTTGTTTTCTGGCGTATGACTTTATGATTGATTTTGTCTCGCAGAGATTAAATGCAACATCTTTCTCTCCATAGCTCGTTGAGTCTAACGTTTAATAATTTTGCTGAGAATTATGCTGGAGCTAAGTAATACTCCTATATTCCTGTCCTTTTTCCCCAAAAACCTGCAGTACCTTCTGAAGATGGACCAAGCAGTGGCAGTGGTAGCCGTAGTGGGCAAGTATCACTCGGGCAAGTCCTTTCTGCTTAACCAGCTGATGGGCAAACAGACACAACTAGGCTTCAGAGTGGGACCTTATCTCAGACCTGAAACCATGGGCATATGGATGTGGGGAAAGGTACAGAGAAATTGTAACAGTCTCCTTTAGATTGACACAACATGAATGACCTCAATGTTGCGGTGAAGATTCAGTAAAGTGAATTCCTAAGAATATTCAAAAAGCAGTATTTGATTTTGTCTGTGCAACCAAGGTATCATATATGTACCATAAAATATAAATTTGAAAGAGGGTTTTTAATCACCTCAACACCCCTCCCCCTTCCGATATTAGGCTGATGTTTTTTGCATTGTTAATCTTGATCCTAGCAGGGTTCATGATCTTTACAATGCATATACATGTATATGTATATATATAAGTATAGAGCTATGCCTATTTTGAATTTCACAAAGAATAATAAACTTGTCTCCATTCAAAGGTATTAGATACCACATTAACTTTCTTAGTATTCGACTGACTATGGCAATGTAAAGATTGTCAATTTCTTTTCATTTTTTTTCATACCTACAACAATAAACTTCAACAGCCAACTCGGATGACACTATCTTCAGGGCAAGATGTGGCTGTGATATTTCTAGACACAGAAGGTACGTAGATATTCTAAAATGCCATGTCAAAAGAAGGATGATATGAGTAATTTATTATAAATTACGATGACATTCCTTACATATTTTACTTTAAAACAAGGAAATTAGCCAGAAACCAGAAGCTTTTTCTTGATTAGAAACTGCAATATTTATATATGCTGTTGTCTTATGGTTGTAAATTTGTCAGTGTTAAAAAATCTTGTGAGCACCATCAGTTACAAAATATGTAAAGCATCTGTTTGACATTATAATCATTGTAATGAACAGAATAGAAGAAAACATTCATTTTTTTAAAACTTTCTTGTAGGATTTGCTGCTAATAATGTTTCTGAGACCTATGATGCCAAGGTGTTTGCTGTCTCGGCTCTCTTGAGCTCTTACTTGATCTACAACTCCGTGAAGGTCATAGACCAGGCTGATCTTGACTACTTAGAGCTCCTTGCGAGGAGGACCCAGGTAGGAACTATGAGTACAGCATATCTGAGTACAGCATGTACAGCACTATCCACCCTTCTCTCTCTTTCTCTCTCTCTCTCTCTCTCTCTCTCTCTCTCTCACTGCCAGTCCCATCACATTTTTGAGTTTTTACTTGATTACAACTTTGTTTAAGTCATAAAACAGGCTTATCTGATATCTCTTATCAACAATAATTTTTGAGAACATATTCAATATCTACTTGTTTATTTTACTAATTTAAACATCCATTTCTTCTTGAATATCTTCTTTGTTGAGTTTGTCTATGAATATCTCTTTCCTTACCAAGTAGCCCTAAATGCATGTGGTTGTAAATCTTCTTATGCATTCAATAGTTTCCTTCTCTCCATCTTGTTTCCCTCTATTTCTCTTTAGTTGTTTGCGTTGAGGTCTCAGCTATCGAGGGCCAAGTGGGCTCAGGACTTCAACCATGATCTTCTCAGTTTTCCTCCATTACTGTGGGTAAGCTCTGACTTTGGGAAGTTGTTAGAATCAGACATTAAAGATGCAGGAGAGAAGAGAGCCACTTAGCTCTGGAAATATCTAAGCTAGAGAACTCTTCTGATATTATAAAAAATGAGTTCTGGTGTAAAAGATGGAAAAGGATAGGAAAAAGATGGGAGAAAATTGCTTGTACAAGAGTAAATGCAAATGAGTTTCCGTAAAGATCCCCCAAATAAAAAAAAAGCCATCAAATAGGGTTTAAAGACCAAATTTGTGGAAAAATTAGCAGAATTTTTTTCAAAAAGAAGAAATAGGGATAAAAGACATGACTTTCCAACCAGGGTAAAAGATTCCTCATAACTTCAACTTTGTGGACAAGAAGTTGAAAAGATAAAAATTTGGCAACTACTGTTATTTATTTTCTGCATATTTCATTTTTTGTTGGTATACTCCTTCCATATTGATGTACCGTAGGTGGCAGGAGAATAATCAATATTTATTTTTTGGGGGCTACTTTTCAAGCTTGCCTGCATAAAAATAACACTCTAAAATTTGTTTTGCATTGAATTCTATGCACATTTACGGGGGCTGTTTTCTGATTTTTGGGGCTCTTTTGGGCATTTCCGTGGCAAAATTGCCCTGAGCCCCCGTGTATTTTTTTCACTGGTAGGTGGTACAGGACTTTGTACAGTCTCTGGACTCTGATGATACTGCTTCAGACCCCAAGAAATGGTTACATCATATGATGCAGTCCATGGCATGGGAAGGAGAAGATCATCCCATCAGTCTGATGGATGTCTTCCAGAGTGTCGACTGCAGGACGCTGTTCTTTCCCGCTACCACGAAGGAGATTCTTCAAGACCTGTCCAAAGTGAGGAATACTTTCTTCCCCAAGCCTTCCTTCATCTTTCAAAGTGACTCGGTAACATTGCCTCAGATTCTGAAACAAAATCCTGGATTTAGCTCATGCTGCAATCATGATTATAAACCTTTAGGTCAGTCAGGAGTCCCATGACTTTTATAAGCCGATCACCTGTCTTATTATCAAGATATTTATGATTGGATATCAAATTTCATTTTTGTTGTTGTTTATCTAACAGTTTTTATAACAACACTAGAGTGTATTGGGGCAAATGAGTATGGTGAAACCGGTCACTCAAAGATTTTTTCTTTTTTGAGGCACTTCATAATCATTTTGAAGTGCAATTTTTTTATGGCTTCAATATTACACCATATCACAGACACTTATAACACGTAGGGCCGTGTATCTCAGATTTAACATTGTTAAACGATGCCTTTAAGAGAGAGAGATAAATGGGAGCCATCAAATGTTTATAAAAGACAAGGATCATCACAACTTCTTGTAGCACATGCTACAGGATAATAGAAGATGTTAGAGCTCTAGAGCAAATAACTACATACTCCCTGTAAAGGTGTAGATAGAGTTGATACAGACTGTTATATCTGCTACATGTGTAACCAAAATTTACTAGAAATTGGTAACAGAATAATACACTAGAATAATATGTAATGCTTACTAATATTTAAATTATTATAACTAATACAGTTATAATAGTTGAGGGCACAGTCATATTTACTCTTCATTTAGATATATTCATATTAATAATTGGATTTACAATCAGATTTTATTTTATGAGGGCAGGTAGATTATAAATCTACTCATCATATCCTAGATTTATTCTCATTTAAAGCCCCAGCCTGTACTACTTGTAGCTACATGTACTTGCTCCCTTTATATAGAAAACAATGCCTAATCTGTGCCTGTTGGTCCCCCGTGATCCTCTTTTTCTTATGTTAATTGAGAGCTGAGTTGATGAGATAACCACCTGTCATTGACCTTGCTGAGTGGTCTAATCCCTCCTGTCCACACTAGTACAGACAGCCTTTAATGTGCATTTCTGAAGGATTTTAAGATCAAGCCATATGGTAGCAATACAATGACTCATATTCTCTATCTGTATTATTCTATAGGCTAAAGAGAGTGACCTGACCATTGACTACAGACAGGAGAGGGATGAGTTGATCAAGGGTCTTAAAGCTGGTCTGGTGCCAAAAGAGAAAAATGGTGGGTCACCTTCATAGTACTTACATGTATGGGTACTTTGTATTTATAACTTGTCAAAATATGATACTTTTTTTAATGACAGCATAATTTGTTCTTTGATGATGCTTCATATTTAAACTGAAACATCTAAAATAAAAGGTTTCACTCTTGTAATTATTATAAAGGGTGGTTTGCCATCCTATGACTGGATACAAAATGTGGCCCAATGTCTCAAATACATTGAACAGTGGCCAATTTGACCATGAGCAATTGAGGAGAAACCTGTGATTTCATATAAAAATGTCATTGATTGCTTTTGGTATATTAAACAGGATATTTATGAAGGGTCTACAAAACAACAAGTGACATACCGGTATTTTAGGGAAATTTGAAATGTCTGGTTTTGGAAAATGCAAATGATTTTTTGTGACTTTTGCTGGTTTCGAGCCAATGCACCACAAAAAGCTTTCGATTTGGGAGTTCACTTTATTCTCTTTTATTGAACAGGTAAGCTACTTGGAGGTCCTGAAATGGCATCTTTACTGAACGTTCTGGTGACAGCTGCGAACGAGGGCTCCCTCTCTCAGGTAATTTCAGAGCCATCTATATACAGAGTTTGGCAGACTTGATTTCACTGGGTCACAATATGGCGTATATTTTTTTTTTTTGTGCTCGCCCAAGGCAAAGCAGTAGTCGCCATAGTGTGTCCAACTGAACCGGGTTGGCCAAACTCTGTGTATAGATGGCTCTGGGTAATTCCACCAAGACATATTTTGAATCTCGGCTTTTTGCCTCCGCTACAAAGCAGCCGGAGGCATTATGTTTTTGGGTTGTCCATCCCTCTGTCTGTACGTCTGGCTCCCTCTCTCGGGTAATTCCACCAAGACATATTTTGAATCTCTACTTATTACTATCATTCATCTTGATAAGGAATAATGTTTTATGGCATCAAACTTTACCAAGTCACAAGCACATTTTTTAATATCATGAAGAAAATACAAAACAAGTAGAAAAATTAAATTTTGTATTAGAATTTACATGATCTATAGAACCAGTTACAGCTCTGTAAGGAATAAAGTGTATGTCTTGAGATTTTTAAAGCAGGATAGTTTCCTTTGATGCTGATTGATCACTAGTAATGTCAGTCTTCTCTAGGTCCCAAGCTATTGGTCCTCATTCCTTCAGAGACTAGAGCAATCTCCAAACTCATAAATCTAAGACACTATTTAATTTTATTTATTCGGTTTTAGAAACATCAACACATAAAGTTCATGAACTCATAATGGTTGATTTACAATGAAATTGAATAGTGTAAACAAAATTGAACCAAAATATATACACCTAAGAAAAACATGTTGCTTTACACACATAAAAATATTGTCTGTTTATGATAGCAACTTGACTCTGATAGATCATTCAATAGAACTGTTATTCTTTTACTTGTTACAGATCCCAAGTAGATGGTCATCTTTCATTCAAAGCCTCGAGCAGTCTGCGGTGGAAGATTGCCTCAAGTTCTACGAGGCAGACATGAGCATCTTGTTAGGTATCCATGACAATGGACCCATCAACACAGAAGAATTAAAGGTAGGTTGTTTGTATTTGTTAGCAGAGTTCTTAAATTCTGATTTATGTTGCCTTCATGACAACCTATGATCAAAATTTGGTGGTCATTTACAAATAAAAATGTAGTTATACTTGAAATTATAGTTAACAAAGATTTTATTTGCTACCAAGGCCAAATATGTTGGACTTTGAAGATTTTTAAGTAGTTAATGGTACCTTTAAACAAAGTCATGGGGGTTCTTTCTAAACTTGTTATTGTTGATTAATTTGACTACCGGTACCGGCAATTATTTATGGTTCCTATAAGTAAAATGACAAATATATACTCTATCTTTTTTAATGAATGACCTATTTCATCTAATGATGATATGAACCTACTTACATTTTACAGTGTACATACTTATAATTAAGTTTTACATGTAAGTGAAACCATCTATTTATTTAGAAATGAATGACCCCCTTTTCACACAGGGGTAAAATTCTTTAAAGCTGATTAGTTCAAAGAGCTTTAAACTAATCAGTTTCAGATACAACATCATTCACACAGAGAAAATTTTGGTGTGGTCATTCGAGATTCACTGCTCTTTAAACGCTCAGTAGGGTTAAAAGCATTTAAAGAGCAGTGCCCGGTCTAGTTAAGGACGTATATCCGTTCACACACAAAATGTCTTGCTCTCTAGATACGGGCTTCATATCTGCAGCCTGCTATGACCGGCGTATGAGGACTTCGTATCTGTCCGAACATTGTATAAACGACGTTCACAAAGGGAAATTTTTCTTTGAAGCTGTTTAGTTAAACAGCTTAAAACTAATCTGCTCTAGATACGATGAATTTTACCCCTGTGTGAAAAGGCTGTGAGTCATACATAGATTATTTTATATGAATTAAATCACTTGGATTTATCTTCTTTCATTTTGTCGCTTGCTACCCAGGCCATATATGGTGCCCATACCAGCATTTCTAATGCAGTTGTGCAAATACGAGTCCCTAATTGATATCTATGCCTTGTGTTTTTAGTGGTACACAAATTGCTCATAATTCATGTGACCAAGTATGTGATTTTTGCCGTTGATATTAAAAGCAACACGGAATTTAGATTCAGCATTCTTGGATATACCATGTACAATCTACAGTAGATATGAAGTGAGAACGATATGATGTGAAATCGAGCATTAATCCTCAGTATTGAATAATTGAAATTGGCAACAAGAATACTGAGAAAGCAACATCAGAACTAAAAAATCTTGCGCATTTTGGTGCACCATGTCAAATGTAATGCAGAATTTAGATCCATCATATTAAGATATCATATGTACATCTAATGCAGATATGAACTTACAAGAATCTGATGTGAAATCTAGCATTAATCCACAGCATTGAAATTGGCAACAGGAATATGGAGAAAGCAAAAGCAGGATGATATATTTCTATGAAAAACCCCATTTGTACAGCACCTGTGGAATTTATTTTCTAATACAGGCCTGATAAAAACTCGATTGAAATCGGTTTCCCAATTTATTAGTTTTTTCCCCCGATTTTATCCTGATTTTCCTGATTTTTCCCTTATTTTCTCTAATTCCCTATTTTTGCCTATTATTTCCCAATGTTTCTTACTCAAGAGAGGTGGGGGGGGGGGGAATGTTGTTAGATGCCATTTTTCCCCTCGAATCCTCTTCTTCTTTTTTTTTACCCCAGCTAATGTAACACTTTTAGAAAACAAAGTAAAGAAAAAAGGGGTCTATATTTTCTGTTTCCATGCTGAAAATAATTATTGTGCTTTTAAATTTATTTTAATTTATCAAGCAATTCAAAGACAGATGTAAAACATAGCCACCATGTTTTGTACATGAAAGTTTTAAATAGTTAAAGAAATTTTTAGAAGTATTATGAATGTAGGCTAAGGACAATGTTTATACCAAAAAATTAAATTTAAACCCTGAAATGCTCTGACAACCTCTTGTATTCTTAACCTAGGCCTGGCAGGATCAAGCTTTGGGTAAATCCCTCAAGTTATTACATCAAGTCTTATTTGGGTAAGTATCTTTTTTTTTTAATGAGAAGTAAGTAACCTGCTTTGGTTATGAACTGTTTTCCGAGGCCACTTGCCAATCAATGCAAAATTTCCTGTTTTCCCTTAACAATGGTATTCATTTATTCATGTATAAAGAGAACTGAGAGAATTTGTCTATGAAGGCTATTTTTCTTGATATGAAATGAAATGCATCTAAATTATGTAGAGAGAGAGAGAAGCTAGTGTGTAAATAAAAATTCAAAAACCCTGTTTTTTGTTTCCTTTGACCATTGTTTTCCATCTAATGATAAAGAGCACATTCTTTGTTATTCTGGAACAAATGTTTCTGTTTGAAACCTGTTACAACAGAATATTGCAATCCACTCTGCTGATATTCATTTAAACACATATCTTCTGTGGGTGTTCATTCTGATTTCCTATTTCTTTCAGTACCTAAAATTAATTGAACACTTATTCGTTTACCTCTAAAAACTTTAGTCATCTGCGAATGCTCGAAGCAACACACATTCAGTTAACCGACCGCTTCTATGCAGACAGAAAGAGTTTGTTCGGACGCTTGTATTATTCTCGCAATTATCCCGGTATAACCGGCTGGCAATAAGCCTAATTTACTGTTATATTTGCACCTTGTTCCTTTTATTTTTCATTTATACTGATTGATTTCGGTTTTCTGTTTCATTCTTTTGTTTTACTCTGATGAGTGCAAGTCAAAAGCTTTAGTGTGGCTCTTTTCAACGCTATTCTCCGATTTTGTAGTACCAATCATTTTTTCCTTTACCTCTGTAGACTGCATGGTATATTGGATGGTGCATCTAATTCACTGGAAGAACAGCTGAGGACCAGGGCTGAACAAGTCCAGGATCTTAATGATAAGAAGATCAGACTAGCATGCAGTGAGATACAGCACAGATGTGAGGTAGGTCTTTGTTTCTTTAAAGCCCCACTCTCCTACTTGTAGCTACTTGCTCCCTCTATATAGAAAACAATGCCTTATCGGTGACCATTGGTCCCCATGATCCTCTTTTTCTTATGTTAATTGAGAGCTGAGTTGATGAGATAGCCACCTGTCATTGACCACGCGTTTAATATTACATAGGTATCTTTAGAATGGATTGTTAAAGATATGTGTTTCACCAATGGTTTGTCCATGTCATATTGATTAAAAAGAAAGCCCCCTGTGATGGTACTACATTTAACTTTATAAGCCTGATCTAAGAAGAAGAAAAAAAAACTTGTAGAGAAATAAATGATAATAGATTTTGTTCTTCATTCGTTGCTAAACGTAAACTTGAAAAAAATTGATCCTCTTTTTTTTCTTTCATTTCATATCTTCTTTCTACATTGGCATCTCCTTCCACTATAGAATTTATATATTTCATCAATGCATCATCTCTCTCTCTCTCTCTCTCACTCTCTCTCTCTCTTTCTCTGCACAGATTTCTCATCTATTCCTCTTTCTCTATATTACACCATATTACACCTTCCCTGCCACATAAACTTATTTTGTAGATCTTACATGATCTTTTCTATCTCTGTTCTTCTACTCTCCCCTGAACCCCATCTCTTGTCTACCACTTGACCTTTCCCCCTTCTCCTGCCCTTTTCTAACTACTTTTCTCTCGATATCACTGACTTTAGTTGGAAGTGGAGGCTGCCCTCTCTCAGCTAGAGCTGCCAATGAGAAGCCAAGACTTTACACAGACCTTTCATTCCATCAGAAACCAGGCATCTCATTCTTTTGAAAATCAGTTAGCAAGGTTCAATACAAGCAATCACTTCAGGGATCATCTCAGCAAATTGCATGTAAGTCAAACTCACTTCAACTTTACGTAGTGTTAACTTGGCTAGTGTTAGCGAAACAGCCACTTCAATGACAATCATGAGCAATTACATGTAAGTATTAACCCCCCCCCCCCCCCTTAAAACCAGCTTCAAAAGGTTTGGATTCATTCATCTAAATTCATAATTATACAAGCATCCACTTCAGGGATCACCTCGGCGTGTTAGTTGTAGGTCAAGCTCTACTAGTCTTTTATCAAAATCCACCCACTTCAGGGATCATCTTGGGAAATTACATGTATGCTAATTTCCACAAAGATAGCTAGATTCAAGCACAAGTAATTGCGGTAGGGATTTACTCAGCTAATCAAAGATAAATCAAAAGATTTAAAACATGATTTTTCTTTACAAAGATAATCTAGCAAGGTTATACAATAGACAGTTTTGTCAGATTTGTAATGCCTAAGGCTCATTCAGATGTGAAATGGTAAACTGCAACAGTCTTTTTATAACTTTTTTCATTAATGGAAACTGTGTGCAATAAATAATTCTGATATAATTTTATTTGTACATGTCTATTTAGGCTTTTCTAATAAAAGCATATCATTTCAGAATCATTTTTATCTTCTTTTTTTAAATTGAATTTCAGAATAGTCTGCAGAAGATGAAAGATTCCTCTACACTGAAGAACACCAGAGCATTAGAGAACGTTCTGCTTGTAGCAAGAGAAAAGGCGTTAGGTATTATCAACTTTACATCTACGTAGAAATATTCGTGCATATGAATAGAAATATTTGCGCATATAAATGTCTTGAAATTCATATCGATGTATATGCCATCATACGTTAGTTTTGGCAGTGGTACCTTCATCCACCATGCTATCCCTGTTATTACTTCTGCTGTGTTTGAGTTTAATTCTGTGCCAGAATTTCTGAAATATACAAGGATAAGCTTGTCAAATGTTGACAGCTTTTTAATTCTGTTCCTTTCAGTTATACTATCTATGTTACATTTTAAGCCATTGAATACTGAATTCCCTCATTCCCACAAGCATTAATACAGGGGGCATCCGGTTCCAGTAGGGAAATGGTTAATTTAATTTGTATTACTTCATTTTATTTGTTATGTTTATTTTTTTGTTCAATGTTTGCATGCCTCTACTCTAACGAATGGGTAAAGATTGAACTAAACTTTCTCATTAAGGTTTATACCGTGAGACTACCATAAACCCAGACCCCGAGCCTCTGACACCCAAGGAGCTTGATAGACAGAACAAGCTAGGAGAAGAGAAAGCTGTGGAACTGTTTATCAATGAAGCTTCATTAGCTGTGGACGAACCAGGGTATAAGCTGCATTCTGCTGCCCTGAAGGTTTGATATACATGTATTCAGCCTTAGAATCTTCAATACTTTTTTTTACCTGGGACCCATTTCACAAAGCTTTTTTTTGATGACAAATGACTAACATCAGTGACAAATCTGCTGATAACCAATCAGAAGCAAGGATTTCAGTAGCTTATAACAGTAGCTTGTAACCTGTCATTGGTATCAAGTTTTATGAAACTGGGCCCTGATTTGTGTTCTTTTGAATCCTATAGATTCTTAAAAGCAAGCATGCTCTTTGAGCAAAAAAAAATGCTGTGCTGTCATCTACTTAAAAAAATCTCTTCTGAAAAAGGAACTAATCACCCAAAGAAATATATATCTTGTTTATGGAGTTATCTCACAAATTCTTTAAAAAAAAAAAAAAATTCCAAATTTTCCTGATTTTACCAATTTTCCCCCAATTTTCGTACTCAAAAAGGGAAAATGTTGTTAAATGCCATTCCCCCCCCCTGAATCCTTTTTTTTTTTTTTTACTCAGGGGGGGGGGGGGGGGGGGGGTGATTGATTTTTTTTTTTTACTGCTCACCATCACCCCTGGTGTGCACACTGCTTTAGGGTTAAATCTTTGTCAGTATTGAGTCTCTTCCTTCATTCATTCTTCCACAGTCAGAGATGAAAGATGAAGAGGAAAAATGCAGAATGAAAAATGAAAATCTCTTGAAAGCTGCATGCCACAGGAAGGTAATATATTTCATCAGAATTTTGATGACCTGCATACATTTAAAAGTAAAACCTAATATTCATACTATTTATATATCCATAGTTACCATCTCAATAGTGATTCTTTACCACATGGTGACATTCAGTTAAATATTTTATCATTTATTCAAAAAAATTGTATGCTCATTTGCTTAAGAATTTCTGTCACCTGGCAACAACTGATGTATACAAAATTCTAAATTGTTTGGAGCAGCTAAGTGTCACATTGCTCTATTGGTCTAGAAGAAAAAAACCATCAATTTTTAAAAATTCATTACTTATGTCTGTTGTAGTTGATATTTCATCTGCAGGCCTGGGTGGTGTTTCAGAAAGATCCTAAATTGAACTTATCTCTAAGTGGGACTTAACAATTATGGAAAGCCGTTAGCTTGTATGAAAATATTTTTTGAAAGTTATTTTAAAAGGCATAAAATGTTGATTCAAATCATTCATATTTTCTATTATCTAGGAGATTTCATGTTCTTGATGTGGAATTTAAGAAAATTCTAAAATATTTGAATTTTTGCTTTTGAATGTATTTTATTTTAAGGCTACAAATGGCTCTCCATATTTTTTAAGTTCGACTAAAAACCTTTGTGAAACACTCCCCAGGTATACAATAGTTTATATTAAATGGAAAGTCCTCTTACCTTCTTGATTCTATCAAGTTCTTTCAAATTTGTATTAACCCATTGCATAAGCGATATAGTCCTTTGGAATCAGCCATGCAGGTTTGGATGTACCAAGTCTGTCTGACATAGAATGCACGGTGTTCCTAATAATAATAATAATAATATGGTTATTTATATAGCGCCGGTATCCGCCAAGTTCTGACGCTCATGGCGCTTTACACATATTACCCCGGTGGTAGCCAAGCTGCCAAAGTAACTAGCACTCAAGCATATCAGGTACCTATTTACACCTGGGTGGAGAGTGGCAAATGTAGGTTAACGTCTTGTCAAGTCCTGCAGCAGGACTTGAACCCTGTACCTTGTGATATGCAGTTGGGTGACTTATCCACTAGTCCACAATACCTCCTAGCTATTTTTGTGTCTTTTTCTACTAGATTCTGGAGGTAATGGAACACATCAAGGAGAGTACTGATAGCAATCATGTTGTACTACCCCTAAATGAGACAGATCTAACCGACAGGTAAGGATCTACAATGCGGTCCGTTTTAATTCACCACATTATGGATATAGTCACATGGGCTGCCTCTCACAAAACCGTCATAAGAACAAGTTCAGCAACATCCATTGAAATGTGTGTATGAAGTTTAACACGCGTTTCAATGGGATATGTTGATAAACTTGTAGTTATGACGGTTTCGTGAGACGCAGCCCTGGAGTCTGCCATTTTAGTTTGGATGTACATGTATCAAAATCTGCCCATCACCTTTAACTAGAAGGATTATTTTAACAGTGGGAGTGCTCCTTCCTAGCTGTTTAAATGCTCAGGAATAGTTGTTTCAAATCAAGTGTTTATGATCTGTTACATATATTTGTGTCATGCATTTTGAATATTTATATACATGCTATAGAGCAACACTGGAATGTGTTGATGTGTATGGAAGTGTTAGATATCTAAAAAGAACTCTTTCATATGTTGTAGATCGATATATACATTTTGCCATGTAGCATTTACTGAGAAATAGTAGTTTTGTGTTTACAAGAGTCAAATTCTTTTTAAAACTCTTTGTTATTATTATTACCGTATTCTCCATAACTTCTTCTTTTGACATGTACTCACTTCAGGTTGACAACTGCTCTTGATCGGGCCAAAGCAATGTACCAGGACGCTATGGTAAGACATTGTCATTGCATTTTTTTCATAGAATTGTCTCTTTCTTGGATGATTTTACTTCAGTATATATCATTCTACAACAAATCACTGTTATCTTTATTGTTTCCAATCCTGAAATAATGCAATCACTAGAAATAAATTTTTCAATTAAGTGCAAGGTGCATAACTCCATCAGTAACATTTAGAAGTCTTTGATTTATGAAATATTGCTCCTATAACAATATGAAATCATTTTTTGTAGTAATTTCCTTGTGTTTATTCTTATAGTGGCATCAGAATGACCCAATCTACTATTTGTTTTGTGTTGAATGTACAAATAATCCGAAAGTCATTGATATCATCATCATCATCAGTAGAGAAGTAACTTAACATGAATTCCATATATTTATACCATTATCTCTGGAAATGTAATCTTGCTTCGCATTACCTCTCTGACTGACTTTTCGACCATAGTTAGTTTTTTTAAAGTTAAACTGTATACTTTGGACATCTTGTTTGATTTCTTCAGCATGATTTCATCAGTAGTCAGGTGTATCACTCAGGTGTCATGGAACTGGATCGGCGTCTTCAGGCTCTCTGCGCCCAGAGGAGACAGGATAACGTAGAAGCATACTCTAGAGAGGTAAGACAATCAAACCTGCATATAAAGGCTGCTTGTGAATGTTTAATTGCTTAACTGCTGTTTGGTCTACAACCAGTTTGTCTGCTATCCACATGGTCAAATCTCCAATAAGTCTACTACCCATTTGGTCTACTGCTCATTTAATCTAATTTCCAGTTTTTCTAATGCCCATTTTGTCTACTATTTATATAAATATTTATTTAAAAAAAAAAAAACTTTCTAGATCATTGGGAGTTCTAAAGGCATTTTTTGTACAGAGGGGACAGAAGGAGAAATATTTCCAGTCAGTTTTATTGAAAATCCTACATTTCGTTTGAATTGTACATGATTCTACAGGTTGAAGCTCCACTGAAGGTAGCCAAGCAGGTGTCTCTTCTGTCGGTTGATAACTATGAAACAGTCTTCAGTACAACAAGATTTGTGAGTATAATTTATATATACCGGTATACAGTTTTGCATAAAATGACAAATACCAGTCACAGAGCCTATTAGATACACATTTTGTGCAGTATATTAATATGATACATATATACACATATCAATTCAAATTTTTTGTTGTTGTTTTTGTTTTGACATTTTTTGTCTTCAATTTTTAAGGAAGGGTTACTTAATTCAAAAGAAAAAGTGAAGAACCAGTACAATACAGATTTTGAAGCATTATCTTGAATAGGAAGGGGTATCCTGCGTTTGTGTGTATTATCAAAATCTGTTTGTATTCTCTTTGAATCGTTATATTTCCCTCCTCCTTTTACTTCTCTTTTTCTGTCCATCTGTCTCGTTCTCTCTCCCACTCTGTCCATCTCTCTCTTTTAATCTCTCCATTTCCCACTTCTTCATTTGATGTAGATCCGCAAAGTATGTCTGCTGAATCTCAACGAAGGGAAGCCCAAGAATTGGCCCAGTGACCTCAAGGCTAGCATCATTGACCTCTTCATCCAATCTGACCCTGACCTTCAAAGGGTCATAAGGTCAAGGCAAGGTTTCTGGTCATCTCTGATTGGGTTTTTCCAGTGGATTATGAGCCTGTTTAGATGATAAACCAGGGATTAAATGATAGTTTACAAGTTCATTCTGATGTGATGTTATATAATTGACCATCTTAAAAAACCATTGCACCCCGCCCCTACAACACCAATTCCAAATTTTACACAAAAGCCACAACTCACAGTCAAACCTCGAGGAAAACACAAAAAAGTGGGCACTGACGACAGATGGACTTTCTAGACAGGTTCTTCAATGCATATTTTCTTCTAGAGGAAGACAATATAGCTGACCACTATAGAGACATGTCACGTTTATATAGAGGTGACTTCCAAGACGGGTTTGACTGTATTTCAAAATGATATTGCCACTTGTATGTAAAGTGTGAAGAAAGAGCATTTGTTGTTTGGTTTGCCACCCCTCTGGGTTGGTCTTATAAAGTATTTCTTATAAGTAATAACATATACCGTAATGTGATATAATTTGCTAAATAATCGTGTCATTGATAAAAAAATATATATAGACATGTGCATGAATATGTAAAAAAAACTACATGAAAAGTTTTATAATGTTTAAGTTTAGAGTATAAAATATATATTGTTTATTGTTTGTGATGTGTTGAGTATTGTGGATTAACTATTTTCTGTTTACATTTTGAAAAACAAAGCTATTGTTTCTATGTCATTGATTGTTATAAACAAGAATGATTACTTCTGTGTGGACAACACAATAACTAAAGAATGATTTCTCCAATATAGACCGGGGGAAGTTTACCCCCAGTTGCATTACATAAAGTTTAGTGATATATTGTCATATCATGTTCATTTGTTATTTCAACCATTCTCCAGTAGTTATAATTATCATCCCAGGCGAGATGCAGTAATGGTATGCACATATGCTGAATATCCTTTTTGATAATTACAATTAGAATGTGAGCCTCAATGCTCAATGAGTACTTTGTTTTCTCCGCAAGTTTTGTTTAGAGACACAGTGCAATTTATGAAGAATATATTAAAGATGTGTGCTAAAATGTAACATTTGTTGTATTGCCTTGTAGAGTGCATATACCTTGTACATTTTGTACAATGAATAGTTGTATTGTTTTTGTGCTATTAGAAGTATTCTTCTTTGATATTTGTTCCCTGCTTAAAGTTAGATATTGCTTTTTTCTTTCAAATTATTTAAGTCACCCTCATATAAACAGTTAAACTAAAAAAAAATGGTTACTATTCTCATTTTTAATATGAGAAGTCTACAAATTAACAAATTGAAAATCCAATGCGAAGATAAGTTGATATATTTTTGTAATATGTTAGCCTCTTATTTTCACCATTTACTTTTTTGTCTAGACGATGTTGTATTTATGAGAAGCCTTTATATGACAGAATCATATTACCAACTTTTGTATCATTGTTCACATGAGATTGTCTTCAAAGCTTTGATGAAACATAAGATGTGATTTAAAAGTGAAAAAAATAAATAACAATATTAAAGTCTTTCATTTCTGTGTGAGAACTTGTTCAGGTTGATTAAAAATCAGACGTTTGCAAATGCCTACTGCCGGTTTAGCCATTAAGTACTGGCATAAGGATATGCATCAATCTGTTTGTAGAACATTGAATTGAAATGTTATTGTCCCTTTCAGGACATTCTTTTTTCACTTGTTTTACAGTCATTGTACATGTACATAATACAAGGAGAAATACATAATACAATAATATCAAATGTAGATTGTCAAAAACATAATAACATTCTGAAAATGATTGTTAAATTACATTGGAAACGGAACAATATATACATAAACTACATCCATGTTACCATGTATTTGTTTCGTTTTTCTGTCTTTTGCAATTCTGTCTACATTAAATTAGATCAATATGATAGACATATGATTAAAGAGAGAGGGAGAGAGATTCAAGATTCAAGTTTATTGTCCATACAGTACAGAAATACAAAAGGTGAGAGGGAGATCGAGAGAGAGAGAGAGAGTATCCAGGCTTGGAAAGAAAAATTAAACAATTAACCAAATAAATTACAACAACAGGGAAAGGATCGTCATGCTCTTCTTCTTTTCTAATAATTTTCAAAGGGCTATGCAGCCTAGCTAGCTATCACGAAGATGAATGATTACAATTGCAAGCGGTGTGATCGAGAAAGACAAATTAATGTTAAAGGAATAACGTAAGGGAATCAGAGCTTTGATCTTGAGTTAATTGTACACCTTCAACTGCTGGCTTGTTTCTTGAAAACATGATATGTAATATCACTATACATTTACACAAGAAAATGAAATTTAAACCTTCACTTGAAAACTAATCTCGGTCAGGACTGTCGGCATTGCGTCTTGATGTTCAACCGGGACTGTCCCCAAACACAGATGACCTCATCATGCCCCCGTTGGGTGACGTCATCGGAAAACAGTCTGAGGATTCCGTATGAGGTGGCATTTCCAACATGGCTGAATTCTGGTAAGCGATGTCCGATACAAGCGCTTGTTTTTGCTGTTCCGACGTTTATTATTGATCCAAGAAAAGTTATATTTTTTCACAATACATTAAACTCCTGTATATTACAGAAGTTGCATGTGTGGCATTAAAATTTCCGGTAAAGGATAGGCGCAGTTCGATAAACAAGATTGTATTTATTATCGTTTATGTGCAGCTGCTCTGTGTGTGTCTGGCTAATGTGAGAGCGTGTATGAACGGTAGGCCGTAGGGCACGCCTACGTAGTGGCGATGTTCAGGCTTGTCTGCCGGGAGGATTCCGCGGGGATGACGTGGACCGTGGTCTAATGGAATAAAAGTGATTTCTTTTTGTGGTTGATTTACTGTAACAAATACATTCAAATTCTAACTTGACTTGGGCTGGCTCTTCTTTTTTCCCCTAGACTCTATTTCATGTCCTCGGAGGCTTACTGCTTAGCGTTCAAAGAATTAAGATTAAATTTAGAGTTGGTCATGTTGAATGTTGTTGATTGACATCGCGACACTGATGACTGCATTTTTGAATTATCACAATCAAATTAACTGTAAAAGACTAATCATGACGAGCATGACAAGAGATGAAGAATCGGTTTTAAAAATATTCTGTTCTGTTACTTGTTATTTATCATTTGACTGATTGTTTTCTGAATGACTGTTGTGGGGGTAATTCTGAGCTATGATTTAGAAGCTTTACGCTAGTCACTGGTCACTAGTTTCTTATGCAGGCCTGTGTATTTCTTTTACTAGTTTTAGTAATTACTGCCTTCCTCAAATATCATTATTTTTGCATAGCTGCTGAATTCAGCAGATATTTTCAACGATTTGAAAGGAATGTGTATAAAAAATGTATATCAAAAAAAAAAAATTCTTGATGTTTTTGTTGTGCCAAAAAATGTATAGTTTTTAAAGACGGAACATACATCCTGCTCCCAGGGATACAATTACCTATTCCTGCTTTGTAGATCATGTGAATGTAAATCATGTAAAGTTTTTTGGGGGCTTAAGAGTATTGCCAAATTATCAGTTTTCTACTAATTCTGCAGTGCCATCTGTTACTTCATAATCATTCAACATCAATTCCACCCCCCCCCCCATTGTTTTGCCCTACTATCTGCTATCAGAAATTATGAGCGCAAGGGTTTATCACTTTCTCCTCATTTGAGGCTCATTTAGACATGACAAGGAAAACGCTGCAGCATTTTTTTCCTTCATGACGATAAACTATAATATGCTTCACATTTCTGTTTCTTATGACACAGAGCTCTTTGAATACTGCGCACAAGAAAGGACTTGCTTGAAATTGCCATTCATTACCTGTGAGGAAAAAAGACATGGTGGCTTTTTTGCAGCAGTTTACCACATGCCGCGCCATATTAGAACAAGCCTTTACATCCTGGGCTGAGTGCTGTGGGTGTAGGGGAAGATATTACCTAGCCAGCACTGTGTCAATCCAAATATCCTGTTTGAGAGTCTAATCCTTGTGCTTAAATCTAAGGCTTCCTTCCTTCTCTCCTCCCTTCTCTCCAGCCTTCGTTCCCATACTAATGAGGTAGCCACACATTTTTTTTTGTTCACAGACGAACATCTTGTTTGTTCAGTTGTACTCTTTTTTCATCCTACTTTGAAACACTACCCCCCCCTCCCATACACACACATACACCTTCTCTCTCTCTCTTCCCCCTCCCCCTCCCCTCTCTCTCTCTCTCTCTCTCCCCCTCTCTCTCTCTCTCTCTCTCTCTCCCTCCCTCTCTCTTTCCCCTTCCTTTCCCTCTCTCATTCTCTCCCTCCCTCTCAGTCTCTTTCTCCCACAATCTCATTTCACACTGTTCTCATTTATCTTTGTATCCAAATTAAATTGATTTGATCATGTTTTAGCTTTTGGAACAGTGTTGACATTTGAGATCAAGAAAAACAACATTTGTATCATGCATGCATGTAGGAACAAATACCATCGTAGCCCAGGAGAACATGCTAAATTGCTAATAATGTCATAGGAGTTTCAGACTAGTGCGGTTCATGACCAGACTGTTCATGACATCGATGATTTGTGTTTTGACAGTCTACAACTCTTCACTTTCTACGACATGTACATATCATGGTATACACATTTCTTGCAATCTTTTAATCTAGCTCGTATTTTCATCCACCTGCAGATCTACAGGTGTATACGTAATTTGGAAAGAAAGACTCTACTTCCAAAGTGGATTAACCAATACTGCCAGCTCCATTTTCCTTGGTCCATTAACAGACAAACACGGCTGCCCATCAGGATTTCTCAACTGTATTCACCAAGCAATTGGACAATCAGAGGAAAACGCTGTAAAGAAAACTGCAGAATACTGATTTTCCGCTCACATATGATGTGAAGTAAGAGTCAAGTGTGGGCTGCTCTACCAGATTGTATGTAGTGAAGGATCATCGTGTGAATTTAAGGTTGAAACCATGTTTGCCAAATTGAAGAAGAAGATTGAGGAGGAGGAAGGGGTGCCGGAAGGAGACCTCAAGCGTAGCACCAGTCAAGCTGGTAGAACCACTGGGAGGAGAGAGAGTCTGAGGAGGGCAGGTGAATCAACTTCAAGCCTCAACTCATGGGGGAGTACGTCAAGCCTGACTGGGGCATCCCCTGCTTCTGCTACTCCCAAACAGGTACGTCATTATTAAACTCATTATCATGCTAGTGAACGTTAAGACGACATAGACAGTCTTTTGCTGGTACATGTAGTTTGGAACGTGTGATGTGTAGGCGTACTCTCTACAGTGGTTGTTAACAAGATTGATAATCATTATCAGGTTGAATACCGGTAGTTAAGCCTCATAACTTCCACAAGCTCTGGGTGCTCCTGAGCTAAAAAAGCTCAGCAAAAGACACTACAAGCATTACAAAAAAAATATAATCAAGTCTTGTGAGTTGTATGTTTTCTGATGCCAGCTTGTGATAATTTTCTCTGTCCTTCATTATTTCTTTCATGTTATTATGTGTCAAATTAATAACCAATTCAACTGTTTTCACCAGCCAAGATCTCGTGCAAATGTGATGATGATACCTTTGAATTTGAGTGTGACACTAATGCACATTTCCATGTGATGTAGAATTAATAAATGGCCTTTCTTCATTCCACTTTCCAACAAGCAGAATGATGTCAGCGCCAAAAAGGAGAAACTCCAAGCAGAAATCACCAAGAAAGATGAGACGATACGAAAGCTGGAATCGAAGCTGGACGAATACTCGTTACTCTTGAAAGAAGCTGTCCGAGATAAAGAGAAATCACAACTCCTCTCGGACAAACATCAAGAAGGTATGCATTGACATATGATTGTGTCTTATACTTTGACACCCTTTTATATTCTTTATGCAAAATATTTTTTAAAGAACGGACATTTAAGGGCTGGTTCACATAATTATGCCAAGTTAAACCAAGTTTTCCGCAGCATATGTGAATGAGCTTTTAAGAATCAGATTTGGGGTTTAAATTCCTTCTGCCATTGTGGTTGGTCATTTAGTTTACAAGACTGCTAAAAAAGCAAGTTTGTATATTAAAGTCTATCGGAACTAGTCTGGCCAGGAGGGATTAGACCTCCCTGCATGGTCACTGACAGGTGGTTATCTTATCAAATCAGCTCTCAATTAACATAAGAAAAAGGGGACCATAGGGGACCAATGGGTACGGCTTAGGAGTTGTTGGCTATATAAAGGGCACAAGTAGCTACAAGTAGTGCAGTCCCGCTTTAAGCGACTACACCTTGAAGTCCCATTTAAAGGATTTGAGGGTGCTGTACTGTGACGACCAGCTTACAATTCTACGTTTGTAACTGTGGAAAATACCTTTAAACCAAAGTGTACAAGTGCATCAGCTAGGCTTTGAATCTGGAATCTGCCAGACCTCTGCTCGACAACTGGGCTAAAGTCTGTACCCTTTTCAATAATGCCAGCCATAGTGATTTCATTCAATCTGATGAAACATTTTCCCGTTCTGTAATCCAGAGGCCGCTAGGAGAGTTCAGGAGATAAATGAGGAGTTCCAAGTAAGGAGAGCAAAGATGGCCGATAAGCTGAGCCTAGCGATCCAAAAGAAGGAAAATGAACTCCATGATAAAATGGTGGCTCTAGAAAGTGTAAGTATTTCAGTCTCTCAGTGTGATGTATTCAAAATTATCAATCTGCCCATGTGCTATGTAGTTCGTAGCAGACCTTAGTAAGCCTTCCCGTGATTTTTATTGGCATTTTTTTATTTAGATCAGTTTCTATTGAAATAAAATAGTTTGGGACTTTATTTCATGGGTCTGAAGTTTTCTTTCATTTTATGATCAAACTAGAAATATTACCTTCCTTTATACTTATGTGGTTGATGTTATTCCATTGCAAGAACAATCTGTGTCATTACGACCACCCAAGGGAGACAAGTGAAGTGGTCTTTATAGGAAGGTAGTCTTAATGTACAGGTTCCTTTAGTACATGTTTCAATGAGAAGCAATTTTCAAGGGAAACAAAAAGTGTCTTTGTAGGCAGGTGGTCTTTCTTTTCACTAAAGCAAGTTTGACTGTATATTGCCTTTAATATATAGGGATGACAAGAATATAGAAACATCAGAAAGCTAACCACTAGGTCAAATCACGTCTCCCTAGGTGGTAGGGAATTTTGTATATTGTATCTTTTCAGTTCTTTATTGCAAAATATCAGTGTAAAATTTTATTTTGAAATGCCTGAAATCAAATATTCAAACCCAGGGTTTGGCGTGATGGCGTGACTCAGGTCTAGTAGTGATCATACAGTTCAGTGAAATTGTCCTTGTTTGAATTTTGCAGGAAAATGCAGATCTTCAACAGAAACTCAAGAAGGCAGAGATGCAAACATTTATGAAAAGAGAAGATAATGATGAACTACAAGGCTTCCAAATCCAAGAACTTGCCAAAGTCAAGCATATGGTAATCTAACTCTTTCATCTATATTCCCTTGATTTTTCAGTAAATACAACAAAAATATTTTTTTAAATCCTCAGTTTGGGGGAAATGGAGCTGACATGGCCAAATGCTATTTTATTATTATGCAAACAGATTTTTTGGGGACCAGCATAGTGCACTATAACTGATTTTTAAGCTCTGTGTAGTAACATTGAATCAGGTAATACATGTATAACCTTCATTGTTTTCACTTGCTATATACATGTATAGTAATTGTTTTCCGATTTGCCATAGTTTGTCAATGATAAAATGATTAACTTTTCTATTTGAGAGACTCTTTAAGTACAATTCTGACTCTTAGTCATCATAAAGACAGACCTGCCAACCAGTACGATTTAGTCGTATTTAGTACGATTTTTAGAAGCAAATACGAAAGTACGATTTTCCTTAATAAAATATGATTTTCAAAAAAAAAAACAAAAAAAAATTGTGTGTGCGTCCGCCATTTTCAATGGCAAAATGTCCATTCTGTCCTGTAAAGTATCCTACAAGTATCTCACATCAGCAATTTGGGGATGTTCATTGGTTCATCGAACACACTAGTCATGACAAAATCATGCATATTCAACCAATGATCAATAAAAAAAATTCTTCCTGTAGGTAGAAACTGTAAGAGGCATTGATCCGCGTAACAATCCGTGTTTATTTTCAAGAATACAACTTTTGTCAGTAAAATACAACTTTTGGGACTGAAGAATACAGTTTTTGAACTCCAGAGGTTGGCAGGTCTGTAAAGAATCATTGATAACATTTTGCTCATTGTCAGGCATGGATGCAGGGGGTGGCGTGTCATTTTTTCTGTAATTGCCCCCTGCCCCTGCATTTTATAACTTCTTGCAATATTATTCACAATTTCCATTGTTGTTTATTTTGTGTGTGTGATTTATTATAGTTTGTTAACAGTCAAGAAGAGCTTCATAAATGCAAAGCAGATCTAGACCACACCAGAGAGAAGCTTGAAGAGAAGACCAGGCAACTATCCACCGCTGAGATTGACCTGCAGAGTGCCCAGACCAGCCTATCCAGCATCACCAAAGAAAGGTATGATCTTTGAATTTAGTCACTGACTGACAACAATTTAAAACTCAAGGGTAAAGTAAGTAAGATTATTTCATAATTTTAGACAAAAGCTTGATTTCTGCCTGTGATAATTCTGTTCATGAGTTATGAAGCCAAATATGAAATGCTGACAGTACAGTGTATAAAAATTGAGCAATGATACAAAGGAACTCTTATCGAAACATGTCTCTTGAAAATCTTCATGTATTTTTGTTGTCAATGTTTTATATATGTTGGTACCATGGGAGTGAGAGGACACATGGATGTTATTTGACTTCATTGTATAAAGCTAATATTGAGCTCTGGTATGGGCATGGTATGTTATGTTGAGAGAACATGGCTATAATTCATTCATGGATTGTTTATCCTGCAGTAGATTTGTTGTTTGAACCAGTCAAATTCAAAACAACCTCACAACAAATTGCTGGAATTCATCTTCAATAAAAACCACAACTTTTTGCACATAGTGACCTATGTTAAGCGCATGGTGTTGGGCCTACTTACCTAGATTTCCTTATCTTTCTATGCTCATTACTCAGCCCTTATACATTTTCTACCAAAATTGTTTGGTATTTGTCATTTATATGTAATCTTGAACATTCAGTGTAAGATTTGTTGGACTCTGTGAGAATTTATTTTCTATAATTACCAGAACTCAAATTGATCTTTAATCCCTTCCTCTCATGCATGACACAGAGATGATTTCTTAAAGGAGAAGACGGAGCAATCCAATCTGATCCGTAAGCTGGGCAAGGAGAAGGCAGCCTTGGAGGAGGCTATGAATAATATCTCCAAAGAAAGTCAAGAGGTAAGGACTATATAGAATCAGATCACTCAGTCATTAGTGATCATTAGTGGTTTAAATTATATTCTAGCTGTCCCTAGTTTATAGAAAGCTGTTAGTTAAAGGCCAAGTCCACTCCCAAAATAACTTACTTTCAATAGAAGCAGAAAAATCTGACAAACCAATCAAAAAAAAATTGAGCAAAATCGGATAACTAATAAGAAAGTTGTGAATTTTTGAAAAAGTATGTAAAAGTGTGGACTTTCCCTTTAAAGATATATGTAAGAAAATGAAATCAACAATATTGAGTAAGACACAAAACATAAAAAACCTGGATTCGTAGTCATAGATTTCTATGGGTTGCTTTTTGTGACATTTTTGTGTACCGTAGTGAGTAGGTATGAAGAATCAGAGTATAGCATCATTTTTTTCGCAATGTTTTAAGAGAATATCCAACAGAGATATATATAAAAATATCTCTTGAACATACAAGAATTATGTCATTAGAAAAAGAACCATGATTTATTGGAACATTTGTAGAAAATTAATGCTTTCAAGAATTGTTGAGATGCATCATTTAGATCTTTTAGTAGCAATACTAGTAAAATTTCAATTTTAGAATCTGTTTGATAGTTAGGTTTTGTAATGTTAATAATTCTTGATTGTTTTAGTCTTCTGTGACAGTTAAATGTTTACTTTGATGAGAAACTTGCATGACAGTTTTGTTGTTTTTGTTTCATTCTTTACACATCCTTATACTGCATATTTCTGCATGCTTAATGAGATTCATATATACTTCTTCTTTGTTTAATATAAAGAAACTTGATCTAACCATACTTTTCAATGTTATATAAAAGGCCTGTGTTTTAATACCATTTCATTGCATGCAAAAAAAACATCATGTTTCGTTCATCCGTGGCAATACTGACATCAAGCATTCTATTTTCATCGTCTTCTTTCACTGCGGAAAGGACATTATGGCTGTTGACAATGAATGGCCCTAGTGCCCTTTTTATACTGAACTGACACTTTTCTTGTAATATAACTGTCTGCTGAGAGCCAGAAGGATGTTGGCTGTAAAGGCCTGTGTTCATCAGACTGAAGCTGCAAAATAACCCGCTATTTTCAGACTCTGGATATTTTCCCAAATCTCGAAATTGCTTCTTCACCCGACTGATACTCTTATCACATAGTAGCTCAGACTGGCGCAAATGAGTCGGCTATTTTGGAAACAAGACCAAGATTTCCCAGAATATTTTCTCAACCAAATAGCCGGCTAATTGCAACTGCGGGCTGATGAAGACACATAAGCTGGCTAATTTGTGATCGGGCTAGTTTAATTAGCGGGTTATTTTGCAACTTCGGTCTGATAAAGACAGGCCTTATGTGAGTGAAGGCCTACATGTACTGGGCTCTTGGCAGACGGTTTTCATATAACCCTTTCTTATAACCCCTTCATGTTGAGACAACCAGTGAAGTAATACCTGTAATTACCTTTCTTAGGTGAACCACTATGTTTATCTTTTTTCCTGTCATAGTAGACATACATTTTTGTATGTGTGGGGATGAGGCTATAACTATAATGTTTCAAGGGACTACATTATCACCATCACGCACTCACTTTTGTGCATCAAACAATTGGTTTTGCGTTACATTTCGCTTGAAGTAAAACAAATACTGGTATTTACATGGTTTTACCCCAACCTATAACATTGATATTTCTTTAATATTGATTGTACCCTTTATTTTAACCATATTTATGTCATTGCTTGTAAACTTTTGTATTTAAGTTTTCCATGATACTTATATTTTCACTTTTGCTCTGTTTCTAATGTTGTTTAATCAGCTGTATTTACATCTGTATCTATAGTTAATAAAATTACATTGTAATATGCAGTGTAGGCCAGCAAACCTACAGACAGAAGATTTTATTTAATTTAACCATGTATTATGAGAAAGAAGAAGTTACTTCTTCCACATGTGTTCGGTGAATTCTTCTACCATCTTGGTAAAGAAAGGAAGTTGTATGTTTGGTAAACTGGGGGAGAAGTGTTTGTGTGCTTTTAACAAGTACAAAATAAGGATTATAGTCCTGAGGGTGAGAATGCTCCCCAGGGAGTGGAGATTGTGCACACAGTGTGTGCAGGCAAGCACTGAATCCAATGACCGGGGTAATAGTATATTTGTAAAGCGCTTAGAGACATTTGTATTAAGCGCTATATAAAAATTAAATATTATTATTATTATTATTATTATTATAGTTCTTTCTTCCCAGGAAAATTTTGATTGTAAAATATAAGCAATATTTGATATTTCTAAATCTGTTATTAGAAAATAGTTATCAATTATCGTAATAAAAAAAAAAAATTGCATTTTCAGAATCTTCCATGAAAATGAACGCCAGAAATGAAGCTGTCTTTAAGCTTCCTTCATTTACATATTGTGTGCTTGTAGCCTTGTATGTAAAGGAAAACCTTCAGATTCAGATTTTATTGTCCACTTTAAAAAACACAGAAATTTGGCCTCCACTGGCAGGAGATAACAATGAATAACATACATGTAAGAATACATAAATGTGCACAAAACAAATAAATCAACTAGATTAACAAACAGTTGAACACATTCTGACAAGAGTAAGATGAGAAAAGGAATGAAGGAAGCTGAGCAAGAAAAGACAGGAATGTAGATAAGGGAAAGAGAGAATAAAAACACTTGCATAACCTATAACTCCGAACATCTGCTTTAATACTGAAGGTAAAAGGTAAAAAGGCTTGTCACTCTATATCACATTCAAGTGACATAATCAGGTGCGTCTATCTCATTGGCTTGTGATGATAATCTAAGTTCATATTAAATTCCATGGCTATCCTCTCTTGCTTCCATGACAAATCTTTTCATAATCATTTTAGATATCATTATCTTCTACAATTTAATTTCCTACAGTTCTTAATGCATTTTTTGTCTATTTCCAGTGGTTCTATTTTGCTCTTACAGTTGGTCGTGCAAAAGTTTTGTAAACTTTGTTGTCTATTGGCTCTATTCAACTTGAGTGCTTATTTTCTATTCAGTCATTCTATTTTGGCTACCATATACATGTACATGTACTACCAGTCTAATCAACTCATTGGTTCGTCTAATTAATTTTTTTATCCCTTCCTTTAATCAGTTATCCCATTTTGGCTTTCGTAATCATACCTAATCATTCTTAAATTCACATATGTTCATGGCTTTATGCGTTGCCTGGTTTTTCATTTACTTTGCAAATTCTCACTTGCTCAAAACTCATCAAAAAAGAAAGAAAATAAAAGAAGCATTTAAAGAACGATTTCTAATGCTTTCCCAAGACATCGGCCCAGGTTGTTGTGCTGCAAGAGAAATTAGACCACCAGGATGACGCCTACAACCTGCTCAAACACAACAGTGAAATTCTTAGAAATCAGGTAGAATCTAGTCTCCATGTGTGTATGATATTAACGATATATACTGGTTAAAAGAACAACTAATATAAACTAATAGATATGTAAAGAATATATTGATTTTAATACAGTTTACCACAATTATATTGAAATTCATAGACATTTGGCAGAATACAGTTTCTTTGTACATATATTTTCGTCAGAAGAACAACTAATAATATGAACTAACTGATATGTGAATATTATTGATACACAAGGACCTTTTAGAGCAGGAAATAAAGTATCTCTTTACAATATTTTATTGATGTAGAGGAATAACTAATATCAGGAAACATCACTTACAAGTACAGCAGTCCAGTGCACATGGGTATGGAATTCCCAGTTTTTGTAATTTGTTTAAAATGAAATACAGACTCATGCCCAAAATTGTTATTCCATTACCCCCTTTTAAAATATTTTGATGTGGAGCCCTGCAGATATACAGTACTAAACTTTGTTGACCTAGCTTCACTTTTTATATTTTAGTTCAGAAGTAATTATTGGAAGCTGCACTAAATATTTCATTAAACTCATCAACATTTTACTTCATTTTTAGAAGTGATTTGAAGAAGAACAAAATTAATATACTAATGGCAACATTGAATTTTGATACATTACAACTAGGTAATGTTTTAGAATTGCAAGGATAGACAGAATTCAAGAGTTCACGTCAACTAACATATTTTTGTCTCCCGGTAGAAGTGTAGATGCATGTTCTTAGAAATAATTTTGTAATGAATAATTTCGCATATGAATTGCTGTTTTGTAGAAAGCATGTGATGCGACTCTAACACGCGCCCTGATTGTAAACCCAACAAGAGTACATGTTGGATTTTGGAAGAGAAAAAAAGGATATGAGCACATATGTTTCCACCAGTAGATAAATCAGTAATACCAAGCCTCATCATTATTGAAATATTTTTATTTACCTAAATTTAGTATCAAGATACAAGTCATTGTAAGTGTGACAAAGTTGAGCAGCAAATACATTCAACTTGACTCTTTTGTAGTTGCCAAACACAAATATTTTGTTGCCCGTAGTTCATGGGCAACTGCTAATGTAGAAACACAGTTTTACCTGCAGTCATTGATGTCCAAACAATGCTGTAGATCTTCATGCATGTAATAGTATAATTGAGCTTACCGTAGTGTATATTAAACAAAATTCACAGAATTAAGAGCAATATCAACACAGTATACTGTATAAATTTGGCTTGTTGGCACCCCCCCCCCCCCTCCCCTCACTCCCCCAATATTTCCAATGAGATTACTGTGCAATGTGTAATGTTACTATTTGTGTATTCATGTATATTTTGTAATGAGAAGGCTGTATCGTTTCTAATACCTCAGTCACACCTCTAGACCAGCTCCAATCCAATCGATTGTTTGCCATTCGGTGCTAAATAGTTTGGTTATTCGGCCTGTTGTCGGTCCAATGCCAGTCCAGTGTCGGTATGGTGTTGATCTGGGCCCCCATTTCACAAAACTTGTCATCAGTGACGAATGACAGTTTTTGTTATAAGCTACTGAAATCCTTGCTTCTGATTGGTTATCAGCAGATTTGTCACTGATCTTTGTCAAAAAAGGCTTTGTGAAACGGGTCCCCGGTGTCGGTCTCGTCGGTGTGACTGGGGTATCCAAGTGAATGTTGTACTGCACATGGATATTGTATGTGATCCCCTGGAGCAGTTGACAAGTCACACTATTCTTGCATTCTGTATTCGGGCAGGTCCAAGCTATTTTGTCCCATACATTAATGATCCCAACTAGGAGTTTGGTGTATCTGATCACTGTATTGAGTAGGCGACTCTAAGAGCATAGATACTGTAAGACCAAATACGAAATGACACATTTCATTTTTATGTTCAGAACTAGACAATAGTCAGTAATGTATGGGAAATCAAATGACCATTAACCTTTGACTTGCCCATTCGTTGCCAGTCTCAAAATGAGATATAACTCTTAAACAAATCTTTGAAGTGACTTTACCTTCAAGTCTTTCTATCCCACAACCGTTATCTTTCAGTCCAAGAAGGGCAGCGCTGATCAGGAGTCTGAGCTAGGTCATCTGAGAGAGAAAGTAGTGACCCTAGAACAGAGATTACTGGACAACGATCTGTCCCAAGATGACCATGTCAAAGCCATCCAGTCAGAGGTAAGAAGATAATCGAGCCCTAAATTTCATTGTAGGAAACCCATCAAAACCTGTAAAGGGAAAGCAGATGTTAATCTCTAAGTTGCGTCTGCCACCTGCATCAAGTGTGCGTCTGCAGTCATTCGTCGTCCAAGGAAAAATTCAAGCTCAAACCAGGATTTCAATCAAGCTCCTTAATTTTTGTCTTTAATGTCTTTATGTCTTGTTTATATGTCTCAGTTTCTAATCGTAAATCAGTTTTGTGATCAAATTTAGTAGGAGCATCATTTTTTATGATCGTTTTTTTTTCTTCATTTAAAATATTTTGAATATAATATGTGTGATGATTTACCGTACTGTGTGTGTTGAGACAAAATGTTGATTGAGAAAAGACTTTGGGCAAGACTCGGGCAAAGGTGTGACTCTGTCCCTTTATTTCTTCAGAGAGACAACCTTGAACAGAAGCTGGAAGAAACCAGAAAAGAACTAACTGCTGACAAAACAGAATCAAGTGAAAAAATTACCAGTCTTGAAAAGCAGGTGAGCAAATATTTATTTAACATTACTGATAGTAAATTTAATTAATTAAAAAAAATGCATTTTGTAAAAATATGATCCTTGACTTTGATATATAAAGTCCAATACCTACAAACAAACAAAAAATCTCATTAGATTGGACACCTTAAAGATAAATTTGAGTTCTGGTCATGCGATTGCATTGTAAAAGAAAAGGTGTGGAATGGATCAGAATGTAAGTATTGGTATGTACTTACTACATAATAAATTTGGCCCAGTCTTGGTAAAGTAACAAGCACTGTACACAGAAAGTTATATATGGGACTACACAAAAAATGTTGGGGCTACTAAACTTGATTTCCTTATCTTTCTATGCTTATTACTCAGCCAGTATACATTTTCTACCAAATTTGTATGGCAGATGACATTTATTTGTTATCTTGAACATTCAGTGTAAGTTTCGTTTGATTCTGTAAGAATTCATTTTTTTTAATTTTTTACCAGAACTCAAGTTTATCTTTTACCCAAAGATCTCTTGATGACACCAAGGGATATAAGTAGTAGTAGCAGTAGTAGCTGTCTGTAGCGAAGCGGCAAACAGCTACTACTACTGCTACAGCTTGATTAGAGCAATAAATGCAATCTTACTACAATTATCATTATCTTCTATTCAGTTCCAGTCCCATGCCTAATGATTCATGTTTGTTTCCTCAGATTGAGCACCTCAACACAAAGATCTCAGACGACACGGAGGAGCACAGGAGCAGCTTGAGCAGAGCGGAGTCAGCCCAGAGTCAACTCAGAAGTGAAATCTCTGACTTGAAGAGCATGTTAGAGGCTGCTCAGAAGGAAACAAGCTCACTTCAACGAGAAGCAATGGTGAAAGAAGCCCAGCTTAAAGCACAGGTAAGCCTCCACCATTGTAGGGTTATTGAGGGGGGGGGGGGGGGGGGGGGTGCGACGAAAGTGCAAGGTATGTTTTGAACATGTATGAACAGAACAGAATTTCTCCATAGGAATGATGATATTAATAATAATATAGATATTTATATAGCGCCGGTATCCACCAGGCTCTGACGCTCATGGCGCTTTACACATATTACCATGGTCATAGCCGAGGTGCCAAAGTAACTAGCGCTCAAGCATATCAGGTGCCCATTTACACCTGGGTGGAGAGTGGCAAATGTAGATTAACGTCTTGCCAAAGGACATTAGTGCTGCGGCGGGACTTGAACCCCGTATCTTGCGATCTGCAGTCAGGTTACTTATCCACTAGACCACAACACCTCTATGATGTTAACAGAGCAGGTTAGACACTGCTCAGAAGGAAACAATGAAGCATATTTCAACGAGAAGCAATGGTGAAAGATGTTCAGCTTTATAAAGCACAGGTATGGACCAAGCATCAAATGCAAGGCACACACTTTCTCAGTTTGATATATCATTATTCAGATTTGTCTGAGTCCTCTTCAAAGTGCTCGTCTACTTAAAGGTCTGTCATTTTGAGGTTGGCATTTGGATGAGATTTGAATGTGCCTGACATATCCATGAAAATCATTTTGTTTGATGGTTTGTGTAAGCATACAGGCTTTGCTTGCCACATAAACACTTTGGGGTGTCACCATCAAGTAGATCATTAGTAATCATCAAATGAAATGTTAATTTCTTGTGGATATTTTTATTTTTTGTCTCATAATATCAAAATATGGAGTTGTTTCTCATTTTCATTTTGAAATGATTCTTATGTACAATTATTTGCTTATATGAAACTGATTTCTTTTGAAAATGTGTAATGCCACAAAAGGGGTGATTCTTTTCCAATTCCTCAAGCCATTATGAATGACCACTTTCTCATCTATGATGATCAATGCCCATGGCAAGTTTTGGATATTTATTTTCCTGTTGTTTTTGTAGAAAGAAGTAAATGAATCTGAATTAACGATGGCCCATCAGCAGCTGACTCAAGTCAAGAGACAATTCATGGAATCCAAGAAACAACTCCAGGACAAGGTCGCAGCCTTGGAGGCTAAGGTCATCGCCGTGGAAACAGCTCGAGATTTTGACAAAAGTGCCTCAGAACACAAACAGGTAAGTTTGGGTGAGATGCTGGCAGAATGTTTGTAAGTCTATGACAAATATATTTTTACTAGAGGAGAATGGGCAGGTTGATTGTTTGATTATTAGTTATTCATGTTTGATAGAAATCGTTGTTTAAATTTCAAACACAAAATGTTTCTGTTTTGCTATATGTAAGGCCATGTTTGTCTCAACTCTTCCTTTTTTTCTTTTTTTTTTAAAATTTCTTTTTTTCTTTTTTCTTTTTTTAAATATGTTTTCTCTTTCCTCCTCTACTTTAGTACTCTTTCTTTCTCCCCTCTTTCAGTTTGATTTCGCTTCTCCCTCTCTCTCTCTCTCTCTCTCTGTGTCTGTCTCTCTCACTTTCTCTCTCTGTCTGTGTCGCTGCCTCTGTCTCTCTCTCTCTGTCTCTCTTTCTTTGCCTCTGTCTCTCTCTGTCTGTGTTGCTGCCTCTGTCTCTCTCTCTGTCTCTCTGTCTCTGCCTGTCCCTCTGTCTCTCTGTCTCTGCCTGTCTCTGCCTCTGTCTCTCTTTCTCTGTCTCTGTCTCTGCCTCTGTCTCTGTCTCTGTCTCTCTTTCTCTGTCTCTGTCTCTGTCTCTGTCTCTGCCTCTGTCTCTGTCTCTGCCTCTGTCTCTCTCTCTCTCTCTCTCTCTCTGTCTGTCAATCTTTCTCTCTGTCTCTCTCTCTCTGCATCTGTCTTTGTTGCTGTCTCTGTCTCTCTCTCTCTGTGTCTCTCTCTGTCTCTCTTTCTCTGTGTGTGTGTCTCTCTCTCTGTCTGTCTCTCTCTCTCTCTCTGTCTCTGTCTCCACCTTCATCTCCATCTCCAGCCGGCTTCTGTCCCTTGAGAGTCTTTCCCATTATACATTTATATTCTTCATCTTCTCTTTATATCAATCAGTCATTATTATCCTCAATTTACCATCCCATTTTGTTTCTTCAATACAGGCCAGATTAGATTCTGTAAATGAGGACTTTCTGGAGAAAGAGATTGAGCATGAAAAGCAGGTGTCATGCCTAGAAGAAGAACTTGATAGATTAAAAGTAAGTTTTCATTATTCCCACAAAAACAAATTATGTAAGAGAGGTTATGAGAGAATTGTGAAGAAATCATAAATCTATGCTTAAATTTTGTAGAATTAATGCTCTTTGGTGTGTAGTTTCGGGGAAAACAATCTACATATTATCTAAGTTGAAAAAATCAAATGAATGAAATTTTGTTGTGTTAATTTATGTGCTTTGTGACCTCATTTTATTAGATACTAAAGCCAACATGAATAAACTGATCTGTTTCTGATTGATTATCCAGGCCTGATAACGACCTGATTTATTTATTTTTTCCACAATTTTTTTTCTTCTTCTTCTTCTCCTTCTTCCCGATTTTACCCTGATTTTCCTGATTTGTCCATATTTTATCCCAATTTCCTTACTCAAAAGTTGGGAATGTTGTTAGATGCCATTTTTTCCCCCCAGAATCCTTTTTTTTTTTTACTCAAGGGGGGGGGGGGGGGGAGGGGTGGTTGAGGAATAAAAAAACTATTTTTGTTTTAGTGCTCGCTATCACCCCTGTTATGCTCTATAATATTAAACATTTTATAAGACCATCATTACATCTCAAATCTGTGGGACATTACCAAGTATGCTTTTGGACTTATTTTCACCTTTTTCCACCTTTAACAAAGGCGTTTAACATGCCACTATTTATTTATTCTTCTAGTACATTTAGGGAGACCTTACATTAAATTCTCTTGTATATTGGATTAATATCGGGTGCCTATTGAAATAGATTGCATTTGATATGAATGGTTCTTACACAGAAATCCATTTCTTCGGCTGACTCTAAGATGAATCAACTACAGACTGAGTTAGAGGGCGCTAATGCAAGGGCTACGGAGGCACAGACACAGGTGGGTGTGGCAATATTCTATTACAGTCAAACCTGTCTATAGCGACCACCCAAGGGAAACACAAAAAGTGGTCTTTGAAGACAGGTTCTTTTAGTACATGTTTCAATGAGAATCCATTTTCAGGGGAAACAAAAAATGTGGTCTTTGTAGACAGGTGTCCGTCCGTATGTCCCGTTCGCGTGATCGCGTTATCTCAAGAACCGATCGATGGATTCCCGCCAAACTTTGGTCATGTATTTATCTTGCAGAGCCAATGAATTGATTAGATTTTGGGGTCACGAGGTCCAAGTTCAACGGTCACAGGGCTCGTTGTGTATGCAAAAATAGCTTGTGATCGCGTTATCTCAAGAACCGATCGATGGATTCCCGCCAAACTTTGGTCATGTATTTATCTTGCAGAGCCAATGAACTGATTAGATTTTGGGGTCACGAGGTCCAAGTTCAAAGGTCATGGGGCTCATTATGTAGGCAAAAATAGCTTGTGAATGCATTATCAATAGAACCGACGGATGGATTACTATCAAACTCGGGACATGATTTTGGGGTCATGAGGACAAAGATCAAAGGGTCATACATGTATATGAAAAATAGTATTAAACACGATATTCTGAGAACCTGTTCGTGGATTACAATCAAACTTTTTTAATTTTTAAAATTGCTTCTGTTTTGATTTGTAAAATTGCTGTATGGCGGAGGCATCATTATGATCATTACGACTTTACGATAAAGGGAATTTATATTCATTCAAAATGCCTGAAACCTGTTGTAGGCATTTGTTCTACATATAATGAATATATTTCTGATCCATTTACAAACCATAAATTTGCAGAGTCAAGACACAGAGAGTTTAATATCAAGGCAAAAGGAACAACTGTCGATACTTCATGCAACCGTCAAAGAAAAAGAGCAACACATCAAGAAACATGAATCAGGTATGTCCAGTTTTCACAAGCCGGGGAATGAAAGTCACAATTCAGTTGACAGGAATATATAAAACATGTTTTGTGAGAACTGAAATGCTTGGCAACAGGTGTTCAACTGTGCCTGTACAACAAGTATACATGGTTCAATGATAAGCACTAGTGAAATGGGAAAAAAATGACATTGAAAAAGAATGTGATCTTTATAAACTTGGGTTTTCTTAAAAAAAGAGAGGTTTACTCTCTTTGTAATTCAAATTGTTGACAAAGCATGCCTCGAGTGATCCGGTGTTTGTAATTATTTTGCTAATAATGATGCTGTGACTTCTTCATTTTGCTCTAATTTGTTTCAATATCACTTTATTAACAAAGAAAGTTATAGTAAATACAAATGTTTAGATACTAAAAAAATATATATATTATATCAAAGTAGAAAAGAGATATTATGGGATTAATACTTTAAGCATTTTTATCAGTGATTGTGCTTTAGTTTAATCACACTTCCATCATAAATATGTGTATCATGAGAAAAGGAATATGATCAAATTATTTTTATTTTCTGTGAATACAGAGCATCAGTCTTTGCAGCAGACCAATGAAAGTCTGAGTCAAAGACTCGAGGAGCTGGAGAGATCCCACAAGGTTTCTCACGACGAGGCGCAGAAACTCATCTTTGAGAAAACAGAAACCATCAGTGTCTTACAACAATCGCTCAGTGAGAACGGGGAAGAGCTGGCTCTTATTACACAAAAGGTGAACCAAATACTTAATGCTTAATTTTGAACATTTGATATGCCTACAAAGAATGATACTTGGACAAGAATGATATTTTCAAGAAGCCTGTAGGACAGACAAATAGTTTAACTTGTGATTTTTATGTTAAGTTATATATTATCTGATTATTTTCCTTTTAACACATTAGCAATGACAATAATGCAACTGTTAATAAATATGATGTGTGGGATTTCATTCTGAATACTGAATGTAATGATAAATTTCTATTATTAAATGACAATAAATACAAAAAATAAACAACCAGGCACAACCCCCCCCCCCCCTTAAAAAAAAAGGATGATTTCTTTTTAGCAGCACTTCAAGACTTTAGATAAAATGTCATTATTATTATGTTTTCTTTCCTGCTGTAGCTTCAAGAACTTGAGGCTAAACTGACGCAGGTGGAAGCCGAAGCTCAGGCTAGGATAGAACAGACTGAGATGAACGGTCATATGGAGCTGCAGGTAACTATTCACTTCAGCTTCATTTCAAGGAATCATGTAAACTGTATGGTCTGTTGAGAGCCAGAAGGGCATTGACTCTGTGTTAAATTAATAAGTTACGCCCTTTTTACTCCATATAGATAATGGCCAGTATGGTGTTGATTATAGACATGTCGCTGGGTTTAAAGCCCCTCTGCACTAGTTTGGCCAGGAGGGGATAGACCTCCCTGCAAGGTCACTGACAGGTGGTTTTCTCATCAAATCAGCTCTCAATTAGCATAAGAACAAGGGGATCATTGTTTGCTAATAGAGGGTGCAATTAGCTATGAGTAGTGCAGTGGGGCTTTAAGCTTTTGTCTAAAGTCTGGTTTAACAAAGGAAGTTAGTCTTGGGTCAAAGGTTCTTCGATGTTAAAAGTTGTCTTAAACCCAGGGTCAGGTTTAACTGAATTAGTATAATACAGAGTGACATAATAACAATAAATTTTATTCATTTGAAACATTAACAGTCAATTTCACACAGTTTACTACAGATTTTCACAATTCACATACTTCATTTTGACTTGGCAAGTGCATTAGTACTATAACCATATTCTTTTGGATGAACTAGGTCATTTCTCTCATAATTTGATTTACTTTAATAGAGTTTAAGTGAATGACAATCACTAACCTTTGAACATTGTTCAACATTTGATTACTTTTTCAGAACCAAGAGAGATTGAGGCAGACGGTGGAGAGTTTGGAGCAGCAGCTGATCGATAAGAACAAGACAATTAAGATGCAGCAACAGAGATTGTCGGACCTCAAAAAAACGCTGCAGAGAGAACTGGTAGGCACCCATGACAAATCTTATATCTCCTTAACTGCCCCCATTCATGGCCATAATGGCCTTAATAGCAAGCAATAAATGAATTTTTATATCACAATTTCATTACAATCCATGTCGCAGGTCAATCTTGTAGTGTTACATTTTATACTACTTGATCTAGAAAGATAGTACGATTTGGAAAGATAATTATTGTAATAAGGAGGGTAGTGATGATGATGGAAAAATTGATGATGGTGGTGCTGATGATGATGATGATGATGATGATGATGATGATGATGATGATGATGATGATGATGATGATGATGATGATGATGATGATGATGATGATGATGATGATGATGATGATGATGTTGATGATGATGATGATGATGATGATGATGATGATGATGATGATAATGATTTCAATATTGATGAATATGGTGAAAATGATCATGTCATTTTAAATTCTGAAATGCTGTGCACAGTAATCACAATCACTCTTGTATCATTCATTTATCTCATTACATTAATCAACGTTGAGATATTTCATTTGCCTCACTCCCATATTTCTCTCATCCTTTGAACAGAAAGTGCAAACAATCGCCGGCTACGAGTCCCCAGAGGAAGCCCTCCGTAACAACGACACCCAACTGGACAAGAACAAGCTCTCCATTCCTGATAACAACTTCCACGGCAGCAACAGCAGCCTCACGCAATCTACAGTATTCACTGACCAAGATGGAAGCCTGGCAAGGTCCGACTTAAGAGAGATCAACTTCCAGTACCTCAGGCACGTCGTCTTCACATTCATGAGCTCCACTGATTATGAGGTGAGTTTATTCTTTGATGCATTGATTGAGTGGGGTCTGCTCGCTATTTATAAGGACCGCTGTTTATAAAAGACTGCTATTCATTTAGCACGGTCACGCGTTATGGATAGCAGTCCTTATGAATAATGGTCCTTATGAATAGCGGTCCTTATGGATAGTGAGCTTGACCCAATTGAGTTATGGTATTACTGTTGGACTTGTCGATAAGGCCAATAAAGTGAAACAAAAAAAGTATTCTTTTTAGATAAGTGGTCTGTAAAGTTTGCTGTGATACATTTAGAGTCATGATACATTTATGCTTGCAAAAGCAGGTTTGCTTGTGAAGACTTTTGATGACTTAAATAAGTTTAATTACATTTTCAAAACAATATTTCTGATCATGTCAATGTTGGTTTCCAACTTCATGCATGCAAGAATTAAAACTAAGTCCAATTGTAGAGGCATTTCTTTCAGACACTAAAGAAAGATCATTAGAAAATTACTAATTAAGACTTTTAGTCAATTTTATTTCATTACAGCAAGCATATTTTATTTTATAATGTAACAAAGTAACTAACCAAATAAAATTGATATACAGGCTTGTAGATTATTAAAATCTTTTTCTCTCTGTGGACTATGTTTTGTATTTGCAGGCCAAGCAATTGTTGAAAGCTGTTTCTACAGTCTTGGAGCTTACACCGAAGGAAGAAGGCATGATAAGAAAAACATTAGATTGGAAGGTGAGAGGCATGAAGTGAGGCTGGGTTTGGGCTCTGTTTAATTGCTAGAACAGTAGTTCTTGACCTGGTTTTTCAGGTTTTAAGGGGTAATGAATTAGCTGTTTATTTAAAGGCCATATATGTAAGAATATGCCCAGTGGTGTCACTTCATATTTACATTGTGTATGCATGATAGTTGAAAATTTCAGGGAATTAATAGATTTAGCTGATTTTTATTTTTTATTGTTGGTGGTTCTAAAACAGGCTATAAAAAGTCTGTCGACACCTAAATGTCTGGAATGGAATGTAGAGCCATTTTATTGCTTTGTGACGATTTCCATTCACCTAAAATGTAATTAAATTGTAATAATATAGTTGGGAGAATTAAGGAATCGATCAGATCAGTATTTCCCAATTTGCACCATGAATAATGGTCCGTTTTCACTCAATTTTTCAGATTATCTTAAATTGTACATCTAGCATTGAAGCCACTACATTAGCACCACTATCTCTCATCTGAACAATGTTACCAAGTCCCTTTAATGATGTCATTTTTATTCTTTTATCATTTTCTCAACAGACTTCATGGTTTGGGCCGAAACCAGCCATGAAGAAACTGGTCCAGGTCGGTTCACCAGGGTCAGGGATGCGATGATGATGACGAACCTAGACCAGGACCAGGGCCGCAACGTGGCCTCCATCCACTTCTTGCCTTAGAATATTCACCAAGGTGCAGTTCAGTGTAGTCTAGATGATGTAGACCTGGTCCAGCTGACCGATCAGGGACCTGTTTCACAAAGCCTTTTTTCAATGACAAATGAAGAAGAAAAAAAGTGACGAATCTGTTGATAACCAATCAGAAACAAGGATTTCAGTAGCTTATAACAAAAACTGTCATTTGTCACTGATGACAAGTTTTGTGAAACGCCCCCCTGATCTGAAGGATGTTATGATGGATGGATCTCTGTAGAGATCAACTCTCGCTCTTTAAAGGGCGTTTCATCCTATTAGTGCAAAATGAATGAACAAGCAACAATACTAGCTCTCCAGTCGCACCATCAATTTGCATTTGTTGCAGTTTGCCTTCAAGTAAGCAAGCTGATAAGGAACATAGTCGGGAGTGCGACTCAGCTTACAGCAGTATGCAGTTCTGGGACCTGTTTCACAAAACCTTTTTCCAATGACAAATCTGCTGATAAACAATCAGAAGCAAGGATTTCAGTAGCTTATAACAAAAACCGTCATTTGTCCCTGATGACAAGTTTTGTGAAACGCCCCCCAGATGTAGACTTGGTCCATCTCGTACAGAGATTGATGATAGGGACCCTGTTCTTGAGCGACATCGTAGGTAGTGCAGTTGAACAGTTCTGCAAATGTGCTTTCAATAAGATATACTCCAGAGGTAACCTGTTGCCTAGCTTGTGCTTCACCATTAGTTTGTTAACCTCAATCAAGGAACTTGGGCCCTGTTTCATAAAACTTGTTACCAATAACAAGTTACGATAACTGTTAAAAGCTGATATTGAGGCATTTCATTGGCTGAGTTGGCATTTGTCATTGAAATTTAGCATTGGTTATTGATACTAAGTTTCATGAAACCGAGCCCAGAAGTAACAATGCAAGAGCCTTCACGTCTTCTATACCCTGCAATGGGTTGTAAGAACAGTCTCATATCTTGGACATCAGAGACTTTGATATAGCCTTCAACCGGTGCACAGACAGTGTAGGAATCATTGACATTTTAATCCAATGAACAGGCGTTGTTGATCTACCTGTGACAGCAAATTTGAGCAGCATTCCAAGCAAAATCCCCGTAGTTTCAATGCCGATCTATCACTTTTGCAGAATAAAGGTGGCTTTCAGAGACATTGTAGCATGCATCATCTAATCAGAGCCAGAAGGGTATTAACTGTGTGTTAAAAGTTTATGAATTAACTCCTTCCTGGCTCCAAACAGACAATATGAAATATAGATGCAAAGCCTTGTTGATTTAGACCAAATAGCTAGTTTAGCATTTAGTTAGGATTAGGGGAATAGGACCATTTTTTTTATATATTCATTTTGTATTAATTTTTGTTTTAAATGATTATGTTAATACAAGTCCATCAATTATCACTATGCTTCCAAATTACTTCATAGGAACATATACCGGTATATGGTTTGTTGATAAATCAGTCAATTGGCCACGTTGATGCTTGCCAAATGTTTTTTTCTGTTTCATACATATTCATGTTAACCAAGCTGCAGTTTATGTTTGCTTACCCAAATATAACACTCTTCATCTACCAATTAATGAAACTGTATAATGATGAGAATATAAAGGTACTATTTAACATTTTCAAAGTCTTTAATGTGTTGAATCTTACATATTTGTTCTTTTTAATGATTACAAAATGTTCTGGAAGTTACAGGCAAAAACGTAATCTTTGATTGCAGTACAAATAATTGTATACCGGTACTTTATTCTATATAACACTTCAAAGCCTAACAAAGATGTATGGTATGGCATGAAACTTGCATGGACTATATTTAAGTTCAACATTAATTGAGATGTTAAATAGTACCTCAATGGATCACAGGTATTAGAAATGAGAATTTACTGGATAGAATATAGTCGGAAGGGAAAGAGAAGCAGACAGAAGTCTTGTTGAGTTGTGGTTCTTTATTTTCCATACATTTTATAAACATGTAAGATTTGAGCTATGCTGATCAGTATTCTACTAGCTTCTATTAAATACAGGTCAACTTTAACTCTGTGTTTACCTGAATATCATGTGCCAAGAACCAACAGGGCAATCACTTGTTTCATTTAGCACAGATTAAACCATCTCCTGGCGTTCAATTATCTTAGCAGCAATTATTACTCTTTCAGGATGTATATAGCCAAGGAATGGTTTGTGTTCTTAGAGGGAAAAGAACTTAATTTTCTCAGGGCAATATAAAATGTAGTTTCTTATGATTTATCCTCATGTTCAACAAATGTTCTGGTAAATCTGGCTCCCTCTCTCCCTCTCTCTCTCTCTCTTTATCTCTCTCTCTCTCTATTTATCTCTCTCTCTCTCTTTCTCTCTGTCTCTCTGTATGTCTCGCTCTCTGAGAGACTGTTTCTTGATCTTTCGGTGTCATACAAAGACTCGTCCGAAAATCAAGGTTAATTGGACAAGCCCCTAATGGTAAAATTCCCAGCTTTAGTCCAAGCATAGTATATTTAAAATGTGATATCTAACATGTGATAATTAGCATGGCTTTACATGTATTTTGTTTATTTCTTTTCTAAGTAATATGTTATGATTTCATCAGATATGTTGATACTCTTTTTCCTGATTCTCAATGAAGGGGTATATAAGAACTCTGTATAATTTTGAAGATTGCTTCATTTACTATTATTACCATTGTCATGATTGTGTTCATGCCTTCAGTGTTTCACAGTCTAAATTGAAGATGTCATTGTTGTTGCACATAACATTGAACAGTATTTCTCAACATTTCTGCACTAAGTATGGAATACACCTAATGGGATAAGTGCAAATATGATTGATTAAACTACTAAATTCATGTATATAATTACTAGAACTCTGTTTATAAAGTTGAAATTTACAAGAGAATAGGAAATTTATTGAAAGATATTAATTGTATTCAAAATTATTTAATAAGCAAATTCATATAATAGCATTTAGAAAAAAATATGATCTTTTTTAGGGTTGATGGCAAACTAATTTCATTTTATTTGAGAATAATTTATTTATAACCTAGGAGTGGAAAATTGAAGAGAAACAAAATCATTCATGAGCTTGTACTTAAAAATTCAAAGGTCGTGGGTTCAATCCTTGACACGGCACTAATGTCCTTTGGCAAGGCATTAATGTACAACTGCCGCTCAATACCCGAGAGAGAAATGGGGACCCGGTAGGATGACAAAAGCTTTACTTGTGGTAGCAATTGCCTATGCCCTGACAGTGACCATATGGTAGGAATACTCCCCAGGGAGGGGAGATGGTGCACATTGTGCGAGAATGAATCCAATGACCGGGATAGTAATATCTGTAAAGTGCTTAGAGATGGTATTCCGTATTAAGCCTTACACAAATCCAGATTATTAGTATTACTCTGCCATGCCCCAAAGCTTTCAGTAATGTATTGCAAACAGCTCATATTGGAATATTTAAAGATATAAATGTAATGCAGAGTTTTAGTGAAAGTCCCATGATATGCTATCGGGGGTAGAATATATAATCCTGTAAAAAATCACTCTGGAATGTTTGCTTTTTCATTAAGCACATGTTATCGTTGCTAGTTTTTATTAATTGTGATCAGACATCCATTGAATACCTAGTCTTATAGCTGGTGTGCTGATAAAGGCGATTCATTACCACTTCTCTCTTTGACCATCATTTCCACCTAATCCATGAACATTACTAAGTGTGCAGTACCCTTAAGAAACCAAACTATTATAACAATTTATTACAATGGATATAGCCAGTAATGAGACAACAACACCACTCTTGAAAGCTAGAATATTGTGTTTGCCCTTAGAGTAAGCAGCTCCTCTGTAATCCATATACCTTTTTTTTGGGGGGGGGGGGGGGGGTCTCTTCTTTTTGTTATCATTTTTTTGTCTATGGGTAATTATAACAAACAAAAAAATTAAAAAATATTGAAAAATAGTGTATTAATATAGATGTTAATTGAGGTAGGGGATACAAATGAAAGGAGAAAAAAGCTAAATATAGTGAAAAGAAAAAGCTCAATTTATAAATCTGGTACATGTGGTTGATATCAATTTGCGTCACTTACACTACATTATGCTCAAATATTATTTTCCGTAATGAAATGTAGACTAATATATTTTCTATTCTGTTTGTCATTTGCAATGCACATTTTTCCTTCAGATGGGAAAAATCATTGTGGAATTATTTTGTTCCAGATCTTTTATATGAGTTCCATTTTACTCCTCAAAACATTGTTAAATTATTTATGGATTGATTTTAAAAGATCTGTAAATATCATTCTTCACTTTATAATTTTCTTGATATGACCACGCGAAATTAAATGAAATTATATAAAGTAGGTCTAAGGTATCGGAGAAGTTAGCCTTCTAATTATAGATTTATTTTACTACGTGCATGCTCCTGGGGATAATCATATATGTATTGTATTTATCATTCTTTACTGCCAGATTTTCTTTTATGTTCATGATAGTATTTGACAGTATCTGTATATTTGATCTCTTGCAAAAATATAACAGGCTTATATTTTATTAGTATACAAAAGTAAGCATTATTTTCATTTAATAGTTTTTATTACCAAACAGTAAACTGCACCATAAATTTAATTATATCATTATGTTGTTAATGTTATGTTATGTTGTAAATATATAAATTATTTTTTGTCATTTGAGTAGTATGAATATGGCTATTCAACTATGGGGATATGTATGTGAAAATACATTTTGTAGAAACTCAAAATTCCCTCCAAGTTATTATTCTTTTGATATTTGTAAATTAACAAAAAAAATAATTGTGTGCGCGTTTGTGCATGTGTGTGTGCGTGTTTGTGTACTGTGTCACAGAAATTATCAGTTTTCTAAGTTGACTACCGGTATCCCAATTACGAATGACTGATCATGTATAACCTGTAGGCCAATAATATAAAGACCACTCGAAGCAGTAAACGACAAAATCGGCCTTTCATAGGCAGGATGCTTGTACTTGCAGCTTGGAAAAATCAATTCCTTGAAAAAAGTATTACGTTTACTCTCTTTGTTCCCTTAATTACAAGAATGGTTTTCTCTTTCTTGTTTTGTTTCTTTTTTTTCCTCTTTCATACCCAGAATGGAAAGTTGCTTTATGAGATAAGAAACAGATTATTAACTTTGGAAGGAAGTTACCAGTGTTGTAAAGAAATGTTAGGCAAAAATTAATTTCTGTTTCAGGCAAGTTACATTTCAAGTTTCCAAAGGCGGCCCAAATTAAAAAAATATATACAAAAAAATAGGTCAGCCAAGGAACAAAATACCACTGAAGTATAGCTCTAGAGACCCTACATGTTGTGAAGAAAATGAAAGAATCCATAATCCAAGAAAATTATATATTCGTGAAACAGCAAGATCTGAAGAATTAGAAAAACTAAACGGTATAGGTTAATGTTATTTTCTGTAATCGCTGCAATGGAAATATATTTTTAATTTTTTTTTAAATTAAAAAATACAAGAAAAGAAAAAAAACTAGGCCTAACGTTAGATCTACGCCGCAAATAAATAATGCGTACAAGATGGACAGAGATGGCGCTACGCACTTAGCAACCAAACTTGACGACGGCTCGCTTGGTCGAAACTCTCCTGTTTTTTGGGACGGGAAATACTCGGATAAATGCTAAAAACCAGAAGTTTTTGGGCATGAATGGAAAGCAAGGTAAGTTTATGGATTCAAAAATATTTATCTGATTATATTTGCGGTTAAATACGCTCAATAAAAGTGTATTTTTGGATTGCTTATAGAATGGTTGGAGGTTAAATCAGGTAGCACGACGTTATTTTAGGCATATGGGACCACAGTGTAGAATGGGTTAGACGTACAGTGCGTGCTACGCGAGCCATTCCAATCATATCATTTAGATCTATATTATTTATCATTGCAGATCTAGCTAGGCAGCTACAGTAAACTATATATATAGACTAAACGTGTGTGTGTGTGTATAATTGGGTTTTTACAGACGTGTATCAATCAGATATGATTATTTACGTCTGGGACCGACCTTTAACGTCACCATCCGAAACTGGACTTAGTCTAAAGCCAAGGATCATGGGCCATGGCTATGCGATGTTTCTAAATAGATATCTGCTCTCAAAATGAAGATTTCCACACCCTTGTTGATCTTTTGTCAATATTTTCATAATTTCACACCCAATTCCGGAGAAAATTCCGTCCTTGGGTGATTCTATTTTCCTCTCTCCATAATTCCATTAATATCAGATTTTCGAAATCTTAACAATTTTTTGAGAAGGCAAACTTAGGTCACGTGTGTGCGCAAAGTATGGTCACACCACCACACAATGATCACGGTTAACAATAACAAACATAGGTCTAGACTAGATCTACATCATGTCGATCTGATTCTGAAACTAATAATGAATAAAATGAGTAAAAAATGTGATCCCATCGATTGGTAGGCTATTCTACAATTTACAAATGTCAAAATCATATCCTCTTGATCAACTCACCATCACCCATGCTCAGTCACAACACATCTGTAATTTTCAGAAAAGATCAACACATTTTGCAGTCATTTGTTTGCCTCCGTTCCATAAAATTATCAATTTACTGATAAGGTCCTTAAGGGTGTGGAAATCTTCATTTTGAGAGCAGATATCCTCAAAATTGTAAGTAAGAAGAAGTGGGGCGCTAGTGTACTTTCATATCCATTTTTTTACCTGTAACTCTGACGTGGAGATACCCTACTATTACTAAAACGTACCAAAAATCAAATAAATCTTCATCACTTGTTCAAATAATGGTCATGATTTAAAAGTTGTTATGTTTCTTACCAGTTTCATGTAAATTTTCTTGTTTTTTGGAGTATTTTTTCCTAAAAACAAAGACATTATACTATACCGGTACACTTTCTCACAGGTTTCAAACTTTCAAACCGCTGCACAATTACAGTACAATTGCATACCGTACCAACGAAGGGATCTGGCATGCCCGCATCCCTTTGTCTGTACGGTATACAGTTGTATTGTAATCGTGCAGTCATCAAATTTTTGGAGCTCCCAACACTTTAGAGGGGCTTTAACTTAAGCTTTATACATATAGGTCTATAGACATATGGTTCATATTTCATTGAGAAAATATCTAAGTTTAATGAACATTAGTACAGCTAGTACTTGTTTTGTAACTGTAAGTGTAAAGAACAAATTTCATTGTTACACATTTTTTTTCAGATGTTATTTTGTTATAATATTAGAAAACAATTTTTTTAACCATGAATTGATTTGTTGTTCACCCTTTTCTTATTTCCCTAGAATGGTCATGTGACTCGCAACTACAAGTAAAATCAGCCACATCAAGCATTGATACTGCAATTCAAGGAAGATCTCTCACTTGTCAACTCATTACACCAACTCTCAACAACAATAAATATGTAGCTGTCTAGCAAAGCAAGAATCAACAACAAACTAAATTAAAAAATATTTTGTTGAAGACTATAAAGAATATTATTAAAGAAAGTAAACCACAGCAGCAAGTTTTTTAGTTTTTAAACCAAGGAAAAATCCAGCAACATGCCTCCAAAGAAGAAGGGAGGGAAGAAGAAAGGGAAGAAGAGTGGGAAAAAGAGCGGGAAGAAATCTGAGAGGGCATCGTCTGCACCCGACGGAGGGAGCCTGAGTGAGGTTGGAAAAGAATTCTTTCTGATTCAGATCCGAGATTTGGAAAGAAGGCTTGTCAGGTGAGTCATTGTATTTTTTGTTGTATCATATTTGAGTCTGAATTTGAAAAAACCCTTTCTCTTGAAATTCACTCCAACTATCTTAGCTTTTTTCTTTGAGGGGGGGGGGGGTTAATTCTGCTTGTGCTGCATGTTCTTTAAACTTTCATTTTGCTTACTTTTATTGGCTCTCATTAATTTGTCAAGTTTCCAGTGAGAAGTATTTTTGTTAATCATTGAATGAAATGAAATGAAAAAGTTTATACACAAGCTTCAGAATTCAAAAGTAGCTGTTTTGATGTACATTAATGTGTAAGAATTTTGGGAAATATTGTACTCAAATACAGTAATTAAACTTTACACTTACTGCGTAAAGGTTCACCCGTTTGGGGATAGATTTCTAAAGGAGACTGCCCTCTCTATATAAATGACTGCCCTCTCTATATAAATTACTGCAGGGCCTTCATATTCATGATTTTCAATAACATCAAAATTCCAGGTACCAGCAAAAATGTGATGAGCTGGAAGTGGGCAATGGGGAATTCAAATCGCGCTACGATCAGATGGGAACAGACAAGAAGGAGATCGTTGCCTTCTTGAAGAAACAGCTGGAGCAGCGTCAGGATGAGATAGCAGACCTGAACGATCGGCTGGTGGGGCTCCAGCAGGCCAAGGACACTGAGAAGGATGCCTATGAAGCCCAGCTGGCCCAGCTACGCAACGAGTTCCAGGAGACCAAGGACCAGCTGACCTCCGAGAATATGATCCTCAGTAAGTGATCTTTTTTCTACATTTAGAGGAAATAGATACCCTAGTGGGGGAAAATGTTCATGTTTATTTCACCAGCAACTCTAGGAAGAGTCCCCTTACAACTAATTTCTGTCTGTGGGTATCATGCATAGAAATCATTCATGACATTAAGTCTATTCCACATTTTTCATTGTATAGAATTACAATTTATTTTGAATGCAATGAAAAGGCATACAATTCACCTTTTTAGCCTCACATGTACATACAATCCTTTTTAGTGTACTGGAGAAGAATAATTTCTAAGCATATTTACATACTTCTTAGAATGACTTCTAAGTTTCATCAAAGATTATGTGGGGGGGGGGGGGTCTTTTTCTTCTTTTAATTTTGCTTGATATTAAAGTTTTTATTGCTCATTGATAAAGTCGAAGAAATAACAACCAATAACAGTTCATGAAATGCATGTTAGTGAAAACATCAATTGATTTATCATTTAATTTAATTTCAGGTGGAAAACTGGCTGCACTGGAAGAGTTCAAAGTTCAGAAGGAAGATTTGAACAAAAAGTTTGAGCAGATGGAAGAAGATATAAAATCCCAAGCTGACGGTCATAAAGATGAAATCTACAAGCTGGAGAAGAAACAAGTGGTAGACAAAGACAGGTATGTGTCAGCAGTACATTGAATTGATGAAAGTGAAAGAAAGGGAAAAGCTTAACAGTGAAGGAGTGCTCTCTGTTTCACCCCCTATGTAATTGCTAGATTGTAACATATCACTAATGGAACAAGCATCAATTCCGAAACTTCGATCCAACCAATATCCATTGATGAAAACTCAACAAAAATGTATGAAATTACCCTTCAGGAAGTTTAGGGGCATCTTCTCATTCTTTTGTTTTAAATTTTTTTCTCAAAAATTATTTCATTTTTGAGAAGGTAATTTAATAGCTTACACCACAAAGACACAGAATCCACATGGACTGTTTAATCGTCATTCCCCTGGAATTACCTACAACATTTTTTGTCTTATGCAGATTAAAACGTGAGATGGTGCTTCGCGTCAACCAGGTCGCGGCCGAGTTCCGTAAGGTTTCCAACAAGCAGATGGCGGACACCACCAAGCGCACCATCCGAGAGAACGTGAGCATCCACGCCCAGCTGGCCAAGATGTCCGACAAGACCATGGAGCTGATCGAGGAGAACGAAGAGATGAGAGCCAAGGAGAAGAAACAGAGGCAACAGATTGAGATGCTGGAGAGCAACGAGAAGGAACTGGCCAAAAAGAACCACAGTAATCAAAAGGTAATTCATATCATTTGGTTTCGGAACATCCAAGCCCCTGAGACTGACATGTTGGTCTTGTAGGCTGTCAGGGTCATGGGGTCTTGAGAGGGGATGTTCCTATTCTCTATACTGCATTCATATTCTGTATTCGGCTGTGCTTTTGCACCACTGCACATGACATATGGAGCATTCGGATATTTTAATTTTCTCAGGAAATTACTTTCATTACCAGGGGGGTGTTTCACAAAGACTAAGATTGACTTAACTATGGCAGGCCATTCATGCCACTAGTTGCTCCTACCATTGGTCTCTCAATTATGATCTTTAGATACTATTTTTTTCCTTCAATAATGAACTATCAAAAAGGTAAATTCTGTACATTTGTGACTTTGTACGTCCTTTGAGAAACCAATGCCAGGAATGGTTAGACTAACTAGTAGCATGAACGGCCTGCTATAGTTACGTTCAACTTAAAGTCAATCTTAGTCTTTGTGAAATACTCCCCAGAACCCAAAGTTTACCTTCACCATGTAACCCAATTTCTTGAACCTATCCTACCCAGGTCATCAGGATGCTGACGGAAAAAGCCAAACAGCAGGAGGACGTGATCGCCGACCTTGAGGAGAGGGAGAAGGAGTACCAGGAGCTGGAGGCGGAGATGGGTCTCCTCCGGCAGCAGTCCGACTCCTCCCGGGAGGAGCTCCAGGCCATGGGCAGGGAGTCGGATCAGATGATGGAGCAGATTGAGCTCATGGAGAAGGAGGCTGCTCAAATGGCTGATATCAAGATCAAGCTGGAGAGGATTCTAGCGGAAGCTGCGTACTCCCTGCACAGGATACTCATGGTAAGAATGGTGTTCTGGGGGGTGTTTCACAAAACTTGTCATCAGTGACAAATGACAGTTTTCGTTATAAGCTACTGAAATCATTGGTTATCAGCAGATTTGTCACTGATTTTGTCATTTGTCATTGAAAGAAGGCTTTGTGAAACAGGTCCCAGGTGTTATGGTTTAGTGGGGTATCTGCTCAAGTCCCAGCCAGGGTTTCACAAAGATCATAACTCGAACTTAACTCTAAGGTGGACGTAAAGATTATGGAGAGCCATTTGTAGCCTTAAAATAGAATATATTCAAAATCAAAAATTCAAGTATTTTAGACTTTTTATAAATTCCACATCAACAACATGAAATCTCCTTGATAATAGAAAATATGAACAATTTGAATCAACATTTTATTCCTTTAAAAATAACTTTTACAAAATATTTTCAAAGATGCTAACGGCTTTCTATAATTGTTAAGTCCAACTTAGAGATAAATTCAACTTAGGATCTTTGCGAAAGACCCCCCAGGTCTCTTAAATGTCCTTTGGCAAGGCATTCATTTTCATTTGCACCTCACAGCCCTAGTGTAGTAAATGGATACTTGGTAGAAAGTAATTTGTGGAATGTTCTTTAGGACAGCTTCTCTGAATTCAATGCAACAGTAGTACTTGAGAAGCAGCTTCAGCATTCCTTAGGATAGATGTGTGAAATATATTTAGCTATTATTATTGTTATGATGGTTATGGTGATGATGATGCTTTCAAAGACATTAAAGGTCATGCAGAGCAATGGTATGAGTCTTAGAAGTGAGGAAATAAAGAGTGGGGTGATGTTCCTTTTCAGAAGTAGACTATAAGTTCTTCCAGATATTCATTACCCTAAAATTCACTGTCGCATGAAATTACAAGAAAAGAGAAAGTATGCTGTAATTTAGATTATGAACATAGATGAGGTATTCCACTTTTGAGGGGGGGGGGGGCAGTGTTATGCAGCAGCCCACAGTTCTGAGCATCTTTTTATTTACCAGTTAAAAATCAAAGAAAATCTTGTAAAACATTTGGGGGCTAACTTAATTGTGAACATATCAGTCTGCTTACTTGTCCAGATGATGATCAAAACAGAATTTATATTTCTGTTTAAAAAATTCAAAAAATTAATTGTATTTCTCAATTTCTTGACTATTTCTAGCACAACCCGGACAAGGAGAGTGGAAGTGGTAAGATAAGTCTCGAGGAGGTGGAAGAGAGAGACAACATGCTGGAACACCTCTTGGTGATCCTCAACAGTGCCGCGGCCATCGGTGTGGGTCCAGGCCCGGAGTCCTTCATGCCTCAAGAGGAACAAGTCTACAGGACCAAGAGCAGGGAAGCCATGTACCCTGGCTCGGGCAAGGGACTGAAACGAGGGTATGTATCGTCTGGATCTAAGCTTCTTCTTCTTCTTAATGGTTAATCTGCCTCCTTCAATACTGAAGATTCTTGCAGATGATACTGGGGTGTGCAGGTGGACCACTTCACCGGGGTTTCCCCCTACTCTTATACAAATAGTGCAGTGGGTTCTTAACATGCAAAGGTGGTGACTCTCCTCGACACGTGGCCTCCATTTAATGTCCTATCCGAGGGACCAATGATGACAAAGTCTCAGTCACATGTGATGCTTTTAACTGCCTCACACACAAAAATACCTGCTGCAGTAAAGTTAAAACCATTCTACTTATACAGTCAAACCTGCTTTAGTGACCACCTATCTACAAAGACCACATTTTTTGTTTCCCTTGAAAACGGATTCTCATTGAAACACATACTAAAGGAACCTGTCTACTAAGACCACTGTTTGTGTTTCCCTCGGCGGTTGCTATAGACAGGTTTGACTGTAATTGATTTGTAAGAGGGGGTGATCGAGGAAAGGTGTCTGCATGTAAAAAAAATGCCTGTAACGTGTACTCTCTTATCTCTGTGTTACAAGATACAGAAGTACTAACTACCGTACACTGCAAGCTCACATCATTTTATTTTGCTGTAGTTTTCTAAAGATTGGGAAAAGAAGATATATATATGATTAATTATTCAAGATGTGCCCGAAGTGCTTGCTTTCTGAGTTTGTGTCTCACTTTTTTTGTGCTTTTCTCCATCAGACTGGCCCCACTCTCCCCCATTGCCAAGGGAGTGTCTACCCTCCCCCACTACAGAATGGGTGACCTGGGTTTGGTACCCCGCCCCAAGCCCTCCTCGTTCCCCTCGGACAGGACCAGGCAGCTCTCGGCCACAAGTCGCCTCAACAGACTCCAAGGGGTCAAGTCGCGGTCAGTGGGCATTCAGACAACTAGCTCAGCTAAGGTATGTATCAATTCCCATCACTTCTTTATTCTCATTCTTGTTAAGTTTTCATTTCAATCTTGCAAATTGGAACTTTTTGAAGTGTGTTACTTTTTAGGCATTTCACTCTTGCCTTCTGTGTGCATAACACTAAACCGTGAGGAAAGCAAACTACCAGGCAGGTACACAAAATTGACACCACTTCCTGGCCAGATCACAAATTAGATTTGTGCACAATTTTTCAATGCTAATCAAACATCAACATTTCCCTGAAAATTTCCTATTTGCACAGCTTTCCAAAATCAGGACTATGTTCTTTTGCCTGTTGGAGAAAACTTGATTTTTTTTTTTTCAAGGGTGGTGATTTTGTCATTCTTATAAAATAAAGATAATAAATATTATCGAAGTTCTGTACTGAACTTTAAATTAGTACTACGACTTCTCAATCCATCTTGAATACAATACAGTTTCATTCTCAAACAAGTTTTCCAATACATTGTAGGTTTAATTTAAGTGACTAGAATATTTTAATTCTTCAAATGATTAATTATAAATTAATTGTTATTCTTCCACCTTTCAGCCTTTGTTCAGACCCGACCAACTCCTGGGAACAGATGCCTCTTTCGCTAAATCAGCCCTGGTGCAAGAATTGGCCGTCACGCATAAACAGCGCCCTCTGGCTCCCGTCATGATGCCCGTGAAAGGGGTGCGGTGATTGACGTCTTGTATTCTTTCACCATTGAAGCAGCTACGCGAAAGCACATGCAATCTTAGACAATTCGTGAAAGGAAAATATACCTACCGGTAATTGTTGTGCAACTTTTTGTTCGAAAGCAGTGTTAACTTATAACGAACTATGGAAATCACTGCAGATGTAATGGACTTCACATCAGTGGATATTTACAAGCATTCATGACACATCACACACTTGAAAATTGTCAATATATGGAAGCACTGCCTTAATAAAGAAATATATACTTTAGTGGTAAGCTTAATATTATACACACACCCACGTTATATGCTATATATAATCACAATGCACATTGCATTAATGTGATGGTCAGCGCATATAAAATGTAAAGCGGTATCATACTTTATAACACATCTCTGTGGAATTATATTTTGTGATTAAGTATTATTTCTGAATACTACATTATGCATGCAATACCTAGTTTTGTCATGGAGGAAAAAACATTGAAGTTTCATACTTTAACACAGAATATGTTACCATGCTCAGAAATTCACCCCATAAAGTATTCTTTGTTATAAAGAATGACACAATGTGATTCCATGACATTTGCTCCGGCGACAATTGCTCCGCTGTAAATTTCATACACTAATCGAATGGCTAACTTCAACCCTGGATTCAACACTATACCCTACCCTAAACCTAACCCTAAACCTAACATAAAACCCTATTGAAACCCTAACCCTAACCCTATACATCTTAGACGAAATAAAGCCCGGAGCAATTGTCGCAGGAGCAAATGTCGTGTCACCCACAATGTCTTATGAATGCCCAAGGTATCTGATGGCTCAATACTGTTTCCCAAGTGACTTTGAATAACATAATTTTAGAATGATGGTTATCATGATTTTGATGTATATTTATCATTATGCCTTCTGAATTTGTTTTGTAAGTATGTAGATATATAAATTTAGGATATTTGTATGATAACATATAGAGGTACTGTATATACTATTGTACATAGCACAACAAATTAAAAAATACAATGACGTTTTGACATCTAAACCAAAATCAATTCTTATCTTCCAAGTGGTTGGATTGTGGTGCAAAAGAATTTGATTAATTAATTTTATTGGAAGCTATTTATGTTGATATAAAATATGAGACTCCTCAAAAATATTCAAATATGAAGGAAAGAATTTGCTAAAGCTGAAGTGCAAGTTTACTACTTCAATTGCTTTTTACAGGTGTAACATTATACTTCATACTAAGTTGCCTGTGTCATTTGAAAATAGGAAGGTTCAGATAATTGGTATTACGCATTCAGGAATAAGAGGGAACCAGTATTCAGTACCATTTGTTCATAAATTGTGATGTATTCCTCTCCTCTTTAAATATATAAAGCCTCAGTCACAAATGCCATTACGAACGCCGTACGAACGATTTTCAGACAATGGAAATTCGGGAAGACAATGGAATAACGGAGATTCGTACAAACCTTTGTGACCGTAGCTTCAACACAACTTTTGATCCTTGATGAATTGAAAGAAGTAAAACTGAATTCTACCAATCAAACTCTGATCACTTACCGGTATACATCCAAAGTATCAATCAATTTTCGCCCAGTACATGCACGGACTCCTGCATTACCTCAGAATATATTCTTGCTGTTATCTAAAGAAATGATGTTTGAAAACGACCGATATCTGTCCTTGAAACATAGCTCAATCATGAGATATCATAAATATTTAGGGCACATTTTTAAATATTTATGCATTTTGATGTTTATTATGATTCGGTATGCTAAGAATAAGTGACTTTTCACTCAAAGCAACATTGGTAATATGTAGAGAAACTGTACTGGTACACTCCGTAGTGTAATGCATTTTTTAAATCACTTTACAGTATTTCATAAACATAAACAGCATGCACCAAAATGGCAAATCATTATTTCACAATCTATAGCGCTATACATGTACATAGATTCACATATTGTACTTTGGGGGAAATATATAAGAAGAAATGCAAGTATGACTTATATCTAAACTTGTGAAGTAAACTTTGTGAAAATGTGTATGCATTATCAGAATAAGTGCACTTAATTGCAATTATAAACATAAACATAGCCACAAGAATACCCCTGCTAGGTTAGAACTATATTATGCATGCACATGACAATGTATTATAGGGATTAACAATGAAAGCAGTCGAGTGTTATAGGGTTTTGGAAATGCAAAGTCACAAATCTGACTGGTTCAAGAAGAAAGTCATTGACAGACATGAGTACATTCTCATTGCTTGTACCCACACCATAGATGGGCATCAATCGTCCTATTAGGGTACCGCATGTTATCAGTATTTTATGAAAAAAGACATTTGCTCTTACGATGGAGTGAGTTTGAAGTCTTAATTTTGTTTGTTTGAAGCTTATGAAAGACCTGGGCCCTGTCTTACAAAGAGTTGATATCAATCGTAACTTCTTTGCGATTGATATCAATCGTAACTATGTACATAAGAGATAGGAGACTGCAAACTTGCGATTGATTGGAGGACTTGCGATTGATTTGGATCAATCGTAACTCTTTGTAAGACGGGGCCCTGATGAAACAAAGTCTATTTTATATCTTTTTATGTGACATATTCCTTTCTTTAAAAAAATGTTGAATAAAAACCCTCTGCACATCAACTTTTAAAGGTATACAAAATTACCTTTATAGTCTAATGAAATTGAGTATAGGGCATTACCTGAAAATAATTAAGGTCACCTTCATAGACCTACATGTAAAGGTATATTATCATACAGGCTTTGGTTGCAGTGCCCCATTTTCATCACTTGTTCGTGCATGAAGGATGATTATTTGTAACGGGGGCTTTTAATGAGGTTTGATGTATTTATAATGATATGGAGAGTTGATCCTCTCAAACATGCATTTTCTTCTTTCCGTCCAATGAAACACCATTTCTGATCGATAAAGGTTTAGACTTGACCAAATTGAAATCCGTCCAGGATATTTACCCTGCTGATTTGTGTATATCTTACAAAAAACAGCACAGTATTTTGTCAAAATATATTTGTTGCCATGGTTATTTGTATGTTTGTTATCTCTGTTTTCTTGTATAGATATATAAGAAGTGACATCAACATTCCAACCTGACTAACTTACAACAAATCAGAATCATTTGGGATCCACTTGTCATGTACATGTATGCTAAGGACAAATATTTTTTGATAAAAGAATACATAATTTTAAAGGGATCGTTTAACAATGTTAAATCTGAGATACACGGCCCTACGTGTTATCAGTGTCTGTGATATGGTGTAATATTGAAGCCCTAAAAAAATTGCGCTTCAAAATGATCGAGAAGTGCCTCAAAAAAGTAAAAATCTTTGAGTGACCGGTTTTACCATACTCGTTTTCCCCAATAGACTGTAGTGTTATGAAAACCGTCAGGCGAACGGTTTTCGAAATTTGTAATTTCAATCATAAATATCTTGATAATCAGACAGGCGATCGGCTTGTAAAAGCCATGGGGTTCCTGACTGACCTAAAGGTTTATAATTATCATTGCATCATAAGCTAAATCCAGAATGTTATTTCAGAATCTGAGACAAAGTTACCGGATCCCTTTAATACACAGTTTTCTGTTCTATGCAGAAAACCTCAATTTTGTATTCTTTCATCAATATTCAACTTCAAACACATTTGTTTTGAAAATCTATGCAGAAATGTGTCTTAAATGACATCCTCTTTCACATTATGATACAAGTGAAATTTTACCATCATATTTTGGGGGCTCCCAACACTTTAGTTTGATATGGAGAAATGATAACTCCTACACTTCAGATTATTTAATACATGATTATCTAATAAATACTGGTAGGAGATCTAAGCATAATTGTGAAATAGGATACCACCATTCTCACTGTAAAGTAGCACTTCATTGCGCCACACGTACTCGTCTCCTTTTCAAAACCGTAGACCACGATACAGCCAAGATCTCCCTCACCCTCTTCCTTTTTTTTCTCCTTTCCTCTCCCTTCCTTTCTCCCTCTTCACCTTCCTCTCCCTTCTCTTCCCTCCTAGTCCCTTCCCTACTCTTCTCTTCTCTACTTTTCCCTTTCCTCTCCCTTCCTTTCTCCCTCTTCACCTTCCTCTCCCTTCTCTTCCCTCCTAGTCCCTTCCCTACTCTTCTCTTCTCTACTTTTCCCTTTCCTCTCCCTTCCTTTCTCCCTCTTCACCTCTCCTTTCTCTTCTCTCCTTGTCCTTTCCCCACTCTTCTCTTCTCTACTTTTCCCTTCTTTATTTTTCCCTTCTTAATCATTGCTATGATGGTGGCAATTACATATCTGATAGATTGCACTTGATTTAAAGACACAATGAGACAAACATACATTTAAAGGTATGATAAAAACAAATGGTTTAATTTCAACCATGGTCATTTCATAAAAATTGCTTGTATAAAACATGTTTCACACATTCAGAAGTCAAATCTTCATGATTTACTTCATACATGACTCCAATTCCCAGCAACATTACTGGCCAGCATTACAAATTCAAAGCTTTGGTGATAGTAAAATTGCATTCTCATAAGAATCTGTTCTTAAACATGTTAGAATATACATTGATACAAAAATTTGGAATGTGCTGTTTTCATGATTTGCATTTGACAGAATGCAGCATATCTAAAAATGTCAAATATACTGTATATCGTTGAACCAAAGCAACCAACATCCAAACCAAATCACTAATGTAACCTCATATGCTTAAAGCTAATTTCCCTTGGAAAAAAAAATCAAGAAACATAGGGCTCAACACTAAAAGGCGCCCAGGAAACATATAGGGTACCAAAAATCTAGATCTGTAATCCTGAACCCCAAATTTGAACATTTTTACATCAGGCTCACGCATACAGACAGGTTTTAAAATCATGATGTGCTTGCTCTTTAAATATTGCATTGATTGTCAATTAAAGCTACACTAGGTGATCACTGCAATAATTCATATGACAGACAGCACAAAAAATACAATTAAAATGTCATATTTATAAGTATAAAAAACTTGGCATAAGTAAATTACAACTTGAAGGCCACGATTAGGTGTTTTACTGCAAAGTGAGCAGGCTGAGTCGCTATTACAACATTTTAAAATGTACACTTAAACAAATTTAATTTGGATTCCAACAAAATCATATGATAATCTCAGCTACTTTAGAAAATTTAAACACCAACAACAAAATGGCAGGTTTAAAGAGGAACAATTCAGACTAATTGACTTCTGTACGCCAGTGTATGGGCCCTATTTTATGCGAGCACATAGACCTACAGGTGCATCAGGTAGCCTACTAAAAAGTCATTTTTATTTTTTATTGAGAGTGTACTTAAACTTGCAAAATCTCTTTACAGAAGTTATATATTTTATGCAAATATTTTGATCATAGTATTATGACATGGAACCTCTAACATACAGAACAAATATATTTTGGTGATTGGTACACTAAACATAGAATAAACCCAACCATTTAGCATGTAACAAATCAATGTTCAGAATACTGTTGTGTTTTCTCTATCATATTATCGCTTTTTTCAGATCATATACATGTAGTATCTTTTGAAAATGATTGACAGATCTGGCAAAAGTATGTCAGTTGCAACAACCTTGTTGATTTCATTTTGCAGAATGATATCTGATTACTGTATTGACAAAGCAAGCAAATTCACAATATAAACATTCTCTGTACATGAATCCATTAAGCAATTCAGTAACCTGGCATTTTCTTCATATAGCACACTATGAACATCATGATATAACACACTTTATACACAGGATTTTTGTTATATTTAACATTTTCATGAGAAACACTTGGTTGTAAAAGGGCTAACCACAATGAAAAGGATCGAGGGCTTCTGAGGTGGTGGCCCCCTTTTTTAATCTTTTTTACATGTCCCTTCCCCCTCTCCCTTTCATTCTCTCTCTCTCTCTCTCTCTCTCTCTCTCTCTCTCTCTCTCTCTCTCTCCCTCTCTCTCTCTCTCTCTCTCCCTCCCTCCCTCCCTCCCTCCCTCCCTCCCTCCCCCTCTCTCTCTCTCTCTCTTCCCCTCTCCTTTTCTCTCCTATTTTTCCTCCTTTTTTGCCATTAAATAAAGGGGGAGGGGGTAACATGCTTTTAAATGTACCACTGGTGGTATCTTTTATAACAAGGTTTCACTATACTATACGACAACAGGGCCCCATTTCACAAAACTTGTCATCGGTGACAAATGACAGTCTTTGTTATAAGCTACTGAAATCCTTGCTTCTGATTGGTTATCAGCAGATTTGTCAATGATTTTTGTCATTTGTCATTGAGAATGGCTTTGTGAAACGGGTCCCAGATCTTTGGTATCAGCCATCTATACCTATTCAATCTCATCAGTTTATAACATGGCATAGAGTGATGTCTTGTTTTCTACGACCCACTGTTCAAACTTCTTCACGTCTGGTAGCATCTTCTTTGTGGTCTCCATGTTGAAACGTAGATCGTGCCTGGCAAAATACTCAAACATGTTTCCTAGATCCTCGATCCCATCCCCTGGAAGCCGCCGGAACTCTTCAACTTGCATCTGTTCAATAAGACATGAATAAATTTACATATCTCCATGGTAAATTGTGATTTGTATCTTCTTCTTCTCGATTCACTACACAATAACATTCACTCTTAATTAGATCCCCCCCCCCCCTATCCAGTGATTTATATGAAATGAAATAATCATATGAAACAAGTCATTGTAAGCATGAAAACTGGCAGCCATATTAACATACAAAAATGCACATGAGACTAATCTGAATGAGAAGAGTAAAACATGCAATTCCCTCTTCATACGACCTTTAGAATACTCTTGATGTAAATACTGTTGTGACTTTTTTTATATATGTATTGCCCACGTTTCCAAAGCAAAACAAAGTAATTGTTGACATTTAAGATATAAATAATAGGATAACACAAGAGACAGAAAAAGAGTGGCAAAGTAGAGATTATGATACAGGTGTATTTAAGTAATCTTTGTGAGAGTTAAGATCTAAAATACCTTCCATATATTGCTCTAGATGCACTATACATTTGAAAAATTAAAACTGATGTTGTTGTTATTGGTATTTCCATCATCAAACTAGCCATTAGGCTACTGGTATTATTTCTATGGTAATTATCAACATCATTATCATACTTATCTAATTAAAAGTTCATTATAATAGCTACATGTATTTACCTTCATATCCTTGAACTCATTTGGCTTGAGAACTTTGGTGAATATCTGAGCTATCTCATCGACTCGTAGTTTGTCTCCGACCACGTTAAAGGTCTTGTTCATCGTCTGGGCGGGGTTATCAAAGATGTAATGGAGAAGGGGTCCAGCCTGGTTGACATCAAACATGTTGATGGAGGTGTTCAACATTGGGATCTCTGTGAAATGAAAAATAAATGAGATAAGAAATATATAACCTTAAGAATACCAGTTCAGATTATTTGAAGAATTTTGTTAAGTGACAACAGGAGCATCAATCTGAAAATGTTGTAATTTACATTCAAGTGAAAAACAAAAGTTGTTGGTAGTGCATATATTTATCTTTCAGTGCTTCAGTAAGTGTAAGTTTAATGAGGATTCCTCTTTTCCTCTGCATATTATTACAATGAATACACACAAGGGCGATACATTTTGCCATAATTGTTCATATTATGGTCTGATGGATAAATGTAAGAGAATAATTTTTTTGTGATGACAAATATATGACATAATTGAGTAATAACCACAGGTATAGTTTTGGGGAAAAGTTTTACCCCTACTTTATATGTTACCAACATTATTCTATTTAACCCCCAAAATTAAAAAGTTTCAAAACTAATCATTTCAATGCACATATCAATCCTACACATCATACATGTGTCATGTATATACCAAAATGATTGGAAAACACTCATTTTGGCATCAAACATCCCTCTCCTACAGACTTTATTTCCTTCTCAAATAAAGGAGAATATTTATATACTTTTCAAGTGGCTCATCTCCTGCAGTGATGGGAGAAGCAACAGCTTCTGTTTTGCCAACCTTATAGAAAGAACAAAAACCTTTAACCTTTAACTTTAACAGCCAGGGGTTCTAACTGTTTACAAAGACCCTCCATGAGAAGAAGAGGGCTTAATAGGATGGGCAGTAAACAGGATTACAGTAACAAAAGATTCACACTTTTGTCTGACTGGCAGGCTAACCCTGTCTATGTGCTATGGAAGGGTGAGGAAATAAGTGATAAATCTTTTTCAAACATCCCCGTAGGCCTGCAAACATACTACTTCTGAAATCAGTTTGAAATAAATTTGTCAAGACTGGAAATTTGTCTTTTTATTCAGATTAATTGTAACTGGTTACTATACCCTTACTCTCCTTACATGTATGTAATAGTTGTAAATGTATGTATAAGGATGTACTGGTGCATGCATTATTTATAATAACATATTTTGTATGGCAAACAGAAAATTAAGACTGTTACTAGAACAACAAGTATATGCTTTACAATCTTGATGTTTCATTAACTGCTGTGTGTTTTATAGAAACGTGGATTATATATTCAGAAATTGTCAATAAATTCTTGTTGTAACATAATATTGTGAAGAAAAGGTATAAATGCAAACCAGTCTCAGAGTTATTTTCAGGCAAAATATAGGGATAGAAGAAAATATAAAATAGTCGGCAGAAGTGGAAGAATGGTGAAAGAAATTGTATAAGATAAAATGATTAAGCATAAATATCAAAAAATTCAAAACCTACTGTATGTACAGGAAAATATAAAATCACTACATTTTACAACACCTGCAAAAGACTGACTACATACGAAAAACTTACAGTGGGTCTATCATATGGCTCATGTTTTGTAGCAACAATTTTAAACACATATACATGTAGGAAGCCATTTAGACATGCAAGTTATAATTCAACAGATATAGGGGAAGAGAGAGGGGTAAAAGTAAATTTACACAATCCGAAGGTTCAACATAACAAAAGAAACTTCTCCATGTTGCAATTTGAAGTGATATATTTCTCGAGCATCTTATTTGCTGAGCTAATTGACTGAGTCATTTTAGTATGTGCTCTAACCAATCGCTTCAAGCACTTAAGCCAATATATCTAACTATTACGCCTTTTCACATATACTAGCCGCTGTCCTGTTTTTCAATTGTGAAGGTATACTATCGCCATTTGAAGTGAGAGATTAAACATATAAGTTAAAGGTTTTGCAATGAGATACATGACATGCATGGTGTACTTACTGTCAAGACTAATATCATCCCATACCATTTCCCACTTTTAAAACAAAATATTAAATTCAATTTGATTGGTTTGTTTCAATTCCGGCAAATACATTTTAAGAAATACATAGGTAAATACATGAAACATATATATAAAAACAAGTTTAAAAATAAAGTAACACAACTATATACAGTTATAATAGAGAACCACAAAAAAGAAGAACAAAAAGATTGTATAATGGGAATTAGGATATTGTTTCAGACTTTAATCTTTGATGACAAGCTGTCTATTGGTTAGAGATGTCATTAAAAAAATGAATCTCAACACACAATCACTACATCTTTTATGCTCACCTAGTCCATAGACATGCTGCTGTAATTTCTTTGGCTTAAAAACTGTCGCAAGATTCTGATACGAAAAAGGAAAGATGACGCTCGTCCTGGGAAGTTCACGTTCATTGATGTAATCATTGATCCGGGCCTTGGAGTCACAGTTGGCTGCTGAGATTCCAATGGCCTGTCGGACAGAGGGGAGGGTACTGAAGATAATGTGCTGGACTTTCTTCACCATGGCAACATCGACAACATTTTCACCTAGCTGGTATTCCAGCTCCTCCGGATTGGAAGCACTGAAATCAGTGTCAGTAAAAAGGAAACATCCGTAAGCTCCTTCAAGTGCGGTGGCTATACTCTTCCGATCTTCAAGATTTGTTTCAAATATTTGGACCCCGAGGTCGCGAAGCTTCCTTGCTTGGTCTGAAGATGCTGCTTTCCGCAAGACAACGGCTCGGATGGTGTACTTGGGGTCTTTTAAGAGGGAGTGGATTAAGGAAAGCCCTTGAGGTTCTGTTGAACCGAAGACTGTGATGATCTTTGACATTTTTAGGATGAACGGTATTCCAGAGGGGGTCAAAACCTGTGGAAAATAAAAAGAATGAAACATTAAGGAATCAATACAGTTGGTGAAATTCATTCCTCCATATGGCTCCATCAAAAATTTAATAATTGAAAATTTGAAGAAAAAAAAACATAAAATAAAACTTATATGATAAACTGAATGTACTAAAATATAATTCACCCAACAATTTAAATTCACAAATGCAGCTACTGCAAGTCATTGAAGTTGTACTATTATTATCATCATCTTACCACCACCATCATAGTAGGCCTAAATCATCATCATCACCATTCATGCACTACCACCACCACCGCCGCCACCACCATCATCACCATCATCATTACACTCATGCATCACCAACATCATCAATGAAACCAATAATTAACATCATCAACATCATCAACATCATCAACATCATCATCATCACTATAAAACACAACTATAAATATAATAAAATTGTACAACATAGTTGGATGAAATTTAAACCATTTGACCTCATGAATTCCCATGCAATGATCATGCAAGCCCAATGATCAGTGTGTATTTTAGCACTATGCAGTAATACACATCACCATCTTGAGGTAAACATCACTCAAATTCATTCAATAATCATTTCTGCACAGCCATTATTAACTCCTAAACAACAATTCCCCTTTACAAGAGTAATTTTCCAATATGTTTACCACAATTTGTTCAATGATGAGCCAAAGTATATAATAAACAATCTCACTGTGGGAATATAGCGAATAGTGTACACGATGAAATGGGAACCTCCACCACCACATACAAACCCAATTATTGACCGGTGGACTCCCATCAATAGAGAGGCGGTACGCTATCGTTACCCCTCTAAACGTTCCCAAACTCCTCAACAGACAGTTAAGATGTTACACTTTATACTACTGCAGAGCAACGCTAATAAATTACAAACAAAGACTTACGATATATAAGCAACGCCTTGAATGATGAATTCTAAGTTGGAAGAAAGTTATGAAGAGTTCTTAGATTTAGATTTTGAGCCTTATGATCCTGCCCCGAACCTCGACACACTGAAAGAGAAACTACCAGATCGCAACTTGAATAGCGTACTACGTTGCCAGGTACCGGACGTAGAGTGGGGCGGTGAAGATCAAACGAATAACGGGGTCCCGTTGTTTCGAAACGGATTAGCTGAGGGCTCAGACGATATACTACAAGTTGAAGCTCATCGAGCAATGGACAAAGTATACAATGTTTGTATTAACAGTTACAGAATTATTTCGTACAGTTTAGTGTGTACATGCGTTTCCAACAGTTTTGACAACTAGACGTTATTGATTTTTTTTTGTTCTTCTTCGACTTTATCGCGCAGGTCAACCCCCTTTGTCATAATCGGATTAAAGTTGTTTTGAAGCATTAGCTGTGAATAGATAATCAATAAGTTTGTATTTGATCAGAGGTGCCAAACTATATATGCAATGTGATCCGCGGTTCAATCATCCTTTTTGAAGCAAAAGCAACGAAAAAAATACATCGATTTACACTTTTAAAGAAACACGGTGTTAATTAAACCAATATTGCAGTTTATAGTTGAATAGTAAGCGGGGCCGAAAACTCTTGAGCTAAAATAGTTTAATGGTTTTGAAGCTTAGGCCCTCATTTTGGTAGAAATACAGATTGAAATATAAGAGAGAGAGAGAGGGGTCGGGATGGAGGTAGAGAGATCGAGAGAGAGAGAGAGAGAGAGGGAGAGAGAGAGAGAGAGAGAGAGAGACTTGATAGAGAGATGGATAGACAGAGAGAGACAGAGAGAGAGAGAGAGAGAGAGAGAGGGGGTCGGGATGGAGGGAGAGAGAGAGAGAGAGAGAGAGAGAGAGGGGGAGAGAGAGAGACTTGATAGAGAGACAGATGGATAGAGAGAGATAGGGAGGGAGGGAGAGAGAGGGAGGGAGAGAGAGAGAGAGAAAGGAGAGAGGGAGGGAGGGAGAGAGAGAAGGAGGAGGAGGGAGAGAGAAAGATAAATAAATTCAAATCTAGGACACTGACAGGGTATACCTCATAATTACTATATTAATTTCTTTTAAACGGTAGCATTTGAAATGGGTTCGCTAACACATTAATTATTATTAGGGACTTCCATTCAAAACGCAACTATTGTTTTAGGTTTTGAGTTTGATTGATTGATTTAAGTTCGCCAAGTTTCCAGCATACAACAATATAAAAGAATTACAGAATTAATGTGGGGGTGAAAATCAATTTCCTCAGAATCGGGAAAGGGTTGGCCTTTAATCGCTTACGATATACGGATGTTCCGCTCTAATTGAACGCTTTAAAAGGGGAATCCAAGAGTTATTCATAACTGAAACCAGTTCGACCTTTCATCCAAGTTAGTCCTCAGATGGGTATTATTTTTTTTCAAAATGACCTTTTCTAAAGGGGTTAATTATGAAGCATTCCGTTACACACCCATTTCAAACCAAAACATTACCTCAAGGACTGTCCGCTGGTCTTCTTTTTTCAGAGGGTGGTTGAGGATACCTTTTCTCGTAATCATGATATTTTTTAGGGTGTCTTTTTTTCTTTTTTTCTTTTCGTTATTTTCTCATTTCTGATAATCGTATTTCATTATTGTGTTATATCTGTTTTGTTACATTTTGCAGTTCACAAACTAATTATTGAAACCCTAACCATGTAACCAATTTTTTGTATTTTTTAAGTAATATATGTGAGGGGAAAAAAATGAAAATAGTATTCGACAAAGGCCCTAATTCAATCAATTCACCTTTCATTCTTGAGTTACTAAAAAACACACAACACAGCATCAAACTTACAAGGAGTATGAATAATTCAGTTGTTAACTGCTGATATACAAACAAACATTCAAACAAAAAATTATTTCTTAAGGTTAGGCGAGAAAAAAAAAGCACTACAAAGATTTACTGTGACAAGACTCTAGATGGCGCCCATGAATTTGATCAAAGCAGGGAGGTGAGACCATACTCCCTATTCAAAGAGAACTTCTCCATGACGGCTATATATTTTTAGATCATTATTCATGATAATACAACCAGGGAGTTGGAGTTCCCTGATACAACTTAACTGTATTTAAAGCCTTAAAGGTATAAGTGGATGAGAAAAACATCACCTTCAACCCATTTTCATTTCGATATGTCTCTCATCTTTTATTATCATTACATTTAAAATAAATTGATTTGAGTGGTTCCGGGAGGAATATGAACACCATTTAGATTTTATTACAAATATCTTCATTTATAGAAATCGTGACCAAGATAAACTACATTTAAACATAATTATGTCAAGATTTAAGAAACATATCAGCCTTTTAATACAATGAGAGAGAGGGGTGGGGGCTAGTACCTTGGTACACCCCTTCCGTGTTTTAAAAGTAAAGATGCAACAATATTAACTAGGAAGTGTTATAAACTCATGGGCCCGAATTCACAAAGGAGGTTTGTCGACAAACCTCCTTTTGTTTCGACAAACCTCCTTTAGTTTTTTACAAACCAGGTTTGTAAAAAACGCGTCAAACCGCGTCATATGACGTACATAAACCTCGGTTTGTCGACAAACCTCCTTTGTGAATTCGGGCCATGGTCTTCGTGGAGATCTTTTTTGTTGTTTATACTATAGGTCTATACTGCAAAGGATGATGATGGATATAGTGATTGACAATTAACACCTCTGATGCATCGCTCGGACCTCCCAAAAGTTGTGCGAAACCACGCTGTTCAAAATTATGCACGGATTTGCATAAATTATATATGCCTACTGGGGGGGGGGGGGGGGGGGGTGAGCCCGACGGGCCCGGATCCCCTAGCAAAAAGATAGCAAAATAAGATGGTAACATTAATTTAACCTTTTTGAAACCAAACTAAAGCCCCCCCCCCCTTGGCAAAAAGAATAACAATAATTATAAAATAAACAAAAAATTCCCCGCCCCTCCCCCAAAGGTTTCTCCCCCCCCCCCCTCGCTTATTCACCTGCTGGATGATTCGCTGCTAAATATTTCCTTACAAATTGGACCACAAAAAAGTGCTCTTACCCCCCCCCCCCGCTTATTCACCAACTGGCCGAGTTACCGCTAAATATTTCATCACGAATTTGCCCCCCCCCCCCCACCCTCCACTCTTGCTGCCGACTGGATCCGCCCCTGCTGGAGTTACATGTGATTTTGTAGAAGCCTATACTTTCTGAAGGATCATAAGTCTGAAAGGTTCGTTATTTCAAAGATTCACGCTTAGCGAACATGATTCGTAACCTGAAGATGAAATAGGGTTCAATAATAAATTCAGAAAATGAAATAGGGTTCGTAAATATAAAACCCTATATATATATATATATATATATGTACATTATCTTTTTTGGGGAATTACGAACCTTTGGGCTTATAAAACTCATTTCGTTTTCAGATTCTCAGAATTACGACCCTTCAGAAAAACACACACCAGCCCCCATTATATATTCGGGGCAGGGTGTACCCAGGGCCAGGAAGAGTCTACCGAAAGTTTAGATTTGGCAAAATAATGACAGTATGGAGGTTTATTCAAGTAATTGATGAGGGATCGCCTTTTCCGCACCTGATAGCATTAAAGGTGTTATAATATTTATTTATTCAACGTTAATAAAAATAGAAATAACATTTTAAATGTAAGAGTCGCCCCATACCCCATGTACCACCCCTACTTCCTCTAACCGTACCCCCCCCCCCCCCCCCCCCCCCGTACCAACGGTCGCGCGCTGATGACGTCACACCGTACCATATCGATAAGGGTACCTCACTGACCTGAGAAACCTCCCCTTATCTTTACAATCTGACATCTGGAAGGAACGATTAACAGTTTACTGTTTTGCTTGCTTTGGGAAAGGTAAGGCGATAGTTGTTCTCTTATTACTTGTGTGTGTGGAGGTTTGATTCATGATATTGAAAATTTTGTAGCGTTTAAAACGCTATTTTGTCGTATGTTTTTTGCGACGGTGAATGTCAAATTATGCGACAGCGAGGCCGAGGGTGTGTTGTGGACATGGAGCGCTGGGCAGCCCTAGCGCTGAGGCAGGGCTGTATGGCCCGCGCCGGGCTTGGAGCGTCGGCCTGTCTCGCGATCCCATCATCCCTTCACAGCTAGGACCTTTCTCCATTATAAATATAATTGGGTGCGGATGCATGCGCAGCGAGCTACGGGAATTAATGAGTGGGACTAAATTGGCTAAACAAAAGAGGATATAGAGGTATACAATGAAAGTTGATGCTGTCTACCCTACTGTACATGTACTACTAGATCTAGATCTAGGTGATAATAGACCAAAACTGCAAAAGCTTCAGTCTCTGAGCATGCTGAGTGTGATAGACGGTTGTTCCGCTGAGATTACATCTGGCTCCTCTGCACTGACGAGTCTCCTTCGTCTTCTTCTTCCCTAGGCTATGGGGAATGTTGACAAATGTCAGATTTATTGAAGAATGACCCATACCAGACGGTTATGTTGGCTCAGTCAGTAGAGCGTCCGCCTCACAACCGGGAGGTTGTGGTTTCGAACCCTGGCCGCGTCATACCAAAAGACGTTAAAAGATGGTAGTTGTTGCTACCTTGTTTGGCGTTCAACAATAAGGGATAGAGCAACGTCGATCTGGCGCTGCTCAGTGGCTGCCGGGCTGACGATCAATTGGGCAAAAAGAATTTTCGTTTCGGTTTAATAAAATTTGGAGTGGACTATAAGGCTATTATTATTATTATTATTATTATTATTATTATTTCTCTCTAGGTGATAATATGAAATATGATATTGATATCACCTTGTGTCAAGATTGATGTAAATTGTAAACAAAACCTAAAATGTGTTCGTTATCACCCCTTCCCACATCCAGCAAACTTGCCCACTGGCTTTGGAGTTTGCTAATAGACTCTTCTATCTTCTTATACAAAGCTTAAACAATTAAAAAAAAAATATATATATATTTCTATGTCTATATCTAATCAAATCAAAATTTGAAGCTGGAGTGATAGAGATCTGCTAATACCTTCCATGGGGCCGCTACTGGAAACCATCATAATTCTAAGTTTGTGAACATTTCATTGAAATGTGTGTTATAGAATTATGGGATTTCTACGAACTTAGACTTATGGGGGTTTTGAGTAACGGCCCCCACGTGTTCCTGATGATAATGAGCTAACATGCGATTTGCATTATAACAAAAACACTGACCTCTTACGAGAGTTCGCGATGTTGGATCTGCCTGAATGAAATGCAAATACACACATGGTGTACACAGAAAGAACCGTTTTCGGGTTGCCAATTTGATAACTATTTTACGATAATAGCAATTAGTTGCACGAGTCCGCTGAATTTAGCGAATTCACTGCACGCACCTTTTTACACTATTCGCACCACCCCTCCCATTAAAAAACAATTGAGCTATGCCCATAATGCCTATTGTATTAGTTGTCTGTTTGTTTTAGTGCTGTACATGTACATGTATACTATAGACAGAGTAAAACAATAACAAAGTTTTCCTATTTAGTACTATTCTAACTTTTCCAGTTTTTACATGTCAATATTTTATTTTTGACTTAAATTTCATATTTTATACTTGTTTGGTATGAATTACTAGTTTGCAGTTTGACAGTTTAGAAGAATGATCCCTCAGATTAAGAGAGTAGAGTAACACTTTTCTTCTTACTCCTTAAATATTCTTCCATGATATTATTAGCTAAAAAATGGGTTAATTGTGTGCAAGTACAATACACGTTTTTTCAATTGAAAACTTAGTATTTGAACTGACCATTCCACTAATTTCCAGTTTAGCGCATAATTATTGTCCAAATTTGATTTTAATTTGTCTGTTTTTAGATATAGTTTATTTTCAGTTTTTGCATTTATAAGTGTAGAATCTTAGAAATAATATGAGCTTTTTAACACTAAAATGTTCACAATCTTCTGTATTTTCTGATGCATGTCATGTTTTGTTGTTTGGAATGTTTGCATTATGAACAAAACACACATGTGCAAATTAAACAAGCAGCACATGTATGCAAACATACATGTACATGTACATCATGTATTTTCATGATGTAAATCGTATTGTTGAGTTTATTTTTAGATGTTTACATTATCATGGACTAATGGCAAGACTCACAATACAGTTTATAGCAGTTGAGGAAATGTTAAATCATAATGTCATAAACCAGGGGTAATATAAATGTACATATAAGTCGTGCCTTCATGGGCCTCTGAATATCAGGTGAATAATTATGTTTTAGACGAAGTACATTCCAATATAATGTTTCATTCAAATCCAAAGCCCATAGATTTTTGTATAGATTTTTTTTATAGGGCTAAGTCACAAGTCACAAGATCAAAGCAGGAAAACATTATAGATTTTTCCCCTTTCAAAGTGAAATACAAAGTTATTTAGTACCTCAGAAAACCTTTTACATCTCAATCAAGATTCAATCTACAGATACATGTACATGTTATGCAGAAAGCGGAAAATGTCCTTCATAATACATGTACATGTAGATTACAGACTTGGAAACATGAATGTCTTAATTGCTATTTAACTAAGGAAAAAAAGGTAAAGCATTATTTTTAGACTAACCACAGATGGGGGGAATTTGCTTTGTCGTTATAACTACCAGCACATTATTTGCTGTACAGCATTGTGCAAAAGTCCCATATAGAGTTACATTCAAATGCGAGTGATAAAAGCAGGAAAATCGCAATTATTCACATGTCATTAATCATTACGTGTAGTTATGGCATTATCTATCCAAAGTAATTTTCATACTAATACTCCTTTAACTCCTACCTTTTGTGTATGATCCTTTCTAATTTCTATTAAAGGTATTACAAAGTTTTGGTAAATTTTGAAAATTGGCTGGATAGTAATTTTTTTAAATTTTGATATATCTGGATGCCCCTTTGGATGTATTATAAGCACTAAAAAAATCAGCCCCTAAAACACTTCTGCTTTTGAGAAAAATTGAATATACAAATTTACCGGTGCTCCCGGTAAATTTTGATAAATTTTCAAATAGCGCCTATGGCCGTACAATGGTAGCTGCGACCATGAAAATCTCAGAATAGGTAGTTGTGATATATATTCCAAACGGTAATAGCAAATCGGTCGATTTGATTCAAAGAACATTGTTTTATAGCTAAATTCATATATTGACCTTGAGAGGGCGCTATACAACATAAAGAGTTTATCATTAACAATTTCATCACTTTAGAGTCGATTTCAACCGCAACAACGATCACTGAATATTGTAGGATCGCCTATGCTTCCAATATGTTCATTTGAACCAAATTCATGACCCCGTACTAAAACTTTGTATTCAAGTTTCAAGTTTCAAGTTTCAAGTTTATTTGTCTTCCAGAAAACACATGTGACAAAATATAATAGAGTATAATCATAACAGTACAATGTAGAACAAAGGAAGACGAGGAGACCTTGGTTGAAGCACAGCTTGTTAAGTTAAGGCCCCCTCATATGATGTGACAAAGATAACTTATTTATGAATACAACAACAAATATGGAATATATAAAACTATTTACAAAATACTCTCAGAGAACAACTACCCAACGTTGCATCTAATATGATCTAATATGGACAAACCCAAGCCGACACCAAGTCGAGACATCAATGAGTTATTGCTCTCTGAGTGCAGAGGTCAAGTAGGAATATATGGTATATGTAGTATGTACAGATGAGAAAGAAGAAGAAAAAAAGAAAAGGGATAAAGGGGGTTATATGTCAAAGTCAAGAATTAACGAAAAAAGATCAAGAGTAGAGTTAAATATTACCTTTAAATATTACCTTTAAGTTCAGATTTATTTGTCACAAAAAATTCATGACAGTGATCAATCTGAATGACCTGGCATTGAATTCTCTCAAAGAGAGAAAGATCTTGTTTATTCTGCAGGAGCAGTGGTTTTAATTCAGCAATTTTCGCTGAGTCTTGATTAAAATTTCATAATGTGCCTCTTTTGGGGGTAATTTACAAAAACAACATGTAAAGATTAACATTAAGTTCATTAATGTAGAGATGTCAATGTTAATGTAAACATAAATTTTTATCCTGAATTTATCAAAGAGTTTTGAAAATTTAGTCATCCAAATTATGTGGTAATAAAGCCTACATGTATAAGGCCCTTTTCAATAATGTGCCTATTTACATGTGCATGTATAATCAGCTTACATGTACCGGTACTTGTCATGTGATTTACCTTGATACAATCTAATATTAAATGTCAGTCGACCTGCTGTCAACCAGCACAGTGCACAGTTTGCACACCCATAATTATGAAGGCAAACGGGTTTCTACCATGGTCCATACGCAGGCTGTGTAGTACCTGTATCTTTCTACTCACACACTCCAACACACACACTCGCACACACACACGCCATAGCCTCGTTGAGATGGATGCTGCAGCAGGCATCTAATTACAGTGGAGATGCTCTATCGTCTCAGTCTCTGAATCCACTATTAATGCCATCGATTCATAGTCATACCAGCAAGTGTTTACATTGGTTTGTCTGCGATTCAAGCATATTACTTGTGATGTGCAGGTACATGTTTATGAATAATGATTGGCAAAATTGTCACAATGTGTTGGGTGGCTGTTGAATTAGCATTTAGATTTCAGTTTGTCATAAGTACGGTATTAAGAATGAAAAATAATAGGATAATGTGGGAAAGAGACGATTTAGCCACACACACACACAAAAGTTGAAAAACACACCATTTGGCAATTATTATCGAATTAAATAGTTCTTTATGCATGAGAAAATGAATTTTCTTGAATGAATGAGTACTTTTGTCATACTGTCCTTTCCATTGTCCATTGTATTGCTTTGTCATAATAATCCCTCTAGCTCAGGCTTTTGAGCCTGGGGAGATGGGAGGACCTGGTAAGCCTATTGATTATTGAGTATCACGCATTTATAAATAGATCGTAAGTCCGCAATGACCCATGTTTTTAAATAACTCCTGATGCATTGTTGCATACAATCAAGGAGTTACCAGATGGTATATTGCACATTAAATGTGTGTGGCAGTGTTTGGTAATTGAGTTTGTGTTTTCACAGGGTGATGGAGGGAGGGAGGGAGTGTGTATGTGTGGGGGCATTGGTGGATACGTACATGTATATGTAGGACACTCGCAAGAATCGTACAGACAGAAGAAATGGGGGGGGGGGGGGGGGAAGGTGTACATGTAGGGAGGAACATGTGTGCATGGCTCTGATCAAGGGCACCCTAGTGTTACATATGAGGTGAATTTTAAAAATCAATTATAGACTGTGGCAACATTATTTTTGTAATCAGCAAACATTATGCAACACATAGCTAAAAAGTCAGACTTTAACAAATTGTTGTTAAACGGCAATCAGTAGCTAAATATCACATCATCAAAATTGTTACGTACATAACTCGGTGTCCACTTCATGCTGATATTTCTCTTAAAACATACTGTTAACAAAACATAAAACCATTGTGCCATATCAACGTTTTTATGCCTCCGCCACCGAAGGTGGTGCCGGAGGCATCATGTTTTCGGGTTGTCCGTCCGTACGTCCGTCCGTACGTCCCGTTTGACCGTTATCACAATATCTCAAGAACCATTTAAGATTTAAACTTAAGAATCGGGAATAGTATTTATCACCATAGGAAGACGATCTGATTAGATTTTGGAGTACGTAGGTCAAAGGTCACAGGTCACAGAGGTCAACTTATGAAATTCCTTGTATTGAGTTTGTTAGCGCGATATCTCAAGAACCATTTGAGATTTAAACTTCAAACTTAAGGATAGTATGTATCACCATAGGAAGACGATCTGATTAGATTTTGGAGCACGTATGTCAAAGGTCAAGGGTCACAGAGGTCAACTTATGAAATTCCATACATTGAGATTGTTATCATGATATCTCAAGAACCACTGGAGATTTAAACTTCAAACTTAGTGATAGTGTGTATTACTATAGGAAAACAATCTGATTACATTTTGGAGCATGTAGGTCAAAGGTCAAGGGTCATAGAGGTCAACTTATGAAATTCCATACATTGAGATTGTTATCATGATATCTCAAGAACCACTGGAGATGTAAAAACTTCAAACTTAAGGATAGTATGTATCACCATAGGAAGACGATCTGATTAGATTTTGGAGCACGTAGGTCAAAGGTCAAGGGTCACAGAGGTCAACTTATGAAATTCCATACATTGAGATTGTTATCATAATATCTCAAGAACCACTGGAGATTTAAACTTCAAACTTAATGATAGTGTGTATCACCATATCATAATATCTCAAGAACCACTGGAGATTTAAACTTCAAACTTAATGATAGTGTGTATCACCATAGGAAGACAATCTGATTAGATTTTGGAGCACGTAGGTCAAAGGTCAAGGGTCACAGAGGTCAACTTATGAAATTCCATACATTGAGATTGTATCGCGATATCTCAAGAACCACTGGAGAATTTTCACTTCAAACTTAATGATAGTATGTATCACCATATCATAATATCTCAAGAACCACTGGAGATTTAAACTTCAAACTTAATGATAGTGTGTATCACCATAGGAAGACGATCTGATTAGATTTTGGAGCACGTAGGTCAAAGGTCAAGGGTCACAGAGGTCAACTTATGAAATTCCATACATTGAGATTGTTATCATGATATCTCAAGAACCACTGGAGATTTAAACTCCAAACTTGTTTAAATTGCTCTATGGCGGAGGCATCATTTTCGACTGCGCGCAGTCAAAATTCCATCTAGTTCAATTTAGTTATTAGAATATGGCCAAAACAAATGTGGACACTGAGTTATGTACAGTACATCTTATTCTCTACATGCTTTCTCTTTGCCTCATTGTCAGATATGGTTTTGCAGTAGTCTGATAATGACTTCAATTGAAGAAGTGATGTGTTTCCTGAATGAAACATTATTTGAAATGTGTAAATAGTTTGTAAACTACTATTTCAGGACTGAAATATAAGATTTCTGTAGTTAATCGTACATACATGTAACTAAGGACACCAAAAGTAAGTAGTTTTACATTCAAATTATAACTTCTTGTTCCTTAAATTCAATAAATGCTTGTTTAAATGAAAATGCAGAAGGGTGCAATTCATGCTGTAAGAAATGAATAAATTTATTTATGAGAATTTATTTCAAATTTTTGATTGGTAGTAACGTACATAACTTGGTGTCTTTTCATAACGGTGTCTTAGTTATGTACATGTACATGATATGAAAAAGTTCAAACTGCAATATTTTGTAATATTCTTCTCACCAGATCAGACGTGTGTATGTCTTATACATTTTTTACTACCGGTATCTTACCATGACAAATAACTAAATATACATGTAAGTGGTCTTATTGAAGAAAAAAACACATGGTGTACGTACAGAAATGTATAAACTGTTGCGTACATAACTCGGTGTTCACATTCATTGTTGATTAAATAACACATACAAGTTAAAATGCAGAATCCAATGTTATCAGTGCTCTTCATTCACCTATATACACCATTACATTATCATTTTGAAAGTATACAATATATTTTTGTATATATTCTGTTGCACTGTTATGTACATAACTGCAGGATACCAAACATTTTCCATTTACAGACATCTAAATATTTTTAAAACCATGACCCAGAATGAAATGATCTGATTGGAAATCAAAGATAAAGTGAAACTAACAATGCAAGCTTGTAAATAAATCAATTATTTATACACTATTCTTCAGTTAGTAAGATTTGAAATTTGCAGGACACCAAAGCTATGTACATATCACAAAAATTGTATCACATGTAAATGGAATAAGAAAGTAAAATACTAGGGTAAAATACTAGAATAACTCAACAGAAATGTTAATTACACTGTAGATTCTACAACAAGATGAAAAAAATCATAAGTTTTGCATCCCATTAGTACAAATCTGGTAACCAATTAGTGCATGTTTTGAATGTACATGTAACATTAAAAGTGCTGAAAATAGGCCTTTTTTTCATCATAAAATTGCTCTAAAATCTTGAATTTGAACTCAATGAAGCTGAAACCTTGTTTGGAGCTTCCCCAAATGGTACTTTCTAATATAAAAAGGATAATTTGTGTCTGGGTCTCATGGTTTTGGATAATTGAACAATTTCCCAGTGTTCAATATAAGTGTACCCTTGATCTGAGCCATGCACATGTACATTAGATTCTTTAAATCCAAAGTATACAAAATATAGGCAATGTACTGTACATACATGTATTACATGTATTGGTAAAGAAAATTGCACTTTAATAGTAAATGCATACAGTGTACATAAATATACTCTATGTGTTATTTTCACCTTGCTTTTATCAACTGTGTGTATGGATTACAAAGACATGCCAGACGCTAAAAGATTTGTATTTAAGTTTATTTGTTTGTTTTGGTGTTTTCTTTAAAAAATAATAAATGTACTTCTTCAGTAGAATGCCCCAAGCCTTAAGCTTGTTCTCTATATATTGGCGGTGTGTATATATTTATGCATGATACAGGCTTACATGTACCGTACATTGTATATGATATGACCAATTTACATTAATGGTTGGAAAATCTTTACTCTCTTATCTTCATTTTGTTCCATTTCCTGCACTCTGCCTTCACTTCATTTCTGGAAATAAATTAATAAAAACCGACATGGCTGGATTTAGAATGTTCTATTTAAACCATGTGGAGTGCCATTGAAAAATTCTACAAAGCATCACATGTTCACTTACCATTGTTCTTTTGCCAAGTTCTCTCCATTTGAAGATTTTTATGTCTAATGCTATACATTCAAAGTTAAAAATAACTCTCAACTGTCTTATTTTAATTTCATTCCTTTTGTCTTCCGATGTTTAATACAGGACTCTAATCTATATCAACGGGATGTATTCTACATAATAAAATTGATTTTGAATTCTGAAGACTGAGACGCCACATACTAAACGGAGAACAGGACCAAGTGATACAAGATGGGTTCCTTGTACCGTAGTGAGGAGATGTGCCTGGCCCAGATATTCTTGCAGTCTGAGGCGGCATATTCATGTGTAGCAGAGCTGGGAGAACTAGGCCTGGTGCAATTTAGAGATGTAAGTATTCATCATTTTTTCTTTGAGTTTGTGTGTTTAGACATTAATATTGGATAAACTACAGAATCTGTACAGATTGTTCAATGTGAACATAAAAATCAACAAATTGAAGTTGTCTTAGTTAACCTACTATACGAACTAACAGTATATTAAAGCACATTGATCTTTCTGTGCTAATAGCCTCACATATTTTTGATACATGTACACTTCATTAATCCTGCCCAAATCTGATGTCATATTCAAATTATTTTCTCTTTCAATTCTGCCAATAGCTGAATCCAGATGTAAATGCATTCCAACGCAAGTTTGTGAGCGAGGTCCGCCGATGTGATGAAATGGAACGAAGGCTACGTAAGTTTTTATGCATCATTTTATAATTTTCCCTTTTAAAAATTACGGTAAGTCCTCATTATATGTATTTAGGTGTATTTGATAACTATTGATATTCAACAAATTTTGTATTACTCCTACACATGTATATTTTCCTATTGAAAGACATACACTGTAAGAAAACAACAGCAAAAACAAGACATCCATACCCAATTATTTACATTGTATATCAGGGCGTGTTTAGAAGATTATTTGATTAAGATAGACTAGACAAAACAAATACACATAGACTTGTGAGTATGACTAGTTAGTGCTTGTCTTGTTGGTCTTTTGTATTGTAATCTGTATTGATAAGATATTGATAAGGGTGTGCATGCTTTACTTCATAACTACATCAAACTCCGGAATATCATAAGATGACAATAAATCTGAATATTTCTTGAGTGGCATTGAATGTCATTGACTTATTAATGATCTGTTACTCTTCTAGTTCTGTCCTTCTAAATACAACTTAATAGCCTTCTTGCTAGAGACAAGCAAATGTAGAATATTGAATTAAATACAAAGGAATAGAGTAATTAAATGATGTGTACATACTGTATGTAATACATGTACACTTTATAGTTTATATGAAAAGAAAGAAATTTTGTTAATGAAATACTTATGTAATTAAAATTGTGATTTATTTTTTATAATTTGAGCAAGTGAAATTTGTCCTTGGACAAGTGATATTAAGATTTGTGGTTTTGTGCTGTCATGTACACATGTATGTAGTAGCTGTTCTCTGTTTTATAGTGGATGAATAAGTGGCCCATTCATCGAATAGATTGATGTTGAATGTGATTAATAATGATGACGATAATAATAAAAGTAATAATAATAATGATTATATAATGGTGATGATAATAACAGTGATAATATTAATTATATCAATAATGAAATAATGATAATAATGGTAATAATGATAATAATGTTACTGAGAATGATCATAATAATACAATACATTTATTTTTGATGCATGATTAGATCTATGTTTGATTATTTTGTTTTGTTATTGTTTTCTCAGAATTATTTTATTGAATTTGTCTTTTTGTATGAATGCATAATATATGTAAAATTTCCCATTGTTAAATATGAAACTCATGTATATGCACATAATGGCAAAGAATGTGGGTCATGTACACAATAAGAAATGGTTTATTTGATCATAGCACAGCATAGTACAAAGTTTATTGTTAACCTACAGTATGACCTCATCATTTGGTTTCTTATTCAACACTGGCTGTACAGATATATATATTAGTTTATGAATAGTGTTTTAAATGGCGTTGAGAAGGCATAGACAAATATCAGTCCTTCAGATGTTTTGAACATGATGATGTTGAAACAAGAACAGGATGTTAGTGTAGATGTAAATTTCTTAAAATAGATTCATCATAAGTCATAACCTATTCCTGGCTGAGATGCAATGATAAAGAAAACATACACCTGTACTATTTATACCTGCCCACTTTGTACATAATCAGCACAAAGTATAAAATAGATCAATAAGAGCAATAAGGAAAGCAAATTGGATTTAGTCAGTCATGGTCAAAGATTATTTGCTCAGTAAGCCGGTGTATCTAATAGCCCTTTTCAAGCGTGAAGAAACAGCAAATAGAGAAAGCTTTGTTTACAGTATATTTTCTACCAGAAATCAGCCTCTTTCATACAAAGTAAGAGATAAGTTACCCAATATATGCTTCAGACATTCCATATCAATGATGCGGTAACAAGAAAACGCCATAGACATCAAATAACTATTGATTATTATTATCATTTTGATTATTATCATCATCATGATCATTATCATTAATGTTATTATTATGAATATTATTATTCTTATTTACTGTATGTTATTGTTATCATTACTACTACTACTACTACTACTACTACTACTACTACTACTACTACTACTACTACTACAGTACTACTACTACTACTTCTACTACTACTACTACTACTACTACAGTACTACTACTACTACTACTACTACTACTACTACTACTACTACTATTTCTACTACTACTACTACTACTACTACTACTACTACTACTACTACAGTACTACTACTACTACTACTACTACTACTACTACTACTACTACTACTACTACTACTACTACTACTAATAATACTACTACTACTACTACTACTACTACTACTACTACTACTACTACTACTACTTCTACTACTACTACTACAACTATAATTTATTTTTATTACTATTGTTTAACCCAGTGACTACTTAATTTTTTTGTTCCATAGGCTTTTAAAGTAGCCATACAGTTCCCATTGGAAATGGGCTAATCAAATACCAGGCATCAGACTGTTTTAATATTTGTATACATGTATTATGTGATATTGACAGGTTTCTTTGAGAAAGAGGTGACATCGAGCGGTATCTCCATCTTGAACACCGGAGAGAATCCTAATGCTCCTGCACCAAGAGAGATGATTGATCTAGAGGTAGGGGGCTCTTTCAGCCGAACACAATTGTATTTATTCTTGATAGTGAATTACAATAAACATGCAGCCTCAGCTTAGTCCACTAATTCAATGCTCCATGCAAGGTTTCCTTGGCAGCTACTCAATCCAATAATAGACCTCATGACCATTAAGTAATAGTCATGTGAAAGTATTTCATTGGGCATTACACATGTAATGAGTAAATAACAGTATGGCCATGCCAACTACTGTATGTACCTATTCTACTCACATTGAGAACAAACTACTTTGTTCTATTGTTTCAATAAGCTGCAGATATACATGTATTCTCTTCCCTTTCCCTTGTCTTTTGCAGTTAATTGTCAGTATCGGTATTGTTAGTATTCGTAATTTAACTACCCTTCATGCCTTCAAAGTTGCTCTAAAAACCCATCTCTTTCTAAACAGTGCTATTTAATCATGTCAATGTATTGTAATAATTTGTGTTGTTTTAGTTTACTTTATTTTAGTTAAGAATGTTATATTTTTGTGATAGTAATACATGTATGTACAACGCCATGAGCGTCAGAGCCTGGCGGATACCGGCGCTATATAAATATCCATATTATTATTATTATTATGTATCCCTGCAATCTCCCTTTCCCTATTATAATCATTTTCAATATGTTGTTACACTCTTTGTAAAATAAGATTTTGTGGAAACCAATAAACTATCTATTTATTTATCTATCTATATATATATATATATATATATATATACGTATAGGCCTACATGTTCTTTTCTCATTTTCCTCTTTACGTTCTTTCTTGATTGTTTCAGGCCTGCTTTGAGAAATTAGAGAATGAACTGAAGGAGGTGAATACCAACCAAGAAGCCCTGATGAGAAACTTCTTGGAGCTGACTGAACTCAAGCACATCCTGCAGAACACACAGACTTTCTTCTCAGAGGTCAGTATGTCCAGGCCTGATAATTACCCTATTTTTTTTCCTCCAGAATTATTTTCTTTTTTTCTTACCCAATTTGTTCTTCTTCTTTTCTTTTCTTCCTGATTTTATGCCTATTTTCCTTATTTTCTCTATTCTTCCCTATTTTCTCTATTCTTCCCTATTTTTCCCTTTTCCCCCTATTTTCCCCTATTTTTTCCCAATTTTCTTACTCAAAAGGGGGGATTGTTGTTAGATGCCATTCCCCCCCCCCCCCGAATCCTCTTTTTTTTTTTACTCAAGGGGGGCGTGATTGAGGGGGAAAAAAAACACCTATTTTTTCTAAGTGCTCACTATCACCCCTGGTACGTCCATCCTGTCGGGATGCCACAAATTTACTTTGGCTCAAAATTACCGAAAGAGGTTGAATTGGAAAAATAGTTTTGATAAAATTAAAACATTTGATACAGTAAAACAGTTACCAGTATTTAATGTAAAATGCCACTCAAGGGATACAAGAAAAGTGATCTTTATAGATAGGTTGCCTTAGTACATGTTTTGAATAGGACATTTTCAAGGAAAACAAAATAGATTGTCTTTATAGACAGGTGGTCTTTCTATTCAGGTGGTCGCTATTAAAGCAGGTGTCACTGCACATGTATAATGATACCAGATTCTTGATGTTTCTTTTGACTAACTTAGATGATTCTGTGTGATGTACCCAGCACAACAAAAAGTCTTTTATCCATTCCTTTCATAATAAAATGAAGATTTCTTGATATGACAAATGACTTCTCATAGTGATACCAGAGAGAAATACCTAACAGTACTCATATCAAAAGATTTTCAATTTTTAATGAAGAAAATGGATTTAAAAGACTTCTATCGTACAGGATACCAGTGTTGTATGGAATTACCCTCCTAATTTACTGAATTGAACAGAAAATATTATAACTAAGAATTGTAATTTTTCTTATGTCTTACACAGGGTAACAGGCCTGATGAAGCATTTGGATTTTCTGACATGCAACTTGGGTAAGTTATGATGTGTTTTAATTTGTCAATATTAACCCTCACACTTCCAGAGACAGATCAAGAAACAGAATTTAGAACTGTGAAGCAGTTCTAACCATCCAAAGAATTGTATTTTATCACATATTATTTTTTTTGTAAGAAAAGCTTGTTAGTCTTCTCAATTTTCAAAGTGCGATTGTGAATTTATCAATTTTTATACCATGAAATGCTATTTTTTTTAAAAATGAACAGGGACAACTTCTAAGCATGATGATTTGACTTGTGTTTTATAATTTGTAGTTAATGAAGACATTTTTGTTGGTAAATGAACTTGCGGTTTGCTGTGATGTGTAGATCAATGTAGGCATGTAATCATTTCTAGGCATCGTCAAGCAGGTAGTCCTAACTTTTTTGAACTTACTTTCACCGTTTGAATTATTGCACTTTAAGAATCATTCAGTGTTATAATTTGATAACATTGTGAGAGATTGTGAAGAAGCTGATTCAGAACATTTTCACATTGATGTAAGTAGCAGATTTGCTGAATTAGAATATATTGATTATTGCTTTTGTTAACATAACCAAAACTTTCTTCTTTGAAAAACTGAATAGATTTGTGACTGGTGTGATTCGACGTGAACGCATCCCTGCATTTGAGCAGATGCTGTGGCGAGTTTGCCGTGGCAACGTGTTCCTGCGTCAGGCTGAGATTGAAGAACCTCTCAAGGATCCTAGCACAGTAAGATGATCAAACATGTACCCACCCTGCCCCACTTCACGCAACCCCTCCCTGCACCCCAGGATGCACCCATCCTATTTAAGATGCACCCCACCCCCTGCACAGTACATACCCCCTCTCCAATCTATGTACCCCATCGAAGCACTCCACCTGTGCCTCTCAGCCAATCACCCCACTTGACCATGTTGCCTATAATGCATGTAGGGGTTGGCAAGTTGTAAAAGAAGCATTAAGACCATTTATTCCTTTAATTTGTCAGACTTTAGATCATGAGTATACCTTATCTTTGGCAACCAGTTCTCTTATCAGATTCATATTTGATTATGGATAAGATGATATATAGTCACTCACTTGATGGTAGTGTTACATTCAAGATTGAATATCAACAGGTGATGACATTTATTTATTTTCTAGAAAAAGAAAAAAATATATACATGTATCAGTGAGTAAGATTTGAATTAATTAACAAGCTAATCTCTCTTGGATGAAACACATTCAAGTACAACATTATGTCAACTTATTGGAAATAAATGTTTCTTTCTTTTGAAATGCGTGAATCAGGGAGAAGAGGTTTGGAAGTCTGTCTTCATCATCTTCTTCCAAGGAGATCAGCTTAAGATCAGGGTCAAGAAGATCTGTGAAGGGTACGTTCAATGTCTCACAATAAGCCAGTTCACAGTAGCAATCTGAGCATGAGCAGATAAAGGTCATTGCAGACCAACCAAATTGTGAAATACACAGAGACAAAATACTGGATACGTGCCCTTGAAAGTTATGTGAACATTATTCATTTATGCACATGCAGTGCACTCCATGATACACAGGTGGAAGTATTCTTTGAAAAGAGGAAACAAAATATCTTTATGTAGCACCTCCATCGCTGTAGGAGTGATTATTTCAAAATGTACAAAATGGGACTTCTTCATGTTTTAAAGAACTGTGGATATTCGGGGTCATTTGGGACATTTGCTAACTGTGAACTGGTCTATTCTTCTGTCTTTACTTTTCTCTGGTTCTTTGACACTGCATGCTCCAGCAACAATTGCTTCACAGTCTTATTCCTACAATAATGACAATGAAACCTGTGTAGAAAGACCACTCTATTGAGTAAAAAGTGATGTTTATAAGCAGGTGGTCTTTATGTACAGGTCCCTTTAAAATATGTGTCAATGTACATCACTATGCCAGGAGACAAGAAATGTGGTCTTTCTATACAGGTGGTCTTTAAAGCAGGTTTGACATCAGTCTTGAAGCAAACACTGTACTTGAACACTATACCAAACTACATACTACAACTGGCTGCTACCTGACAAGCAACTGTTATATTGTTTTACCAATGTACATACATGTATTCTATTCTTTTATGTAAAAATGTATAGTTCTATGAATGTATGTTTTTTTTGTTTTTGTTGTTGTTGATAGCTTTCGTGAAATAAAATTGAATTGAATTGAAGAAGCCAAAACGTGACGTAACCTAAACCCAAGAGGAACCCTAATATCTCTGAAGGAAAAAATTAAGTTTGAATCAGTTTTTGCTAGACCATGTCAGTCATGAGTTCATGTTTTGTAGTGATGGAGGATCAAATACAAAATGCTCTTTCTCCCAAGTTTAGACAAAAAATTGTCCAGTTTTAGAGTTACCACATGCATATGTATAAAGATTAATGATAATCTTTAAATCTTCATAATCCTCTGCCAAGCACGTAAATTTACAATTGTTTTGATCCTGTGCTTGTAATTTTCCATATACTTACATCAGATTTTTGTTTCTCTGTTTCCACAGATTCCGAGCCACCCTTTATCCCTGCAATGAGACTGCAGCTGAGAGAGCAGAGACCTCCATGGCTGTGCTTACAAGGCTGGAAGATCTACAGAAGGTGGGTATTTATATAATATTAGATGGCTTTGAGTGTATACAAGAATATATTGCTCGAGCTGTGAAAATATTGAACGAGTCAGAGACGAGTCCAAAATTGTCACACCGAGAGCAATATATTTTTCGTATCACATGAAAATGAAGCCATATTATATTACATTATTATCTATATCAGGCTGACTTGCAAAATAACCAAATATAACTTACCTCTGTTAGAATGGCTTTTTTTGTTTGTGTGATATCGATAGTTGAAGTTCCCGGATGACGGAGCAATACAAAAACAATATTGGTCAGTCATCCGGGCACTGTGCTAAAGATATTTAATACACTGATTTATTGTACCACTTGGAAGCCTTATATAGATAATAATAATTTTTATTCTTTTATAAATAAATGAATGAAAGGGAAATATATAAAGACTCTGTTGCACAGTAAGGGTTAAAATAGGCTAAACTAACATTTACTTAAATGTGTTCCAGGGTAAATAACATCAAACATAAAAGTGTAGGAATGTCTTTTTGGCAGCCAACTAGAAAAGCTGAAGACCAAAAGTTTATGTTTGAAGATCCATCACATTGTCACCCCAATAGCCCTCATGGGATATAGATAGTAGTGGTTAGGGTAAGTGTTGCAACGGGGTTTGGGGTTAGGTTTAGTGTCAAGGTCATGGTTACATACAGCATTTGCTCTAGGGTTGAAGATAAGACTTTGGATAGTGTAGGAAAATTTATTGTGGAGCTAAAGTCACCTGAACCTAATATATTAATTCTTATCTATTTCTTATGTCTCTTCCACTCAGGTTCTGAGCCAGACTGAGGAGCATCGCCAGCGCCTCCTCTCCCTGGCGTCCAAGAGTCTGCGGGTGTGGTTCATCAAGGTACGCAAGCTCAAGGCCATCTACCACACCCTCAATCTCTTCAACCTGGACGTCACCCAGAAGTGTCTCATTGCGGAATGCTGGTGCCCTGTGTCTGATCTGGATCAGATCAACCTGGCTCTGCGCAGAGGAACGGTAAGTCGTTGTTAAATAACTTAAAGGGGTTGTAGCATGGCAAATACTGGTTATTGATCAGCGCGCTAGCGTTCCCGAAACGGACCGAAGTTCTCATCACGGATCTGTTTCACGTATGTTGCACACACGTGAATACGTAGGACTACTGCGGTCGCATCGTCAGTAGACGTATTATACCCAATTGGCCCCGAGTCAGGCCCTGGGAAAGACCCAAAGGCTCATCATGCTACACCGTCTTTAACCTATTCATGATACATGTATCATCTTGTTTCTCTTAACCACACTGCATGCAGGAAGTGGGTGAACGCTGTATGAAGTCTGTAGGATTGACAGATACAGTAGACAATAGGTTAATTCTTCTTAATAATTTTTAACAGCTTCGTCATGCAAGAGAAACATTGCCAATTTGTAAAATAATATAATGTGAAAAAAGTCCTTTTGCGTTCTACCTTGCATTGCCAATTCAACATTTTTGTAATCATTACTTTCCTTTTAATCCTTCTTATTCATGAACTACATGATGTATGGAATCCGTTAATGGATTCAATGGATTTTGTCGGGAATGTTATTGCTCTTTTAACTTGTGTGCTTTGAGTATTTCATAGCATGATCAGGAGGTTTTTAATAATTCTGTATCGTTAAAAGGAGACTTATCTTTGATGGATTAAGAAAAATAAGAAAGACAACATTTCTTTCGTTTGCAGGAAGTAAGCGGGTCATCCGTACCATCCATCTTGAATCGCATCACAACCGACGAGGAGCCACCCACCTATAACAAGACCAACAAATTTACCAAGGTTTACCAGAGTCTTGTGGACTCCTACGGTGTAGCCAACTACAGAGAAGTCAATCCAGGTATTGACTAAACTGCTGATTACGCTTCAGTCGTTCATTCGTTTGTCCAAGTGCATTCGATAAGGAGATGGGCTTTGCTTACATCGATATGTAGCTGCTCACATTTTTATTTGAAATGCAAGAGCTTTAAAGCACCTCTACACTAGTTTGGCATGGAGGGATTAGACCTCCCTGCAAGGTCACTAGCAGGTGGTCATCTCATCAAATCAGCTCTCAAATAACATAAGAAAAAGGGCATTATGGGGGATCAACAGGTACCGCTTAGGCATTGTTGGCTGTATAGAGAGCACAAATAGCTATAAGTAGTACAGTGGGGCTTTAATATCTTAGTAAGCTGGTCATTGCAGAATACTTCCCCTTTGCCAATAAATCTAGTCGATTTGGACCTCATTGTTCACTTTTGCACAACTGAATCCAGCAATGATACAAACCAGATAATGGATGGAAATTTGTGCATAAAGGTTACATGAGTACAGTGTGAGATATAAATATAATTTCAAAGTATTTTCCCCATACTATGACTTTGGTTTGTTTGACAATTCTATCAAGTTGAACATATTACCAGAGCATGGGTCTACCAAAATATCAGGCACAGTAAACCCTTAAGTGTCAATCAATTTAAGTTCACTCTTCAATTATACACTGTTATGAATATTTTGTAGAAGGAGCAAATTGTCTTTAATGGTGGTCTCTATTTATCTCTTTAAACCCACAGCTCCTTTCACTATCATCACTTATCCATTCCTCTTCTCTGTGATGTACGGTGATATGGGTCACGGCTTGATCATGTTCCTCTTTGGACTGTGGCTGGTGGTGAGGGAGAAACAACTGCACGCCTCCCTAGCCAATCATGAGGTAAGTGTGGCCTTCGGGGTGATGTCTTCAAGTCCTTTTGACCTCGTGGCTATTAGGATGAAGGTCAATGAGACCAATTGGTCCTTATTACATGTAGGTTTCCATTTTCAATACTCCTACAGGTGACCTTTTGGGTGATGTCTTCAAGTCCTTTGTCCCATTTGCCCTATGTCCTATTAGGACCAGGGTCTTGATCAGACCGATCCGACATTGAGGGGGGGGGGGGTTCATTTTCATTAGTCATACATCTACGTGTGGGATGCTGTCTACAAGTCATTTGTCCAATGTCTCATATGTGATATTAAATTAAGGATCTCCATCGGACCAACAGGATTTTTCAGTTTTCTACTTTAGGAGTCCTAAATGTGACCTTTGGAGCGGTGCCACTTTAGCATTGTCCCTCTTGTCCTATAAAGATTCTGTAAAGCCTGCGTTGTGTGTGTTGATTTGCCCCTCCCCTTGTTTCATAGACGCAGGCTATGTTAAGTAGAAAACACTCTGTTCCTCGGATAGGACGTTAAATGGAGGCCCCGTGTAGAGGAGAGTCACCACCTTTGCACGTAATAAGAACCCATTACACTATCCGATAAGAGTAGGGGGAAACCCCGGTGTAATGTTCCACCTGCACACCCCAATCAGGCCGAGTATATACGGCATCTGCAAGAATCTTCAGTATTGAAGGAGGCAGATTATCCTGAAGAAGAAGAAGAAGAGATTAGGGTCATAGGACACCAGCTGCTGGAGCTAAAGCTAGGCTATGAGTGTCCAGTATTGCATAAGGATGTCATATCATTAAGTAATATACATCAAAGAAATAGTATGATCATACTTATTCTCATGATTATTATTAATATCTGTTTCATCCTCTTCTAGATGTTTGGGATGTTGTACGGCGGTCGCTATGTCATCATGCTGATGGGTCTCTTCTCCGTCTACTCTGGCTTCCTCTACAATGACTGCCTCTCCAATTCGGTCAATATATTCGGCTCAACTTGGAATGCTACTAACATGAATTATACGTAAGCCCTAGTCTAGTCCAACTTGGAATTGATATGTGTAGAGGTCTGGGTCTAGTGGATAAGTCACGCGACTGCAGATCACGGCACTAATGTCCTTTGGCAAGATGTTAATCTACATTTGCCACTCTCCAACCAGTTGTCAGTGGGTACCTGATATGTTTGAGCGCTGGTTTCTTTGGCAGCTCGGCTATGACCAGGGTAATATGTGTAAAGCGCCATGAGTGTCATAGCCTGGCAGATACCAGGGCCATTCATATAATTATTATCATCGAAAGCATTGATAGGAATAATAGAAGCAGAAATGGAATCTAGTGGCAGCAGTATTAGAAAAGTTTGTAATAATGTTCTGATGCATTTTGATGACCACACCATTAAAAAAAAATGGTTTCTCATCATTACCTTTAGTAATGTCTAGAGTCAGATTGATCTGAAAAGAAGTTACTCTAGAAAATGACTATTTGTTTTTATTTGTCAACTTCATCATGTTGTTTACATTTTGGTTCTCATTACCTCCTGTCTCTTTCTCTCTCTCACTCTTGCTCTTGCTCTCAACCTCTCTCTTTATCTACCTCCCCTCCCTCCCCTCCCTCTTTCCCATCTCTCCCCTTTCTCTCTGCTTCTCCCCCCATCTCTCTCCCTCTCCTCTCCCTCTCCTCTCCATTTTTATCCCTCCCCTCCCTCTTTCCCATCCCTCCCATTTCTCGCTCCCTCTATCTCTTATATCTCTGCCTCTCCCTCCCCATCTCTTTCCCTCTCCCTCCCCCCTCCCCATCTCTCTCTCTCTCTCTCTCCCTCTCTCTTCCACAGTGATGAGTTACTGAGTCAAGACATCTCTTTAGGTCTGGATCCAAAGTACTCTGCTACAGGAGCAGTCTATCCCATTGGTATTGATCCTGTAAGTATGTACATTGTCCCCTTCAGTGGCGGCACCAGGGGCAAGTTTCACAAAATAGTCACAAGTATAAATGCATAGACATCCCATTGAAACACATGTTCATTCTTTAATGCATGTTTCTTTTGGATGCCCTAGAACTCATGGTTTTTGTGAAATTTGCCCAAGTTCTTTGTAATTTTACAAAGCTTGATAAAGATACATATTAAAGTCAGTTGGACATTATGCAATGCCATTTGATAACCTTAAAGTGACTCAGTGACTTACAGTGACTCAGTAACATTGCCTCAGATTCTGAAACAAAATCCTGAATTTAGCTCATGCTGCAATCCTAATCATAAACCTTTAGGTCAGTCAGGAATCCCATGACTTTTCAAGCCGATCGCCTGTCTGCTTATCAAGATAGTTATGATTGGAAATCAAAATTTCATTTTTTGTTTTCCTGACGGTTTTTATTACACTACAGTCTATTGGGGAAAATGAGTATGGTAAAACCAGTCACTCACTTCATGATCATTTTAAAGCACAATTTTTTTAGGGCTTCAATGCTACACCATATCACAGATACTGATAAAAGCAATATTTTGGATTAAACCATACATTCCTCTTTTGTTCAAAAGCATGAGATTGGAACAGATCAAAAGTAATTGAAATAACTTGAAATGAATTTCAATAAACCAATGTTTGTTTATTATTCCCTTTGGTTGGTAGATGTGGCAGCTATCTACCAACAGTATAAACTTTCTCAACTCATACAAGATGAAACTGTCCGTAATCCTTGGAGTCAGCCAGATGACGTTTGGTGTGTTCCTCAGCTTCTGCAATCACAGGTATCAAATTAATTTTATTTTTCAGTCTATCTGTGATTTCACATTTCATAGGATCGGTGTTACATAGAGATCAGAGATGTAGTTAAAGCCCCTCTAAAGCCCCTCTAAAGCCCCAAATTTCACCAAAAGTTTGATGGCAAGTTTCACTTAAATTGTATCATAATTTGAAAGAGGATGTCATTTGAGACACACTTCTGCAAAGATCCCCCCCCCAAAAAAAAAAATAGGTTTGAAGACAAATATATATTTTTTTAAATTGGGTAGTCTGTTGTTCGCAGAAAGCCTAAATTTTGTAATCTTTCATCAATATTTGACTTCACGCACATTTCTCTTCATCTTTATGATGACTTATGTAAATCCTAATAATGCCCCTATCTAATTAAGCATATCTCTCTTTTTCTCTCACAGCTGATTCCCTAAAGACTTAAAGAAACTCCTGAAGTTTGTCCTAGAGCTCATTTTCATAGTCATATTGATATATGCAAATTGATTATACTAGCCTGCCCATAATAATCTCTCTCTTTCTCTCTCTCTCTCTCTCTCTCTCTCTCTCTCTCTTTTCCCCCTCTCTCTACCCCCCTCTCTCTCTTTCTCTTTCTTTCCCCCTTCCGTGTCTGTGTCTCTCTCCCCCCAGATACTTCAAGAGGTCCCTGAACATCTGGGGTGAATTCGTCCCACAGCTCATCTTCATGATCTCCATCTTTGGCTACCTGGTCGTCCTCATCTTCGTCAAGTGGCTGATCTACGACGTGTGGAATGAGAACTCTGCCCCCAGCCTCATCCTGACCCTCATCAATATGGGTCTCCTCACCCCACCAGACCCTCCTATGTTCCCAGGACAAGTAAGAGTGACAAATATGATATTTATGTGACAATAGGCCCGTTCACACATAACATTTAGTGCGATTTGGATTGCGATGCAGAGATTGATTTTTCTTGGCGACCATTCACACATGGAGAATTCTCGCTTGACGGCAAGAACGTCCGAACTGCCCTGGCATGAATCCCAACGATGTATGCACGCTTGGAATCCTGGGATTAAATAAATCTATTTTTTATTCAATACCATTCACACACAGAGTGTGCGGCAAACTATCGTGATTATTCTGAAAAATCGTAAGACTAACTGCGAATCGTGAAGATTACTGAAATTATTCTGTTCACCCACGCAAAAAAAAAGATTTTTGGATCGCAATGCAAAAATCCATTTTTATAAATATCACTTTTTGCTGTAGGTGTGAACGCCTCTATTGACCTTATTCTTATCATGGAAACAAAGTCAACCATAATTCTTGTAATATGAATGAATATGATATTAGACAATATTTGTTTTTTTGTTGTTTTGTTTAGAGCTTGGAAGGGTTTTGTTTATTGCCTGTACCACTGCCCTTCGGGTTAAAAAACAAAGAAAAAAGAGCCAATTTGAATACTTCTTTGAGAGTTTGAGGCAACGGTTACCTGGCAGGAATGAATTCCTAGAAATGCTAGAGCGCCGTAATGGCTGCACAGCTAAAGCCAGGGTAATAATTTTCAAATTTGTTAAGGCGCCTTAAGCATCCCTTGGAGTGGATAAGTGCGCATTATAAATGTTGTTATTATTATTATTATTATTATTATTATTATTATTGATGCTCAGGCAAGGGAGATAGGACTACTTGATTACCTTTGTAAATAGCCTAGTCTAAATAACCCGTGTAAATGTTCAACTTATTGGTGATAGAAGGAACAGGAAACACTTTTCATGCAGATATATGCCCTACTAGTTTTAAATGTTCAACATAATTTACTATCGGAGATAGCCGCTAATCTAAATGTGGCCCTCTGCTCATCTTCTACTTTTTCAAACCCACATACAGCCATCGCTGCAAATCTTTCTGGTTCTGTTAGCCGTGTCTTGTATACCATGGATGCTCTTCGTCAAACCGGTCGTACTTTATCTGCGGCATCAGAACAGACCTCTAAGCGTGAGTATCCTTCCTACAATTTTAATACTGCAGGGATAAGATTCCTCCGCCGATCGATGGATTTCGAGAAGTAAAAAAAAAAAAAAAAATTCTTCTTCTAACCCTTACCCTAACCCTGTAAGCGGGCGCTTCCCCCTTTACCCCTGCCAGTGGCGTTGCCGTCAGATCCCCAATCAATCTTCCTCCTTTCGGGGAATTTCTCTGTCTCATCCCTGATACTGCCATGGTCTTCTCCTTACCCTGTTTAAATGCACATGTTACTTGTGGATTTACTGCTCACTTGTGGGCTTTGTCACTAGGCAGTACTGTAAAACCATAAACTATGCACATTTTGTGGGTTTGGTCCATATTTTATGACATTTGTGCAATTTGCATTATTGTTTTTATTAACAATCTTTGAATATTTCTGGTTTTACACGCTTTTACACTAATTGGAAAGTTGCTTGTGCAATTGAAATATTATGGTATTCTGAAATATGGATGAGACATTCACACATTTTCAAGATTGATCTGCAGTATTGAAGAAAATTTCATCTCTTGCTCCGTCATATTTGTTCATTGATATGTAGAAATTCTGCAAACGGTAACAACGATACCTTAATAAAATTTAGGATCCTGGAGAAATCTTTGACACTAGGGATAAATAATCAACACTATAATGCCATTTGCTTTAAAACACCTCAAATTGAGTATTTGTATATCTCATTAATCTCATTTAAGGCGCGATAGCTCAGTCAGTAGAGCAGGGGTCTCGTTATCCGGTGACCCAGGTTCGAAACCAAGGCGATGCGCTAATGCCCTTTGGTAAGGCATTAATCCTCATTACCAGGTCCCTCAGAGAGGACCTAAAGCAGTTGGCCGTCTGGTTGCTTACTTACAAGCATTTATGCTTTCTTAGCAGTCAGGTAAAATAACCACCACCGCCGCCATTATATTTGTTGCTCTTTAATTCTATGGACAGACCTATCTAACCTGGCCCAATCGAGGAACAGCCGATGCAAGCGGACTACTGTCCTCGGACACCCAGGCAGTCATCAACCAAGATGAGCTAGCTATCAATAATAGTGATGCAGAAGACCCTGAGACCAGTAATCACCTGGAGCAACCAGCGTCACTGGTTCCTAAAGAGGTAAGGAAGGCTCAACTCTCTTGTTTCCATATGCCCACATGGCAGTTTAGTTTAATCTGCACAAACTCTATGTTTCATTGAGGGTCTTGTCTTGCTTCCGTTTTGTGAAGAAGCAGAGCTCTATTTAGTCCACTTACATAAATCTGATTCTTTAAAAAAAAAAATTGTGCGCCAAATGACAGCATTAGAAAAAAGCAATATGCTATCTTCATCAGCTGAAATGCTCGAAATTCAGAAGGCCCCCTTTTTTTTTTGCTTACTGGAACACAAACTGAAACAAAATATGCCAATTTCTGTACTAAATTTCTTGTCTGACATCCTTCTATCTACTATAAATTAGATATACTTTTGTTCATGATAACATGTGTACCACCTGAAAAAATTAGTTGATGGTTTCACGAATTGGCGTTTCTCCATTGTTTTAGCCTATGCATGTATGTCGGTGTGAAACAAGTGATTGACTTTATGTAAATATCTGTCAGTAGAAACTTACAAGTAATCCGGGGGCTGTCTTTTTAAAGGCACAATCGCTTTATTAATGTTTATTGATTAATTCTTTTTGATTCATAGAGGTTGAGTGGTTTAATGACTCGGTTGAGAATGCATTGGTTGTGGGTTCGAGCCCCGGCACTCTACTTATGTCCTTGAGCAAGGCATTTGATCTACATTGCTCCTCTCCACCCAGGTGCTAAATGGGTACCTGGTAGGATGCTGAGGTCATTTTGATTAGATTGGCATGTACGTCCTCCTATATAGGCAGCTAGCTGGAATGCTCCCCAGGGAGTGGAGAGTGTCCACTTTTATTTCAATCTAATGACCTGGGTAATAATAATTCCGTCAGCGCTTTGGTCACTTGTAACTGGTAAAGCGCTTTATAAGAAACAGTTATTATTATTATTGATTATTTGTTGCTGTTGTTGTTATTATTAATTATTGTTGTTGTTATTGTTTAATTCTCTCCTAGTTCGATTTTGGGGAGACCTTTATCTACCAAGCTATCCATACGATCGAGTACTGTCTCGGCTGTATCTCACACACAGCGTCTTACCTTCGACTCTGGGCTCTCAGCTTGGCCCATTCTGGTAAGTCCACGCAGTGTTGAATTGATTAAAGCCCCACTGCACTACCTATAGCTACTTGCGCCCTCTATATAGCAAACAATGCCTAATTGGTGACCATCAGTCCCCCATGATCCTCTTTTTCTTTTGTTAAGTGAGAGCTGATTTGATGAGATAACCACCTGTTGATGACCTTGCAGGGTGGTCTAATTCCTCCTGTAAACAAGTACAGATAGGCTTTAAGAAGAGGGTGATGGTAGTTCATAGCACAAATAACAATTTCAACCAAAGTGGGCTCAGGTATATATGTGCATGAAAAGATTAAAAAGGAATAGTTTGGGTTTGTCCTCCTGGGCTTTGTCTTACAAAGAGTTGCGATTGATCCAAATCAAACGCAAGTCCTCCAATCAATCACAAGTTTGCAGTCTCCTATCTCTGTACATAGTTGCGATTGATATCATCTCTTTGTAAGACGGGGCCCAGATGTTTAAAGAGAAGGTTGAGTTCTGGGAAGAGGTGAAAAACAATTTGTGAGCGTTATCATTGTTATTATGCAAGTGTGGAAGAACATCAGATAAGACATGTTCCCTGAAAAGCATGGCTCTTCAAATCCCTTCATATTCTAAATATGTCATGTACATCGTAAAACTCGGGGTAGGTTTTTTACGCCACGTGTTCGTGTAGTCCCATATACATCTTTCTGTGTACAGTGTTTGTAACTTTACCAAGACTTGGCCAATTTCTTATCATTCTGATGATTCCAGAACCTTGCAATACACACAAATTCTTATATGCTAGATGATCAACCTTTTCTGGTCGATTCCACACCGTTTCTTTCACAATGCAATCGCATGACCAGAACTCAACTTCATCTTTACGCATGGAGGATCTTTTATCACTGAACATACATGTATGCAGAGGCATATTGGGGATGATGTCGTATTCATCTCGTCTTTATATTTACCTTGATCATTTTGCCTACAAGCTTGGATCACACTGGTTGGTGCAGAATATGAAAACAGTATCCATTGAAAATTCTTGTTTTTTGCCCAAAATAATGAAGCCTTTCAGTTCTTGTTCAAATTCGGTGTTTTTGCAATCTTAAAAAGAATTTGGTGGGAGTGAAACATGTAATTATTTCCCTGAGTCCTGTTCGAAAGATAAAGTTGAGTTCTGGTTATGCATGTGAAAGAAATGGTGTGAAATCGATCGGAAAAGGTTGATCATCTAGTATATAAGTATTGGGAGTGTACTACAAGGTTCTGGAATCATCAAAATGATAAGAAATTTGGCCCAGTCTTGGTAAAGTGATAAGCACTGTACACAGAAAGATGTATATGGGACTACACGAACATGTGGCGTAAGAATCCATCCTGATTTTTTATGATGTTACATGCCATATTTAGAATATTAAGGAATTTGATGAGCCATGCTTTTCAGGGAACATTTTTTATCTGATGTTATTGCACACTTGCATAATACAATGATAACGCTCACAAATAATTTTTCACCTCTTCCCAGAACTCAACCTTCTCTTTAACTCTTGCAATTTTTGTGCATCCTCTGTCTTTTCTCTCATCCAGAGCTGTCAGAAGTCTTGTGGAACATGCTGCTGGCCATTGGGCTGAGGATGAATGGTTTTGTAGGGTCCATAGCGACGTTTGGATGCTTTGGAGCTTGGGCTATCCTCACCGTGGGTATCCTGCTCTTCATGGAGGGTCTATCTGCTTTCCTTCACACCCTGCGTCTCCACTGGTAAGTCTTTTCATCATTAAAGGCATCGTTTAACAATGTTAAATCTGAGATGCATGGCCCTACGTGTTATCAGTGTCTGTGATATGGTGTATTATTGAAGCCCTAAAAAATTTGCGCTTCAAAATGATCATGAAGTGCCTCAAAAAAGAACAAATCTTTGAGTGACCGGTTTTACCATACTCATTTTCCCCAATAGACTGTATTGTAATGAAAACCGTTAGGAAAACAAATTTGTAAATTACGATTTTCAATCATAAATATCTTGATAATCAGACAGGCGATCGGCTTGTAAAATTCATGGGACCTGACCTAAAGGTTTATAATTATCATTGCAGCATGAGCTAAATCCAGGATTTGGTTTCAGAATCTGAGACAAAGTTACCCAATTCCTCTAACTTCCCTATACAGTCAAACCTGTTTTAGTGGCCACCTTTCTATAAAGACCACCTGTCTATTGAAGTCGTGTATTTTGCATCCCTCTTGAGAGAAATGTGTGTTGTTGAACTTGCCTAGAAAGGCCACCTGTCTTCAGTGACCATTTTCTCTGTTGTCCTTGGGTGGCCTCAATAGACAAGTTTGACTGCAGTTTTGTTATCATTGGATGTTTTCTCCTGTGACATTTACTTTGGGCTTTGTTTCATCACAAGTATAGAGTTAGGTGTAGGGTTGGAGTTTAGAGTTAGAGTTAGGGTTGGAGGTGGGGTTTAGAGTTAGGTTTAGGGTTGGAGTTTAGTGTTGGAGTGTAGGGTTAGGGTTTAGGGTTAGGTTTAGGGTTCCTCTCCCTATATGGCTTGCTTGCCGGAGTGTTGGCTCAGTCAGTAGAGCCTCCGCCTCACAACCGGGAGGTCGTGGGTTCGAACCCCGGTCGCGTCATACCAAAAGACGTTAAAAGATGGGAGTTGTTGCTACCTTGTTTGGCGTTCAACAATAAGGGATAGAGCAACGTCGATCTGGCGCTGCTTAGTGGCTGCCGGGCTCACGATCAATTGGGCAAAAAAGAATTTCCGTTTCGGTTTAATAAAATTTGGAGTGGACTTTTAGGCTATTATTATTATTATTATTATTATTATTATTAATTAAGTAAACCACAAATCAGTAAAAGAAAAATATATTATACAAAATGACAAAGATATTATTAAGATGATTGGCTAAGAATTTCAATGTACTGTCACATGATATTTGGCAATGATCATTCTTCCGAATTTATGAATGACCATTCGTTTTAATTTGAAATGCATCTATAATGGTAGTGATGAATATTGAAAATGTGCATACTGTACAGGGTTTTAAACCCATTATTGTTATGACTCATTTTAAAAGGTGACAATATAGATCACACTTTAACTGGTGAACAATCTTCTTTCCATCTCTTTTTCTTAAGGATTGAATTTCAGAGCAAGTTCTATAAAGGAGAGGGCCATCCGTTCTTGCCGTTCACGTTTGATGCCATCCTAGAAGGAAAGGAGGAATAAAGATGGTGCACATTCTCCCACAATCGATGCCCCTTATCTATACCCCTCCCCAGGATGAAAGAAGAAACTCATAAAGGGCTTATATCTTCACCTTCTTCATTTGGAGTTTGTCATCTTTCAAAAGTTTTCTTCTTTCAATGTATTATTCTTTCCAAATTTCTGTATATTCCCCCAGATCTTTTAGCTTTGTTGATATTATATGATATGCATGGATGTAAAGTTGTGGTATTTGTTGAATACGTATGAATATTTGTATTGAATCTATTCAGAAGAATGTTTAGTAGAAATAGACATAAGTGGAATTTATCTAGTGAATCACGGTAAAAAAAAACCTTCTATACCAAAACGTCTGTGCAATGTACGAAGTAATCATCATTACATGTATGTGAGATAAAGATTAACAAAAAGTTATATCAAATTCTATTAGACTACTACAATTACTGATTCCAAAGAATATCACCTAAAGATGTTTTATTAAAGTACTCTATATAGGAATTGTTATAGTGTTCCTAGGTATGCTTGTATTCATGTATTGTATTACACAAACTGTACAACTGGTGATTGTTTTCTGAGTATTAACCCAATCGAGTTTTTCTTCTTGAAATGTGCACCTTTAAATTGGTTATGGTATTTCATTGAAAAGGGTAAGAATTGCATGCATTTCCTTTCATTTATAAATAACAGTTTAGTGTAGGCATATGCATTGTAAAAAAGCAAAAACAAACTTGTTAAGTACTAGCAACATTTACATTTACGATATATTTTGGCATGGAATTCCTACATCAAAGCTTATGCAATTTTATTTATAGACAACAGATTTTTATACTGTTTTCTTACCAAGAATAAATGGCACTTGCATTGAATTTATGCTTGTCATTAAATACTGATTATGACCAACAACAAAAAATCGTCATTAATTAGCATCCAACCTTCTATGCATCCTGAATGACATTTTTTTTTTTTTTTTTTTTTTTTCTGCTCCTACCCCAAATGTTAGGATTTTGATTATATACAGATGTACGTCCTGTGTAGTACACAGCAATTAGAGGCTTAAGCCTTTGAAAGAAATGTTTAAGAAATTGGCAATTTCAGTGATATTCAGAGGCTTGCTTTTCATATTTTCACATTGTATTCCTATTTATTGTATTATTTTTCCATTGTACTGATTTAACATTGCAAAACATTTAGTACATGCTGTACCTGCCTCTAATTGAAATATATCTATTTTTGGCTTCCCCCCCCCCCCCCCATGAATCCATGAAAAATAATGTTTCTGAAGCTGAAGACATGTAATATTCAAACTGCTGTATTCCTTTCCTTTGTCACCTTGTCTTAAGTTAACAAAAAATATATAAACAATACCAGTTATATAACCAATGCTCTTACGTTTATGTTAAGATTTGTAATGTTTTGTTTTATACCTATTACTATATACAGTGTACGTGCTGTCAATTATTGTGAAGGTTTTGTAATATGAATTTCCTTAGGATCACAAATTTATCAATCCGCAATAACAGATTGTTCTGCACCTTAGGGTCAGCACTAAGCTTCAGATGATATGTTATATATGATATTTTTTCTCCTTCGAAGCACCAGTAAATGGACATTTCAAGGTCTTGTTCAGTACATTCTGAACTTTTTCAGAGTTGAGCGTACTGTTTTAACTATTAATGTTTAGCAAAGAATAGAATATGCGATTTTTAAATTAGAAAATACCTCAAGTTTCAAAGAACACGATTATTCCCAAGCATGATATTGAAACCAGATAACAACACTGCTGCATTGTTTATTCTGCTGAAAACTCATCTATTCAATTTATCAATGGTTGTGCATGAATTTTAGTGTCTATTGTGTAAAGATATTTACCACAGTACACCTGAAAATGAATGTATAAGGGCTAGATGTTCATGACGCTGTTGTTGAACTGTTGAACTGCTGGCATTAAAGAAAATGTTTCAGTTATGTATTCATATAGACTTGATGTGGGTCCGTGCTGTTAATAGCAAATGTAAAATCTGTCAATCATGAAAATGATGCCATTGAAAATACATGTACCATGCAACTCAGATTAATTTTGGATATTTAAAAGAATAGTTTGCTCATTATGAAGAACACATTAACACGGCAATATTTTTTGCATTCCTTATCATTATCCAATAATGGAATTATTATTATTTGCATGGAGAAGATTCACATCATATGAAACATATTCAGAAATTGCAAATTGTGATGAATATATTGCAGTTTATAACACATCCAGCATTAGTTTACACATTACAGGTATTTTCTGTCATTTTTTCAATTGATCTCGGGTTTAAATTCTACTGGTTTCATTTGTAACCTTTTCTGTGCCACTAAACCTGCGTCCAGACTACCAAAGTTGCTATACGATTTGAGTGGTATTCTCGAAAGCGGACTCACTTTAGTCCATGGACTATAAAAAGTTGAACCTGGCCTAAGTAGTCCGTGGATTAACTTAGGCCAGGTTTAACACCACCCCAAGTGATTAAAGTTTTGTATTCTAAACCAGTTTGATTATATGATGTCATCTAGTCTGTACGCTCCTTTCGATATACAATGATTCTTTATACGTTTCCTTATACAATTTTTGTATAAGTTTCCAATTGTCTCTACAAGCTGTAAGATTGCAAGGAATAATAAATTATTGTAAATTATACGGGAGGCACAATGGCGCAGTCCGAGGGTAGCGGTCTATTAACCGCGAGGTCCAAACTAAATTGCTGCACTTGTGCCCATTGTTAAGGCATCAATCATTACTACATAAGTCCCTCATAAAAGAATTAAAGCCATCTGTCCCCTGGTCAGGTAAAACAAAGAAACTAAAAACAGCACCCTATTCAAAAAATAATTTATAAAAATGTACATGCTTTTAATAATTACCCAAAAATTTTCTTCAAGTGAATTTCCTGCATAAAACACCATTTAAAAGGTTCAAGGGGCAGCACTGCTTTTTAAACATATTTTTAAAAATTGTTGATAACTATACTATGTAATGCCAGTATTTCTTTGAATATTTACTGTTATTTATCTTGAATTTTTTATTAATGAATTAAATGATCAAGACATGCTAAAATTGGATGAAATTAGCTGATTATAGAAGAAATTTCTTGCTTGCATCAAGCTTAAAGCTCTAAATAATAACTATCCTTCATACTTGTATTTCTTGCAATGGTATACCAAGAATGTGTGTTTTGAACAAAATTATGAGATACGTGTATATTGAAAATAGCATTATTCCATTCAAAGATATTCCTATACTGTTGTATGTACCAAGGTCAGTGTTTTGGTGGTCGGGTGAATTTGTTGGCTGTTATGAATGTATAGATATTAAATATGGAGACTTAGTATATTACTACCCCAAATTATCTGGAATCTGTTCACTTTTTATTTGATTTTTGTCTTTCAAAGTGATAAATATAGCATTGTGGTTGTGGTATGTGTAGTTCCGTATGGGAGAAGAGATAAGGAAAATTGTAAGAGATTTGCTGATGCATAAATAAATCCATAGACAATGAACACAGATAGAACACCTGGGAAATCATTCTCTAGCATCAACTTTAATACTGACAAAGGCATTCAAATCTGATCATAGCATTCCATAAAGACATTTAATGATGTGCAAGATCAAATTATTTAATGAGAGGCTGTGAATATTCTACTAAGCATACATGTAGATAGAAATGGCATGAGATGTCTTGTGAAACTCTTATGAAAGTCTTGCATGAAGTCAAATATTTTCTTATTAAGTGATAATACTGTACATTGCCAGGATCTACATTTCTTTGTTTAAGGCAAAACATTGTACCAAGGTGACACATTTCCCTTAATTAAATCAAATAAGTTTCCCTCACAAAAAAAATCACAGGATGAATTGATTTGTTACATTGCAATTAATGCATGTGGCGCGTATTCAAAATATTCATTTATTTTCTCTGAACATTAATCAAATTCATGAATCCATTTAATAGGAAGTAGACTTGATCTCATCTCCTCAAAATTATTGACTCAATACATATAGACCAGCATGATTAAATTATCACCAAATTATTCATTATAGAAATGAAATAAATGTGTCTATAACTTGATCACTTGAATGTACATGTATAGTGTACAGTACCATAAAAATTAATCAAATATAAAAACCCTTGCAGTATTTTAGCTATTAATTAAAAGATACTGAAATTTGTAAACATTACTGCTCTATGTACTTTGCCTGAGATTTCAGATGAACTTGTTACAAATGACATACAAGAAAAAAATTGTCCCAACTCCAAAACAAGTAAGGGGAATCCATCCGAGATAACAACTGACCTGTGGGAAGTCAAATAATACATAGAAACAGATGAAAGTTTAAAAATAGGTAAAATAAGAAAACAGTTGTGTATGTTCAATTGTAAAAGAACAAGATGGTCAAATCAGCAAATAGTTCGTGAAAGTGGTCATGTAATGGTTACGTATTGGTAAACAACTCAAACCTTTGGTTGTACACTGAAGTAGAATATACCTTGAAAATAATTCATCTATCTTATTAGCATACAAAAACTACTTGGAAAGTTTAAGTGACTCTTGATTTTCTTTCTTCCTGGACTACTCCTCATTTCCTTCTACTTCATCATCATCGTCATCATCTTCTAAAACTTTGGCAGCAATGGTCTGTAAATCCTTCAACACAGCATGAAGGGGTTCTAGAAAACAAGAAAAAAAGAAGGGAAAAGGGTTAATGAATCACTTATGTCTACTCTAATCAAGCATTACATACACTACAAAGTAAATGACAAATAATTCACACAGCTAGAAATTCAGTGATCTTTTTTTTTCTTCAGGTCGAAATCTCTGACTACACACAAGAATATGTCCACTGATCTACTCTTCTAACATATTATAATAATGCTGTAACAAAGATTTTACGACAATCTTTCTGTTGTGGTTTCAAATCATGTCAAATCGATTATGATGATCACTTAAATCCTAACACACTTGATATCAACCAACTACCTTTAATTTTGATGGATACTTCAGTTGCTTTATATAAAAGATTAAATGCTTTGTGATTGAGGTTTCAAACGATATGAATAGTGAGATTCAAATTCTGTGAGTAATTCTAGCCCCTTTGGATGGAGAAAAGGCCATAGGAACATTAAATCAGGAACAGTCTTATAAACCGACTCATGTCACTGTGAACTGAAACAAATAAGGCTTTTCTGCAAAAGGAAGACCCACAATAAACAATTGTTCTAATCTAATGATATTACAATATCTTCAAATATCATATCATAGTGGATCATATAGTGTGTAGGTGATCCGACAATGACCTACACATGCTCTGGCGACATCTGCTCCTGGTTTTATTTCATCAAAAATATCGGTTAGGGTTAGGGGGTTAGGTTTCAACTACGCTGTAGGTTTACGTTAGTGTTAGGTTTGTAAGTAAGTTTTGGGTTAGGTTAAAGCCCATCTGTACTAGTTTGGCCAGGAGGGATTATACCTCCCTGCATGGTCACTGGCAGGTGGTTATCTCATCAAATCAGCTCTCAATTAATATAAGAAAAAGGTGATCATGGGGGACCAACGGGTACCGCTAAGGCATTGTTGGCTATGCGGAGGGCGCAAGAAGCTACAAGTAGTGCAGTCCCGCTTTAAAGAGTTGATGTTTTCGATTTGTATAAGGCTGGAAATTGACCGGAGAGTAACAGTCACCAGAGCATGTGTCGTAAAACCAGTGTGTGGTTGGGGGGCTTTTCATACCTCTTCCTCTATCGGGTGGATGTCTGTCATGGTTGGTGGGTGATATGGAATGGTTATCACTTCTCTCTCCATCACCCCCAGCACAACTGCCATTTTCTTTCTCTATGAGAGATGGTATGTCACCAGTCTGCTTTGCCCTGCAAGTTGCCAGGAGGCCTTCCTGTCTTAATGTTACCTACGGAAGATGAATAATTGGTCTTGAATACTTATGTATACTACCAATATATAAAGTATGAAACCCTTATAAAATTGTAAGGAACAAAAGCATACAAATAAGACATACATCCATTAAAAGAGTTTGTCTGTCAGACTTCATGATCTTTGGTTAAATCTCTGGAACTAAACATAAAACGTAAACATTGAAAGTTAATAAGAAGGATTAATCATGCATCACAAGTCAGTGTGTATCATAAGCATGTAGAATTTAGATAAATATATTTCATCTATGACTCCTTTATGACCTCTTTCATTACCCCTTTGGCAAGACATTGGTCTACATTTGCCACACTCAGCCTAGGTGATGTAAATGGGTACCTGGCAGGAACTAATTCCTTGAAATGCTAGAGCACCGTAATGGCAGCACAGCTAAAGCAGGGGTAATAATCTCCAAGTTTGGAAGCGCTCAGAGACTTAATTGTAATTCGCGCTTAATAAAAGCTGAGTATTATTATTATTATTACCCCAAAACAACCTTGAGGGCATGAAAATAAGAAAAAATATCTCACCATTAGCATATTTCTATCGGCCTCTACTTCACTGAGCCTTGTCTTGAGCTTAGATATCTCCTTGGTGAGGTAGTCCTCCTGCGCTGCAAGGGCCTCTGATGATCTCTCCTTCTCACGAGTATGTCGTCTCTCTAGCTGCCTTAATGATACAACTGTATGGAGATTTGGAAGAAAAAAACCACAAATATTTAGTCATGTAGGCAATAGATAATGTCCTGATCATAAATATACTTCTATTTGCCTCTATTTCACTGAGCTAAGCTTAGATATCTCTTTGGCGAGGTAGTTCCTTTGTGAGGCTAGAGATTCTGATGATCTATTCTTCTCACAAGAATGTCATCTCTCTAACTGCCTAGAAGTGTTGTGGTCTAGTGGATAAGTCACCCGACTGCAAATCACAAGGTACGAGGTTCAAATGCCAGCCTGGCACTAATTTCCTTTGGCAAGACGCTAATCTACATTTGCCACTCTCCACCCAGGTGTTAATGAGTACCCGGTAGGATGCGAAAGTTAACATAGTTTGCTCAGCATTGTGAGCATCTGTAAAATGATGCCTGCCTGGAATGCTCCCCAGGGATTGGAGAATGTACATAATAATATATCTGTAAAGTGCTTAAAGACATCGTTTATGTATTAAGTGCTTTATAAATGCGGAATATTATTATTTATAATAAAACTATACAGAGATTGAAATAAAAAAGGTAGTTTAATTGAAAGGACGTTGTTTCTCTAGCAGCCTTAGTAACACAATAATCTATTTTCACTAGTTTTTCCTAGTCTATTTCAATAAAATGTCATAAATATATGTTATCACTATCACCGTCATAAGTATTGGACATCACCTGTGTCAAGGAGTGATAAAGTTAAAATCTAAATGAGACTCACAGGTGTTTCCTCCTGGTTTTAGAACTTGGTGGAACTCCTAATCAGTGAGTATTACAAGTTGAATATGATGAAATAGGATAGTACATCCATGCTAATAGAATAGTATTCAGGATCAAGTATAGGAACCATTTACCCCCCCCCCCCATCCCACCCCTTATGCACCACTGACAGAAGATTAAGCTCAGACCTGCTTTAGCATGTTCCCTCCTAGCCTCATTCAATCTCTTCTCCATCTCTGCTAGTCTCTCTGTATGTTGGGATTCAAGCAACTTGCACTTCTCATCTGAAGCTAGAAAAAAAACAGAAAGATGATACAATTATTTATAGTGCAATGCAGAACCGATGGCTCAATGTTATATCAGAGGTCTGGTAACCAGCAGGTCCAGAGTTACATAGTAGTATTCTCATTACAAAGTCCATCAGATACACGTAGAGCTAATCTTGAGCTCTTGTATGGGAATCGTATTTTTAGAGGACATGGCTATAATTCATAATGGATTGTTTATCCTGCAGTAGATTGGGTGTTCGAACCAGTAAAATAAAAACCTCACAAAAACTTGCTGGAACAACTCTCAGTTGCACATAAAGACCAGACAGTTGCACATAAAGACCAGAAGTCAAGCTTATCATTTGCAGGTCCTGCTGGTTGCTTACCTACAAGTACAAGCTTGCTTTCTTAGTAGTCAAATATATAGTAAATCATCATCTTGATCATCACCATCAATGATCAATCAAAGTCATAACAGACAGACTCACTGGATGTATTTAATTTTGAGCAAATTTCATCATCAACCATTTGTTTTTTTGCTCACAGCCTTACTTAATAAACCCTGTAACATCTATCCCTGGACAATCAACCCAGAGAACTAACCCCTCTTTCCCATGGCCAGGTGGGAGAGGATAAAATTCTTACAGCGTGACTTAAATAGGGGTTGAGATAAATTCATACAAAGGGATACTTCCCGTAATTCTTTAATGATCTACTACCTTAAAGCTATCTGCACTAGTTTGGCCAGGAGGGATTAGACCTCCACGCATGGTCACTGACAGGTGGTTATATCTCATCAAATCAGCTCTCAATTTACAAAAGAAAAAGGGAATCATGGGGGACCAACAGCACCACTTAGGCATTGTTTGCTATATAGAGGGTGCAAGTAAATTCAAGAAATGCGGTCCCACTTTAAAACATAAACTTCACAGAAATGAAAATAAGTAAGGCATGCTACTTTTGACCCCCGAATCAAAATTTGCACGTTGGAGATTTGGTATGAAATATGAGATATACCTCCTTCTGCCACTAGCTGAGAGCGTGCAAGGTCCGTTCTAAACCTGACAGTCTCTTCTCTTGCTTCGGTCAAGGACTTGTCACTGGCAGAAAGCTGCTCCTCTAGACTCTCCACCTCCTAGATCACACAAACATATCCAGTCATAACACAGTATTCATTCATAATAATAATAATCTGGATTTTTGTAGCGCTTAATACGAAAAACTGTTTGTTACCCAGTGTCATCGGAGTCATTCACGTACAATGTGCACCATCTCCACTCCCTGGGGAGTATTCCTATCATATAGTCACCCTGAGGGCATATGGCAATTAATAACACAAAGGCTTTTGTCATCCTACCAGGTCCCAATTTCTCTCTTGGGTACTGAGTAGGGATATGTAGATTAATGCCTTGCCAAAGGACATTACTGCCGTGCCGGGGATCAAACCCACCTTTGCTTTTCAAGTCAAGTGCTTAAACAATCGACTACGACACCTCAATGTGTTGTAGAATACGCCAAAGAATGTGACATAAGAGAATCCATAGTAACATGACACAGAATACAAAACTTTTGCTCTATTTATCCCTGATGTTCATATAGATTTGCATTCTACTCTGCTAAACTAAAGCTGACTTTAATTCACTGTTCTACATTATTAAATATGTTATGCATTTTAAGAGGTAATTAGTATGCTTTACTGTTGCAGTTACTTTGCAAGACAAGGACTAGAAAATATTTAGGGGTTTCCAAAATTAAGCTTAAAAAAGAGAAGAAACAAAAATATTTGACTTATAATAGTGCATTCATTTAAAATAGCATCCACTATGAATATGACTGACAAAGAAAGCAGACAAATATACAGTTCCTCAGGTAGACAAAGGAACATCCCTTCACTGCTATTATGTATAAATGTGTAGAACAGGTGTCACATGCATATTCACCTGTTCTTCACATTTTTACATAATAGCAGTGAAGGGATGTTCCTTTGTCTACCTGAGGAACTGTATATTTTGTCCGCTTTCTTTGTCCGTCATGTTCATAGTGATCTTACCGCTATCCATCTAGGACTAATCAAAGCAAAATAACATTAATGATGAAGGCTCACCTTTCCTCTATCTATTACTCTGGCTCTTAATTGGTTATTTTCTTCTTCATATTTATCCGTTTTCTCCATCACTGAAATAAAGAATAGAAAATTAAATACTACTTGAACACGTACTTGATTTCATTATCTAAATGTGATTGCGTTTAAGAATTTGAAGTGCTTCTTCTTGCAAAAGGTAATTGATATCTATACTTGACATATGTTCCATTTTCCAACAATTCTGATTTACATGGTAAAGTTCAAGATTACTTCTACTTTGGAATAAATCATAAAAGCAAGAAAGGCTCTGCCTTTGATCTTTCAGATTACTGTAAACTTTTAATCCAAAATGCAATATATACAGATTATGAATGCTACATTTAACCTTATTATTACGGAAGGAAGATTAGAGAAATCCCATTCGAGTGAATCTAAATCTAAATCTTTACTGGAAAATCAAACATTTGAAGCTTACTCTCTTCCCTGATGTCATCAATTCTCTGCTGGAAAACTGCTGAATCCTCTTTGAGCCTGGAAGCAAGACTATCTCTCTCCTTCTGAAGACGTTCGAGCTCCGCTTTCAGCTCCATTGGGACAGCACTACTTTAAAATGAGTGAAAAATATATAAAACAGTTTGTTTTGTTTTAAGAGAGAAGAAATATATTTATTTGAATAATGAGTGTGAAATGAATATACCAAAGAAGAAAAAATTGTTGAATATGCAGACATACATGTAGGTTCACAAATGTGCATCCATATATTTTCCACCTGTATGGTACATTATTCATAAAGAAGATGTAGAAAGAAAACAATTTTTACAATCACCAAATAAACAAAATATCAGAAACTAGATTATTTTTAAAGAAAAAATTATGCATGTAACATTTTCACATATTTTACTTAGGATTCAAACTCACAATTGATCAATATCAAAGAAAAAGAGGACAATACCCTATTAACATACATGTAGGAGCTAGAATTCACAAAGATTTATTATAAACCATTATTAAACCTCCTTAAGTGAATTAGCACATGGCCTAATAGCCAATTGATGGGCAATGTCCTGGTACATTCGTCCATGGTGGAGGTTAGATGAATTTGAAAAATATTTTGCAAACTTGTCCCAAACAGTTGTTACCTGTCTGGATTCAAGCCTTGATCATCAGTTTGTGTTGATAAGTCAGAGTATCCTTGTAGGCTTGAACCTCTGACCTTCAGCTTCAACATTGAGTCTTTACGAGCCAGAAGATCTAAGGGTGAAACGACAGACATATGATACAACTCATAGACAAAAGTACATACTCCTATCAGAAATAAATTTTAAAAATTACAAATCATTCCAGAATGGCTTCCTGCTTTCACAGAATATTCACCATCAGGATCCCTACACGACAAAAACATTCCTTGTCAAACTTAACCTGGCAGTCAACAGATTGATTTACTATTGTTGGAATTAGCTTTTTTTGCCAGGAAATGAATGTCTGGAGAGTGTTTCACAAAGACTAAGATCAACTTGAAGTTGGTCATAAAGTTTGATCTCACCATTTACTGGCATTGGTCTCTCAAGGGACATACAAACCGTGGTCACAAATCTACAAAAATTAAAATCTTTTGATAGTTCATTGTTGAAGGAAAAAATATTATCTAAAGATCATAATTGAGAGACCAATGGTGAGAGCAACCAGTGGCATTAGTGGCCTGCCATAGTCAAGTCCAACTTAAAGTTGATCTTAGTCTGTGTGAAACACCCCCCAGGAATTGGCTTTTCTTTGCCAGGAAATGAATGCTCGGACACCAAACAGGGGCTGTAACGTTTAATAACAACGGTATTAATGATGACCCTATTTTAATAAGTTGCAAACGTTTAGGCTGTGATTAAATCATTTGTGGTATGAAACTTTGCAAAAGTGTCTGGTTTGACGGAAACAAAAAATTTCTAACCTTGCAGGAGTTCTATTCTGCTGATAGCGAAAGTCAGTCGTTGTTGATGAGAATTTAATCTTGACACCATCTCTTTGCTTTGCATATCCAGTCCATTAGAATACTTGTGACACCTGTTAAGCACAAAGAACAACAGAATTAATAGGAACTTATTTGTAATTTCTTAACTCTTTAACCAGGACAAGTCAACCAACAGAATAAACATTGGACTCAATGCAACAGTTAACTTTTGTGACCAGTACAGTGTGCATGAATAGTATACTCTGAACAGTGTGGCAATCTTGGTTTTTGATCTATGGTGAATAAAAATACATTTTTAATTAAGTACAAAAAGCTTCTCAACATCAAAAGGAACCTATCTATAAAGAAACTATCATGAACAAAATTACCCGAGTGATTATGTTTTGGGATTTTACGTATCTGGATAAAACATGCTGAAGAATGATTTTTTTTTAAATAGTGGCGGGCAAGCTACCTCAAAAGATTTCACAAATGAAATATAACCAGAAAAGAACTTACAAGAGGACTATAAAATTATGTAATTAAGGGTGAAATAGGAAATGTCTGTAATTAATGGCTGACATGGCAGAGAAATTGCTCTAGGGGTAGCATGACAATCTATTTTGTGAAGCTCATTGTATGTATAGTATAAATTATCAGTTTTAAAAAAATCTAATTTGAAGTACAGGAACTTGACATCCTACTGCAATACATAGTTAATGTAGCGTTACCAAACATGAATTTCTCTCTCTTTTTTTTTTTTTTTTTTTACTTCATCCACAATTTTTAAGGGGGAGGGAGGCACCTGGAGGTATAAAAAAAGACTGCTGATTGCACACTTCAAAGATTTCTTACCTAATGACCATATCTCTCATTCTACAAAGACAAGTCTCACTCTCCTGTAGTCTACTATCAAGCATTCCTGCTACTTCTTGGACTGAAACTAGCTCATGCTCCACTTTCTGTATCCATTCAGGAAGAAAAAAACATTACTCCATTTATACACAAAAAGAGGGACTTCCGGTATACAAACAAATCGTCGCCGTTTTCACGAACCGGCACAGCCCAACGCGCAACGAAATAAGTACATTCTGAGAAAAACGCGTTTTACGTTTAGCCCGTTTTGAATTCGCCAGAAACATGCCTTATGTCAAATTTTATATCACAAAATACATATCAATGAAAGGAAAATATTCTGTATTTTCTATACATTCCATTTGTTAAGCATAATGACAATTACTATTAATATTACGAAGCTTTGGACTCTCGTGCCGGTTCGTGAAAATATTATTTTGCTGTTTACGTAGCAAAAATATTTTCACGAACCGGCACAAGCCACTGTGTCGTTTTTCCTATGTAACTTTACGCGCAAGACAAAAGCGCTCGCGCTGTCTTAGCGCGTATTTTATTTTCACGAACCGGCACAACCGCCTGTGTCGCGTCGTCTAGGTCTTGTAAGCGCAAAGATAGTTTCACGAACCGGCACAGCCCATTGACTTATAACGGCGCGTGCCGGTTCGTGAAAATATGAATCGTGCTTTTTGGCTCGTGTGTCGTTTTTGTCATTTGTGTAACCATGGATATCTCAAAAACTAAAGCGTTTTGGATGCTGAAATTTGGTGAGATGAAAGATTGTTGATAACTTATGCTAAAAATGCAAAAAAATAAAAACTACATTTTGAAGGGATTTCGGTGGCTTGTGCCGGTTCGTGAAAACGGCGACGAAATATTGCCCTTTAGATTTTAAGATGCATATAAGTAAGATACATAGTGGCTCCTACAATGAGCTTTTGGATTTTCAGTCAAAATTGTTTGCTCACATTGCCTGATAGATAAACAAGTGCTGGTTAAAGATTAGATAGATTTCCAGAGACGCTTTGTAAATATTACTACATTTTTCTCTAATATTGCCTGTTGAGCGCCATAAGGGTAATTAGTTACATAATTTCATCAAGTTGATGCTCATTGGCTCTCAACAGGTAATATGTAGGCTATAAATGCTGGGATTTGATTCACCCACATAATATTGCATGAAAATGATATTCAGCATTTTCGAGCTTATTTTATCAAGAGATAACAACAATAAATCATTAACAAGCAATTCCTAAGATGACAACGCAGTCCAAGTCCATCATCAATAACTAAAGAAAATGAAAGTTTATGACATTTTCTTTACAGAGCAAATATGAGAGGAGCTCGCATGAAGATGTCATCGGTATTAAAAACACAAATTGGAAACATTGGAAACATTATAACGTTTCTTGCGAGCTCCTCTCATATTTGCTCTGTAAAGAAAATTTCATAAACTTTCATTTTCTTTAGTTATTGATGACGGAATAGATTTGTTACATAAAGGGGTTGTATATAAACATGTTTGGAAAATTGTATTTAGGGTGAATGTATAATTGAAAATTTTATTGACATATTTTTAGTATGGGAGGGGAGATCACAAGATACGTCACAGAGTTGCCAATTTGTGATTGATTGATCCCACCTTCAAAAATTCATAACTTCCTTATTTTTAATCTGTTTTAGCTCAAACTTTTACTGACCTGTCTCTCTTATTTTCCTGTTTCTATTAAAACCAACTTAATATGAGGGAGGGCTCTCCCCCTTTCGTTTTAAAAATATTACTTTAATACAGAGGAGAGGAAAAACAGAACCAAACAAAATGCAAGGAACATGGAGATGATCCTCACCGTAACATTCTTCTTCTCCAGCTGGAGCTGAGCCTCCTTGTCTGCTAAGGCATGCTCCAGGATCCTAACTTTGTTTAGGGATCCATCTAACTCACCCTCAAGACTGTGGAGCTAGAGAAACAAAAAGTACTAATAATAATAATGATAATTTTTGATTCATTTAGTCCATAATAATTAACACTCAAAACAAATCATTTTGTTAACCCCTCCTGTGCCATGTCTTTGACTAATTCTCATAATGATAAGTAAACCTTTAAGAGTAAATTTTGACTTATAAGGCTTGTTTCATTGTAAAATTGGGTACCAAATATATCCCATGGGAATTTAATTCATAATGAAGGTAACTGTATCTGTTTATTTATACATATCAATGCTTGGTTAAACTTCTTTCTAGGGTCAAGTATAAGCATACATTTAAACCATTGTCTCAATAACATTGATCAACTTAATTTAAGTCTAATCTTTATTATTATTATTATTATTATTATTAAGTACTTGGCATCACCTGTGCCTGGGAGGCAAAAAGCGAACTGAATCACTGTAACCCTTGGGTCTCTCCTCCCGGTATAACTGATTGGAGGTGTGCAGGTGGACCACTACACCTGGGTTCCCCCCTACTCTTATACGAATAGCGCAGTGGGTTCTGAACGTGCAAAGGTGGTGACTCTCCTCTACACAGGGCCTGCAGGCTTAAATTTCATCAGAATCTGAGTGAATTAGAAAGGCTGACTTTACCTTATCCCCATGCGTAGATGCGTCCTTCTTAAGAACTATCTCCAGGGACTTCCTCTGAACCAAGAGAGCAAAAACCTTCTCTCTCCATCTGATTGAAATATCAAACGACAGTTTTCACCATAATGACCGTTTGGAGGCAGAAGAGCGTTAACTCATAGTACTTGAACAGAGTTAACGCCCTTCTGGCACTGACTGAACAGATGATAAGAAATAAAGTGTGGGTAGGCATTATGTAATCAGTTGTTGAGGCATGTTTCTAAACTAACATCACCATAAACTTGAACTTGAACTTGAACATTAAACTGTATCATAATGTGAAAGAGGATGTCATTTCTGCAAGGATTTTCAAAACAAATTCTTCTGTTTGAAGTCGAATAGTAATGGAAGAATACCAAATTTAGGTTTTCTACATACAACAGAAAACCCAAGTTATGATTTTTTTTAAATTAATATCTTTTGGGAAAAATCTTTGCAGAAGTGTCTATTAAATGAGATCATCTTTCACATTATGATACAATCTAATTAAGTGAAATTTTGCCATCAAATTTTTGGCAAAGTTGGGGCTTTAAACTTAATCTTAACCCTAAGCCCACTGAATGCAAGAAAATCTTATATGCAAATTAGTAACTTAGCTTCATTACACTAGTGGCTATTCTTAGAAACATGCTTCTATGACTGGATAGATAATGCCTACCATAAGTGTGCGTCCAGGGCCCTTTAAACGTGACTCACAAGATCATTAAAATGCAAGTCCCAAATATGTGATCCTGCTTGGTTGAACTTCAAGTGCATTCAATCTTCGGACCTTCATTGAAATGCATCTTTGCATCCAAGAGGGCCCAGAATGATTGCTGATAAGGACAGATCATTTCAGACAATAAATCAAAAAAGTTTACCTGGAATATTTCAGAAATCATTAACAAATTTATTGATAATACTTGAACAAAATCATATACCGGTATGGTAAATATTCATGGCAGATCGTGGTACTTGAATTATTTTCTTTTAATTAAGGGGCGACAATGACCGTTTTACTTTGTGAGAAGTCTTTCTTGAAGGCGGTTTAGTCATATCTAAATAAGGCTCAATACTCACTTGGTTAAAAGGATTTCTCCAGGATGCTTATCAGTCACATCATGCTGTGTTTCCTGTACCTGAATATAACAAGGTGAAATCAAAAATAAAGAAATGTTTATATTTAGAAGAGCCTTTTAACTATTGGAGAGTCCAAATAAAAGATACATTCATTTACAAGCTATAAACATAGCTCTGTAGTTGAAACAACATATTCCCAATGACTACCAGAGCATTTATATTGAAATGTCTGACTCTTTCTGCACTACAGATTTATTCAAGCTTTATACTTTATTCCTTTAGTAACACTACATAATTGTCAAGTGAGGTATTTTCTGATCTCTTCTCTGAGATATCCTTAAACCTTTATGACCCTGTAACCTTTGGCCTCTACTCTTTAATAAAACAAAAATTGTACTATTGTAGTCAGTTGACCCTCTGATGCTAATACTTACTTCATCCAAGTTTGGTCAAAATTGAATTTCACCGTTTTCAGCTAATTGCGGTGACATAAGTGTGACATATGAACAGCTGCTCGACCCCCAAGCATAATGCCTCTGTCTTCACTGAGACAGAGGCATAGCAAATTTGAAAGATGAAACGAAGGTTACAAATATAAAATAAATTGGTTGGTTTGTCTTACCTGACTGCTAAGAAAGAAAGTGTATGTGTGTAAGTAAGCAACGAGGGGACCGACGGCTTTTAGTCCTGTCCAAGGGACTCAGTAATGAGGGTTAATGCCTTACCAAAGGGAACTAGCGCATCTAATTGGTTTTGAAACCGGGACCTTCCAGTTACGAGCCACCACTGAGCCATCGTGCCTCATATAACATAGGTACAAAGACTTAACAATTATGGTGCCTACCTGTGTCATTTCTTTCTCTTGAATGGCCATAATCTCTTGCATTGATGAGAGTCTCACGTTCAACATGTCGGCAGTTGTTTGGATGTTTTCTTTCTCCTCCTCCAACAGCTGTATAAAAAAGACAAACAAAAGAAAGCAATATCTTTTAAAGTTATTGCCTTTATTCATATTGAGTTTTTCACCTTTTTGGACCTTGTGATCGACAGTCCGGTGACGTATCCACTCGACCACAACACCTCTAACAAGGTACATGACCTCATTGTCTTTCATGGATGCTGTTGTTCCATGCTAAGTAACATTGGGAAACAGAACTGCAGCAATGTAACATACTAACAATTATATAGTACATGCTATTGATGCTTCCTTCCCCTACCCAGTACACCCCACGCAGGAATTAGAAATAACCAAAGGAGTGCCTTTAACGTTACATGTTGCTTCAAGGGAATACATCAAGAGATCTATCCAAAAATGCCAGTGTAACCTTGATAAAACATATAGCTTAACAGGGTACACCTATTTGGCTACAATTTGGTAAAATTGTGCCTACCCAAACTTATCACAGATTAAAATAAATTAAAACTGTTTTCTGGATTTCTTGAGGAAGAGGTGATTGCATATATTTTTAGCAAAAACTAGATGGAACTTCGACTGCGCGCGCGCAGTCGAAAATGATGCCTCCGTCATAGAGCAATTTTACAAACCAAAACAGAAGAAATTTTTCAAATTCAAGTTCAATTGTAATCCATTAACAGGTTTTCAGAATATTGTGATTACAAGCTATTTTTGCATACATAATGAGCCCATGACCTTTGACCTTATGAACCAAGAATCTACTCAGTTCATTGGCTCTGCAAGAAACATACATGACCTAAGTTGGCAGGAATCCATCAATCGGTTCTTGAGATAACGCGATCACGAGCTGTTTTTGCATACATAATGTGCCCTGTGATCTTTGAACTTTGACCTTGTGACCCCTACATCTAATCAGTTCATCGGCTCTGCAAGTAACATACATGACCTAAGTTTGGCAGCAATCCATCAATCGGTTCTTCAGATAACGCGATCACAAGCTCGTTTTGCATACATAATGAGCCCTGTGGCCTTTGACCTCGTGACCTCAAAATCTAATCAGTTTTTTGGCTTTGCAAGTAACATACATGACCTAAGTTTGGCAGCAATCCATCAATCGGTTCTTCAGATAATGCGATCACGAGCTCGTTTTGCATACATAATGAGCCCTGTGACCTTTGACCTCGTGACCCCAAAATCTAATCAGTTCATCGGCTCTACAAGATACATACATGACCAAAGTTTGGCAGGAATCCATCAACCAGTTCTTCAGATAACGCGATCACGAGCTCGTTTTGCATACATAATGAGCCCTGTGACCTTTGACCTTTGACCTCGTAACCCCAAAATCTAATCAGTTCATCGGCTCTACAAGATACATACATGACCAAAGTTTGGCAGGAATCCATCAACCAGTTCTTCAGATAACGCGATCACGAGAACGGGACGTACGTACGTACAGACGTACGTACGGACGTACGGACGGACGGACAACCCGAAAACATAATGCCTCCGGCTACTTCGTAACGGAGGCATAAAAATTGTGTTTGTCTATACCTTGAGTTTCTTGTCATAGTTCTGTTTCTCGATGTTCCACTGTGCCGAGGTCCTACTGCTAGGGAGAGCATCGCCGATGTAAGCCTTCTGCTGAGCAACTTGAGTTGTAAGACGAGAGATTTCTTCCTGCTTCTGCCTGTGGGTGACATTGATGAAGAATGATACAGTATCCATAAATCATAGTTGACATTTCTACCAACTTTTAAAGTTAAATCTACACAGTGGACTGTTTCCTCCATTTCTCATACAGTACAACACTCTTTTCATGTTCAATCTACTTCTATTCTCTGATCTTCTTGCTTTCCAATCACAGCAACTTGCTATGAAGTTTGGATATCCCATTATTGGGTGAAAAAAATTATATTGTTTTTTTTCTGCATGGTACAGGAATATAAGGTCTCTATGAATCAAAAGATGCATCAAAATATTACATATTAATGTTATTTAAAGATTTAAATGTCTTATGTCTACTGGTATATAAATAGCAGGTCACTGATTTACAACTAAATATTGACTCAAATCAAGAGAAATTTGCAGATTATTTTGACTAAACCTTATCATATTTTCCCCCTTTTTAAAACAACACTTATATATACATTCAAGTCGCCATGAATCAATATCATTATCGTACCTGACGTCATTTTGAAGTTGATCTTTCTGTTCACTGCTTGATTTCTGCTCTGCGGCTAGACGAGTCGTCAAATTGGCATTCCTTCCATCTGATTCTTCTCTCACGCTATGGAGATCTTCTGTTAGTTTCCTCATCTTTTCTGTCAGATGGATGGTCTCTCTTTGATGCTCCTCTCCCATATTACTAACCTAATCCAAATGAAATAGCAGATTACAAGATAACAATATTCCCTTAAGCTCCCTTAACACACGCAAAAAATTGTAAAGCGCTTCACATCCCTGTAACTTATAGCACACAGACAAAAACAATAATTGCAATATAAATGAACAACAAAGAATTGGAGGTTTTGTAGAATTGTTCTAGAAATAGAGTGTCTGGAATTAAATTATGAATTTACTTATATTACTACAGTTGAATAAAGGTTTAAAATGTTTAATGCAACTAGCAAGTAGGTTTTTTCTATATTGGTCATGTATTGGTCAATTTTCTAAATGAAACTAAGATTTCAAGTTGTAGATCTTCATACACATGTATTTGTGCTTGAATAAAAAGGCAATTTTAGAATATTTACAGTAACGGTAACGGCGCTCACAGGAGCAAACTGATTTGATTGAAAAGAGGCAGACACAATAAGACAAAGACAGTGTTGAAAACTGGGCCTAAAATGACTTGGCATTGGGGTCAAGCCTTTATACATGTACCACCCACTTCTTGAATTAGGCCCACTTACCTGCTGTTTGTGGCTGGCATTACATCTCTTCAGCTCTTGTTTGAGTCTGAGCACCTCCTCCTCTAGCCCCACTCTTGACTCCCTGCTTCCAGCCCTGCTCCTGGCCAGCTCCCCAGAGTGCTGGGCCTCCTGGGTGGACAGCTCCGTCTTGAGGCGGGCGATGTCCGCTGCCTGCCGGCTGACGATCATATCGGTCTGGCGCTGGAGCTCCAGAAGGTGGTGGGGGTCTGGTCCAGGGTGGCTGGGTGGTGGTGGAGGAGGAGGGGGGTAGGGTTGGGCAAGGTGCGGTGCTTGAGGGGGTGGGTGGTGGTGGTGGTATGGTGAGTAGCTAGGGGATGGAAGGGGAGTGCCAGTAGCTCCTTGGGGTATTACAGCAGGGGCTTCTGGTTGCAAGGTGACTTGGGTCTCCTTCTCCTGATACAGAAAAGACAAGTGTTCTACCTTGTTAAGTTACCCTACATGCCTTGAGCAATCAGATCTGTTCATGCTTACAATCAGATTTGGATCCAACACAGTATAGATCTTTACCAATCTAGAGGTACAGTGTATGATTAATTGTAACTCGCAATTGCTAGATAGTCTAGAATCTTGATCAACGTGTCAGTTTCCCCATTAAAGGTGTCATAAGAGTTACAAAAGGTTGGAATTTTCCTAGAAATTTAAAATTTATTTTCTTTTATATCTGGGAGCTACATGTACAAGGCTGGTGACCATAAATACTTTCCAGCATTAGCAACATTTGATCCACACATTATTTTGCCAAAGATACATATTATGTAAAACTGGCAATCTGAAATTTGTTCCTTCCTTACGAGGCAGAATACTAGTTAATGGGTCTATCTTACTATGACAAAAACAAAACACACAAAAACAAAAGAAGAGAGAGATTTGAGAGACATACATGCATGTTTCTACAAGACCGATACTTGATACAGAAGACAAAATAAAAGAAATAGCTTACATGTTGTGAGGCTGGAGATGTCTGGTGAGCAGGTTTTCTATTTAAGATAAACAAGAGCATCACATAAAGAACAAAGTGTTATATCAAATTCTCAAGTCTGTTACTTTATGGGTACCATAGAAAGGAATGAATATTGAATTGTATTGAATCTAGTATTTCCTGCCATATTATTAGTACATAATGTCAATATCTATTATAGTTAATGTTGGAAGCAAAATGTCATTTACAAGTTAAATCAATATGAATTTAGAAATTACTAGATTAAGTTTAAAGCTACAATTTTTTTTTTATAGCAAGTCATTGCTTTCAAAGATCCTAGAGAAATATGTTATAAATTGCCCTATTCCTACAACTATTCATAAGTAAGTGAGTTACCCCAACTTACAATGAGGATTGTTTTCCATCTTCCTTGGGGGCCATTGGCTCTCCTGAGACCCCTGTGACCTTGGGAGCCACTTTGGCCGGTACTGTGAGGGCTGATGGAGGCAGCAATTTGTAAGGTGGTGTACCTGCCAAAGAATATCATGAAAATTGATTTGAATTAAACAGAACATTAAAGATTGAAATCAAGATTTAGGCAGCGTCTCATGCACACAACTTTAAATATCAAAGCTCACCAAGCCATGGCTCTGTAGATCTATTTGAAATTATAAAACTAAGTAGACCCTACATTTGTTTCCATGGGATATCAGGAAATCATAGACTTTATACAATGTTCACTGTTAGTGTTATGTCATGAGACACTGCCTCGATACTGATATTGTCTCGATACTGATACTGTGATAGGAAGTCAATGTTAATTTTTTTTTCCATGCACATTTCTTTCGGCCCTTTCTTTCTTTCTTTCTTTCTGATTTCTTTCCTTCTTCTTCTTCTCCTCCTCCTCAGCTCCTCCTCCTCTCCGTGACTCCATCCTCCACAAGCATTAAAGTAATTAGAATCAGATTTAGATCTAGACAGTAGGGGCGCTGGTCCGAGAATGAGGATCGTCTTCATAAACGAGGATCGTCTTCGTAAACACGGACTGATGCGTCCTCAAAAATAAGGACCGTCTGCATTTTTGGAGACGTTTCATATTTTAGATCGGCACATTGGCGATCCAAAAAACGGATTCTGCAATGATTTTCTTGATGCATTTTACATTGACATTGTACAGAGACCTTCACATTATAAGCAATAAATCCTTGGGAAGACGGACAACCCATAAAAGTAGACGGTGAACTAGGGTTATTTTCCCCCAGGGAATCCATTTTTGGCATCGCCAGCAGGCCGTTCTGTAACATGAAACCCCCAGAGCCAGTGAAAAAAATACACGGGGGCTCGGGGCGAATTAGCCCCCGAAATGCCTAAAAGAGCCCCCGAAAATCAGAAAAGAGCCCCTGTAAATTTGCATAGAGTTCAATGCAAAACAAATTTTAGAATGTTATTTTCATGCAGGCAAGCTTGAAAAGTAGCCCCCGAAAAATAAATATTAATTTTTTCCCTGCCCAGAGCGCTGATGAAAAAAAACGTCCTCGAAAATGCAGACAACTCTTATTTTTGAGGACGCATTTTGTCCTCGTTTATGAGGATATCCTTGTTTATGAGGACGATCCTCATTCTCGGACCAGCGCCCCTACTGCTAGAGATCAAAAGTTATTTTACAGCAGATGAATAATGGCATTTTCATATTATTGGCGCATGGCTCTCGCATTGTCCAGTATGGACATGGTTAGCCATGCGAAGTTGCGAACCCCGTTTCACTCTCAATTAGATCAGCTGTAGCTCAACTGTAGTAGTAGGAGATCTAGGCCTACTAGTACTACTAGCTATAGGCCTAGGGCTAGGCCTATATAGCCTAGAGTCTACAGTCACATAGATCTACGCAACAACTACACAAGTCACAACTTCAAGAGACAAAAGTCAAGACAGACAGGTACATTTTAAAACATTTCCCTCTTTTTCTCACACAGAACTAGCAAACATATTACAATAAAAACTTGATGCATTGAGAACATCTGTTTGATAAGAACATGAATATACTTACCAACACCATGGCTTGACAGAGGTTTCATGAAATGTGCAGGATTTTTTAAGGAGCCCGCCATTCTTTTTTCTTCAATCTCTCAATTTCGTTTGTACGTATGAAGATCTAGTCTAGTCTCAAGACTCAAGTCGCTGTCGCCTGTTTGTTTGTCATGAGCTAAAATAATCGGCGACCAGGTGTTGGATAGGTAATTTCTCATCAATCATGCTTAAATTATTATAATTTGTACGCTTTGAAATATATTGATATGGATTTGTGCTTGATTAGTCAAGTCAATCATACAAAAATTGGAGGCTGATATGGGAATAGAATTTTAGCATTGTCCCATGTGTTATAATTTGTGTAGTGTATGTGACAGTTCCCTTATAATTTGTTTTGCGTGTGTGTGTGCCTACTGTTGTTGAGTCCAGCGTAAAATGGCAATCAGTCAAATTTGATTATCACCGACTATTTTTTATATTTTTAGTATAAACTTTGATAATAACAAAATAGTTCACCTCTCTCTTTTATCAATATTTTTAGTTTGTTTGGTGTTCATGTATTTTTCTCAGGCTTTCTATTATTTAAATATTAATGTCTATGAGTATGATTTGAAGAGTATGATTTTATGAGCAAATGGGTATGAGTATGACTGAGTATGACTCTTAATTATACCCTGGCTAGTAGTAAGAGTATGAAGTATGAGTATGTTACTTGAACACAAGTAATACTTGTGTCACTTGTTTGAACTTTGGTGTTCTGTATGTAGTGTTATAATGGAGGTCATCAAAACACAAGGATTATCATTTTGCCTATTTTTACTTGGTCTGATGATAATTGTTATAATATTAATACTCTATATTCGCGATCTTTAGTACTACACTTGGATGTTGATTGAGACTTTTTTTTAAAACTTTTTTTTTTCTTCCCTTTTAGAAAAACTGGATTGTTGTACAAAGTCAAGACTCAAAGGCAAAGTTCATCTAATCAGTCTTCTTGAGTAGACATGGCCCTGATAAAGTGGGAAGTACTTTTACCAAAGAAATTTGGGGACAAGATTCCAGTCCTTTTTATTCTTTTGGAACTGATAATTGAGATTGTTTTCGAGCTATATGTCGTATTCCCAACCCTCTACGAACCTTTTTCTCAGAGCTATAACATCCATTTAGCAGTCGGCCTCTTCCTCTTCTTCAACTTCATCGGCAACTACTACCTGAGTATCGTTACGGACTTGACATCGGGACCAAACGTTCTTCCATCGGTTCTGAAGCCGGATTGGAGTTACTGCCCCTCCTGCACCCTCAATACCCCTCCAAGGTCATCCCATTGTTTCGTCTGCAACAAATGCATCTTGAAGCGTGACCACCACTGTGTGTATACAGGAAAGTGCGTAGGACACAACAACCAGCGATACTACATGATGATGCTGATTTACTTGGCGCTTGGCGCCCTCTACGCCAACTACCTCAACATTGAATTCACGTACGAGATGCTAAACAGCCTCGACTGGAAAGTCGTCATCACCTTCTTTGCCCCAGTCATAGGTTGGATCTTTGGATTCACCCAATCGCTCTCCTTCCTAACTTGCCTGCAGTGTAGCACCTGTGTCGTATGCCTCATGTTATCCTTAGCGATGATTTATTATCACCTAGCGCTCATCTTGCGGGGACAGACCACCAGGGAATGGAGGAAAGGGATCCGCGGATACAACCGTGGCTGGCGTCTTAATTTACTGGATGTCTTCGGGTCCAGGTGGTACCTTATTTGGTTTTCTCCATGGGTGTCGTCCCCATTGCCAGGGGATGGCATCCATTTTGTAAAGAGAGATAAGAGTTTGGAGAATGTGAAAGATATGTGACAGACCTGATACATGTGTATCTGTAGAATCGAATGGCAGAAGTAACAGCTGTGTAACTCGACTCAAATTCCAATGTAGAATTTACAAATGCTGTCGGACACAAAACAGGCACCATACATAGCTCTGTATGTTTTTTAATTTTTTTAAAAATAAATATTTGATATACCGTATGTATAATAATCATGTAGTATTGCCTCAGTCATCAGTGATTTGAGGACTTTCATATCAAAGCTAAAACTTCTATTTTCAATCAAGTCACAATGAAGAACTTTCTCAAATTGATTTACCGTATCTCACCATCTTAAATTATTCTTTGAGTAGATGAAAATCAGTGATGATGTAATTTTGAATGTCATTGTGCCAAGTATATGTATCAAGTGTAAACTTTTAAAACTCTGAGAGTATTTCATTCATCATGCTGCTGTTTCTTACTCATTTTGGATGTGTAGTATAGTTTTGTCTAGATTCTAAAATCATAGAAGGAGATGCAACATTCTTTGTTATGCTGCTTTATATATATGCCCATATTAAGGACTAAACTTATCATCTAGCATAAGGATGTAATCATGCTATTATCTTTACAATATAAATTGAGAATCCTTGTTAGCAAAAACATCTCTTGACATTTTTTGGGGACATTACTATTAATATTCTTTTTTTTTAAATTGTCATTATTTAATGTAGATTTTATAATATACACTGTATGTGCAAATTGTGTTCAAAGTTCAAACATGTATTATAAGCCTCTACACTTGCAATTGGAGACCAATTAATATATTTCTATATTATTCTAATGTTTTTTTTCAATTTATGGATCAAACTATCTACACATGTATACAAAGTGTAGACAAACTATCTACACATACAAAGTGTAGATATACATTTTACAATGTACAAACTGATCTTCAAACAGGTAAGGTGAATTTGAAATCTAGACGAGTAGATATGCAAAAAAAGATATTTATGCATTTGCAGAGTACATGGAGACATGTAGTACAATATCTGTTTTTTAGATGATGTATATTTCGATAATATGTGAAAACAGAAGACATTACAGTAAATGTACAGGGTGTATGTGATAAGTGTATGGAAAGAGTTGCATGTCGCAAGATGATGAACTTTTTTTGATATGTACCAAGATCAGTTTGGTTTTAAATACATGTACATGTACATGTAGTAGGGATGCCATTTTTAAGTTAATAGCCTGAATTCAGGCCCTGGCGAATTTTTTTCATACCATAGTTCAGGCTTTTTTGTGTACAAACTAGCTCATTCTAGGTGATCTTTAGGCCCTCTGATCAATTCTAACTGGCATCCCTGATGTAGATAGCCTAGGTATTTATTGATTGCGAAATAATTTGCTATGTAGATTTTCAAACCAGTGAATCAGTGATGTAGATTTCAATTAGATTAATCTAGAATGTGCAAAAGTAGTATTTTTACAGGATATAAGCCTTGATATGTGTACTTTGAATTTAATTTCTAATGCATAGATCTATGCAATTACAATGAATTTGAAGCTAAGCAATTTATTTCACTCATGCAAATCTAATTAATTTTTCTCATTTTAATGTATATGTTTCCAAATAATGTTCTGGTTTGCAATACAGATCCTTAGAAGATACATTTAGAGTTACATGTAGATTCAATTTCAATTATGCAAAGTTTTGTGCTATATTTGATATGTCAATATCGAGGAAGTAATCACTGTCTTGCCTAATTATTTATTATTCAAAAACTGTTGACAATAACAATGCATGTATTGTACAAATCATGTAGTAATTTAACAACTCAATGTCAAATTCATTGACCTTGCAATATTCTTCTATTATTCATGTCTGCAACAAATTCCTTACAAACTATTGACAGGATAATGTATACTTAACCCTTTGTCTATTGGAACCAGATTAACCCTGTATTAAGCATATGGGAATGGAAGAATTCAGTATTCAGTCGCTTAAATGTCATAAGTAAATATTATCTCATGTTCTTGGACCAATTAGGAATGGCGTTAGTAACTGCATGTTACATCCTGTACAATATTTTGTATTCATGCAGTGATGTTGACCTTGAATATAATGTAATAAGATTGTGTTATTCTAAATTAATTAAGCATGAATGTATGGGTAATTTATTTGGCTGGTCCAATAGAAGTACTTGGAGATAAAGTTAAAGGGATAGTTGAGTTCTGTTGCAGAGGGTGCTGCACAAAATAACTTTTTGTGAGATAATGGAAAACTGAGTGTCAAATTTGAAAGAACATAATATTGAAATGACAAAATCATCTTTGTTTGATCAAAATTGGTTCAGAGATGACTAAAATATAACAATTTCTAATACTTGTGTACCACCACAAATATTAGATATTTTAAAAAAATTTAAAAAACTGTTGAAAAAAACGAAATAATGCCTTTTACGTCGTATTTCAGCCAATGCTGATGTTAGCTTTTTTCTTGGCATTTTCGTGTTGCTTATATTACCCACAATTAGCCGGCTCATGTATTGTTATTTTTAATTAAATAATTATTTAACGGTCACCATGTTTTTTTTAAAGTGGAGCTGAATTGGTATAATCGTATGGGCTAAATTTCACACATTTTGGGGTCTAAAATTACCTTCATAGCAATGTTAGGTTCTAAAAGGGCACTATAAATGTCATAAATAAGAATAAGAGCAATAACCATGCACTTTGAAGGCATTTGCGGTCTGAAAACAGAACTCAACTATCCCTTTAAGTACCATGTAATCTAGACATTGCTATGATATTGTATCGTGTATGAAACTGTATGGAATAAAGGTTGATTATGTAGCTTAGAAGAGAAGTATCAGATATTGTGTGACGTACAGTATTTGTAATCTCCAAATTTAGAAAAAATTGACTCCATCTAGTTGAAAGTCACATGCACTTCACACAGTAATGGATATGTGGGACTACATACAGATTTGGCATGAAAGTTTGGTCCAAACTTTTCCAGCTGTCTCTAATTATAATTCAAATATGAGGGCTCTTTATATAAGCAATCCTTTTTCATGGGACAAAGCTGCACACTAAGAAATAAGTGTGCCAAAAAAATGCAATTGGGGTGCAGATTTGCATTCACCTACACATCTTTGGCAGAACGTGCTGCTATGTTGTAGCAGAATTGCATCATTATTTCTTAGTGTGTGCTATGATTTTCTTCCAAAGTGACTAACAAAGTATGAGCAAGCTCTCAATGTTTTTTTTCAACATTACCAGAACTGGACCTAGCTCTCTTTCAGTGAAACACAACATGACCAATTATGATATATTTGTGCAATGTGTATTTATGTACATTTCATGTAATATGCTACTAAAATATCCTGCACTAGCTAGATCATGGCTGGCTAATAAGGGAGTTTACAGATACAATCTGCGCATGGGCAGATAAAGGTCATTTGTACCAAAAAGGTGAAACCCACCAGAGATGAATACTGGATATGCGCTCATGAAAGTTATGTAACATTATTCATTTATGCACCAACCGTACATTCCAAGATACGCAGGTGGATGTTTTCTTTTCAAGGGGGCAACAAAAGGTATTCATGAAGCACATCTAGGACTTTGGCAGTTATTATCCTAAGATGCTCAAAGTGGAACTTCTCCATGTGTAAAAGATCTGTGGATATTTGGGGTCATTTGTACTATGTGCTGTCTGTAAACTCCCTTATTGATAATGTTATAATTATTTAGGAATCGTTGTGTACATTAACCAGTGTAAGAATGGATTAAATATGAACATTTGTAAAAGAAATAATATTTCTGAACCATTTGCATTGTTATCTATTTGTGAGTCTATCTTTTTTTTAAAAATAACACAGATTTTTCTTTCCCATGATATTTTTAGAACATATTTTCAATAATGTTAATTCTCAAGGAAAACATAACCACTGATTTTGATGAAATAACAAAATTAACAAAAGAGTAGACCTAAACTAAAGCATTTCTCATTCATTTATAAAAAATAAAACCAAAGGTGTGGAATAAACAACTTTTTAGCAAAAGATGGACGTATTCGAAATTGCATTAACAGATTAACAGTATTGTGAAAGAGAGTAGGAATAAACCAGATGAAAACTATCTGAATCGGTGACTTTGAATGATATAAAGAGAGATTTCATACTTTGTTATTGCTTCAGCTTAGATGATCGATTAAAGTTAATGCTAACCTCAAAAGTAACACTTAACCCCCCCCCCCCCAAAAAAAAAAAGAACTTGGGGGAAAAGGCATTAGGGTCTACCAATTTCATTTAAAGCCCCTCTGCACTACACCTAGTTTGGCCAGGAGGGGTTAGACCTCCCTGCGTGGTCACTGGCAGGTGGTTATCTCATCAAATCAGCTTTCAATTAACATAAGAAAAAGGGATAATGGTCACCGATTAGGCACTGTTTGCTATACAGAGGGCGTAAATAGCTATAAGTAGTGCAGAGGGGCTTAAAAAGGGGGACATATTTCACGGTATACACAGCGAGTCAAAATAAGTTTACACATAGAAAATTGCTAATTATTTTTTAATCATTTAATGAATTCAAGTTAAACTTTTTAAACTCTCGCAATCAATGCCTCCTGTTTTTCCAAGCGTGAATATACCAAACAAAACTGATACCAAACGATTCGGGATATAACACTCTTTCAAAACTTGTATGATGACCTTTCGTACATAGCTGACTTTTAAGATAAATGACAATTTTCTGAGTGAATTTTTTTTGTGACTCGCACGGTAGACCTATATCTCCCTACCCACCTCACTTTCTCAAGCTATCCCTGCCCTATTGACCTTCCTATTTCTCTCTCTCTCTCTCTCTCTTCTTTATCAACTGCTCATTAATTTTCTCTCATCTACTTCCCCCTAATCTCCACCCCCCCTAATCTCCCCCCCCCCCATCCATCAACTCCATTTCTCATTCTCAATCATCTATCCACGTATCCCCTCTTTCCATTTCCCTTTCTTTATTCCTATATCAATCATCTCTTTCTCTCTCTCTCCCACCATGGACCTGTAATGGATCTATGATCTCCCCTCTCTCACTTTCTGCCCTCTCTCTCCCTCTCTCTCTCTCTCTCTCTCTCTCTCTCTCTCTCTCTCTCTCTCTCTCCCTCCCCCTCTCTCTCCCCCTCTCTCCCTCTCCCTCTCCCTCTCTACATGCAGTACAGTACAATACTACAACCGTACAATGGAGGAGTGAAAAAGCTTTGTCATTATCACGTTGCAATATTTATTGGTTACCATGACACCGGGAAGCTTCGCAACGTACGCATCGTCTCCATAGGAGACATTACATTAATTTACTCCCAACAATGGTGTAGACATGTAGGTTAAGTTGAGTCAATTGTTCGGCATTGACTCGAATAATCAATATCTAAAGGAGATACCGTTACCAGGATATTTCAATAATATTCAATAATGATGAACATAAAGATAGTGTGATAAGGTGGTACTGTTTAAGGCATTACCACAACTATACAGAAGTATATCCTACTGAATAAGATTTTTCAAGCATACAACTATAAGCCTAGCTATATGGAACTAATTTGATAAAAAGGCGAAATGTGAGAATCGTAAGTTATTTAATTTAGGGTCAGATTAAAAGAATATGTAGAAAAGGCGCAATTGCTCATATTTTAAAACATACAAATTTGCTATCTGAATGTCAAATGCCTTCCAAGTGTGTGTGTTGGGGGGGGGGGGGGGGGGGGGGTGGGTGGTATATTAAAGTAAGGGAAGTTCATGTATCGCGGTCATTATAGAAAGACCAGGCGGTACGAAGGTCAATTTTAATTGCCATGAGTCCGTTAAAACCTGAATGGCAAACTCAGAATACAAATATTGCGTGTTTTGTTCTGCGATGCATGACGTCTATAATAACCCATTCATTTTCAGTATATTTCAGAACGTATTTAGACATTATGAACCACTATATAACCATTAGGTACAAATCTTCCGAAATCTAAAGTTTTTCATTTTGTCAGATTTATAATTATATTACAGAGGGATAGTGGGGGCGGAGCGAGAGAGAGAGAGAGAGAGAGAGAGAGAGAGAGAGAGAGAGCGCCAACAGTTTGCAATACAGCGTCGACTGACGTATTATCTTGGACACGGCAAACAAAACCTAAAGCATATAGCATTAACAACGCATGCAAAAGTATGCAACTCGGTAAAGAGACACTATATTTATGAACCTTGTCTATGGGATTGGACTCTTCTTCAATGATACAAGGCTTTGGTGGACAGCAGTATAGCTTCTGGATTAATAAATTAAGGCAAGGAGTCTTTAGTATTTCGACAAGTGTGGATATAATATTTCTAACATCGGAAGGAGTATTGTGACATTATAAATGCGGTGAGTATATTATTATCATGATTGTTTGATAAATAGTAGTCCATGTTGGTGTTTTAATTAATTTGATTGTATTTGTCATATAACATGGCTACCACTAACAACGAGGTTGTGTTCAATATTAGGGCTTTCTGATTATGACAATAATGTGACTGAAAAGGTCTTGTAATTCATTTGTACTACATGTATATCACGTAGAATATATTGCATTATAAAATAGGCCTTTAAAAAGATTTTAAGATCAATACACAACAATAACCCATGCATTGTAAATTATATTTATCCCCTTATTCATCCTTTCTCAATTAACAATATTTGGCTCTGACTCCATTATATGTGGAAATCCTATAACTTTAACCATCATTACCATGTTTTCAGTTAACATGAAGCTCACATTGAAGGTGTGATGGATTGCATACACAAACATGTTACAGGCTAAAAGACAACTAATGTTGGTTAATGTATTCTCCCCCCTCCCCTTTAACCCCCCCCCCCCTTCCCCGTGCATCCACTCGACTCCCCCCTCTCTCTCTCTCTCTCTCTCTCTCTCTCTCTCCCTTCCCTTTCCCTAACTACAAACAGGGTCACATCTTCATAGCAACGCATAAATATTACTCTCAGATATGATATTGATTAGTGTGTGCTTGTGGCATGGGAACAAACATACGATCATAAAGCGGAGCGGCATCTTCGTTATATATAGATACGATATCCTTCGTCCAATACTCTCACATAGGTTTCGTAAATTATGGTTTTGCATAATTATTTACCAAGAAGAGGTGTCTAAATATTTAATTGGTGTCTATTTGCTAATGACCTTTATACAGCCCATAAAAAGGCAGATTTACACTTTAACGTGCTTGATCCAATATTACACATGCTGTATTCAGCATGTTAAAAGTATTTAGGCCTATGTGTCATTTTGAAGAAGGAAAAAGTGGACACTTCCTGGCATTTGTTTAAATGGAGACTGAACACTTAACTTTTTGAGTGTAATATTGCACGTTCGATAGAACAGAAAGTGAAAGATGACGAAAGGGACGGGAACAGAAGCCCCCCCCCCCCACACACACACACACACACTCCTCCACCCTCTCCGGTCAGCCCCAGTACCCTCGTAATGACTGGAAGGCTACGCGTTCATGGTTTCACTTTTACTCGCGTTAGCCTCGACATATCGACTAAAAATCAAATTCAAAGTTTATTCAACACACTTCATAAAAACATACAAATACAGAGTGGAATGATAACAAAAGAATGAGATAGTGATAAAAAGTGCAATAGCAATTTATGAGAGCATATTTTGGGATAGGCAGAAAGGAGGGATTCTTTATATGAAAGTCTGCTCCTGAACACACACATACAGGAAATAGAAGAAGAAGGAAAAAAATACTATCATGTACATTCTAAGTAAAAAACAAACACACACTTACAAGAGGGTGTAACAAATTTATCCAGTTAGCAATGCCCTTGACATGATAGTTTCACTACGTGTATTAATTTCTTCAACACATCCGGATTGTCAGGAAGGAAGGAAGACAATATCACCCAATGAGAACCAGAAGGATGTTAACTATGTACTATAGCCTATAGAGTATAAAAGTAACCGCCCTTCTGGCCCTAAGCAGATTAAAAACGACTGATCATTCACTGATCCCCCAAACAACATCATAAAACCAAACTAGTGCTCATTTGACAATATTGATAGATTGCCAAAGTTAAACTTGATACAGAATTTGGAGAAAAGATCTGAGGGGCTGGTATAGTACATGTTGGTTAAAAGATACTGGTAACTAAATCTATTTGATAGAATCCGGGAAAGCTGGATATCGAGCATTAATAAAAATGTGCCCTATAAATGACTCTACAAAAACTGTTTCCAAACAGCCGTTCTATACTTGTTTGGTATTTGTCAGTAACAATACTCTACCACATAAATTAGGTTGATTTTCCTTTTAAATTACTTTGGTCAGTTAGGCATACAATATGACTTCATCAAATTGGGTTTTGAAGAGGAAAAAACTGTAACATTTTGTTCTCATAATTTGGAGCAAATACAAATTTCTTAATTTTGTTTTCCTTTCAAATTTGACACATGCTTCTGTCTTTGTATAACAGAGCAGGTCACAAACTGGGAGCCCTGTTTGCATGCAATGAGAACAAAAGAAATTTCCCTCAAAAAGCAAAAACAAACCAGTATAAAACAGACACACAAAAACACCCCGGTTTCTTACTGTAGCATATTGCCCAAGTCCAGAATAGATATTTTCGTTTACTTAGTTTTCACAATGAAACCCGACCTTGCTATTGTTATCGATTATTTCTGGGTTCATATTTTTCTCATGTCTAATATTCACTGCGGTATGGTGGGACAACGTGTGAATATTATTGCCGATGGAGGTCGATCAAACTAACATCCGGGTTAGTCTGCTTTTGTTTGAGACACATAATATATTTAAAGAGCCCACTCTGCGTTGTCCCATAGTTCTTGTGTTTTCAAGCTTAAATCATTAATAGTATCATTAATATTGATTGTATTAAAGTTCGGTGAACTAAAGTGTATAAAGCTTACAGGCATTAAACTCTACATTTATTGACCTTTGTCAATAATACTGATAGTTAAAGTGGTCATATATTCTCCTCTAGTTCGCCATCATTGTGGAATCGGTAAGTCTATTTTCAACAGTTCATTTTATCCTGGGCCTACAATCCTGGCACTTTGTTATATACGACATAATATACTATATTTAACTAGATCAGAAAATAAAGCCTAAGAAAAGAACAACTCACCTGGTCGACTATAACTATGAAGTGTCTGTTGCCAGAATATAAGACAGCGTTAGGAGGAGGAAGAGGAGGAGCAGGAGGAGGGGGAGGGGGGGGGGGGGAAGGTAGCTCCAGCTCCGTCAAAACTATCTCCCAACGTAAGACCATACCTACAAATTTTGACTCCCGAACCATTGAAAGTTAAGAAGAAAAAAATGAGTGCAGAATCGCATCCAGTATCTCTATGCTGCTGATGTTAGGTCAGTATAGGCAAAGAGTTTTTATTTTTCTCTACGTAATTAATGTGTGTCATTTATCTGTTACATTGCTTTTCAAGTGAGCCATGGCTGAAAAATATGAAGAGCTGAAGAAACAGATGACGAACAAGTCAGTGAACCCTGCCAAGTATCTTCCTCGAGTTATTGAGGAAATCAAGAAAGATGACAGCAAGGAGTTCGCCGAGGCCTGCAGGTATGAACTCAGGGACGACATCATAGACGGAGTCAAGGCAGCGTAAGTCAATAATTATGTTTTCATTCAGTCTTTAAATGGAAATCCATGCAACTACTCTAAATAAATTGACAAATTATTGAAGAAGCAGATTGGTAAAAGTGTGAATAAAAGCGGACGGGAAATAAGAGAGTTAAGAACTCTTGAAAGTTACAAAGAATCTGTAGTGTCATTGTGACGTAGAGTGCCAGACATCTTTCACATGTGTTCAAGTTCAACACACAAAATGACTAAATGTCGATTTAAAAAAAGCTATTAAGACTGAGGAGGGTCTTTCCTTTTAGAGGAGCTATAATAATAGACTATAAATAATATATTTTGGGTATGAGTGCCCAAATGAGAAGGCACTTAGGAGAAAAACAGACATTAATGATAGTGTACACGACAAACAGGAGGTTTGTTCGTGTCAACGTCACGTTCCATTGAATAAACTACAATTTGAAATTCGCGTAGACTTTAATAATGATCTCATACAGACAAACATTCATAACTCTCTTATCATTTGTCCAATTCAGTTTTTAAAACTTTCGCCATCCTGTTTCTCTTATTTTTCTGCTTTCATGCAAACGAAGTGATTTGAAGGTTGGATTTCCCTTTAATATTTGTTTTGTCGTTCAATCTTTGAAGAAAGTGTTGAGTTTTGGTAATGATGAGGAATAATTGTGAGCTTTCTTATTCTTTTTACGGTAGTATAAAAAAATTATAATGGAAGTCTGTTGTAGCATACATAATTATGTCTCCTGAATAGGATTGCTCTTCACATGCTCTTAGTTACGTAATATGACCAGCAAAAGCTGAAAGGTTTGGACCAAATACCCCCTCACACACACGCCCACACACACGCACACGCGCAACACACACACACACACGCATTCTCACATCAGGGCCTTTGTGGGGCACCTGATTGTGGGGTATTTCTGTGCGTTCCAGATATACCTTGTGGTCCCCTACTAGTGAGGTATGTACAACCTGGCGATAACAACCCGGCGGTGTGCTTACGATGTTACCATAAAAAAGTGTGCAAGTTTTAGCACACGCTCACAAAATGTCATTTATGGGGTACCACTTCTAATGCCCCGCAGGGCATAGGACACCGAATATACAGTCATTTGAAAGACTTTACTCTGTGGGGTCCTGAAAAAATACCCCACAAAGTAAAAATGCCTCACAAGGGGTATGTGAAGCGCACATAAAACCCCACAAAAATGCTGAGGTGAGAGCACACACACACACACACACGCGCGCGCGCGCGCGCGCGCACACACGCACGCATCCTCTAAACAACGCCCCTGAATTGAACACCCGACGAAAGCCAAGCTAGAGTGAGAGTATTACCCTATGAATAAAAAGGCTACAGAATTTTCTCGACAAATTAATAAACTGTAATAGTTAACATAATCAGACCAAGGAAATTTGCAACAAGTAAAATTATTTTTCTGAAACACCATTAAATGAACTTTGCTTTTTTAAATGTTTACCAACCACCGAATTAGGTAATACAATTTCTACTTTTTCACAGGAAAAACAAGCATGAGAAACTTATGATTGAACTATGCATTGAATGTATGAAGAAGAAGACACAGCCATACTACGAACTGGCCAAGAAAATATTTGATGAGAAAGCAGTGGTTAGATGGAAGGTAAGAAAATAAAATCATTATTTTACGATTTCTTTCCCGTATACACAGTCACTAGCTAGTTTTTGTGTAAGATGCCTGTAAACGATTACAATAATAATAAATATAATAATAATAAAAATAACAATAATAATAAATACAATAGTTATAGTTATAATTTGTTTTAGTTTTTACCCAAGGTACCTACATCAGTATTAATACTTCTCTTCCTGCGGGCCTTGTAATAATTATTGTCCTAGCAATTTGCCAGGTTCCCATTTTCATCTGGGTGGAGAGTGAAAAATATATAGTCAAAGTTAATTAGTGCGGGGATGGGATTCGAATCCTCAACCATTGAATTGAGAGTAACGTACACAAACCACTATAATACCACGACATCTCGGCCACAAGGGTTGGTGTAAGAAGGCAGTAACTAAGACTGGTCTGATCCAATATGTCTGTTAGGGTCATGAGGGTGCCATTGAGCAGATGATTCGAATCTTGGAGGAACCCATAGAATGGGAGCCAACTGACCGAGAGGAGGAAGACATCGAAGAAAAACACGTCTCTTGGGACAATCAGGGACGCGCACTCAAGGATGCAGTCGAGGAGATGATCAAAGCTTGCAGGTTAGAAAATTTGAGGATCTGGCAAACACTGGTAGAGGGAATCTTTCCCCTTTGAAGTGGGAATTTTTACACGGCAAGAGGAGCGAATAATTATGTTTCATTGCCGCCAATTTCCCAAACATTTACGACAATATTATAACCAACGATGGATTCAAATTCGAAATTCGGATGATCCTGATTCGTCTGGAATCTGAGTCCAGACTACTTCACCATTTATACTTTATATTGATATGATATGTGTAGCATATTGTTTCTACCACAAAATACAATCAATCAAATGGACCTGTAGAACCCTAACGAAACATTGATTAAACACTATTTCAGTCACTTTATTTTTATCCTTTCTTCTCTTTTCAATCATAATTCCCCACCCTTACATTCTGATCTATCCTCTCTTTTCCCTTCTTCTATACTCTCTTCTTCCTTAATGTTCACGTTTGATCTCTGAACCTCTTTTCACTAATGCTGCAGTCGTGACAAGATGATCAAGAAAGTTGCTCCATCTTTCAGTCGCCTTCTTTCGTCAGCCATCAAGAGCGGTTCAGACATGCACATTGTGGTGGCTATCGCCATAGTAGGAACAAGCGAGATGGAATGGGAGGTATATATAACACATAACATATTTTTCTTCAAAATAGATCTTACTAAGAATTAAACCATTTACAGTTTTAAAATTTCCTTCTCCTATTTGTATATTGGCAATTGCAGTGTTTCGAATGAGATCTTCTGTATAGTTTGTTTATTTTATGGCAAAGACTTTGAAGAAGTTATTGAAATTACCTTACTTTGGTTTTTCCAAAGTCTATGTGATCGTGTTCTGATACAGTGTCGTTCCAAAGACTGTGAACAGAAACAGATCTCAGAGCCATCTATATACACAGAGTATACAACCGAGTTGTTTCACTATATTCATAGTATATTCATGAGCATTCATCATGTGTTTTTGCCCTCGCTGTTATTCTTTACCAGTGTTTGTAAACGTACATCTCTACCTTGGAACAGACCCATCCCTCGAGTGAAATTTCAAAAGATTAATTTTTTGCTTTTCATTGCAGTAATTGACCATTAGTAATAAGCTCAAAATTACTAATAACTTATTAAATTTATCAGTCATGGATTTATTTTTTACCATTGTTATGATCAGTGTTCCCAAGCTAAGAGTACGATATATCAACTACTTTCGAAAATTCAACCTAAGGTAATTTCGATAACCTTATGCATCACCTATTGAAAAATGTGCAAACATGACAATAACGCATTAGGTAATTCGAAAATGATTTGTATAGCCAATACAATATGGTATTGAAATCGCCCTTGATTTGATTTTCCGAAAATAGTTGTGATCGTGTACGGACATAACCATGCACCCTACACCTGAAATACACTATTAATGTCCTCATCGCTGACCTGCTCGACGACCTCTTCGTATTTTTTTTTATTTAACCAGGGTTACGAAAAATTGATTCCTGACGTCCTCGAAGCCTATGACAAGTGGCTACGAGGAGACAACATCGACTTGGAAGAAAACCGTGACCACAGAGACTTAGCAGGGTCCGTTACAGGTTACGGTACTCTCCTTGAAAATGCTGGGTAATTAACGCAGCTTTGGTTTCATATAATTCATGAAGTGATGCTAATATTGCATTCTCTTGTGCGTACGTCTTGTTCATATCATGCTTGCTTGATGTACAGATTTACATCGTAACATTGTATTATGTCGAAATATATCTCGTGTATGCGGTTCGAGTCCCGCCACGGCACTAATTCCTTTGGCAACACCCAGGTGTTAAATGGGTACGTGAAGGCAGGATTTCCTTGAATGCTGTGAGCGCCGAAATCCGCTGCCTAACAGAGTCGGGGTAATAGTTGGAGCGCCTTGAGCACCATGCATGGTGGATATGTGCGCTATATAAATCTCCAATACTATTATCATAATTGTGGAAATATAAAACAAATCAAATGAAATAAAATAAAGAGAGAGCTAAAAAATAAAAATAAAATAGCTAGAGAGGGAGAAAGAGAGGGCAGGGGCAACAGGTCCCGAAGCGGAGAGGATGTTCACATATTGCCTTTGGAGGAACAATCATTTTGTATTATCTAGGAACCGTTGAAAGAAATGGGATCGTCCTTTAAACTTTATGTCGTCGACGTAGTCGGGAGGGGAGGGTGTAGTTGTTTTTATAAACATCTATGTCATGTAATTATTTATTTCATCTTGTTTAACCTCAGTAAATCTAGCGTGCCTCATTTAAAAAGTCTCATGGAATATTGCATGGACCAGGAGCTTGAAGGCGATGAGCAGCCCCTCTCAGTACATGGGCGTATTCTCCAGAACATTATAACTGGATTCATCATGAGGGTAAGTCCATTAAGTTGATGATGATGATGATGATGATGATGATGATTCACGGCATTTGTATGGCACCATATATCTGTTCCAAAAAACATTCAAAGGCGCAAGCTCTTCCAATAAAGTAAGCATTTAAATGTCTGAAGGAAGATGTGAGTTTTATCTCTTTGGTTTGAGTGAAGCTTTGAAGTGGTCAAGGTTGTCAATTTCGCGAATAGATGATGGGAGGGAATTCCACAAGCGAGGAGCAATAGAGGAAAATGCTCGGTCTCCATATCCCTTGAGATGAGTAATGGGCACCTGGAGAGTAAGGCCAGATGAGCGAAGTCCAGGGCGAAGATGACGCCGCTCGATTAAAGATGACACATATCCTGGGGTCTGACCATGAATTAGCTTAAATGTGAGCAGCGGGACCTTGAATCCAATTCTGCTCTTGACAGGAAGCCAATGTAGCTCAGCCAGAACAGGAGAGATGTGATCATGCTTCCTCAGCCCAGTAACGTGCTGCTGCATTCTGTACTGCTTGAAGTCTGTTCAAGTTGATGTTGAGTGTCCCACAGTGTCCCTACAGTGTGAACAAAATAAGTTTACCCACGTTGGTACGCTGTAATAATAATTATATTTGTATAGCACTTGATAGGGAATCCATTTAAATCCACATTTTCAAATACCATGTCCCAATGTAGATATTGTAAAGTTGTGGACACATGACATATTTGTGAATAATATTCTTGACCTTATGCGAAGATTCACAACTATTGCTGTGATCATAATGCAAATTTTATCACACTGTGATCTATCAATTAGGGCCACAGTGTTGCAAGCTATTCTGTAAAGAAATACCGTGATGTAGTATACTCACATTACAAGCATATATATGTTCGTAATTTTCTCTGTGACCACATTGTAATGCGTTCAGCCTATGATTCTTTCCTTACCTCTTTTCATGAGATAATTGTGACAATTATATGGTTCATTATTCGTAGATGAAGCTTATATCTACTCAGAAGAACTTTATTGATCCATCTAAAAAGTCATAGATCTTGATCAACAAAGCCCTGAGAAGATGTCCATCAAGAATAAATCCTATTGTCGCAATCATTTCATGAAGAAAGGTAGACCAAAGTTTATCCCAACTTTATGGGCAACGATGTTTAGAGTACAAGCCTTGACTACCACAAATGTAAAATAATTCAATCTAGTATGAAAATACATTTTGCTTTATTGATATCTTCTTTAGAATACTCAAAAGGTAAAGATCTTCAAGGACCTTTTGCCTTACGTGGTGAAGCTGCTCTCGTGTGACGTCAAAGATTTAGAGAGCATGGCCGGGTATGCCATAGGGACTGTCTACCAGAATGGTGAACTACTGGCTCCGTATGGTGATGACATAGCAGATGCCTATCTCGACAACAAGTGCGAAGGAACAACCGTTGGTAGTGAGTAGTATTCGTTTTCTTTTTACCTTGGGTGCCTTAGACCTCGTAGGTCCATCGTTTTGGTAAGATCTAACTGAGGGGGCGAAACAGCTAAGTGTTAGAGCAGTGGTCTCGTATTCAAGTGGCTTCGCTAGTGCTCTTTGGTAAGGCACTACTCATCATTACTTAGTCCCTTGGAGAGGACTTCAAGCCATCGGTACCCTGGTAGTTTACAGGCGTCCGGACAAGCATACACACCTTTTTCTTTCTGAGCAGTCAGGTGAAACAAACCATCAAGTCATCAATGGACCATTAGTCCTATGACATCTAGTCCCTTATGATATCTTACAATGGTTAGGGTTAAGTTCAGCGTGAGGGAATAGTAGTGTATAGGATGGTGTCAGAGTTGTACCATTAATGTAGAGGATGGTAACCACACGGTCGGGGAGTTTCCCAACAGGAAGAATATATATTACCATTGAACATTATGAGTAACCCGTGAGATTTCAAGCGCGGTGTTTGTCTTAACAGGAGTAACAGAAACTGCATGATAGCTGTTTAGAAGGAATGTGAAAAGAGTGTTCGCAAACACGTTTAAAGCTAACTTATGAATTCGAATAAGTAATTCAGCGCTAAACCGATGTATTTTGTTGACAGCTGGTCACATCAGCAGTCTAAGGAGAGTCCACAAAACGCCTTGGTTCGCTGCTGCTCTGACGGTGTTATGTATCACTAATTTACTGCGAACAAATAGTAACAAAACATTTCTAACACACCTGTAACATAAAAAGTTTATGAATCACACAGTGTAAGAATGTGAAGTGATACTTTTGGGTTATCAAACAACCAAATTTGTTTATATGTCTTGGTACAGTGGCTTTGAAAGGCATATTCCAGTACAAACCAGAAGTGGTCCTGTCAAGAGTAGACCGTATCTTTGAGAAGATGGACGATATGGGAAGCAGTGACAAGATGTACCTCTACATGCTGCTTGATGACGTTGGCAAGAAAGATGCAGAGGTAAGACAGGGGCTTTTGCAATACTTTATTGCATCGCCTTTAGGCGTAACAAAACAAGATGTTGTATTGCACTTTGCGACCGACCCAAAAATCTTGAAATCTAAGGTCATTTTTGTTTAATGTTTTTTAGAAAAAAAATGTTTAATGAATAAAAAAATACGTTTTAAAGTATTCAAAACTGAGAAATAAAAGCCCAAAGAGGGAGAAACAAAAAATTTATAAACAAATAATAAAAATAGTTCCGACCGACCGACCTATGTTGGCACCTAAAGGGAAATACAACAATATAGAAATCCTGTTCGGATTATGTAACCTTTCATTGTCATGATCGCACATTTCAATAGGTAACGCATTAGGCTATTGAACAATTTTGCTAGGTTGATTTTGAACCTATATGCACTCTCAGGTCATGCTGCCTGGATAATGTGTTCCACCGTTCCAAGTTAAATGTCAGACTTTAAGCTTACTACTTCACTTCGTCCGGTCTACTTTTCATTATAATAAATGTTATACGAAACAAATACGAAGAAATAGTCATAGGCATATTTTGATGAATGAACATTTGGAAGATTAACACTATGAAAATACATAAAAGGTCAAAATAACACCCTTACTAAACTAATATCCATGTTTCGTTTTAGGTTTTGGTACCGCATATTGACCTGATGTTTGAGGACATTTGTGACACCTCTCTGTCGACCATGGCTTTCATGACTCTGGCCAACATCTCCATTGATCACGCAAAACACTTTGTCAAGCATTTAGACAGGTGTGTTAAAGCCTGGGAACAGATTCCTCACACTGTAGCCTCCGCCTGCAAGACTATTGCCAGCATTGGCCGACTTAACAAGGTATTTAGTCATCGATAGACCTAGAATCTGACTATTTCATTTTGGGATATATCGGTCCGCTGAGATAACGTCTGGCTTCAAAAGACAAACTATTTTTGTTTTAAATTCTACAAACTGCTGTATTTTCTGTATACTAGGTATAAATATTTGTCAAAGGTACTAATATCAAATTCCCTTCCCTCAAAACACAAAACAAATGCTGGAATGCATACGATTATCGCAGAAGAACCTCCGGCACGTAAATGGTTTAAGAGAGTGGGGTACGCAGGATTTTTTTAAGGGGGGGGGGGGGGGGTTAAAATCGGGCCCCAAATTTCGCAACGACTCAGCCAGCCGCTGAATAAGCCGTGGGGGGGGGGGGGGGGGGTCACCTTTTTTAGGTTAGCCATTGGTATAATTTTTATTTTCATTTTTCTTTATTAAAAAACAAAAAACAAAAGGGGGGGTTCCCAAAAAACATACACAAAACATACACTTAAAACAAACTCAAGGGGGGAGGTCAACCCCCTACGTACGCGCCTGGTTTAAGATTATAGAGGCGATTTTAAAAAAATGTTTAATTTTATTTTATGGAATGGTTTATTAAAAATACTGAAAATAGCAGCCCGAGATCTGATTTACATTCAGTTTACAACAAAGTTTTGTTTAAATCAAGTGAGAGAGATTGGGTCTTAAGTTCATGATGTAAGCCGAAAATAAAAAAATCCATTATATTTTGAGAGAATAAGTCACACCCCCTACTCACAGAAAACTAACTTTCTTATGATTGTGAGTATTATTTTGCTTTCTTCAGAAAGAGGCAGAGAGGTGTTTGAAAATCTTTTTCGGCAAGGTGAACAGCATCGATCCCATGTGGATAAGCGTCATCTTAATGGAGGTGAAGAGAATCGGTCAGGCACACAAGGAATGTCTAGATGTATATCGACCGCAGATTGAGAAACTGAAGACATGTCAGCAGATGGGCGTACCAGACATGGTCCAGTCCATGATAGATTTCCTGGATGACAGAAGGTACGTCAATATGATCCTTGATTAGCATGATGAGAAAAATGTGTGAGATAATTAGGACTGCTGATGGTTGTTAGCAAGCTATTCGGTAGGGGCATTGGTGAATTATTTGATCCAATGCAATGGTCATGCAAATGCGGCAGCCATTATTTAATTCGCATAATTCCTTGATCAACATGAATCGGATGTTTTTTTTTAGAGATACAGTTAAATCTACTATTATCTGCCATGCGATAGAGACTGCAGCAACTCCCAAGAAATTTAGAAAAAACATTATCCTGATATACACCTTTGAATCTCATTTGTAGTCTTCATGGCCTCAGTGAAGAAGTGGCAGAACAGCGAGAGGACATCGACAACTTGGATTCTCGCGTGACGAACACGGAAAACGACGTCACAAGAATTGACGAGACCGTGGCCCAGCAGGGTGACGAGATTCAGAACGTGAAGAATGAGGTCAACGAGCAGGGTGAGAGACTTGATGAGCTGAAGGAAGTCGTGGATGAGACGGTGGAGAAAGTAGAGGAGATCGACCACAAGGTAATGAAAGGTTTTTGATTATAAAACGTTTCCTTTCCTTAAAGACTTCTAGCTCCCATTGAGTCATATCAAATTAATTTGTGCTGATGTGTGAAAGGTCACAATAATGATATTCATGTCATATATTGTCCAAGTAGTAAACAACCTTTGATCTCTCTTCAAATTGCAGACGATCACCAACGCACCAAAATGGTCACGTGACGTCTCAAAGCTGTTAAACCCCGAGCATGAGCATGACTGGAGATTCTTGGCCGTTCGTCTCGGCTACTCTGGTGAAGACATTCGCAACTGGGCCCTGTCACCTGATCCCACCATGGCTATCCTGGCTGAATGGTACACGACTCACAAGAGCAGTGACGCCACCTACGCCATACTAAGTGCGCTTGAAGACATGGGAAGAACTGATGCGGCAGAAATCATCACGCAGTCTTTAGAACAAGCAGGTTTGAATGATTTTTCCTTGTTTTAAATTGGCGATTGGGAATCAGAATATAGGCTGTGTGTCCTCCAAATATCAAAGGGTTAGATGTCTCACTGAAACCCTCCAAATCGCAATGGTCGGACACTTTCTAAAATGTGCAATATACCAAACCGATAAAGCGCATTTCCTGGATTTTACTCAATTCATTTTGAAACAGACGTCGGCCAACTTATACAAAGTATCATCTTCACTAAAACTGCTGACCACTATCTGTAACAGTTTATCGATGCTTAGCTTTATCGAAACATTGATTCACATAGAGAGAAGTAATTTGCAGCTTCATAACACAAGTAAAGACCGACCTAGAACTATGTAGATCTTCTAAGTGATTGGTCAAAAATATTTCCTGATACAAATGCGGCTTAGCTCATATGTCCTAGCCATACATCTATGCAAGAGAAACATTAAAACAATGTGAAAGTTCTAATAAACGTTGAATATCCCTTTGACCCCAACAAAAAAGAAATGGATTTCGATATTTCAGAGGGTGAAGAATGGTTTATTCCAAGGTTTAAATGTCCCTAGACATTTTATACTTGGTAATTAATAAACTTGATATTTATTTCAGGGATTGGTCAGGATTCAAAAGCCAACTTAAGATTTGAAACGTTTGTACGAGAAAGCCTCAGAACCATCCAGAATGAACAACGAATGATGCACCAAAGAACTACTCAACTGGAACAAAATTTGATGGAAACAGACGAAAAATTGAATTGCAGATTAGATAGAATTTTAGAGAAACTAGATCAAATTCATTGTCTGATATTAGAACAAGGCCCTACCTCAACACCAGGATATTTAAAAACGTCGTAGCCTCATCAGAATTTCATCCCAGGCCTTTTGGAATATATGGAATATATAACAGAGACAGGAATTCAAGAGAGAATCCTCTCAACACATTTTCTGGCAGGTACATGATTGTATATACTGATTTTCATGTTGGTGGACAGTCATTTGTAAACGGAAGCTTAGAATAATGCGTATAATGATCATCTGCCCACCGCCGGATGCATGGGAATTGTCGTGGGATCCCAAGAGATGACAGTTATGTACCATTTATTGGAACAGAAAATATGACGACAAACTTCTACGGTCTAAATATAATGTGATACATCACGAGTAGAAACTTATATTATAAAAATCAACATTAACTTTCTACTGACCAGAACTGCTAGTGCCTCAGGCCCCTCCGGATGAGTCAGAGAAGCCCCCGACGGTATTCCTGAGCTACCAGTGGGACCACCAGCTCGAAGTGAAGGCCATCAAGAAGCACCTAGAGATGGCTGGGTTTCCTTGCTGGATGGACATTGGTCAGATGGGTGGCGGAGATCAGTTGTTTTCTAAGATCAGCCAGGGCATGAGGTCATCCAAACTGGTACTCTGCATGGTGACTGAGAAATACTCAAACTCGGAGAATTGTAACAAGGAGGTAAGACAGAGAACGCTGTCATGTGGCATCGGGCATCAAATTTAGCTTGGTTTCAGTTGTTCAGACCAATACCTCATGGAATACAGTGTCATTAGGTGATTAATTAAATTCAATAGAACCCTGAAACTTATTAAAGGGCTATATTATAGTATTAATGACTGCTTCGGGGCAATAGCACAATTCTAACCTTCCCTTGAGCGTATAAAAACAACTATTTCTCGAATATTAAAACAGTTATTAATACTTTTATATGCCGAAAAAAATAGACTAAAAAATAAAAAATAAAAAATAAATTTTTTTTTGTCGAAGATGGGATTCGAACTCTTGCGTACAAAAGGTCGGAAAGGTATAGTCAGCGCCTTAGACCGCTCGGCTAGCGCGCTCTGTCACCATAGTAAGTTGTTTTCTCTAATATATACATTAAAATAAATTGATAACGGCTTCGAGTGGTGGATGCTTCGCCGCTGCTCCATTAAACGGGCCCTTCTTTTACTTTTGCAATGCATATTGGCACGAACTTAGATCAAGATCTATCGGCAGATGTTGTTTTTTTGTTTTTGGAAGTTTATTTTCGTCTTCATGTCAACAATGCAAGATAAAATTGTCGGTAAGATCGATCGAGATTCAATTGTATTGAAACTACCGACCAATTCTTCGCACACGTACGGTATCCTCGATCGCTCAGACCATTTTTTAACATGTAAACCTATGGGGTAACCATATAGACTGACCTATTTTCCCAATAACCATGGTTATTGGGATTTTGAACTGTTTTAACCATGGTTACTGGGAACTTTCGGGAACAGTTAAAGTTTATGAATGCAATTTCGACCAATCAGATAGTTGGATTTCTTAAGTGAGGTATATAATTTATACTAATGATGAGGTTTAGTCTGCCCACAGAATATCTATTGCAGCAACTGGGCATTGTAGATTCTGAAATTCAATGCCATACATGAAATTTGAATCGTCGGAGGCATTTTTTGACCGAGTCAAATGCTTCGAACTCATTATTCATATTGTATATCCCACCGCTGCCACCATGACAAACTCACGCGACAAACATGATTATCTAACTGCTGCCACTATTGTACAGCAGTTAGAAATTACACAAATTCATCAAACGGTCATGATTAACGTGCTCTGTTGAATGAACACAATCTGCTCCAAGTCAGGAGTAATCACAGAACTTTATTATTCACGATACGCATATATCAAGAATATACTGGCAATCTTGAAATATGGGCTTTATTAAAGACAAATGCAATGTGTCTTTGACTTCTCTTTCATTTCCTTTGGTTTAATTCTCTCGTTATAAAGGTGAACCTCGCCAACCTGCTGAACAAACCAATCATCCCTATCCTCATAGACCAGACTCAGTGGCCTCCTCAAGGAGCTATGAGTATGCTGTTTGCGCAGCTTCTCTACATCCAGTTCTACAACGACAAGGAATACGTGAGAGGAGAGAAATTCTGGGAGGACGCCAAGTTTTCGGAACTTTTGGGACAGATTTCTTATCATGCGAATCCTGATGAAAGCATGATATCCGATGGTACGAGAACAAAAGATAGTTCCATTAAATCTTTGGATGTGTCTTTACTGTAATTTACAGCTTCTATCATTCGTTCCATACCTTAAGATAAGCCATTCATAACCAAATTGATTAAAATAATACTATTCTGAACTAATGAGGTTGTGGATATGGTGTGGTATATGAGACAGAAATACATTGTCCTGCAGTGTCTAAGACTCGAAGGTGCATTATTTAATCAATACACATGTGAATCATTGGAAATTGTTGAAGACGTAATAAAAAGATAACAAACCGTTTTATAATAGCATGTGCCAAAACATACTTGAACCTGTTTCTAGTTATAAGCTCATTGTACTGCAATTTCCAAATTCTAAGGCTTCAAAAGAAACAGCAAATCTAAAAATTATTAGATTGAATCATTACTCATGAGCAATCATCAACGTAACGTTTTTCTTTATACAGAATATCGTGATTGGATTCCTCAGGTGGAAGATAAACCCGTCACTGTTAAGAAAGTATCCGAGGAAGCAAAAAGCTCACCTGCGCAGCAGAACCAAACTATGGTGAGAAGCTTTAACTTACTATGAATAAGATAGGAGCTGTGGTTTAACACGATTATGAGTTTACCACATAATCGGGTGGTCTCAAGACAGAGAGTTGGACTGGGCCTACATATTTGCATTTTCGTCCATTAGTGTTGTCGCTTAATCGAAGTTCTACTTCAATTTTTTTATATTAACTATTTGCATAGTTGTAATCCTTCATGTGAATAAATATCGACTTGTTCTCATAATTTTTAAATGTGTTTCTCTTGTATTCTCTTCTGCATAACAAAAATATCAGGAGTCAACCGAAGCTCCATCTATATTCATCTCTTACCAATGGGACAAGCAAACTGAAATTAAGAGACTGTTCTCGCGTCTCACTGGTTTGGGATACCACTGCTGGCTGGATATCAATCAAATGGGAGGTGGGGATCCACTCTACTCCAAGATTGATAAAGGAGTGAGAAACGCAAAGGTAATGTATAAGTGCTCTACCACGTGGTAAAGATGAATACTACTCTTTCACATATGTTCCTCTTCAAAAACTAAAATACGTCGTATGTGTTGGAAATGAACGCACGGATTGGGTGGTAGTAAAACCATTCCCTATTGATAAGCATAGGTTTCACATACTAGCAGTCATCGATTAAATATTTCGGCTAAGAGCAGTTGGACTGACGCATACTTCAGTTCTAATTCTTACAAAAACCGTGTCATAAGTGTACTTAAATGTATTTCTCGATTGTATAGGCTCCTAATCAAAACATGAGCTTCGGTAGCATGCTGATCAAGAATTTCAATGCCTAACAGCCGGCTCTCTCTTCTCCATTGTGAGAACATTTCAGTGTAAGAAACAAAATATAAAATTTGTTTCTATATCTTAAAATTATAAAAGGAATATATGATTTTATTTGACAGGTTGTCGTTTCCTGCGTCACTCCTAAGTACTCCCTCTCCGCCAACTGCAGGAGAGAGGTCAGTCTCTCTGACGCACTCCGTAAACCCATCATTCCCCTGTTGTTAGAAGAGATGACATGGCCACCGGAAGGACCAATGAGCATGACCTTCACCCAGCTTCTCTACATCGACTTCACCAAAGAGACCACTCAGGCCAGCTTTGAAGATGAAAAGTTTGAGGAACTCATCGAGAAGATCAAGGAACATGCGGAACCGACGCTTCAGGTCGTGCCTGCAGGCGAACAGGATCAAACGAAGGTGACAAGTCAAGAACAGTCGCCAACACCTACGCCAAAAGATGAAGGAACCGCGGAGACAAGCGTGACAAAAGACATACCACCTTCTGCTGATGCCAGTGACAGTGACACCAAGCCGGTCGAGGAAGTTCTTGTAGCCGTAGAGAGAAGTGCCACTCCACATGAACAAGCTCCTCTACAGCAGCAAAACAGTCCGGCTGAAGCACCACCTGCAGAACAACCACCACCAAAGCAGAGTGATAAATCACCAGTAAAAAAGCCTTCTTCGCCCTCTCTACCTGAAAAGAAGAACAAGAAATCATCTACCTGTTTGCTTCTTTAATGATGCATTGGGTTAGCTCATCAAAATTTCTATGTGCCAGTTTAAAATTAATGTGGTCTTTCGATACTGGTATTTAATTAAAGCTGATTTTATTTATTCTTCCGCCTTTCTCTGAAACAAACTACCCGTTATGATATATTTTCCTACTAACAATATACACAATTATTTAACTTCATTTATGCCAAGTGAATGCACCCATGGCACTGTTTAACAAATGCACACTAAGTATACTAATAAAATGATGAATGTTTATTTTAATATTTGATATCTTAAATTTAGACATAAGACTTATACATAAACATATGAACTTTTTGAAAGCTAGATTTTGATGTTAGATGTTAGATGTTATACAAAAGTACTTTATCATGCAGGAGCTCTGAAGTTCAAGTTCATCACACTCCAGGATTGGGTTTAGTGGTGTTAATGACTTGAAGTTGTACTGTACCGCTAAAAAGACAGGATGAGTAGGAAATTGGTGCACCTACGCCATGTTTATATTCATTGCTAGTACCACAACTCAAATTAGTGAAAATCCACTCCACCCGGAAGAAGGCTAGATCTCCAGAGCGCCGTTTCATAAACTTCTTCTAAATAAAAATTGTCCATAGCAAGCTACTGAAATCGTTACATTTAAATTGTTGGCGGTGAGATGATTTGTAAAAGAATTGCAACACTTGTCAAAGACTTTGTGAAACAGCTAAGACCTAGAACCCGTACTATTTCGTTCTGTACCATCGCAAGAGTGGTCGAGTAGCCAAAATATATATACCACAGTCTTTCTATTCCAATGGTTTGTTATAGATTTACAATATCATTACGAAGTTATACATTAGTATATCATATTAAAAGTGTCTTTAAAAAAAACATTTTCTGTGTACATAAAATAATTATACATGTATCAAAATGAATGTAAATTGCACCAGTAATGAGCAATATAAATGTGTCACAATGTTTGTTATTCCAAATGAGGTTTTAGAACCAATATTAAAAAACAGTTTTATCGTGTATAGCATTTTCTGTTACAGATCAGAGGGTTATTTTATTTGTGCAATTTTTTACAAACTTATAAAAATAAGTTTTTTTTTTGTACAGATTGCTCTTGTTTGAGAACAAATCATTTATGCACCAAAGATCAATCGGAAAATGCAGAATTTGTTTCACAATCTTTAAATGAATGTGCTAGTTAATGTGGTTTTATTTGGGTTGAGATGATTCGTATTAACAGCTACATGACTACGTGTCTTTTCCATGAAATATCAGGAAATCTTTATCGCAGAAAGTGAAATGAAATAAACTATTCTACGATTAACAGTAATACAAAAGTTGCAATGTATTTCTTTATCTATTGCATTTGTATATCTTCAGTCATAATGGTAAACTATTAACCTCACCTCGTCCATTAACTATGAAAATCAAAGTATGGATTTGAAACGGTAAGGAGAATTTTGTAACCCTTCATCGAAATATCCAACAAATTACTAGATTTTGTTCGCTCTCTCTCTCTCTAGTGCTGAGCATATTTTTTTTTTGGTCGAAAATTTGAAAATTTACACCTCCCAAAAAAGGTAAAAATCACGTGTTTTTACACCTTTTTTTTTCTCAGGGGGGGGGGCGGCCCCCTGGATCCGCCACTGCCCCCTCCCCAACACACACACTTGGAAGACATTTGCCATTCAGGTAGTACATGATGTTGTAAAATATGAGCTCAGCACTTAAGCAATTGCGCCTCTCATATATTCTTTTGATCTGACCCTAATGACTTACGATACTCACCCTTCGCCTTTATAGTGGTATGTTGGAAAACTCTGATCCAGTGGTGTGGAGAGTATTCATGTATGAGCTAGGGCCTACATTTAATCCACTCAGTAGGATATAATTATATATTACTGTGTTAATGCCCCAATTACACTACCGCCATTACATATCACACTACCTTTTAGTTCATCAAAGTTTGATATTGAAATATCCTGGTAACTATATCGCCTTAACATATTGATTATTCGAGTCAATGCCGAACTTTAACCTACATGTGCACATCATCGTGGGGAGTAAATTATTTAGTGTCATGTATTCTATGGAGGCGATGCGTACGTTGCGAAGCTTCCCGGTGTCATGGTTACGAATAAATATTACTTTAGAAGGGGTCGAGTATATTTCCTCTAGAAAATTCAAAGGATAATTGTGCGTCTATTGCAACGTGACAATGACAAAGCTATTCACTCATCCAGTGTAGACGGTATTAGTCTTGTACTGCATGCACAGATATATAGAGAGAGAGAGAGAGAGAGAGAGAGAAAGAGAGAGAGAAAGAGCAAGAAAGAGCGAGAGGGAGAGAGAGAGAGAGAGAAAGAGAGCGCTTACAGTTTGCCATGCTACAGCGTCGACTGACGGCAGACAGGACCTAAAGCATGCAATCAATGTATGCAACTCAGATAATATATTTATGAACCTTGTCTATTGGACTCTTGGGTGATAATATAAGGTTTTGGTGGACACCAGTATAGCTTCTGAATTAAGAAGGCAAGGAGTCTGCATTAGACTAACAATAAATTGTGGATATATTTCTAACATCAGAAGGAGTATTGTGACATTATAAATGCGTGAGTATATCATTATCATGATTATATTGTTTGATAAATAGTAGGCAATATTGGTGTTTCAATGAATTTAAAGGTGACATTAATTTGTTTGTATTATTTATTATTTCTGTTTCACATGTTGGGTACAAATAAATCGATTTATTGCAAGAATGGCTAAGATAAGAACTAAAGTGAGTTTTCGGTGATTGATTTAACTTAGATTGAGCAAGAGCAGCAATGTTTGAAAAATAATTATTGAATTCTTCAGCAATATCATCATTTTCTATTTTAACATCATTTTTCATAAAAAAGTGGGGAGTCTATCTTGCTTACTTTTAAAAGATTATTTTTTATTAACTTGTAGTAAGTCATAATAGTATTTTTCACGAGCAGTTTTAAAACTCACGATTCAAAATATTTCGATACCTTTTAAATGTATTATGAGATGTATCATTGCGTGTTTTACAATATTCTTTATAAAGCCTGTTTTTTTATTGATACATCTTAATAAAGAAAAAGTAATCCATGATTTTCTTGGAGAAGAATTCTTTTTATGATTACCTTTCGAGCATTTATTACTAACAACATCATTAAACTTATTCAAAAAACGATCATATGCGAGTTCAACATTATCAAACTGAACAATATCAGACCAATCAAGATTAACTAATTCTTTTCTATGAAATCAATAGTAGTAGAGTTAAGACATCTTCTGGATTTATTAGCATTAGTATTTTTATTTTCTTTGAGATTATTTTGAGTAATAGAACAAATTGGCAAGTGGTCTGTTATATCGTTATAAAATATATCAGAACTAATATCTTTATTGCATTGACATGATTTACAGTAGAACAATTCAGCGAGTTAATATTAAAATCACCCATAATGTAGACATCTTTATTTTCTTTATTTAGTTTCTGTAAACAAGCATCAATTTCACAATTAAATTCTTCAACATTAGTATGGGGATCTCTATATACAACAGCAATGATAATGTTTCTTTTGTTTTGCACATAAATTTCAAGAAAGAGTGATTCACAAATTGCATCTAACAAACATAAATCCTGTCTTACAACCACGTTCAGAGAATTTCGCACAAGCATTGCAACAGCACCGCCTCTACATTTTCCCCTATCATTATGAAAAAAAGTATACCCACTGAGATTAAATAATGAAACTGGAGTATTGCTGTGGATCCACGTTTCACTAAATCCATATACAGATAATTTTTGGTCTAATTGGCAAATAAAATCATGAATAGAATCAAAGTTCTTATATAAACTACGCGAATTAAAATGAAGCATATCGCCACGTTGAAACTCAGAGTTTGCATTAAAATCATTTGGCAACCAGTATTTATTACAAATATCAAACAGATAAAAGTTCCTGTCGGGATCAATATCATTAATAATATCATCATTGTCATCGAAAACAAAATCATCATGGGATAGCTGGTTAGGTAAGTTACGATAGTCAACAGGGTTAGTAGTAAATGTATTGAACAGATTGTTAAGGTCTAAGTTAGAAAGAGAGGAGAAGGGAAATTGGAAATCACACATCATCAACAATCACACACTATCAACGGTCACACAAGAGAATTTACTTAAAACTACAATTAAGATTACAATACAGTATTATTTAAAATAAAATATGAAAGAAGATACAAAATCAATTCAAAATTAAGTGCACATACAAAGCATGCAGACATTATTATGCTATCTGTTCATTTGATTTCATAGTCCAATTATAGCTCGCGTTCAAAAGTTTTTCTGTTCAGATTACAGAATATGAATAGTCACTGGCTAGCCAACACTTGTCGCTTGCACTTGTAACTTGTCTCGTGCCTAGAGTTTTGTGAGATCACTTTCAGACCTTATAAGTTTCTTTTCTGTTCTGCCACCGGGTTTCTTTACGAGGACGATGACCCTTCCGTCAATGGACCAAGCCGCCTCCAGATGCTGAATTGCTTCAACTGCTTTTTTTGGCATGGTCAAGTAATGCCCGGTTATGTGAGGTGAGATCTTCATCTATCCCCATTCGTGATCCCTTGAGTTTTCTGCGACTCTTTATAACATCTTGTCTCACATCATATTGAGTAAACTTCACTATTATAGCCCTCGGGCCAACCTGCCTACCCTTAGATGGTGCACCCACTCTATGTGATCTATCTATCGCAGTTGGCCCAAGGTTAATGCCAAGCTTGGATTGTGCTACATCTCTTATCTTTTGATTTGTGACTTCACCTTCAGATTCTTGGATCCCAACAAATCGCAAACAATTCCTCCTTTGGTATTGTTCAGCATCATTTGTCTTCTCCTGAAGATTGACGATTGCAGAGTGGTCTGTTCGCTGTTGTTCACTCAAGTTGCTGATTATCTTTTCCTTTGCTTTGAGATCATTCTCGATTTGAAGAATTTGCCCTTCCGCTGTTTTTAGCTGAACACGCAGATCATAGAGTTTTTTGCTTATGGCATCAGTGATTGTTGATTTAAGTAAATCGGCAAATTTGGCGATGTTGAAAAAGGATCTTACTTCAGCTGCGATCGTGTCGGTTACGGGTTCATTGAAGGGGGTTGGCTGCTCTGTATGATGCAGCATTGCAGAAGGTGTGTTGTCATCCATGTCTTTATGCTTGCTTTCGGGTGTTGCACTAGAAAGCATATTCTCCACAGTGGGTGAGTGCTGCCCTGCATCAGGTAAGAGCTGATCTTCATGTATGCCAGATGTTGATGAGGGGGTAAGTACATCCTTTGAGACATTCCGGATGGATTTTGGAGTTTTAGTGCTAGATTCTGTTTTCTTTCCTTTTCTCTCTCCTATCTTTGGTGAAAATTTGTTGGCTGGGGAACCTACATTCCCGTAAGTTCTCCTTGACCGCCTGCACACTTGGTTTTCCTCTTGGATACCAGGCATGATGAGAGTTGAGATTGCTCTACTTCTAAGTGTATGACACACTGCATTATATAGTCTAGTAGTACATGTAAAAACTTACAAGACAGCTTGTTAGCTGTACATGTCCAAGCTCTAACAAAAAATAACGTGTGTGGGACCGTGCTCAAATCATCCAGTTTCTTTGTAAGATGTGTCACAAATTCTCCTTCCAAGAAAGCAAAATGACTATCACAAGGTTTCAGAATAACTGTATGCCACAGGTATTGATATTTCCATTAGAATATACAGTCTAATATTACTAACTTACAAAGTCAAAACGGCTGTCTTGTTGTCTATGATAAAACTCCAGCAAAAAAATAACACATAGGCCTATGGGACCATGCTCAAAGTTCATCCAGTTCCATTACAAAATGAATCAAAAATTCTCCATCAAAAGTTGACTTCACATGTGCACAAAAAAGTTAAGAAATGACTTCTAGTAGTTCTCACATGATAGCAGATGATGTCAAGATGAGATTATGATAAAATACAGTCCAAAAGTAGGAATCTGTGGTCCGAATGTAGAACTTCAAACGGTCAACACAACACAATCATTTAAACTCTCAGATATGATATTGATTATTGCGTGTTTGTGACATGGGAACAAACATACGATCATTAAAGCGGAGCGGCATCGTCGTTATATATAGATACGATATCCTTCGTCCAATTTCACTCTCACATATAGCTTTCATAAATTATGGTTTTGCATAATTATATACCGAGAAGAGGTGTCTAAATATTTCATTGGTGTCTATTTACTAATGACCTTTATACAACCCACAAATGTAAGTGCTGAGGATAAACCACCTTTTTTTATCTTTAAAAGGGCAGATTTACACTTTAACATGCTTGATCCAATATTACACATGCTGTATTCAGCATGTTAAAAGTATTTAGGCCTATGTGTCATTTTGAAGAAGGAAAAAGTGGACACTTCCTGGCATTTGTTTAAATGGAGACTGAACACTTAACTTTTTGAGTGTAATATTGCACGTTCGATAGAACAGAAAGTGAAAGATGACGAAAGGGACGGGAACAGAAGCCCCCCTCCCCCTCCCCACACACACTCCTCCACCCCTCTCCGGTGAGCCCCAGTACCCTCGTAATGACTGGAAGGCTACGCGTTCATGGTTTCACTTTTACTCGTGTTAGCCTCGACATGTGGATTAAAAATTAAATTAGTTTATTCAACACACTTCATAAAAACATTGAAAACCTACAAATACAGAATGGAATGATAACAAAAGAATGAGATAGTGATAAAAAAGTGCAATGGCAATTTATGAGAGCATATTTTGGGATAGGCAGAAAGGAGGGATTCTTTATATGAAAGTCTGCTCCTGAACACACACATACAGGAAATAGAAGAAGAAGATAAATTAGATTGATTTTCCTTTTAAATTACTTTGGTCAGTTAGACATACAAATACAATATGACTTCATCAAATTGGGTTTTTAAAGGGGGAAAAACATTTTGTTCTCATAATTTGGAGCAAATAAACATTTTTTAGTAAAACGAGCGTTGAGGGGATCTATCTAATTTCAGGGTACTGATTATTAATTAACCGGTAAACATACACCAATTTCTCACTCTAATCAATCTTTGAACATTCACTAGAATTTAGAAAGCTGCATTTATCACCTCTCAATCTCAAGTTATACTAATTAGGTCAAGTTCAACTATAGAAGATAATCTTTCATTACACTACAAAAGAATACAAAAATGTAAAGTTTCATTGAAATTTATAACTGATATTTAATCAATAGACACAAAATCTGTGTACTAAAACATCAACTTGAAAATAACAGGACACACTTCCTGTAGGGCTGTGATTTAAAATCAACGACAATCAAACAACTTGTCGCTAAAAAGGAAAAACCAAATATTCTATTTACCTTAAAAGTAAAAAGCTAAAACTCTCCTTTAAAATATGGCTGTATATAAATACAATAGTCAGTGACTACTATTACCTTGATGCTGCACTTTCTTAATGCTAGAAAATATTAATGGTATCAGGTTGGTAAAAGAAAAGATGCATACATACAAGGTATACTGTCTAGGACAATGCTAATGTACTATAACACAAAATTAGTACTTATAGTCTGATACCAGCCTATAATAATGGTTGAATGTTAATGCCTTAAAATAAATTAATGGACACAAACGAATTGTGAACTATACTAGGTCTAGATCTAGAAAGAATAAAGACCTTTAGTTGTCATGCCAAGATTCACACAGTGAACGTACAATTACAAGGGTACGAGATAAGTTCTTCTTGACATGAATGATGGTGATTATTACATACAATTATCTAGACTAGATGTTCTAAACTTGAATGCAACGTGATTGTTGGTATAAAAACATGCACAAGAACAAACTCAAAGGTAGTCTATACAAAATAGACCCAGGTTAGATTAGCAGTTGTCAACTTCAACGCTTCACTGTGTAACCATGGTAACTACTTCACATGAAGCTGTAGATCTGGTAGGAGTCTGTGAATCACTCAATGTTATGTTTTTGAATACTAACCAGCAAACGGTGGTCGAAGACGAAGTAACCTGGCTGGCTTGATTGTTCTCGCTAAGTAGAATACTGTAAAGATGTGTCGATCGCGTGTAGTCCCACGAGTTGCTGCTAGCGTAGTGAACGTGAAGTATTCAAGCTCTCTGGGCGAACGCTACACTGGAAGACAATCCGATGAAGAAAATCCGATGAAGAAAAACACTAATTGATCTTTACTCTGGTCGTTGAAAGTGGAGGTTCCATGAAATTCGCGTAGATCTAGCTGCAATCTGCACAAACTAATTGCTGAATGGGAAACTTCCCAGGATGAAGTTCACGTATGTAGCTACAATGCAGTCTACACACAAAGTGAGTGTTGAACGGGATCGGGAACCACTTCACATAGAACAAGAAGCTAAGGCTCTATAACCTATAGGCTATGCGAAGGCGAAGTCAGATCTTGGTTGAAATCGTTATGACGAAAAGTTGCGTTGAAAACATGAAGATCAAATGTCCAACTGAATAAATCTCGTATCAGGCGCAAGCAAGAGTTGCTATGCACCTCACTGAAGTAGTAAACTGAAATTTGGGCACTGATAAGTTGAAAAAGTCATAAAAAGTAGTCAATTATGACCAAGAGCACAAAACATTAGGGCTCTCAACTATAGGCGAGAGATGGACGGTCTGGTGTCAAAAACATGCACAAAAACGCATTGAATCTAAAAACGTGGTTATTGTTTACATTCTATACGCACTATCAATACTTATAATTAGAAAATAACCAAGAACATTAATCAAATACTCAATAATACCTTAACATAGTATATTCTAATAAATGATGATTCAGAGTATAATTTTGGTGATAATACTCTGTATCAAAAATGTGTACTTGTAAACAGAAATATTATACTTAAACAAATATTAGCACCTCTTAATCGAAACATAAATATTCATTAAAAATGACGTCAGTTAACAAAAGTGCTACAATTTCTTAATTTTGTTTTCCTTTCAAATTGTACACATACTTCAGTCTTTGTATTACAGAGCAGGTCACAAACTGGGAGCCCTGTTTGCATGCATTGAGAACAAAAGTAATTTCCTTCAAAAAGCAAAAACAAACCAGTATAAAAACAGACACACAAAAACACTCCGGTTTCTTACAATAGCATATGTCCCAAGTCTAGAATAATTATTTTCGTTTACGTAGTTTTTACAATGAAACCTGACCTTGCTATTGTTATTGATTATTTCTGGGTTCATTTTTCTCATGTCTAATATTCACTGCGGTATAGTGGGATAACGTGTGAATATTATTGCCGATGGAGGTCGATCAAACTAACATCCGGGTTAGTCTGCTTTTATTTGAGGCACAATGTAAAAAGCCCACTCTGTGTTGTCCCATAGTTCTTGTGTTTTCAAGCTCAAGTCATTAATATTATCATTAATATTGATTGCATTAGAGTTCGGTGAACTAAAGTGTATAAAGCTTACAGGCATTAAACTCTACATTTATTGACCTTTGTCAATAACACTGATAGTTAAAGTGGTCATATATTTTCCTCGTTCGCCATTATTGTGGAATCTGTAAGTCTATTTTCAACCCTTCATTTTATCCTAGGCCTTCAATTCTGGCACTTAATTGATATAATTTATACGAAATAATATACTAGAATTATCTAGATAACGAAATATAAAGCCTAATAATAAAAGAACAACTCACCTGGTCGATTCTAACTATGAAGTTTTTGCTGCCAGAATATAAGGCTGCGGTAGGAGGAGGAGGAGGGGTGGGGTAGCTCATGCAAGCTCCCTCAAAACCATCTCCCAACGTAAGACCATACCTACACATTTTGACTCAAGAATCACGGAAAGTGATACAAATAAATGACTGCAGAATTGCCTCCTGTCGCTATTTGCTGCTGATGTTACGTCAGTATAGGCACAGGGTTATTACTTTTCTCTATATAATTAATGTGTGCCATGTTTCTGTCACATTGCTTTTCAAGTTAGCCATGGCTGAAAAATATGACGAGCTGCAGAAACAGATGAAGGACAAGTCAGTGGACCCTGCCACGTACCTTCCTCGAGTTAGTGAGGAAATCAAGAAAGATGACAGCAAGGAGTTCGCCGAGGCCTGCAAGTATGAACTCATGGACGACATCATAGACAGAGTCAAGGCAGCGTAAGTCAATAATTTTAATTTTCATCTTTCAATCTTGAAATGGAAATCCATGCAACCATACTCTAAATAAAGAAGACAAAGTGGAGAAGCAGGTTGGTCAAAGTGTGAATAAAAGCGAACGGGAAATAAGAAAGTTAAGAACTTTTGAAATTTGCAATCACGTATGGGCAGTTCAAGTGTCATACATCTTTCCCATTTGTTCAAGTTCAACACACAAAATGACTTTAATAAATGTCGATTTAAAAAAAAAAAAGCTGTTAAGACTCATGAGGGTCTTTCCTTTTAGAGGAGCTATAACAATGGGCAATCAATAATATATTTTGAGCATGAGTGCCCGAAATGAGAAGGCACCCAGGAGAAAAATCATAATGTACACGACAAACGGGAGGTTTGTCCGTGTCCAGTCACGTTCCATTGAATAAACTCCAATTTGAAACTCGCATAGTCAAACATTCATAACACTCTTAGTATTTGTCCGATTAATTTTTTTAAACTTTCGCTATTCTATTTCTCTCATTTTTCTGCTTTCATGCAAACAAATTAAAGTGATTCAAAATTTGGATTTCCCTTTAATATTTGTTTTGTCGTTCAATCTTTGAAGAAAGTGTTAAGTTTTGGTAATGATGAGGAATAATTGTGAGCTTTCTTATTCTTTTTACGGTAGTATATAATGGAAGTCTGTCGTAGCATACAAAATTATGTCTCCTGAAAAGGATTCCTCTTCACATGCTCTTAGTCACGAAATATGACTAGCAACAGCTGAAAGGTTTGGACCAAATAACCCCTCACACAAACGCCCACACGCACACACGCACAACACACACACGCACACGCACGCATCCTCTAAATAACGCCCCTGAATTGAACACCCGATGAAAGCCAAGCAAGAGTGAGAGTATTACCCTATGAATAAAAAGGCTACAAGCTTTTCTCGACAAATTAATAAACTGTAATAGTTAACATAATCAGCCCAAGGAAATTTGCAACAAGTAAAATTATTTTTCAGAATCACCATTAAATGAACTTCGCTTTTTTTAAAGTCAACAATCACCGAATTAAGTAATACAATTTCCACTTTTTCACAGGAAAAACGAGCATGAGAAACTTATGGTTGAACTATGCATCGAATATATGAAGAAAAAGACGCATAAATACTACAAACTGGCCAAGGAAATATTTGACGAGAAAGAAGATGTGAGGTGGAAGGTAAGAAAATCACTTTCTGATTTCTTTCCTATATACACGGTCACTATAGTTAATGTTTAAGATGCCTGTAAACGATTTCTTTTAAACCTCTCATCCAGCCCACTTTATACCCCAAACACATCAACGTGACTGACACCAGACCACTCAGAGACCGAACAAAATACATTTATATTATTACCCACAATTTTCAAGAATTGGTCGGTTATGGAGTCGGTGTGGAGTTGGTCTTGCGGTGTGTGAAATAAAGTCGTTCTATGGAGAAAATGATCAAATTAAGAGATACCTTGACATATCGCGTGTCTAGGCTGTATAAACCCGTGTAGCCTGAGGTTATATGACAAAGTTTGAAGTCCTCCGAGTTCATGAAATTTTATGTAATTGGTGTTTACGTTGCATTCCATGCTTAGGAAGTATTCCCTTTAGAAAGAAAACGTTAGCCATTAAGCACCTTCATTCATTTATTAAGTACAGATATTCTTATACTTTCGTTCATCTCTTGTGGCTCAATCGAAAATTGACAAACCGACGAACGGTGGGGCTGCTGAATCGTCCTTTGGGCAAAAGAGTCGTTGACCTATTTCATCAAATGCTATTGAATCTGAGTTCAAATATAAGGGGAAGCACAACATCGGCTGGTGCATGCAGCCTGTGCTGGAAACTGGTTACAATACAACAAAAACTAATGAAAACCATAATAATAATAATGATGATAATAATATTAATTAAAGTTATAATTTTTTTGTACCCAAGCGACCCACATCAGTATTAAAACTTCTCTTCCTGCGGGCTTTGTAGTTATTAGTTATTATTACCCTAGCAATTTATCAGGTTACCAATGTCATATGGGTGGAGAGTGGCAAATGTGGATTAATAACTAGTCAAATGACATTAGTGCTGGGATAGGATCGAATCCTTAACCATTAGATTAAGAGTCAAGTGCATGAACCACTTTAATACCACGACATCTCGGCCACAAGGGTTGGTGTAAGAATGCAGTAACTAAATCTGGTCTGCCCGCACGTGTCTGTTAGGGTCATGAGGATGCCATTGAGCAGATGATTCGAATCCTGGAGGAACCCATAGAATGGGAGCCAACTGACCAAGAGAATGAAGACAGTAATGAAGATTACGTCTCTTGGGACAATCAGGGAGGCGCACTCAAGGATGCAGTCGGGAAGATGATCGAAGCTTGCAGGTTAGAAAACTTGAGGATCTGGCAAACACTGGTAGAGGGAATCTTTCCCCTTCGAAGTGGGAATATTTACATGGCAAGAGGAGCTAATAATTATGTTTCATTGCCGCCAATTTCCCAAACATTTACGACAATATTATAACCAACGATGGATTCAAATTCGAAATTCGGATGATCCTGATTCGTCTGCATTCGTCTGCATTCGTCACCATTTATACTTTATATTGATATGATATGTGTAGCATATTGTTTCTTCCACAAAATACAATCAATCAAATGGACCTGTAGAACTCTAACGAAACATTGATTAAACACTATTTCAGTCACTTAATTTTTTTTTCAAGTTTATTTTTTATCCTCTATTCCCTTTTTAATCATAATTCCCCACCGTTCCAAACGATCTATTCTCTCTTTTTCCTTCTTCTAATACTCTCTTCTTCCTTAATGTCCATGTTTCCTTCTCTGATCCCCTTTTCACTAATGCTGCAGTCGTGACAAGATGATCAAGACAGTTGCTCCATCTTTCGGTCGCCTTTTTTCGTCAGCCATCAAGAGCGGTTCAAACATGCACATTTTGGTGGCTATCGCCATACTAGAAACAAGGGTAATGGAATGGGAGGTAAATAACATACATTTTTCTCCAAAAATAGATCTTACTATTGAAGAATAAAATTATTTACAGTTTTATAATTCCCTACTCCTATTTGTTTATCGGCAATTTTAGTGTTTCGAACAAGATGTTTTGTATAATTTTGTTATTTTATGGCAAAGACTTCCTCAACCGCCTACCTTTATTACTCACTCTAATGTTCCAGCATGTTTAACTAAAATATTCATAGTATATTCGTGAGCATTCATCATGTGTTTTCCCTCGCTGTTATTCTTTATCAATGCTGGTACATATATTCCTTCAGTGAAATTTCAATAGATTGTTTTGGTTTTTATTGCAGTACTTGAGGGACTTGACCGTTACTCAAAAGCTCCAAATTACTAATAACTTTTTTAAATTATCGGGCACGAATTGTTACCACTGTGATTATCAGTGTTCCCCCAGCTAAGAGTAGGATAGAAACTACTTTCGAGAATTCAATAACCTTGTGCGTCACCTATTGAGAAATGTGCAAACATGACAATAACGCATTACGTAATTCGAATATGATTTGTATAGGCAATACGGTACAATAAGGTATTAAAATTGCCCCCGAATTGATGTTTCGAAAAAAGTTGCGATTGCGTACGGACAGAACCATGCATCCTATACTTGAATTGCACTATTAATGTCCTCATCGCTGACCTGCTCGGCGACCTCTTCGTGTTTTGTTTTTAACCAGGGTAACGAAAAATTGATTCATGGTACACTGTAAAAAAATATTGTAAATTTTACGGTGAAACGGTTGGCAGCTATAATGCCAAACAAAAACTGTAATTCAATTTACAACATAGGTGCTGTAAATACAACTTACAATGTCCTGTAATCAGTGAATGCTGTAAATTGAAATACAGTTTCAACAACAAATATATACAAAATGTTGCTACAGATTTCCTTTACTTTTCCTGAATGGTTTATTAGGGAAATAGGAAAATACAACTGAACATAAACACAAATGACTTATTATAGACAATTTTATGCACGTTTAGCATACCTGTGAATAGTTTAAATGAAATGCAGTGTAACAGTTTGACATCTAATTGTAATGATTGAATTTGAGTCTATTTCAAGTGGCAAAAAAATCAAGTAAAGTATGATACTTATGACGTGTGATTTGCAATACAAACCACAACTTAAAGGGCAATTCCACCCTAATATTTTTTGCTTTGTATGAAAGCAGAAAAATTAAAAAAGCAAATCAATGAAAGTTTGAGAAAAATCGGAAACATAATAAAAAAAAGTTATGCATTGTTAAAGTTTAGAGATTAAAACAAATTGGCAACGCTGAGGGATGTCACTGATGAGCAGCTCTCCATTCTTGTGTACAAACGAATAGAGAGCTGCTCATCAGTGACATCACTCAGCGTTGCAAATTTGTTTAAATCTCTAAACTTAACAATGCATAACTTTTTTTATTATGTGTCAGATTTTTCTCAAACTTTCACAGATTTGCTTTTCTAAATTTTCTGCTTTCATACAAAGCGACAGAATATCAGGGTGGAATTGCCCTTTAATATCCACAGGATCATGTCTACAGGTGAAATAGCTCAACGAACAAGAATACTGTGAATACGAAATCATTGATATTCACTAGCCATCAACATTATTCATTATTATTCAATATCAACATAACAATGGTTGACATGGATACAATGTATAGCACAATATTTTTCCCAGTTCTGAAAATGCTTTAAAAAAAAGCTTGCATAACAATTGCTGTCAAAATTACATTAGTCACATTTATCAATTACATTAATCAATTATTATACATTATCATTCAATATCAATATAAAAATGGTTGACATGGATACAATGTATAACACAATATTTTTCTCAGTTTTGAAAATGCTAAACAAAGAATTAGGCCTAGCTAGCCTTACAACAATCGCTGTCAGAATTACTTTAATTAATTAGTCATTATTATTACACATAGTAGCCTTGTTTCCAAAAGAATAAAACTATGTATTTGAATCCCTTACTTTAATTTTCTTCTGTATGTTTCGTCCCTCCACAGATGAGGAATTTCTGTGCAATATCGTTACAATCAATTAGGCGCTCGCTCAAGGGCAAAAGATGAATGCGCGTCAATTGTGATCGATGCAAGTAGTCGATGATTATGACATCACAATGCTTCTTGTCACTCTCGTTGTCAAGAGTTAATTTTATTTCAACTTCAGACTAATTTCCACAGTAAAATGACTGCATTTTAATTTTTGTATAATAATAATAATAATAATAATAATATTGGCTGTTTCTTCGTGGTATATCAGGTATATTGCATTCAGATAGCATGAATATTGCAAGCTAAATGCAATATATCCGATATACCACTCAAGGGCAGCCAATATTATGTAATTATTCAATATTAACAATAGTTGACATGGATATAACTCAATATCTTTCCCAGTTCTGAAAATTCTAAACAAAGAAGCATAACAACAACCACTGTCAGAATTACATTAATTAGACCTACACAAATTAATTACATTACCTCATAGAGGTACAGAACTTTTCTATGGCCTAAATTAATCAGCTTTCCCTCCTCAAATAGGCAAAAATTATTGGTTGTTTTTTCACCTATTACACAATTTGAAAGAAAAAAAATGTAAATGTAAGATGAGTAAAAATGAATGATAATTGCAAATTGCAAAATTAGATTTAAAAATTGCAAATTTTTATTTTTAAACAGTGATTATATCTTTTCATTGCATTGCCATTTTAGAGAGAGAGAGAGAGAGAGAGTAAGGACTAAGGATTAGAGTAAGATAAACGGCCTGTATTCAGGAACGGCATCATGTACTGCATTGGAATGGAATCAAAATTTTCAGTTTATTTTTCTCTTTCTGATATCTCATGTGTAATTGATAGCATTTATGATCAAGAGATACTGCTTAAGGAGACACTGAACCTCCATGGGTTAATTACATTTATTAGCCTCATTAAATTTTCTATTTCCTATGTAGTAGGATCTGTAACACTCTTGAATCCTAAATTGAATATATATACAGGTGTACATGTACATACTTCTGAGCATATATTTTTAATACACAAGGTATACTTACATGTGATAATTTATAAAATTATCAATCAATACAATTATGATGTAGGCCTACTACGATGTATATGCCTACAAACAAAATATCTTAACAAACCGGAATGCTATGGATAAATGCACATTAATATTCATTCGTGATTATTATCCATTATACAAGCCATAATGTGTGCAATCATTCTTTGTAGGTCAATTGTAATTTGACCCCCACCAGGGAGATGACATTTAACAAACAAACAACATCTATCTCCCTGGTCGGTGACGCAACATTTGCTCATGCGACAATTGTTCCTTAATTTCTCGGAAGACATAGGGTTAGGGTTAGAGTTTTGATAGGGTTTTGGGTTAAGAATAAGGTTAGGATTAGGATTAGGGTTAGGTTTTAAGTTTGGCTTAATGTGCAGATATTCCATCGGAGCCATTGTCGCCGGAGCAAATGTCATGGAATCCCCTGGTAAAATGCAGTAAAATTACAATTTACCTGCATAAAAATACATGTATGATAATTCAAGGCAAATCATTGAAAATTCCCAATCAACTTTTCAAATATACACCCATAAAGAAGACACGTATGCCTGCAGATGGTACAGCTCAACAAACCTGAATGATAGTCAGGTATTCAGGGGGCTGCACTATAGTACATGCATATCTTTGTAAAATTGTTGAGTCTTTTTCTTCAGCCTAAAGTTCAACTACTGCGCCAAAAATGCATAGTCCATATCCTCATCAAACTAATTTCCCCACTGATAGTCATTCACTTTATTGATCAGGCATAGGACTTTTGGATGAGTGGTATGCTTGGCTTTCCCTTTGACAGCCTTAGACCCTCTGTCGGGGTTGATCCTGAAGAGGCACCTGATATGAGGAGAAAATGGAAACATAATCTTGAGACATGTAAATTACCACTTTTAAACAAAGAACAGAAAAACCTTTATTAAACATTATTCATACATGATCACAGGTATGGATTGTGTAGATGCCAAACTAATGCAAGAGCGCCATCTCTTGTCGGTTTTAAAATTTAATAAGTTTGAGGGGAGGAAAGGCGCGAATAATCACTGGCAGTAACCCTTGGAAACAAGACAGAATTTTAACCTCTTCTCCCTACTTCATATTTCCGTTTTATGATCTTGTTTGGTTTTGGACAACAATTGGAATGGATGCAATCATTGTATAATAACATTGTGATCGACCCGACGTGAGTAACGTGAAATGTGGTTATAGTAAAGGCTTCAAAATTAAAGTTTTCGAGACATTATATTGGTATTCGACAATTGATTTCTACACTTGCAATTGCAATTCTACAGTACGGTACGTGGATTGACGATGAACGTGTGAATAGTGTCAGATTGCGAGATATTAAAGGACGGAACGGAGCTGAGAGGAGCGTTGAAACTATAATAAGGTGAACTTGGGTTCTTGGCCAGTCAAAGGTGATCGTGAACAACAAGGGACCAGTGCAGTACCAGTCTGATAAATGAGAATATGACTAGAGAGGTCTATGAGTATGAATAGAGCATGATCACTTGTGGGTGTATTTTGAGTCGAAAGAATGACGTGATTGGGCAGAATACAGTCAGAGAATTAATGTCGAGGTCTAAGCCTAGACCTCCAGACCTAGTCTAAAAATGGAGAACTAAAGACAGACTATCTGACTACTTCAAGGTCATTTTGCACCCACATTCTAAGTTAAAATTCTAGTTTCACAAGCTAACAGAGGAAGGCCTAACGATGTTAAATAAAGAGACTGGTTAGCATTCAGGAATCTGTTGAAAAGGATAAAGAAATTGGAATCCTGAAATATCTACTTGAGATGTAGACGTAGAATCTACAATGACTAAGACTAGATTTCTAGACTCCAGTCTAGTATGAGTATAGAGGTTAGACTAGATCTACATTATATTTAGATGCCCAGAAGGCCAGATGTTACGGTTGATTTGAATGGACAAATGTCAGTCAGAGATTAGCCAAGAATGGAGAATATGTCTACTGCCTGTACTGGCTACTGCTCTTAATTACAGAAGGCTAGAGTAGAGGGTCTAGTCTAGTAGTGGCATACATACTAGTGGAGCTATTTCAGGAAGTTTTTGGAAATCAGAAATATGCCGGTTAGCTGCAGCTGATATCGCCTGAGTTACAAGCGGTGCAGAATATGGAAAGAGGCTGGAAAACCTGCAACAGTGAATGTGGTATAGAAGAATAAGCACATGAAATGCATACTTGAAAGCCTTAGGTTGACAGCAGCCGTCATGGATACAGCCCCACATTAGGATTGTTGTGTCAGTGGATCAGATCATCATGGAAGGGCAGGATGAACAAGATCCAGCTACTAGTATTCGGATGGACCCGTTACTGCATGATCGAGACCCATGGATGGAAGTCAACCAACTGTTTGACTCTCCTTCAATGAACGCAGGAAAACATTCAGCGATGGAGAGGGTTGAAGTAGATGACAGTGTATCTCAAGTATCAAGCAAATCAACATCACATTCCAGGAAATTTTTGATGGAAACAGCCATGAAGAGAGCAGAATGGCAAGCAAAGTTGAAGAGTTTAAAAAGGAAACAGGAGCTCGAGAAAGAAGAGCAGGACTTAATTAGAAGAAAGGAGCAACTTGCTGTTGAGACCGAATTAGCTGCAGCTACAGCCCAAGCAGCAGCATTACAGCAGTTCGACGATACGGTAGTTTTTCACCAGCCACCTGCATTACCAACCTTTGCTCATGTAACACATGAAAGTGATAGGAACCAAACAAGTCACAAAGTCAAGAATGCAGATTGCTCAGAAGAGAGTTCAACGCAAGGACGCAAGAACCGAGAACATTTGCAAGATGTACGAGTAAGTGGAACAAATTCTGATAGTGATGTTGATTGGGTAGAGCTGCAGCGACAACAAACCCAACTTACGTACATGCTCTTAGAATGTCATATGAAGTCCGCCTTACCGCAAAGGAACATTCAGCCTTTCGACGGGAATCCCCTGAACTACCACGCCTTTAAGAGGGCTTTTCAGCATGTAATAGAGTCCAAGACATCGGAGGACTCTGACAAACTATATTATTTGGAACAATATACTAGGGGAAAGGCGAATGAGATGGTCAGAAGCTGCATGTATGGAGGTGATTCCAAGGCAGCATTCAACAAGGCAACAATGCTGCTAGAAAGCAAGTTTGGCGATAAGCATCATGTTCTGGACTCTATGATCATCAAGGCAATGGCATGGCCAAACATTAGAGGTGAGGATCCGGAGGGCCTGCTTAGTTATTCATTGTTTGTGACTGAGCTAGGCAATTTGGCTAAGGACCTACACCTTCAACAGGAGATTGACCACGCACAACACTTGAAGATGGTCATATCAAAGCTGCCGTTCAGGCTGAGAGATAGATGGAGGAGCTATGTCGACGGCATACTCCAGAATCGGGACGAGCCACTCTCATTCAAAGACGTGGTTAGTTTCATTAGTAAACAGGCCCGGATAATCAACAACCCTATCTATGGCAATATTGTAGGACCTGCCAGAGCTGGAGAAACGCAGACAAAGACAAAACCCTTTCCAGGGAAGAAACAGGGCTTCAGCTCCAGCATGAAGAAGAGCGAGGAAGCGAAGTGTTTGTATTGTGACATGGAAAATCACCTTACAGCAGAATGCAAGGCCCTAGGAAAAAAACCTCATGAGGAGAAACTTGCATTTTGCAAATCCAAAGGACTGTGCTTTGCCTGCCTTCAGTCTTCACATCTTGCCAGGGACTGTAAACAGAGGACGACCTGCAAGATTTGTCAAAGGTTACACCCCACCCTTCTTCATAGAGATTGGGCACCATCGAAACAAGTGAAAAGGAATGGTGAATCAGAGAAACAACGTACTAATGACGACGTTGGAGCTAATAGGAAGAAGGAGGAAAGCTCGGAAGGACAAACAGAAGGAGAAGAAATTGGAAATGAAAATTTCCCAGACGTAAAGCGCACGTTATCCAACCGCACTTCTATGCAGGACTCCCAACCGGCCATTGTGCCTGTGACTGTACGCTCAAAGCAGACAGGGAAATGTGTACACACATACGCATTCATTGACAACGGGAGTAACGCAACTTTCTGCACAGAAGAGTTAAAAAACAAACTAAATGCCAGAGGAAGAACGCGCACTATCCAGCTTCAAACATTAACAGATGATAAGCTGGTCAAGACCTGCATACTGCAAGACCTGGAGGTAGCTGATGTGAATGAGAACACATATATACCACTTTCTGACGTCTACATACAGCCCATCCCTGTAGACAAGTCAGACATACTGAGAAGGAATGACATTGCAAGATGGCCCTACTTACAAGAAATAAACTTGCCGGAGATCAATGCAGACGTGGGCATCCTCATTGGCAATAACGTCCCTAAAGCAATGGAACCACTGCAGGTTATCAATAGTCAGAACGACGGACCATTCGCTTGCAAATCTATCATAGGGTGGATGGTTTTTGGAAGCTGCAAGCAAGAGAGAAGTGGGTCCAAGATAGCCTCCCACAGAGTCCACGTGATGGAAGATATTCAGCAACAGCTAAATAATCTCTACAACACTGAGTTTTCAGAACGCTTGATGGAAGATAAAGTCGAAGAATCCAAAGAGGATAAACGATTTATGGAAAAGGTTGAAGGATCCATCAAGCTAACACAAGGGCATTACCAAATCGGACTGCCATTCAAGGGAGACGTCGACCTGCCCAACAACAGGCCCATGGCAGAGCAGAGACTCAACCACCTGCAGAGGAAGTTCGCTAGACAGCCGCAGTTCCATAGGGAGTATGCAGGGTTTATGGATAAGGTGCTGAACAAACAGTACGCTGAAAGAGTACCAGAAGACGAGTTCCTTAGAGAAGATGGAAAGATGTGGTTTATTCCTCACCACGGTGTATATCACCCACAGAAGCAAAAAATTAGAGTGGTGTATGACTGTGCAGCTTCTTTCAAGGGCAAGTCACTGAATGACAATCTTCTACAGGGGCCGGACCTCACAAATAGTTTGGTGGGTGTATTAACAAGGTTTCGTCAAGACCGCATAGCAGTAATGGCAGACATAGAAGCCATGTTCTCACAAGTGAAACTGCTAAAGGAAGAAAAGGATCTACATCGATTTCTGTGGTGGCCAGATGGCAATGTCGCTCAACCTATTGAGGAATACCGCATGACTGTTCATGTGTTTGGGGCTAGATCTTCACCAGCTTGTGCCAATTATGCCCTGAAGCGCACAGCAGAAGACTTTGCAGAGGACAAGGTGGCACATATCATCAAGCGCAACTTTTATGTTGACGATTGTTTGTACTCAAGCTCAACAGTCCAGGAAGCTGCAGAGCTATCAGAGGGCCTACAAGAAGCCTGTAAGAAAGGAGGATTCCACCTCACAAAATGGGTGAGCAATGACAGAAGAGTATTGAATGCCATACCCAAGGAGGAGAGAGCAAGTACAGTGCAGGAGCTAGACTTTGACAAGGACAAGTTGCCAACAGAGAGGGCACTTGGCATGCTGTGGCATACAGATGAAGATGTTTTCAGTTTCAAGATTCAGCTGAAAGACAAGCCAGCCACAAGGAGGGGTATCTTGTCAACAGTGTGCTCCCTGTTCGATCCACTAGGATGTGCTTCCCCAGTGCTACTCCCTGCAAAGCACTTACTTCAGACCCTCTGCCGACTAGGATTAGGATGGGACGAGACGATTCCACCAGACCTGCTGAAAAAATGGGAAACATGGAAAAGAGAACTCCCAAGACTGTCAGACTTTAAACTTTCCAGGTGTTTGAAGCCAGAGGGGTATGAAAACCCAAAGTCTGTGACACTGCACCATTTTGCAGATGCAAGTGAGAAGGGATATGGAACAGTGTCATACTTGCGAATGGTGAATACCAGGGATGAAGTCCAATGCTCATTCCTCTTGAGCAAATCTAGAGTGGCCCCTCTTAAACAGACGTCGATCCCGAGAATGGAGCTTACAGCCGCCACGGTAGCAGTAAGGATAGACAAAATGGTAAAACAAGAACTTGACATCCCAGTAGATGAGACCTTCTTCTGGACTGATAGTACCTCTGTACTACAGTATATCCAAAGCGAAACAGGGAGGTTTAAGACATTCGTCGCCAACCGAGTTGCCCTGATACAAGAAGGATCTGAATCAAGTCAATGGCACCACATAGAAACTTCGCTGAATCCGGCAGATGTATGCTCCAGGGGAGTCGAGGTAGATCGATTCCTAGCAATGAGATTCTGGAAGGAAGGACCCGAATTTCTTCAAGCTTCAGAGGACCAGTGGCCTAAGCAACCCAGAAATGCATCACACGACGTAAACAATGATCCCGAGGTGAAGAAGAAGAAGATGTACGTTACAGAGGTCTCGGAAGTAACGGCCAGTGAGAGCAAATGTATGGCCACTGCTGTGAGCAAAGAGGAAGAAGATGATGTCCTGGAAAGATTGATCAACCATTATTCAGACTGGTACCACCTCAGAAAGGGAGTAGCATGGCTACTAAAATTGAAAGGGCTGCTGAAAGAGAAAATGAAAGGTCAGCAGAACACACGAGAGAATCCACCCATGTTATTGACAGTGGAAGATATTAGACAAGCTGAGGAAGCAATACTGATACACGTTCAAGACAGAGCATTCCCAGTAGAGGTTGTGGCTTTGAGGAAACAGGCACACGATGTCAACCAAAGGACAGGAAGGTTGCAGCCAGGGGTCAGAAAATCAAGCCCTATCTACAAATTAGACCCTCAGATGGACAATGGCCTACTTAGAGTAGGAGGAAGACTTAACAAGGCAGCCTTGCCTGAAGAAGCAAAACATCCAGTCATCCTACCAAAGAGAGGACATGTGTCTGAACTCATCTTGCGGCACATTCATGAAAACTCAGGACATATGGGAAGAAACTATGTCTTGGCAAAACTCCAGCAACGATATCACATAGTTGGTGCAATTTCAGCCATCAGGAAAGTCGTCAAGAAATGTGTCAAGTGCCGACGTCAAAGAGGGCGGGTAATCCAACAGAAGATGGCCGACCTACCCATAGACCGACTGAGACCGGACGATCCACCTTTTACACGAGTTGGAGTCGATTATTTTGGGCCGATAGGAGTGAAAAGAGGACGCTCTACAGTCAAGAGATATGGCGTAGTGTTCACTTGCCTCGCCATTCGGGCCATACACATAGAGAAGGCTGATTCACTAGATACGGATTCCTGTATCGCAGCAATTCGGAGATTTATTGCTCGAAGAGGAGCAGTCAGAGAAATGAGATCGGACAATGGAACGAACTTGGTTGGGGCTGAGAAAGAACTAAGAAAAGAACTTGAGAGCTGGAACCAGGCCCAGCTCAGCAACTCACTATTGCAAGTAAACATCAAGTGGACCTTTAATCCACCTGGAGGTTCACACCACGGGGGCGTATGGGAGAGACAGATCAGGACGATTCGACAGCTGCTCTTCTTCCTTACCAAACAGCAGACCATGACGGATGAAAGTTTGCAGACACTCTTCTGTGAAATAGAAGGCATTATCAATTGCAGACCTATCACCAGGGTTTCAGACGATGCTAACGATCTAGAGGCTCTGACACCAAACAAGCTCCTGACGTTGAAGGCTACCCCGATGTTACCCCCATCGGTTAGTAGGAAGACCGACTGCTACGCACGACGTAGATGGCGGCAGGTTCAATATCTGGCAGACGTCTTCTGGCGACGTTGGCTGAGAGAGTACTTGCCGCAGCTCCAGGCCAGGCAGAAGTGGGTACATCCTAGTCGCAACATCCAGGTTGGTGACGTAGTGCTGGTAGTGAACGAGACAGCACCTCGTAACTTCTGGCTCATGGGAGTAATCATCGGCATCACTCCAGATCGACAGGGCATGGTTCGACGGGCGGAGGTGAAGACCAAGACGGGCACCTATTCGCGACCCATCAGCAAACTGTGTCTCCTCTTGGAAGGAGATTCATGAGCACTTTGAATTTGTGAAATTGTGATTCCATAAGAGATATACGCTATTGAGACACCTTTTAAGTTTCTTCACGGGACCAACTCATCAAATTTTGGAGCAAGTCAAGTTGGAAATCAATTTTGGAGTCCGTTTGTGATAATTATATGTGTGAAGTAATAAGTGGTGCGAGCCTAGCGCCGCCATAATAAAGCTCAAGTATATATTTGGATCAATCGCGAAGCCTTTAATTGTTGGATCACAAGCTTGGAAAATGTTGATTTTAGAAAAGATTATCATTGTGATATATGGTGCGAGCCTAGCGCCGCCACTTCATGTATTTACCAAGTGAAATGTTTTCATTGGACCAAACGCAAATTTGTTCACTAGGAGTCACAAGTTGGATCACTCTGCACCTTCTATTCTGTCGCGTAATCAAGCCGTAGAGATGGCAGCAGAGGCACAGAGTATGCAGATTCGAAAAAGACTAAAAGACTTGATTATTGTGCAAAATCTGGCTATCATGGACTGACTAAGGAATAAACTCAGACTTTGGACATTTAAAAGAAAAAGTCAGATTATTTGAACATGATATAGACAGAGACTCAGTGAAAATGCATTTTATGTATACATGTAGAAAGGATTCTTGCCAATTTGAATGCTATTTCTAACAGTTTCATAAGCATATTTTGTTATTCAGTGAATTGCATTTGAGGAGTGTAAAATGTATGTACAATGTACCTTTGAAATGGTGGGCACAGTGACACAGATGTCTTTTAGAAGTTGAAAGAGAAGATAATAGAAATATTGAATATGTAAAATATATGAATTATTGTTTGATCATCTATGATGTAATTGCTAGAATATGAATATTTAAATTTAAATTTCTGTGACAGAAAAAAGGGAGTAGAAAACAAAAGTCAAATACAAAACTTTGGGTCATGTTCCACTTTTCAGGTAAATATTTGTCAGGAACTCAGGAGAGAAAAATCTTGCATGTATTTAAAATGTCATATGAGATATTTGGAAGCATATTTTGTGTTGCTTTTAAAGTGTAGATTTATGTGAAGTGCATGATTATAAAAGGCAATGGGTTATTATTTTGAAGGATACAATGTAAAGATTTTTTAGGAATCAAGGAATGTATATAATGTGCATATTTGTGTTGACGCAAATATTTGGTGTACAGGTTATTTTAAAGCAGATGCTATTTTGGTTCTGAGACAAAATTTCAAAGAGTTTATACAAGACGATAAAAATTGTATTATGGGCATTAATAGTGCTTAGTGAAGGCAGAACTGTACACACTTGACTATTTTGAAGACGTTAATGTTTTTATAGCAAATGAGTTCGTTGTATATAATTAGAGGTGAAATAATTTTGCTATGTTCAGATTTAGTGTCAGGATATTTACATTTGGAAAGTTCTTTTATAGAAATGGCAGTGTTTGATAGCATGATTTGAACAAATAGTGTCATTTGCTTTGTTGTTACATAGCTACTGTACATATAAAAACGACACTTTGCATGCTTAGTTTGCACGAAAGAAATGCTTTACTGCATTCGTTAGAAGGGACATGACATTCGATTGTGTTGTTTATTTGTACAAATTCTGAAAGAGACAGAAAATAACAAAAGTCCAAAATTATTGCGAACATTGTTAAAAAAGGGATTCAGCTCAGTGACAAGAGTTTGAATCAAGACTAGTCATCTGATGAAATGTTTCGATAAGGAGAGTTGTTTGATAGTCTTAGTCCACAGTATACTTCTGAATTCAATGGAACTTGAAAGTGTACACCCTAAAATAAGAGGTAGTGGTTAATCTAGTTCTTAACCATTTAAATCTTTGTTGCGATATTGTGGCTCTCATTGTCATTGTTTTTATTGTAGTTTGAGTAGAATTTAGAGTTGGACAGATTTACGACCAAAGCATATTATTGTTACCAAGATTCTATTGATAGCTAAGGCCTGATTTCATTGTGCATGTCTTTATTATATCGGTGCAAAACAAAATTCAGTTTATCTGTGCTATGTATTGGAGTCAACAGTACTTGCCTTTTTTAAGATAGGGCTGCATTGCAGCATTCCAGAGTGTTTTCTTAAGGTGCCAACATCATTATAGTGAGTTTACAAGTTACTAACCTATGCAAAAATCTTTCATTTTGTGACACAAGCGGGCTTTCTTGTCCAAAGATAGTAAAAAGAGCCACAAGAGGGACATTGGTTGGTTTTTGTTTGACAAACTGATAATAATCAGGAGTATAGACATTCATAAGCTAGTTAAAGGTTAAATTGTCATTGGTATTTTCTAAATGATGGCATTGAGGTGTTTTTTGTGTCATGTAGGTGTTGTGGCATGTTAGAGCCACAGTTATGCATATTTTATTACATTGAGTTACGTGTATATAGTTTGACTTTGAAAAGGTTTTGAGTTTTTATTAGCAGGAACTTTTGAAAATAATACAGGAATAAGATTTAATCAGAATGATTCGAGAAAGCCATATGGTTATTATTGTTTTTTGGAAGTATAAGAAAAGGTGTAATTTTCTGTCGGCTTGCCTCTGAAAATTAAGGGGCCGGAAATGTAGATGCCAAACTAATGCAAGAGCGCCATCTCTTGTCGGTTTTAAAATTTAATAAGTTTGAGGGGAGGAAAGGCGCGAATAATCACTGGCAGTAACCCTTGGAAACAAGACAGAATTTTAACCTCTTCTCCCTACTTCATATTTCCGTTTTATGATCTTGTTTGGTTTTGGACAACAATTGGAATGGATGCAATCATTGTATAATAACATTGTGATCGACCCGACGTGAGTAACGTGAAATGTGGTTATAGTAAAGGCTTCAAAATTAAAGTTTTCGAGACATTATATTGGTATTCGACAATTGATTTCTACACTTGCAATTGCAATTCTACAGTACGGTACGTGGATTGACGATGAACGTGTGAATAGTGTCAGATTGCGAGATATTAAAGGACGGAACGGAGCTGAGAGGAGCGTTGAAACTATAATAAGGTGAACTTGGGTTCTTGGCCAGTCAAAGGTGATCGTGAACAACAAGGGACCAGTGCAGTACCAGTCTGATAAATGAGAATATGACTAGAGAGGTCTATGAGTATGAATAGAGCATGATCACTTGTGGGTGTATTTTGAGTCGAAAGAATGACGTGATTGGGCAGAATACAGTCAGAGAATTAATGTCGAGGTCTAAGCCTAGACCTCCAGACCTAGTCTAAAAATGGAGAACTAAAGACAGACTATCTGACTACTTCAAGGTCATTTTGCACCCACAGATTGGAAAAGAAGACCATCAGGTAATACTTATTTACCACATCTTTCTCTTTCCCCAAATACATGCAACTCTTTTCATTCTACGATTGATTTGTATTAATGTCATGGCTTTGTCTTTGGCAAATAATAATACACTGACTGTGATCTTCATGGGTTGACCCAAACTGAATAACTAGGGATTTAAAACAAGAAGTTAAGAAAGGCTCTTCCTTTGCTTCATAAAAACACTGAAATGTAGTTAGAAAACACATGTGTATTTTCTTTTCAACACTTGCTTTTTTCTCTAAAGGTAAGGGGGCTAACTAACCTCCCACCCCTGAGCTGGACAGACGAGCTAACAGACCCCATGAAAAATAATTGACTGATCCGAGCTAGGGGCAGGGGCGTTAGATTTACATTCTTTTTAACAACAGATCCTCATCAAGACTCCAAAGCTTGTCCAAGAAGTGCCCTATACATCAACAACATATGTAATTATCTGTAATTTTGCAGCCCTAAAATCTGACATCCATGAATCGAGTGGAATACAGAGTCTCATTAATAATAACTGATCCGTTCGTCAATCCTTTATGCAATGTTGATCCATTGGTTTTTAAGTTATTGCCAGAACGAAAACGGGATGGACAGAAGACCCCAAAAAGTAACTTTTGTAAAAGGGTGCCCCCCCCCCAAAAAAAAAAAAATAGGAAAAGCAATAAAATAATTGATAATATTACCTCTGCATAAAATTCAACGTTGCACAAACTTCAGGGTTGTATGCAATGCCAAAGCAGTAATGTGATGCAAACAGCATCCTCAGTCCAGCAATGAAAGTAGGAATAGATGCGTTCACAACATGGACATCAATAGCAAGGCAAAACCGTGATGCCACCATCATGTCACCTGAGGCACAGGAAGCAACACAAAAAACATATTTTATAGGTTATAGATTTCCAAGTTTTATCAAAAGCGCATTGGCATCTGAAGTATGATTTTGCATTGTTATTTTGTCTGATCCCAGATGGAGTACATTAGGTCTCTCAACTTCATACAGTCACCAAATAGACTTAACCCTAAAAGGACTGGGCTATTTCGGAAATATTGAGGACTGGGGGGGGGGGCATGATGCCCCCCTTCTGATCTCGGCCGCCGACCGCGCGACCACGCCGTAATTCGGCACGCAATTTCTTTACAACATAAACTACAAGCCTGTAAAGCCATGTGTTTTGAACTCGCCTCCCTCAAAGCTAGGGTGGTTATGTAAGCTTTTCCAAATTTTATTCTGTTTAACATACGATATCTCTGCTAAACGGAGGGGTATTGTGAAATCGCGACACTGCGCGAGATAGAACGAACAATGACGAGGGTGGTTGAAGGGGGGGGGGGGTATAAAATGGAGATGAACTGTCAAACATGGTTACTTACTATAAAAGCCACTGCATACATATGTATAATTTGAATTCTACTTTTACATAAAAAGATTTTGAAATTGTAGGAAAAAAATAATTCTTTACATGAAAATTGGATACCGGTATTCATTATCTAATGAATTACTACGTACCAAAAGAAATCAAGACAGGCGTTGACGGCAACTCCTCGACCTCCTCAACCTCGTTGGCTGTGTCGGTTTCCTGAATTTAAAGAATAGTTTAAATGATCCAAATTTGTGTTTAAGCTCATTATTTCCAGCTTTATACTAGATTTAGAAGGAAGATACAAAAAAAGTCCCAGTATTTTTTTCGTCATTTTCCAC